CAGGCCAGAGCAAAATCCAGACATTTATTGCAATGAAAGACGCCGAGCATCCTGAGCTAGTGAAATGCAGCCTCGCGGAAATTAAATTCTGGAAGACATCAGCCAAAGCCACCCCTTCCAGGCCGGCCTCGCATCCCCAGCCTATCGCACAGCAAACGCCCATTTCCAACCAACCTATGCCGGCCAGGCCAGCCGCTTAAAAGCGGAGAAACTCCCACTTCACGGCCTCCTCGAACTAAGCCTTGCAAAGAGTCGTTCTGGAGGAATCGCTTTCGTCTACTCACGCTTACTCGTGCGTGTCCCTGCTGTCCTCTGTCTTGCTGCGTGTGGTCTGCTCCTCCTCCGCGTCGCTGCACCTGCTGCGGGTCTCGTGCTGTGGTCCGTGGGTCTTTGCCGCTCTCCTCTTTGCGGGCTCTTTCTGCGGGTTCGCCGCTGCTCGTCTCGTCGCGGCCGCTGTTGCATACGGTCGGTCTGGACCGGTGCGGTGGGAGCTGTGCGCATCCCTGCCTCCTCGTGCCGGTATGGTGTGGTCCTGTTGTTTTTCCCTTGTCTTCTGGCGTTGTGGTTAAGTATGCTGACCTGCGGACGGTTTATTCCCCTCGCGTTGTACTGCAGGCTCAGTTGGCCCCGCGCATTAGTCTGCAATCTCTCAGTTTAAATCCCTCACATTGGTCTGCAATCTCTCAGTTTAAATCCCTCACATTGGTCTGCAGGCTCTCTTTAAATCCCTCTCTTGGACTACAAGCTCTGTTAAATCCCTCTCTTTGGACTGCGGCTCTCTCTCTGAATCCCTCTCTTGGACTACAAGCTCTGTTTAAATCCCTCTTTGGACTGCGGCTCTAAATTTAAATCCCTCACTTGGACTGCAAGCTCCGTTTAAATCCCTCTCTTTGGACTGCGGCTCTCAATTTGAATCCCTCACACTGGACTGCAGGCTCTCAGTTTTAATCCCTCACTTTGGACTGCAAGCTCTGTCTAGACCTCTCACTTGGACTACAAACTGTTAACTCCCTCACGCTGGACTGCAAGCTCTCAGTTTTAATCCCTCACTTGGACTACAAGCTCTCAGTTTTAAATCCCTCACTTAGGACTGCAGGCTCTATTTGAATCCCTCACACTGGACTGCAAGCTCTCAGTTTTAATCCCTCTCTTTGGACTACAAGCTCTCAGTATTAATCCCTCAACTTGGACTACAAGTTGTTAACTCCTTCACACTGGACTGCAGGCTCTGTTGAAGTCCCTCGGCGTCTCTCGTGTCCCGCAACCTCTTCCCGGCTCTCCGTGAGCCCCAAATTGTCACGCGGCTTCTGGCGCGGGAGGTGTCCGTGGGCTACGTCATTGGCCCCTTCTCTCCGTCTCGCTCTAACCCGATGGGCATCGCCACCCGCAAGTACTCCAGGAAGAAGCGTCTCATATTCGTCCTCTCCTGTCCCCGCTCCGGGCCCGCCCCGAGAATCAACAGCCTCTTCCCTTCAGCGCCCTTCTCCCTGCAGTCCGCTACCGTGGACCACGCGATCAGGCTGATAAAGACTTTCGGCCCCGGCTCCTGGCTCTCCAAGGCCGACATCCCGGACGCGTTCGAGCTGCTGCCCATCCCCCCCGACCACTGGCGCCTGTTCAGGGGTTACGTGGCGTCAGAGTTCTTCTTCGCCGTGCGCCTCACCTTTGGCTGCCGGAGTAGTCCCTCTCTGTTCAACAATCTCTCGGAGGCGCCGTGTCGGATTCTGCTTAATTACGCGCAGCTCCCCTCTGTCCTGCATCTCCCCGATGATTTCCTCGTAGTCGACCCGCCCTCAGACTGCTCCGGGGGCTCTCTCCGCAAGCTCAAGCTCGCCTTCTCTGCCCTCGGATTCCTTCACTCCGAGGAGAAGACCACCGGCCCCGCCACCGCTTTGGAGTTTCTCGGCATCCGCCTCGTCACGCGCGCTGTGGAGGCCTCCCTCCCGCTGGACAAGCTTGGGCGCATCCGCGCTTTCTCCCGGTCTGCCTTGTCCTCTTCGTCACTTCCAACGCGTCAGCTGCTCTCCCTCCTCGGGCACCTCAATTATGCCATCCGCATCATCCCTCAGGGTCGTTCCTTTATTTCCAGACTCCTCTCCCTCGCTGGCCCCGTCCCCTCCCTCCATGATGCTGTTTTCCTGGACGCCGGGTGCCGCTCCGACCTAGCCCCGATGCCCTGCGTTTCTTTACGGACGCAGCCCCGTCCGTGGGTTTTGGGGGGTTCTTCCAGGACCAGTGGTTCGCCGGGCCCCGGCCCGACTCCTTCCCTCGAAGCATCTCCTCCGCCCTCCATGAAATACATCCCGTAGCCGTGGCCTGCGCGCCGTGGAGCCACACGTGGCACAGAAAAGGATTTCTGTGATGTGTGATAATCTCGACGTGGTAGAAATAATTAACAGAGGTCGTTCGTCCTCTCCCAAAGTCATGCCTTTTCTCAGACGCATCACATGGCTCTCAGTCCTAAATAATTTATCATCATTGCTCGTCACGTCCCTGGTCACCTTATCCGTATTGCTGATTGTCTCTCTCGTTTTAAATTCCAGGAGTTCCGACGTCTCTGCCACTCTGCCAATTCAACGCCATGGAATCCCTCGTCCTGGACTTGTCCAACCGTCTCTTCACCTTCTCCTCTCCTCCGCGTCATCCTACATAAAAATGGGCCTCTCACTTTCCACGCTGAAATCTTACTGCTTTGCTTGAAAAGTCTACTCCCGCTTTTGCTACGCTCACAGCTTTCCCCTAATTCCGCCCTCTGTATGTACCATCTGCGCCTTCATAGTTCACTGTGCGGACAATCTCCTCTACAAGATCTCTTACATTCGCTCTCTTCTCGCCGGGATCCAATTCCAGGTCCGCTGTCACAATCCCGCTTTCTCCTCTCTATTCGATCAAACTTGTCATCAAAGGCATTCACAACTGCACCCCTCATTCCTCGGACCACAGGCGCCCCATCACACTGTCCATCCTCCACCAGCTCTGCGCCGCACTTTGCTCCGGCACACTTTCAAGATCCATGATGCGTACACTCGTCTCCGCTCTCGGAAAGGAGATCTCAACGGACTGTTATTCCTCACTCCTGACAACCTCCCCATGACATCTAACTGATTCAGAGCCCAACTCAAGTCCGTACTGCTACTTGTAACTTGTCCCCTCATCTCTGCACAGCTCACTCTTTACGGATAGGCGCTGCCTCTCGCGCTGCTTCCCTGGGACTCCCCCATTCTGCCCTTCAGCAGTTGGGTCTCTGGTCATCATCTGCCCTCTCCTCATTCATCAGGCCGGACACTTCGACCATTCTGGCAGCCCAGCCTCTATTGGCATCTCTGTAAGCACTTGCAAAACTCCCTGGTGGCGGCAGCAGCTGAGCATTTATAAATAGTGTTGCCTTTATAAATAGCGGTGCCTTTATAAATAGCGGTGCCTTTATATATAGCGGTGCACGTACGACGTCCCTTGCTAACCAGGCCTGCCTAAAACCCCATCAAACGCACAGCCTTTTGGGGATTGTGCGCGCACTCTCGCAGGAGCCTCGCTGACTGAACGCCGCACCGGGGCCTAGGGCGCGAAACTACCTTTCAATAAAAACTTCAAACGCATTTTGTCTCCTCAAAGTCTCTCCAGGTTGAAATGCAGCCTCGCGGAAATTCAACTCTGGAAGACGTCAGCCAAAGCCACCCCTTCCAGGCCGGCCTCGCATCCCCAGCCTATCGCACAGCAAACGCCCATTTCCAACCAACCTATGCCGGCCAGGCCAGCCGCTTAAAAGCGGAGAAACTCCCACTTCACGGCCTCCTAGAAGCCTTGCAAACCACCGCCTCCCCTCCTCCCTTTTCTCACCCTGCCTCAATCATGCCTCTTCCTGCTGCCCGAATGCCGCCACCAGTGCCTAGGTCCCGGGGGATTGTGCGCGCACTCACGCAGGAGCCTCGCTGACTGAACGCCGCACCAGGGCCTAGGGCGCCAAACTACCTTTCAATAAAAACTTCAAACGAATTTTGTTTCCTCAAAGTCTCTCCAGGTTGAATACTGAGTGGCTCCTAAAATTGAACTATCTCGTGGACATGAATGGACACAAACCCCAGTGCATAATGCCTCATGGGTTCCCTGGAATACCAGATGATCTGCTGGTTGAGGAATCCGGTGGGCAATGAGAAAGATACAATTAAAAGCTTGCAACTGGACAGTTTGGCTTTGTTGGCTCAGCAAAAATGCACCTACCAAAGATCTGTTGCATCGGATCCATGAGGTCTTTGTGGTTATTCGATTCAGCATTATGGGATAATGTGAGATATTCTTTTCCATTTTCCTCTTGTTTTAATCTAAATGACTCCGTTAGGTCTTGGTTACCCACTCTTCCTCTTTGTGCAAGGTGTAACTGAGCATCCTATCATGCCTTTCTAAAGAGGCAAATGGCTGTGGTTGAAGAGAGGACACCAGAATCCTTGATCCTCTTTAGATCAGTGCTGGTGCTTAACCCATCTCCATCTTCCGCGACCAACGTGTCTCTTTTACCCAATCTCGGAATACTTCCAAACAGTGCTACTCTTTGTATTTTTCTCATTTCGTCCATTTCATTATAGAAACAAGACAAGAGACGGCGTTTATGTCTCTTGTCTGTTCTTCTTAGTTCTTCTCCTCCTGCATTCCTTGAGTTTTCTTGTACGTTTAGGAGACGGCAAATTATCAAAATCTCAACTCGCCGTAAATATTCACTTTAAAGCTGCCCCTTTTTTCTACAGCATCGTGTCGCTCAAAGCTCGTTGATGAAGTGGCCGGAACTAGCTGCGGAGTGATCTGACCTGGATCTGACACATGTGAATCACGAGCCCAAATTGCGTTGCCAAGGCAATGGTCATTATTGGTTTGAGAGGTCCGTTATCAAGAAATAATGGCCATTAGAACGTTTTGAAATCAATGTGTTGTGTGAGTGTTCTATTTCTACAGTGAGGAGCTGTGTAGTAAAGAAAAAATAAAAAATATGACACATAAAGATGTTGGACCTTGTTCTTGGTGAAGATGCTGTTGATCCATTTGGTGAACGTCTTCTTCTGCATCCTCATCCTCTGCTCCTGCAGCTCCCTCACTCGCCCTGCTCCGTCCTCCTCTGTCTGCTGCTGCATGATTGGTCCACGGGTCGATAATGTCACCGAAGAACCAGGAAGTCCCCAGGCTGGAACGTAAACATTTATAGACATTTATTAACATGTATGGACAGTGGTCATCAGTCCCTTATGGACCATTGGCTCTATGTGCTTTGATCTTTGCATTTCCTGTGTTTGGGCTGTTTGATTCTCTGATCTTTTGTTGGTGAATCTACCGCTGAAATGCAATGACTATATGTGGCATTACTGTGCTTAGACTGAAAAAAATACAAAAGGGGAAAAATATTAGAAACCTCATGGAGGGCCCTATTGAGAGAGGGATCTGCTGTTACAGACAGGCTGTAGATCCAGGACTGAGGCTGTAGATCCAGGACTGAGTTTGTAGATCCAGGACTGAGGCTGTAGATCCAGGACTGAGGCCGTAGATCCAGGACTGAGGCTGTAGATCCAGGACTGAGGCTGTAGATCCAGGACTGAGGCTGTAGATCCAGGACTGAGTTTGTAGATCCAGGACTGAGGCTGTAGATCCAGGACTGAGGCCGTAGATCCAGGACTGAGGCCGTAGATCCAGGACTGAGGCTGTAGATATAAACTAACCTTCTGATCATGTGACACTTTAACCCATAAGTACACCACTCAGTCATAACATTTAGATACATCACATGTTTATTGTGTCACTTTGTTGAGCGAAGATTCCAGAGGTTCATAAACGTCACACGGATCTGTTTATGTTTGACAGAGGAGAGATAGGAGAGAGAGAGAGGAGAGGAGAGAGAGAGGAGAGGAGATAGAGGAGAGGGGAGAGAGAGGAGAGAGGAGAGGAGAGAGAGGAGAGGAAATAGAGGAGAGGGGAAGAGAGAGGAGAGGTGAGAGAGGAGAGGAGAGGAGAGAGAGGAGAGAGGAGTGGAGTATTATGGAACCCCCTTTTGCTGCAATCACAGCTGTCAACAAGCTTTGCACATCCAGAGACTTTAGCCCATTCCTCTGAACAAAACAACTCAAGCTCAGTCAGGTCTCCCTAAAACAGTATTTTAAAGAACGGTCCTGCGCTGCGACGGTTTGAGTGTGTGGCAGCGGGATGAGGATCAGCATCTTCATCCCAGTGGCCTCTTTTCAAATCCTCCTCTTGCTCAAACTGTTGCCTCTCGATGTGGAGAAGCAGCATATCTATTCCGAGCTCCTCCCGTGTGACAGAGCCGCTCACCCTATCTCTGAGGGAAGGAAACCTGGACCGAGCCGAACTACACCAACACTGAACCAAGACCGGGTCAGGGCCGAACCAGGATAACATCTGTTCTAAATGTGACGGATGGTTTCGTACCAATCGGAGATCAATTTGTGAAGGAAAAATTTAAATATGTAAAAATATATATATATATACAGGAGATAAAGCATTGTCTCAGGTGGACATCACATGAAGGAGCGATCACCTTTTGGGACAATGCCAAAACACATATTTTCTGAAATTTTTAAAGAGTTCAATTTAAGACTTTTCTGATGGAGAATTCAATGTCAGAGGTTCATTCATACTGCGACACTTACCTCAGAGTCAGGCTCAGTCAGCTCTGTGCAGCTTTATTCCCAGTTTTGGTTCTGTGGCTCTGTAAGTCTGTGTTAGAGTTCGGGTGCTCTGTGTCTGTGTGTTAGAGTTCGGGTTAGAGTTATAGTAAGAGTGTGTGTGTGTGTGTGTGTGGCAGTGACAGTGACAGTGTAACATCAGCTGACTCCTCTCTCTCTCTGGGTCAATGTTCAGTCCACTCTCTGTCTCTTAATGTTTGACGCTCGGCCTCATAGACTCTCTGACCCTGCACCAAGACGCAACAACAACATCCAACATCTGAATCCATTTGTTCACATAATTATCTATTTCAAGATACACCAACAGTTATGCAAAGACCTGTACAGCGACCCAGACCCGTGAGACAACGGAGGGTCCAGAGGGTCTTGGCCCAGGTACATTTCATTCTCAAGTTTAATTGTATAGTACAGTTCATACACAAGGCCACTCAAAGTACTGAACAAAACAAGAAAAGAAACAATCACACAAGGCATTGAATCATAAAAAAAATCACAAAACATTAAAAAGAGTGAAGATACAATCCTTACATTTTCCGCATCCTTACATGCGGAAAAAACAGAACTGTTTTAACCGGGATTTGAACATTGTCAGAGAAGAAGCCTGTCACACATTTTCAGGAAGACTGTTCCAGATTTTAGCTGCATGAATCTGAAATGCAGCCTATTTTGTCCGGACTCTGGGCACCAGCAGAAGTAATTAAGTAAGTAAGTAATCATTATTTATATACCGCCTTTTCACTGCAGATCTGAGTCTCAAAGCGGTTTACAATTGTTAATTTTGGGCATTTGTCTCTCACTCCACACAGAGATGGAGCGGGGTCGCCTGTACAGGAGGCACATGCCAGAACTATTGGACATATTTTTAGTGGTAGGGGAAACCGGAGTACCCGGAGGAAACCTACGCAGACACAGGGAGAACATGCAAACTCCACTCAGAAAGGCCCTGGTCCGACCAGGATTCGAACCCATGGACCTTCTTGCTGAGAGGCGAGAGTGCTATCCACTCAGCTACCGTGCCGCCCGAAGGCCAGTCCCTGTGCTCCTCAGAGTACCAGCAGGAGGCCAGTCCCTGTGCTCCTCAGAGTCCCAGCAGGAGGCCAGTCCCTGTGCTCCTCAGAGTTCATATGGTGCTAAGATGTCACAGATGTAATCAAAGATTCTTTTTCTTTTACTTCTGCAGTTTGCCTGAGATCTATTTTGGACCTAGTCTAATACCCCACAGTGCTACTGCTAACCCTTCTTTCTTCTTATTGATCTTATATGGCTCATATCTGTATTCTGAAAAACCATATTTGTTTGCATTGTCCATCTGTATACAGTCTGTGTTCTGTTAGCACTGATTCACACATTGGCTCAGGGGTTAGTACTTGTGTTTCACAGCAAGAAGGTCCTGGGTTAGATTCCACTTTCAGGCCTTACTGTGTGGAGTTTGCATGGTCTGCATAGGTTTCCTCCAGGTGCTTCGGATTCCCACTAAAAACATTTATTATAGGTCTGAATGTAATGAGAGACATCACAATGGGAAATGTTCTGAAATGTCTTCACTGCGAGACGAATAAAAGTATATCTTATCTTCCATATACTCAAATAAATGTACATTCTTGTATGGCCCTAAATCACAGCAGTAGTTATGTCAAAGGACTCTTCTTCACTGTCTTCTCTGTGTGGAGCGAGACACAAATGCCCACAACAAAGCGCTTTGTGACTCTGGTCTGTGCAAGGAGTTATATAAATGAAGATTACTTACAAAGTTGTGGATTCAACAGATCAGAGAATCAAACAGTTCAAACCTGCTGTATAAATGACTATTATTGTTATTTACATTATGACTGAGTTTCTGTTGGAAATTAAAGAAAGACAGACGATAACAATTATTTCCACTTTAATAAAACACGCCCTCAGTCTCCTCCACAGAATTCAAACGTCTTAAATCTGTACAAACACAACAACAACAATATCAACACATGTCGATATGTCACACAATGGCTTTCTCCGGGTGATAAGGCACAAATATTAAAGATATTAGAATAATGTTGGATTGTCACAGCAGGATTTATACATTTATAAGTCTAAAAATATGTTTGAATGAAAAGAGATTTCTGTACAATTATAATTCAGACAAAGGAATAAAAGTGTTGTTTTTGCAGAGTGGGAGGGGCAGAGCAGGACACACAGACCAGAGGGTTTTATGTGATCGTAAACCAGGACTAGGTTTGGTTTGTTCCTGGTTCCATCATGAGACACGGTCATAAACATCAGATATTAAACTTTATATTAAACTTTATAGACACGTTAGATGTCATTTAAGTCTTTAAATGCCCATATAAGGATTACGCAGGGACACTGGACTGAACAAGGACTGAACCAGGTCTAAACTGGAACTAAACCATGTACAACCAGGTTTAAACCAGGACTGAATTGGACTGAACCAGGGCGGAATCAGGACTAAACCAGGTGTAAATCAGGACTGAATTATGACTGAACCAGGACTGAACCAGGACTGAACCAGGATTGAACCAGGGCTGTAAAAAGTGAGATTTGATAATGGACTTCTGGAACCACCGACATAGGAAACATATTTACAAAACATATTTTTCTGGTCGTCAAATGTGATTTATACAAAGTGAAGTTGTTCTCTGAATTTGTGAGACAGAATGGAAAGTGAAGGAGTGAAATAGTGATGTAGTTCTTGTATTGTCCAGCAGTGGGAGCAGAGAACACACTTTTCATCATTTCACTGTGAACTTTAATATTGATCACGTTTCTAACTCTATTCTCAATGTATAATAAACCAGGACTAAACCAAGTCCAAACCAGGACTGAACCAGGTCTCAACCAGAACTAATCCAGGTCTAAACCATGTCTAAACCAGTTATAAACCAGGACTGAACCAGGACTAAATCAGGACTAAACCTGTACTGAACCAGGTCCGAACCAGGTCTGACCCTGGGTAAGATTGGAGCCATTTCAAAAACACATTCTTTTGGAACTGTAACATTCTACATTTGTCTTTGATCTGCATTTCATCCAAAATAGTCTAAAGTTACAGCAGAGGATATACTTTGGTGCTTGAAAGTTCATAGATGTTAGTGGTAGTTGTTGTGGAGGAGGTTCTTTCTCCTCTCTGATGGTAAAGCTACCCATTTTTCTCTCACACTGGTTCCTCTTTTTGGTCTCTCTCAGGCATCTCTTTCTGGTCTAACAGTCTCTCTAGAGGCAAAGCTGAACATTTGTCTCGGCCCCAGTGCTCTGCGGTTCTCACACTAGTCCTGGTTCTAATTGGATTGTTAGTTGAATCTTATCTATCAGAAAACCAAATTCACTTTGATGGATCCAGCTTTAGACTTGCTTTCGTCCTGGTAACGCTTTAGTCCTCCGCACTCCTCCTCAGTCCTCCTCGTGGTTGTAGACCCCCTCCCCGTTGCTCTGCTGGTTCTTCCGATGAGCCGGTGGGACCAGATGTTGTGGCAGCTCCACAGGGAGCTCGTATCCCTCCAGTTTGACCTGGATCAGGTGCTGAGCCAGAGCAAACTCCTCGTCATCCAGCATCCCGTCGTGGTCGCAGTCCGCCAGCTTCCAGATCTTCCCCAGGACGGTGTTGGGAAGGCGTGAGTTCATCATCTCCTTCTTGGCGTTGACTCCAGAGATCTTGCCGTTGACGGGCATGAGTGTGTAAAAAATCTCGTCGTATCTGTGTTTGTCTCGACTCACGATCCAGTCCTCGTGGTCTGCGCCGGCGCTGATGCCCTCACCGTAACCGTGACCAAACGGACCATCCTGAAATACACAAGAGCAAAGCAGAGGTCAGTACCTGTGGCTCAGGAGCAGGATGTTGTGTCTGGCTCTCAGACAAATCTGAGGAGGCATTTATAGTAAGAAGGTTTTATGTGTTGTTTCCTACAGTATATTACTTATGTATGTAGAATCTATTATTTTGTTTAACAATTTATCTTTTCTAAACACCACCAAGGCAGAAATGAACTTAGGGGTTGAAGATGAGATGAGCCATTCCAGACTCTTTAACGCGTTAATTAAGATTAATTAATTACACAAAAATTAGCGCGTTAAAAAAATGTACGCATTTTAATCATATCTATTTTTGTACCGCGGAACGTTCCTCACTGGATAAGTTTCAGACGGACCGATTGTACTGGAGCACCAACTGGAGCTCCGTGACTTTTTTTGTTCAAAAGTACATTATTACAAGCATAGACCAACTTTAGCGGTGTCTAAATAATGCTCTGTGTACTGGGTGCAGCTCTGACTGCCACCCCCCAACCCAGAAATGGATTAAGGGGAAGAAAATGAATGGATGGATTAAGTCCGTCTGATCCCTTTATTATGCACAATTAACATGTGTTGCTTATGTTTTTAGTAATTATTTAATGGTAAACTAATAATCCATGTGAAAAAAAGTACTCAAATATTTATTTGTGATTAAAATGCGATTAATTGCGACTAATAACTAATTAATAAGATTATTTTTTTTAATCGAGTCCCAGCCCCAATTCCAATGTATTCCAATGTGGTTTTACTGCAGAACCAAATGAACCAGATGAACTGAACCAGGCCCTTCTAAACCAGTTGGACCTCCTGATCTCTGTTGGGACTGTGTTCCCCATCAGAACGTCAGACACATAGACTTGCTCTGGTTGATCCATCATCAACTGGTGTTAGAGGTACCTGAGATCCCTCGAAGGCCCCGCCCTGCACCAAAGTGGCCGGAGTTTTAGACTCCTCGTCCCGGATCATCGCCATGAGAACGGCAATCTTTGATGACAGCATCTTATCTACAGACTCGATGAGTTTCATCTTCAGAGACGGGAATTTACTGAAGTCATAATGTTGCAGCTGATCCTGGAAAAGACACAACAGGGGACTGTAAGTTAGGAACAACCAGGTCGAAAGCAGGTCTAAAGCAGGTCTAAAGCAGGTCTAAAGCAGGTCTAAAGCAGGTCTAAAGCAGGACTAAAGCAGGAGTAAAGCAGGTCTAAAGCAGGTCTAAAGCAGGTCTAAAGCAGGACTAAAGCAGGTCTAAAGCAGGTCTAAAGCAGGTCTAAAGCAGGTCTAAAGCAGGACTAAAGCAGGTCTAAAGCAGGTCTAAAGCAGGTCTAAAGCAGGTCTAAAGCAGGACTAAAGCAGGAGTAAAGCAGGTCTAAAGCAGGTCTAAAGCAGGTCTAAAGCAGGTCTAAAGCAGGTCTAAAGCAGGACTAAAGCAGGAGTAAAGCAGGACTAAAGCAGGAGTAAAGCAGGAGGAAAACAGGAGGAAAGCAGGATCAAAATATGACTAAAACAGGACTAAACCAAATCTGACCCAGGCCTTACATTGGGGACATTTCTCAGTTTCATTTTGCTCACGTTGTTGTTTGTTTTGGACTGAGGACAGTTCTTTCACAGACTCCTGCAGAGAAGCAAACATCTGCAGCAGCTGTGTCTCTCGTGTCCCCCTGAAGACCTGAGACCAGAGTCCAGCCAGGACCACAGAACTATTCAATGACACTGAATTCTGAACATAGCGTTGTGTATTAGACTTGGAACATTCCTTCTCTTTTGTCCAAAATTGTTTTGCATGAAAAAAAGAAAGATACAGAGTCAGACAGATGTGCGTGTTCCTCTAGTGGCGTGTCTCTCTGCTTATTGGGCTCTCTCGCTCTCTGGCTCTCTCTCTCTCTCTCTCTCTGCTCTGTGCTTTCTCTCTGGTCTCTCTCACTGCTCTCTTACTGGTTCTGTGGATGGGTGTGTCTGGTCTCAGTTCAGATCCCGTCTCTGACCTGCATCTTGGCCACGTTGGGGAAGTCTCCAGGGCTGATGTGGTGCTCTCGCTGCAGAATGAGGTAGATCTCTGGCAGCCGCATAATCAGCTCCTCCTTCTTCTTCTCCCGTCCGAAGAGAGACGGCATTTCCTTCTTCAGGTAACTGATGATGTAGGCGTGCACCTGCCGAGAAGCAAGAGAAATGTTACTGCTATGACAGAGACACTGTCATGAGGTGAAGTGATGGAGGACCCAAAATGCAGGAATGCAAAAATACAATTTAAAGGAGCAATGTATACAAATCTGGCCAAAAGTGGTACTGCAACCACGGGCAATATTCTGTAGTTCTCTCCCACTCTCCCTGACTCAGGTTGCCAGATATGCAGCCAAATCCAGCTGGGACCATAATAGCTGAAGAGTTTTTTCAACAACAATAAATCGACTGAATTACTGTAAGTTGAAAAAGTATTGGAAAAGAGCAAGGTTTATCAAGGCTTTTGACGTTATAGGGCCATTTAATGATGACTTGACACAAAAATCTTACATATTGCTACTTTCATGATGCATAATAAAAGTCCAAGGTAAGAACAAAACTCAAAAATCCAAAGGAACCAGGAACAGGACAGAACAGACATGGACACACATTGACAATACAATGAACCAGCAACAAGGGGAGAGGAGCACAGGGTCAGGGTAGACACAGACACAGGTGAAACACACAAGGGCGGGGCAGACAATCCACCGGGGAACAGAACAGGAAGTGAAACTAAACTAACCATGACAGACACAGGAGAAAGTTTCACAAAGTGTCTCTCTCTCTCTATTTGAGTTCATGTTGATTTGATTTGTCAACGGAAGTATCTTGGCTCTCTCTGGTCTCTTTCCGGCCTCTCTCCCTGGTCTCTCTCTCTGGTCTCTCTCGCTGGTCTCTCTCTCTCTCTCTGGTCTCTCTCTCTGGCCTTTCTCCCTGGTCTCTCTCTCTCTCTGGTCTCTCTCGCTGGTCTCTCTCTCTCTCTCTGGTCTCTCTCGCTGGTCTCTCTCTCTCTCTCTGGTCTCTCTCTCTGGCCTTTCTCCCTGGTCTCTCTCTCTCTCTGGTCTCTCTCTGGCCTCTCTCCCTGGTCTCTCTCTCTTTGGTCTCTCTCTCTCTCTCTCTGGTCTCGCTCTGGTCTCTCTCTGGTCTCTCTCTGGTCTCTCTCTCTGGTCTCTCTCTGGCCTCTCTCCCTGGTCTCTCTCTCTCTGGTCTCTCCCTGGTCTCTCTCTCTGGTCCCTCTCTGGCCTCTCTCCCTGGTCTCTCTCTCTCTCTCTCTCTCTGGTCTCTCTCTCTCTGGTCTCTCTCTGGTCTCTCTCTGGTCTCTCTCTCTGGTCTCTCTCTGGTCCCTCTCTGGTCTCTCTCTGGTCTCTCTCTGGCCACTCTCCCTGGTCTCTCTCTCTCTGGCCTCTCTCTCTGGTCCCTCTCTGGTCTCTCTCTGCTCTCTCCGGCCTCTTCCTGTCTCTTCCTGTGTCTGGTTCAGTCCAGTTCCTCACCACACTCTGGGACATCCTTGTCTTTGTCATGTACAGACCTCCACACAGTTCCACTTAAAATGCTTCAGACACAACATTCATCTTATTAGATAACACCTTTTGTGTAAAAAAAGACTCCTAGGGCTGAGAGCTGTTGGCTGAGTGATGGTGGTCTTCTCTTATTCACTTAAATCTGAAAAAGTCTATCTAAAGATGTGAACCAGGGAAGTGGATTGTTTTGCAGTTTCACTTGTTGAATGTTATGTACCCCAGCTTTATAAAAGAGGTTCTATGTGTGATATAAATAACCAGATACACATTGGTCTTTCATCTTTCCAAATTTCAAATAATGGCTGTGAATTCCATAGTAATAAACACAATGTTTAAAGAAAGACTGTGATGGATTGGATGGTTTTATAACTGACTAACGGAACAAAACAAAACAAATGTTTATTACAAACAGGAGGCAGAAGACCAGGGTCTGGACCAAAGTCATGGCAGGATTTAAGGAGTCTGTTAAGAAATGGAGAAATGTGTTTTTACTAGTGAAAAATGTACGTATATAAGGAGGAGGAAGTTATTACAATGGTCCCAGGCTCAAACAGGGACTGGATCTGGACTGAAGCAGGACTGGACTTGGACTGAAGCAGGAGTGAACCAGGTCTAAAGCAGGACTAAAGCAGGTCTAAAGCAGGTCTAAAGCAGGACTAAAGCAGGTCTAAAGCAGGTCTAAAGCAGGTCTAAAGCAGGTCTAAAGCAGGACTAAAGCAGGTCTAAAGCAGGTCTAAAGCAGGACTAAAGCAGGACTAAAGCAGGTCTAAAGCAGGTCTAAAGCAGGACTAAAGCAGGTCTAAAGCAGGTCTAAAGCAGGACTAAAGCAGGACTAAAGCAGGTCTAAAGCAGGTCTAAAGCAGGACTAAAGCAGGACTAAAGCAGATCTAAAGCAGGACTAAAGCAGGACTTAAAGCTGGAGTACCAAACTTGAACTAAAATCCAGCCATACACAGAAAAGTCACAAAGAGAGGACCACCCTGACTCCACTCTCAGCCCAAAGAGTCAAATAGTGACTAACAGAGCGAAGATAACATGGTTTTTTGTTTTACTTGTGCAGGACTCTTTCTGTTTGGACTCTAAAGTGTTATGTATGAGAGAAACAAAGTCAGGGAGCCCAGCTTGAACCAGGAGTCAGCAGTGAGTGAGTTCTTTCTCTCATTACTGTAGAGAGAAGTCAACCCTGGATCTCACTTCTGTTTTCTCAACAAACAACTTTTTTCCCCAGTTGGGTTTTCCTGAACAGAGAGAGAGAGTGTGAGGCCTCTGCATCAGCATTCTTCACTCATTATTATTTATCATGTGTTCTATGGAGATACTGGATCCTCTGTGTTCTATTATCCTCAAAGTCTGTCTGTAAATATAGATGTAAGCGTAGGACAGGACCAATATCTGGTCAATTCTAATGAGTACAAAAAAAGTGTGGCCTGCGGTGGGGGAGGGAGGAAGAGGTAAGAGTGAATGGAAAGAGAGTGACCAGAAAGACCAGAGAGAGACCAGAGAGGCCAGAGAGAGGACAGAGAGAGACCAGAAAGAGAGAGCAGAGGAAATACTGTATTTTCACAGTATTAATTTGGATTTGTGTACAAAGTATGTACTCTTGATTTCAGTACATTTTGAAGAATTATCAATGAAAGTAGCTCTGGTCTCTCTCTGGTCTCTCTCTGGCTTTTTTCTCTCTGCTCTCTCACTGGTCTTTCTCTGGTCATTTTCTGGTCTTTTTCTGGTCTTATTCTGGTATCTCTCTCAGAAGTGGTCCTCTCTGGTGGGGCAGGGAGGCAGATAAACATGTCTTTGTGAAAAGAAAAACTGCCAGACAGTCTCACTCTTTTCTGGTCTTTCTCAGGTCCCTGTCTCATCTATGAGCTCCGCCTACACCATCACATCAACCAATAGGAGAAATATGGTCTGAAACTCTCTCCAGATGCTCTCAGGCAGGACTCGGACTGGACCTGGACTCGGGCTAGACCTGGACTCTGACCAGACTTGGTCTGGACTCAGTCTTACCTTGGCGAGGCGCGCTCTCTTGATGAGGTCGTTGAGTTTCCTCAGAGCTGCGTTTCGAGGTAAACCCTGAATATCTCTGAACAAATCCTGAGTCTCGGCTTCAAACAGACGTCTGTAAAACATACAAACATCAGATCATAATAATTATAATAGTATTATAAGTTGTAGCTCTTTTCTGAACGCCCAAAGACGCTTCACAGGTCACTATTCATTCACTCCAAACACAGCATGGAAAAACTACTACTGTAGCCACAACTGCCCTGGGGAAAACTGACAGAAGCGAGAAAACCCCTCTGTGCTATCAGCTCCTCCCACCACCACCAGCCATTCACACACACACCGTCAGTGGGTGAAGTGTCTTGCCTAAGGACACAACCACAGTTTGGCACATACAGCCGCAGCCGCCCCAATGTGGCACCTGGAGTTCCCAGATGTCTCCCATCACCGTACTAACCAGGCCCTGCCTTGCTTAGCTTCACTGACCTGTTCTCTGTGTTCTGCAGGGGTTTGGCCCAGAACGAGCCCAGATAAACCCGAGCCACCTCTGGAGTGTTGATCACTTTCCCCAATGACCACATGAGGGCGCCGTACACACGCATCAGCTGCTGCGTGTCCACCTGCGGAGGACAGGTTATTTGTATAGAACAGTTCGTACCCAGTGTGTTAAACAAAACTGTGGCTTTGCATCAGAACCAAGTAGAGGTGAGTAGAGTGGCATAGAGTAGAGTACAGTGGAGTAGAGTAGAGTAGAGTGAAGTATATTTGAATAGCGTAGAGTAGACTAGTATAGACCTCAGTACTGTTCCATAGACTTCAAGACCTGGACCCTCTCTGTTCTGTGTTGTGTGATTTCTTAAAGAAGACAATATGTTGCAGAAGTCTCCATCCCCTCACCTGGTCTCCCTCCCCTCACCTGGTCTCTATCCCCTCACCTGGTCTTCCTCCCCTCACCTGGTCTCCCTCCCCTCACCTGGTCCCCATCCCCTCACCTGGTCTCCCTCCAGTCACCTGGTCTCCCTCCAGTCACCTGGTCTTCCTCCCCTCACCTGGTCTCCATCCCCTCACCTGGTCTCCCATCCCTCACCTGGTCTCCCTCCCCCTCACCTGGCCTCCATCCCCTCACCTGGTCTCCACCCCCTCACCTGGTCTCCATCCCCTCACCTGGTCTCCCACCCCTCACCTGGTCTCCCTCCCCCTCACCTGGCCTCCATCCCCTCACCTGGCCTCCATCCCCTCACCTGGTCTCCACCCCCTCACCTGGTCTCCCTCCCCTCACCTGGTCCCCACCCCCTCACCTGGTCGGCCTTGTTGAGCACCACTCGGATCTTGTCATCTTGTCCTTTGAAGGCGCGGATGGCCTCAGAAAACTCGTCTGAAATGTCCAGTTTGTGAGCGTCAAAGAGGAGGATGATTCTGTCTACGCGCTCGCCGAACCACCGCAGCACCTCCGAGAAGTTGTACCCTGCAAACACAGAAGAAGAAGAAGACGTTTCAGAGACATTTGATGCACTGTGTTAATTAAAAAGTATAATCAGACTGTTTACTTTGTCATTTAATGTTTTAGAACCCTGGTCTCTAGTCCCTGATCTCTGGTCCCTGATCCCTGGTCTTTGGTCCCTAGTCCCTAGTCTCTGGTCCCTGGTCTCTGGTCTCTGGTCTCTGGTCCCTGATCCCTGGTCTCTGGTCCCTGGTCCCTAGTCCCTAGTGGTCCCTGGTCTCAAGTGGTCCCTGGTCCCTGGTCTCTGGTCTCTGGTCTCTGGTGTCATGGTGTGGATTTTATTTCTGTATTTGGTTTTATTTTGACATTATTTTTCTGTGGTTTCATTTCAGTCTTACTTCCTGTCCTGTTGCCGTGGTGATTGTCGGCCCCGCCCTGATGTGTTTCACCTGTGTCTATATGTACCTGTGCTCCTCTCCCCTTGTTGCTGGTTCATTGTATTGTCAAGTCCTGTTCTGTCCTCTTCCTGGTTTCTTTGGATTTTTGAGTTGTGTTTTTACCTTGAACTTTATTATATTAAATCATTATTTTTGCATTCCTGCTTTTGAGTCCTCATTCATCTCACCCCACGTGACATATGGTCCCTGGTCTCTGGTCTTTTGTTTCCCATCTCTTGTTCTCTTTTTTTCTCTAGTCTTGGTCCCTGGTCTCAGATCCTGATCCTGGCCCTGATTTCTGGTTCCTGGTTCTCTGATGCCTGGTCTCTGGTCTGAAGGTGCAGATTATTGCATAACCCCGCTGGTGTCTGGTGACCTCACATATTCCACTTCCTGTCCGACAGGAAGTGCCTGCTGTTTGAACAATGGTACTTCCTGGTTTGAGACGTGTTTGTTTGGGAGGAACTGAGCTGTGGAGTTTGTCCATCAATAACCGCTGGAAAAACAATCAGCTGGAGACGACTTTCTCCTCTGCACTTTTACAGATCCTCATACCAGAAATATAACACTGTTCTGGTCAATATCAGAAGCTAAGCAGTGATGGGTCTGGTTAGTGCGGAGATGGAAGACCTCTGTAACACCCACAGACCAAGGGAGGGCAATATTTTTCAGCGATGGCCAGATTTAAATATCATTCTATAGTGGTTAATGGTCGCTGGTCCCTGGTCCCCTGGTCTCTGGTCTCTGGTTTCTGGTCTCTATTAAAGTTTTTTAACCCAGACTCTTTCTGTTGGGACAAACAACATGTGTTATTTATGAAACAATAAAGTCAGGTACCACAGCTTTAACCCAGACAATATATTATTGCTGCTGTTTTTGTGAGAAGGGTGAAAGAGCAGAGACACTTCTGATTGGTCGACAGAGATGTTTGGAATCTTCTATCGTGGTGAGGAGCTGAACCACATCCAACATTAAAGACTGTAGCTATATCTTTAGCATCTTGATTTGGACATAAGTTGAATGTGTCTGTGACACTTGAGACTTTTGCGTTCAGTGAAACAGGTCAGTGTGAGACTTTGAATAAAACAGCAGCAGGAGCAGAGTCGGGTGACATCACAGAGGCCCTGCCCACTCACAGGTAACGTGGAATAAGCTCCGCCCAATCCCAGGTCCAACTTCATAAAGCAACAAAAAAGAAGCGAAGACAAAGACAAGACAGAAGCAGTGACTAAAGCAGGACTACAATCAGTCTAAAGCAGGACTATAGCAGGTTTAAAGCAGGAATAAAGCAGGACTAAAGCAGGTCTGAAACAGGACTAAAGCAGGTCTAAAGCTGGACTAAAGCAGGTCTAAAGCTGGATTAAAGTAGAACTAAAACAGGACTAAATGCATTTCTAAACCAGGACTAAAGCAGGTCTACAGCCGGTCTATAGGTCTCAGTATTCCTGCCATCGTGCTGTGACAGTGTAAGCTGATCTGGGTGTGGTCTGACTCTGGATCAGGACCTCGGTCTGAACTAGGTTTAAAGGGCTTCAACCACAGTATGCCACCCTCACTCAGCCCAAATAATTAAACGGTGACTCACAAGGGTTTGTTTTCACATATTCAAAAGATAATGTTTTCTAATCAGATGGAACCAGCAAGATTTGTTCACAATTTTTGCACAAGATTTGCATGATTCCTCCCTCACCTAGTCCAGTCCTGGTCCAGTCCTTGCCTAATCCTGGTCCAGTCCCTGTGATCTGGGTCCGGCCCCGGATGTGTTGACTGAGGGAGGATCCTGGTGTCAACACTTAGTCTTTACAGTCAACAGATCTGACATTAAGCCCACGTCACAATTCAGCTGCCGGATTAGTCTTGGTGTCAGCCCTAGTCTCTGTCCTGGTCCCTGTCCTGGTCTCTGTCCCATGGTCTCAGTGATGGTCTCAGTCCTGGTCTCGGTCCAGGTTTTGGTCCTGATCTTGGTCCTGGTCTCTCTCATACAAATACACTCATGCTACAGATGTATGCACTAGAACACTACACTAGAATATAATGAATGAATGTTTTTTTATTTTTGGTTGATCAACCAAAAATAAAAAACCATTCATTCATATACAGTATTTCATTCTTCTATATTTTGCTAAAGTTAGAGACGTTACATTATTTTAGTTTAGTTATTGTTCTCTTATCTAGAGAGAGACCAGAGAGAGACCAGAGAGAGACCAGAGAGAGACCAGAGAGAGACTAGAGAGGGACCAGAGAGGGACCAGAGAGGGACCAGAGAGAGACCAGAGAGAGACTAGAGAGGGACCAGAGAGGGACCAGAGAGGGACCAGAGAGAGACCATGTCTATAAATGTTGATGTTGACCATAAACACGTGACTTCATTCATTCCCTTCATTTTTTGAAACATTGAAACATTCTGAAACATCTTTCAGGTGTTTTTCACATATCTCTCGGCCTTGAAACATTGTAGCATTGTTTCAAACACATGTAGTTTCTCGAGTCTGGTTCTGTCCTGGTTTTTGTGGACTTTAAATCCAGCGTGAGTCACTTTTGGCCCAGAGTCCGGTTCAGATTCTCCTCTGGGCCTCGTCCCACAGACACACCCTCCTCTCACTACGTTTCCCATGATGCAACAGCATCAAACTCCCTGACCCTAAAGATGACATCACCAATATCAACACAGCAGGAGCAGACAGCAAGAAGGATTAAGAATATTAGGGCTAGACCAGGACTAGATTAGACCAGGACTAGGCCAGGGCTGGACTTGTTCTAGAGAGCGGCTTCAGTGACAGACTGATCCACCCTCGCTGTGTAGAGGAGAGGTTCTGCAGGTTTTTCGCTCCCGCTGCGTCAGACTGCACAACAAACAACGAGGACTAACAAACACTGCCGACCCGACCTCATATATTCTGTGCAATAAATAATGTCAGAATGTGCAATATGAAACCATGTGTGTCCCAGAGCCTCCTGCTAATGGCATGTGCAGATGCAAACACACAACTATACATGTATATACAAAATATATACAAAATATACAGGATTTTACACCTGCTTCTTTACTACGCTTAATCAGATATTTTGGATTATTACAAAGCTCGAGATTTATAATTGTCTTTTTTTTTATGCTAAAGTTAGAGATTTTATTTTAGCATAGTTTTGTTAGTTTTTTCATTCCTACTGTTCTGTAGCTCTCCCACTGTCAACACAGCGTTTCAAGGCTTTGATTTTTTATTTCTTTTTTTGAAGTGGACGTATCCCAGGGGCCACAGGAGCCACAGGGGCCTGGAGTCTGAATGTTCATGTTCGTTCTTCTTTAAGTTGGATTTAAAGCGGGTTCAGAGGCGTTGGTCAAAGTCTGAACATTTCAAACTGGCATCTTCTCTCTGTCATTAGAGCACCGCCCAAACCCACACTGCAAGTCCTGTTCCAGTCTAAACCAGGACTGAACCAGGACTAAACCAGGACTAAACCAGGACTAAACCAGGACTGAGCCAGGACCAAACTCGGACTGAACCAGGACTAAACCAGGTCTGAACCAGGGCTAAACCAGGACTGAACAAGGACTTAACAGAACTAAACCAGGACTAAACCAGGTTTGAACCAGGCTAAACCAGGACTGAACTAGGACTAAACAGAACTAAACCAAGGCTGTACAAGGTATGAACCAGGTATGAACCAGGACTAAACCAAGACTAAACCAGGACTAAACCAGGACTAAACCAGGGCTAAACCAGGACTAAACCAGGGCTAAACCAGGACTAAATCAGGGCTAAACCAGGACTAAATCAGGGCTAAACCAGGACTGAACCAGGACAAAACCGGGTCTGAACCTAATCCTGAACCAGTAAAATGAGAAACTGGTTGGATGTAAATTTCTAGTTGTTTTTGAACTGAACTGTTGCTGCAGTGAACTTGTTCTGGATCCAAACCAGGACCTACAGAACAGGGCATGGGTCTGGTTATGAACCAGACTACAGCACGACCAGGTCTGATTTGTGACCAAGTCTGGTTCTGAGCTGTTCCATATGCAGACACACCCCTTAGTCACTTCCTCTGCAGCAAAATGGTGACGCAAATGACAAAAAACCAAATGGGACTGAACCAGGATTGAACCAGGACTGAACCGGGACTGGACCGGGACTGGACCGGGACTGGACTGGGACTGGACTGGGACTGAACACACGTGCACACTCGCCTCATGTGCACACTTTCCTCACGTGTACTAACCGGATGTATCGCTGCGTCTCCATCTTGTCTCTTATTTCCTGTTTTCCTCCTTCTGTTTCCTGTCCAATAAATCTGACTTTAAAACCAGTTCTGAAACTTAAACTTCCTCAAAGATTTCTGACTAAACCAGGACTAAACCAGGACTAAACCAGTTCTGGAGTTGGTCTTATATTGCAGTGAGAGTCAGTGCAGCTCCTGTCTGGACCTGTTCCTGCTGAATCAGGAGACGCCGCAGGTCTGATTTTACATAACACAAATCAGGCTCTTAATGTGATAGTATGTAACTCTAAATGAATTACATTACAATTGTATTAAATTGACCTCCTGGCCTTAAATGTTGATAAAGAATAAGTCATTTTTATTAATTCTAATATTACGGGTAAGTCCCGCCTTCCCTTCTCTTAGCTATAGCTCAGAATCCACGATGCCGTCGAAGTTAACCAATCGAGTCATGCCAAGGGCTGTCAATCATCGGCGCTGATGTTTGTAGCTGCGCACATGCTCAGTTGTTTGTGTGTAACCCTAACCCTAACCCTAACCCTCCGATTAGGCTCTGGAACTACGTGAAAACTGAACAAAGAATTCTGAACATCCAATTATATACTGAACCTATATCCATAATCAGATCCTCTGCAGGTGTATCCTATAATGTGCAATTCATATGAATAGCTTCTTCCAGGTTTGCCGCAATCGCTTTTTTTGTGCATTAAAACATTATTTTTTTCATGAAAACTTCACAAATAATTCTGAAAACCTCCTTGCATGTGTATTAATAATGTATATGTATAATGTGTTCTCCCATTAACATTTAAATGTGTTACGGAAACGTAGGTGTAGACCAATCAGAAAGGAAGGGGGAGGGAGCTTGCGTCGTTTTTTTCAAATCAAGTACGTCTCTGTCTCTTTCTGACAAACTCCAGACAATCACTTTAACCTGATAGTTGCTAGTTTCCTCCAGACAGACTTTTATCCATGGATTGTATAAAGATGGACGATGCTAATCCGCTAGTGTGTGTGTGTGTGTGTGTGTGTGTGTGTGTGTGTGTGTGTGTGTGTGTGTGTGTGTGTGTGTGTGTGTGTGTGTGTGTGTGTGGGCGTATGTGTGTGTGTGTGTGTGTGTGTGTGTGTGTGTGTGTGTGTGGGCGTATGTGTGTGTGTGTGTGTGTGTGTGTGTGTGTGGTTGTATGTGTGTGTGGGCGTATGTGTGTGTGTGTGTGCTTGATTGTGTGTGTGTGTGTTAAACAGACCTCTGCTGATGCGTTGCTTCTCTCCAGACAGGATCCCTGGAGTGTCAATGATGCTGATGCTCTGGAGAACCTGGTTATTCATCTGAGAACAGATAAACCTGAACAACAAACACACAAACACACACACACACACACACACACACAAAAACACACACAGAGTGAATGGATGAATGAGAGACACTTTCAAACATGAAAGAAATTTCCATCAATGTTTCTTTTGCTATGTGTTTTTTCCTGCTGCATTCAACTCAAAGAATTGGCATGTATCTCTCTCTCTCTGTACACGGTGGTGACAAACTCATTTTGGTCCAGGTAAAGGGTAACAGCTGATCAGGGACTGAATAAAAGTGTACATTTATTTTTGAGAGACTTACTTTCATCTAACAATAGATTGGATATTATTTTTTGGAGAGTTACTGATAGACCAACGATGGTTTCATTTACTTATATCTTATTGGGTTCAAATAGTTGTTTTCTTGTGACATTTAGCTCTTAACTTAAGTGAGGTTTAACAGGTCTGGATGCTATGGCAACATTTTGCCATCAATGCAGCAAGTTTAATGTTTGAAAATCAGTTCAGAGGCCACAGAGGCGGGGTTTTCAACATCTGCAGACGGCGGCGGTGAACTTTTCAATAACCACTGCTCCTCTGACCTCCACCAATCACTGAGCCTCCAGGCCTCATTTCCACTGCGCAAATAAACGGAACTGTAGAACAAAAACTTTGGGACACTTCTTTCATGCAGACTGTGGACACGAGCTGTCAGAACGACATTTAACCTGCCATATAGCGAGGAGATATTATTGAAGATATGATATTGATGTGAAAAGTCTCATTTTAAAGATCATCATCATATTTATATAAGTGCTGGGTAACATTTTCCTTTCCCTCCACAAGAATAAATGGGGCTCCCAGACAATCTAAAGAACATGGCAACATTCACAACTTTTCTCGGCCTTTGAAGAACTGGCTCTTGCAGCCGCAGTCCTGTGCTTACAGTAACAGACGGGTATTTGGCCATCGGATAAAAACCTCGTGGGTATCATTCGATGGCTGCCAGACCATAGACGGTTATCTTGCTTTCAGTCACTGTACCGTTGGGAATGATAATCAGACAAAACCTTCATGGTGCCTCTGATAGCCATTGTTCTTTATTTGCTTGAACATTTTATCACACTTCAAATATCTTGCTGCTAAATACTGTTTTGTAACTCTGTGTTGCACTTTATACCAGTCATTTGCACATTTTCCATTTGCTGCTAAATGTTAATTATTGTGTATCCTGCACATTGTGACTTGCGACTGTTACTATGTGGGTAACTTTTTATTGAACTGCATTATAGTTAGAAACCTGCACTTTTTATTTGAATTGTTTGTTAATACGCAAATCCATGTTGTATCGTCAAGGAGTACAAATGAAAAGTAGAGGTGCTAAATCGGGTCCAGCCATCTTTTTAATGTAACTGCACATTGTCCTTAAAGAATTAAACTTAAACTTGAATGCTTGTAGTACAGTTGTATTGATACTTTACAACCCCTCTCCTCTGTCCTTTGCTCCTTGAGTTCAGACTCAAATCACACGAGAGGCAACTGTTTGCGTTCCCTGTCAAACACTTCCTCCATCAACAGGAAGTCACCTCCGACCGCAGCCGCCATGTTTAAATTTAAAATCCTGTGTTTCCTGTTTCAGAAATACCTCGAAGAAAAAGCAGGAGCGCTCAGACTAAAGTGTTTTTAAAGGCACAGGGGGGAACCTTCAGAGTGTGGCTCGTTTCCGGGGGAAGCTGAGAGTGCGTCACGCAACTATCGCTCCTGGACAAGACGCTCTTCGCACAGATTTATGAAAACCTAAATTTAACCAAAGCGAAGCGCAAAAAACAAGTAGCTCAGAACATTCCATAAAGATAGATCTGAGTCTTATGTCATCGGTGGAAGCTGCTGAAGAGGGAGTGGCCAAGGAACCACTTTACTATTGTTCTGTTCAGCACTTTTGGTTGCCTTGTGTATGAACTGTGCTATACAATTAAACTTGTCGTGCCTATGTGCTCTCAGTGAGAAAGGACTTCTGTTTCTGTCTACTCAAAGAATGATAATCAAGACACAGACAGACCGGGATGTGTAAATGTATTCGTCCACATGAAGCTGAAGACGAATCCAATTAACATGAGTACAGTGTAGGGGCCAGGCCTAAGGGGGCGCTGTTTTAAGGCTGAGGCAGGAAGCACTAGATCAGACAAATCAGACAACACACCTGCCTCTTCTCCCTGCTAATGAAGGAACAAAACAACAACGGTGGCAGCACGGTGGCTGAGTGGATAGCACTCTCGCTTCCCAGCAAGAAGGTCTTGGGACCCTGTTCCCGGTCGGAACAGGTCGGAACAGGGTCTTTCTGAGTGGACTTTGCATGTTCTCCCCGTGCCTGCGTAGGTTTTCTCCGGGTACTCCGGTTTCCCCTAACACTAAAAACATGCTCACTAGGTTAAATCCTCCAGCTCCAGTGGTGCTGACCAAGCCGAGTATCAACATCTGGAGATGGGTTCCTGGTTGCTGTACTACGGCAACCACTGCTCCTGACGTAAGCCTTAGTGGCATCAGGATGGGTCAAATGCAGAGGATGAATTGCCCTTCGGGGATTGATAAAGTGCACCTTTACCTTTACCTTTACAACAGGAGCGCAAACATTAGAAATGAGGAGAAACATTAATAAAAACTCTGGTTCTCTTATCTTATCTTATTTATTTGTTTATTTCAGGAGGATGAAGACACGAGAGAGACACCAGAGAGAGACTAGAAAGACCGGAGAGAGATTAGAGAGACCAGAGAGAGACCATAGAGACCAGAGAGAGAGACCACAGAGACCACAGAGACCACAGTAGTGGTGAGGATCACAGACCTGTTCAGAAAAGAGTTCCCGAAGGCGTTGAGTTTCCTGAAGGGTTTCTTGGGGTCGACGACAAGGGCGTTGCCAGGGACGACACCCTCGTTGTCTCCGTACATCACAGCAATGAAACCATCGGTGGTCGGCTCTGGTCCGATCCTCATCCCAGGGAAGTCCTGCTCCAACAGGTACCTGAGGATAGAGAGACAAGGGCTGATCAGAGACCAGAGAGAGACCACAGAGAGAGAGCAGAGAGACCAGAAAGAGAGACCAGAGAGATACCAGAGAGAGAGAGAGATAAACATGTCATTGTACAGTGCAGCCAGAGTGGCCCTGAGGCAGACTGAAGCCAGGCTTTCGATCTGTGCCATTAGCCTCATGACAACATGCAACTTTACAGACAGAGGAGGATTTTACTAATTTGAGGAACGTCCTGTTCTGTTTTTTAAACTTGTTACTCTTCGAAGGTGGAGTCCTGGACCTTTTGATCGATCGAGGAACATAAATATCTGATACCATTGTTTTCCATGAAGAATGAGGAGCATTGAGAGCAGCCATTTGAAATACAAACTAAATCATTCCTGTGGAGAAAAGGTTTTCAACAAGCGGCATGAGAGAGGAAGCTGAAACACAAAGAGACTGTTCTACCTCAGGTCAGACGCACAGATGGCAATGCTAACAGGCTAGCTCAATGACGTCCAAAAGGGAAGTGCTCATGGACAAAGTTTAGCGCTCTGTGATCATTTATGGACAGTTATTAACATTTATGGACATTGGTCATTTGTCCATAGTTCTATCTGTTTTAATATTATCATTGCATTTCCAGTGTTTGAACGGTTTGATTCTCTGACCTGTGTTAGCAAATCAACAGCTTTGTAAAGTCCTCAGAGATAACTGTCGTGATTTAGGGCTATACAAGAACACATTGATTTGAATAATCCTGGTGTTTATATTTTGACTCTATTTTTGCAGGGAAACTCCAGCTTGTCTTTGCAACAGGTCTGGCTCTGTTACAGCGAGAAGCTAACGCCGAGGAAGAGATTGATCTGGGGTTGAGACTAGAGAGAGTGACCAGAGAGAGATCAGAGAGACCAGAGAGAGAGAGACTAGAATGAGAGAGACCAGAGAGAGACCAGGGACCAGATAGAGACCAGATCCAGAGACCAGAGAGAAATAGGCAACTGGCTCAAGCTTATGTTAAAATCAGCATCTTCTGCATTGAGGCTAACACTGTGGTGGTGTCACACTGTGGTCAAAAGAGATGTTCCAAGACAGAGACATGTAAACCTTAGCTCTCAGGTCACCTCATCTCAGACCTCTGTGGGACCCGTTTGTTGTGAAAATCATAGGGAAAGTGAGAAATGGGGGAAGGAATAGCATGTCACACACTTCCTGTTTGACCAGAACTTCAGAGAGAAGTCGTTTGGACATGTTTGTTTGTTCTGGGGCCAAGAACAAAACACAAGAGCCACTAAAGACCAGAGCAAAGTGAGAGTAGAGAGGGAACAGAGAGATGGACCAGAGACCACAGGGAGAGGCGAGAGAGACCAGAGAGAGACCAGAGAGGGACCAGAGAGGGACCAGAGAGGGACCAGAGAGAGAGGAGAGAGAGAGAGGGACCAAAGAGAGACCAGAGAGAGACCAGAGAGAGACCAGAGAGGGACCAGAGAGAAAGGAGAGAGAGAGAGAGGGACCAAAGAGAGACCAGAGAGAGACCAGAGAGGGACCAGAGAGGGACCAGAGAGAGAGGAGAGAGAGAGAGGGACCAAAGAGAGACCAGAGAGAGAGGAGAGAGAGACCAGAGAGGGACCAGAGAGAGAGGAGAGAGAGAGGGACCAAAGAGAGACCAGAGAGAGACCAGAGAGAGACCAGAGAGGGACCAGAGAGAAAGGAGAGAGAGAGAGGGACCAAAGAGAGACCAAAGAGAGACCAGAGAGAGACCAGAGAGAGACCAGAGAGAGGAGAGAGAGAGAGGGACCAAGAGAGACCAGAGAGAGAGGAGAGAGAGACCAGAGAGGGACCAGAGAGATACCAGAGACGGACCAGAGAAACCAGAGAGGGACCAGAGAGAGACAAGAGAGGAGAGAGACCAGAGAGGGACCAGAGAGAGACCAAAGAGAGACCAGAGAGCGACCAGAAAGAGACCAGAGAGAGACCAGAGCGAGACCAGAAAAGGGCCAGAGAGAGAAAACCCAGGGAGAGACCAGAGAGAGAGAGAGAGAGAGAGGGGAGAGAGAGTTTCCGCCATGAATAAAGGCCTCTGATTGGCCAGTCCATTGTGGTTTCACAAAGACACAATCTCACAATACAAACACCAGGATCACAGAGAACGATAAACCACAGATTTAAGCCCAAAATGGTGAGTGTGATGTGGTAAATACTCTATGTGGCCTACTGGGTTTCCACAAACGCTACTGAGCTAGAGGAGTTTACTTTTACATGGAAGTCAAAAGGAGCCAGAGAGAGGAGCCAAACTTCACCATGAGCACTTCCCTATCGTGCATCATTGAACGACTAGAAACAGCCTCTGGTGCAGACTCAGCCTTCTCTGAGTTGTGCAAATGGAGAAGGTCCACTTTCACTTCTAGATTTACACGGACGACTTCTCCAAATACTTTCATTTAGTTTGTATTGAAACATAATTAGATAAAGTCGTTTGTTTGAAGATATTCGGATCCATAACACATTCACAGAACATTAATTAGACTGAACTTGTTTCAGTGTACAATTCACTACATTATATTTGTATTACACAATATTCTTTCTTCATCTTTATCTGGCCCAGTCCTGCTCCAGTCTTGGTTCAGTCTTGGCTCAGTCTTGGTTCAGTCTTGGTTCAGTCCTGGCCAAGTCCTGGTTCAGTCCTGGCTTAGTCCTGGTTTAAACCTGGTATATTTTTGTGTTCATTGAGGAAATCTTGGATGAAATGTGGACTAAAGGTCGCCCCTGAACCCAGAGGAAAGAGAGGGGTTTAGAGCTGAGCATGTGACACACACCAGACTCTGAGAATGTGAGAGCCTAAAGCCGGTCTGAGGCTGGTCTGAACCAGGACTGGACCAGGACTGGACCCAAACAGAACCTGGACTGAACCCGGACTGTACCGGGACTGGGCCGGGACTGAACCGGGACTGTACTGGGACTGAACCGGGACTGGACCGGGACTGTGCCGGGACTGGACCAGGACTGGACCAGGACTGAACCACAACTGAACCAGGACAGGACCAGGACTAGATCAGGACTGGACAACCTGTTACTAGAGCACAGGGACTGGCCTCCTGCTGGGACTCTGAGGAGCACAGGGACTGGCCTCCTGCTGGAACTCTGAGGAGCACACGGACTGGCCTCCTGCTGGGACTCTGAGGAGCACAGGGACTTTGCTATAACTGTGCATGAATGGCGCTATACAGAAACAATTTGCTGGTCCGTCTGTTTCTCTTGAGTTTTGCCTCATATGGTCTGAAGGGGAAACATGTGTGTAATGGGTCCAAACCCAGAGTTGGACCAGAGTGGAACCAGGACCGGACTATGTGAGGTTTATCAAAGTCTGAGTCTGATAACACTGTAATAACGTGAGGCTAATAATAGATTGATCTGAGCCTCACTGTGGAGTCCTGGTTCAGTCCTGGTTCAGTCCTGGTTCAGTCCTGGTTTGTTTCTCTCACAGTGGAAATATGCAAATAGACAAACATACAGAATGCTGCTGTTGTGACAGATAGGATTCTAATACAGATCTGTTTAATTTTCTGTGAAATATATATATATTTTTAAACAGAGTTGTGATTTGAAACTGAATCAGAATCTAAACTAAAACAAATGTAACGTATAAATGATGTGGTTTTTAACAACGTAACAACTGCCACATGTTACAGAAGTACAACTGTGTAAGAGAAGATTAATGTGTGGTAATATGGTCCGTGCCAAGTCTGAACCAGGTCTGAATGAACCAGGACTGAACTAGGTCTGGCTCTGGTCTGAACCAGGACTGGTTTATCACACATTAATCTTCTCTTACACAGTTGTTACGTTGTTAAAGATCATCATATTTTATAAATGTACGTTACATTCATCCATTTTGGTTTGATTCTTATCAAATATAAAAATACAAAACTGTATTTACAGTCAGGTACAACAACACAGAGGATATTTCTGTCGTTTGCTATGACGCCTATTACAATATACAGAGAAATATACTCCCAACAAAGACTCATGGCCATCAATAATAATAATGATTATTATTATTAGTATTATTATTATTATATTGTATATAAGATAATAAGATATATTATTTGATGGCATTAATTATTATTATTTATTATTCAGTTTTACAATTAATCCGACAACTCCATAAATCTGAAAATAACAGTACCAGGATTGAACCAGGTCTTAACAAAGTCTGAACCAGTACTGAACCAGGGTCAGGTCTGGACCTGGACTGAACCGAGACAGAGCTAGGACTGAACCAGATGTAATAACTATATTTCTGGTCTGCACCTAAACATAACAATCATGGTGCCATCTCTCTCCTCCACCTCCTCCACCACCTCCGTTGCCTCCGCGGGGCGTCTCCTCTCTCGTACCCACCTGATGAACGTGGTCTTCCCGGTGGAGTACTGTCCCACCAGCAGCACCATAGGTTTGCTCTGGAAGTCCGCAGCCTCCAGAGCGGGAGAGTGAAAGTCATGGAACAGATAAGTCTCCTCCAGCGGCAGCAGCTTCTTGGTGTAGAGCGTCTGCAGCCCCTCTGTGACCGTGGCGTACATGTCTCCCTCCTTGACGCGGCCTCCCTGCTCCTGTTTGGCCCAGCTGAACATGTCTGCGCCGCGGCGTGAGCCTCCTCTACAGCGGACTCAACTTCTGCTTTTCTCCCCCCTCTCTCCCCCAGGCGCTGCTGCTGATGCGGGCTGTCCTGTGCCGTACTGTGGTGTCCCGGGCCGGAGTGCGCTTGTTCCGCTTTTAGGGCGCGTCAAAGGAGCGGAGTGAGCGCGCGTGGAGGAGAGCGGACACTGAGGGCTTTGTGCACGAGCCCGGGCACCATGCACGCGCAGCAGGAGGTGGGTGGTACCTGAGCGCGTCACACCTTCACCTCTGTGCGTGTGTGTGTGTCTTTCTCTCTCTCTCTCTACTCTACTCTACTCTACTCTCTCCCCTGATTTGGAGTTTCCTTTGGTCCTGTTTAACCAGTACCAGGTCCCTCTGAGTCCTTCTTGGTCCTGGTTCTGTCCAGGCCGAGCTGGTACCATAGACTGTAAGCTGGTAAGTGTTCTAACTGGCACTGGTTGGCCAGAGTGCGAAGCCATGGTTTCCTAAGAATTTCCCCAGATAATGGTTTGTTGTGGGTACAATACACACACACACGCATAGACACACACACACTCACACAGAGACACACACACACACACACATAGACGCACGCACGCATATACACACACACACGCACACACACACAGACACAGACATACAGACACAGACATACAGACACAGACACACACACGCAGACACACACACACGCACACACACACACACACAGACATACAGACACAAACACACACACAGAATCGAGTTAGAGGACAATGAGAATGATGATGTTTCTGATTGGATTCTCTGCTTCTGTCGAAACAAGCGTCACAGACAAACTGCTTCATCATTCACGGATGTCAGTCTTTGTATTCTTTATGTTTGCAAACCTCTGTTTTATCTCTGAGCAACACCTCCTCTAATGTAGTCTAAAAATACTTACTTTCACCAGGATCTGCCTCGTCTGATGTTTTAGGACCTACAGCATTGAGCTATCAAAAATAAATAATACTCTCTTTGTTTATTTGATTTGTTCATTTCTAAATCCTTTGGCGAGTCTGAAAGAGGAGGTGAGCTTCTGCTCCACCTGCTCCTCCTGCTGCTTCTGCTCCACCTGCTCCTCCTGCTGCTTCTGCTCCACCTGCTCCTGCTGCTGCTTCTGCTCCACCTGCTCCTCCTGCTGCTTCTGCTCCACCTGCTCCTCCTGCTGCTTCTGCTCCACCTGCTCCTGCTGCTGCTTCTGCTCCACCTGCTCCTCCTGCTGCTTCTGCTCCACCTGCTCCACCTGCTCCTCCTGCTCCACCTGCTTCTCCTGCTGCTCCTGCTGCTTCTGCTCCACCTGCTCCACCTGCTGCTTCTGCTCCACCTGCTTCTCCTGCTGCTCCTGCTTCACTTGCTCCTCCTGCTGCTCCTGCTCTACCTGCTCCTCCTGCTCCACCTGCTCCTCCTGCTACTTCTGCTCCACCTGCTCCTCCTGCTGCTTCTGCTCCACTTGCTCCTCCTGCTCCACCTGCTTCTCTGCTCCTGCTCCACTTGCTCCTCCTGCTCTACCTGCTCCACCTGCTCCTCCCGCTCCACCTGCTTCTCCTGCTGCTCCTGCTTCACTTGCTCCTCCTGCTGCTCCTGCTCTACCTGCTCCTCCTGCTCCTCCTGCTCCACCTGCTCCTCCTGCTGCTTCTGCTCCACCTGCTCCTCCTGCTGCTCCTGCTCTTCCTGCTCCTCCTGCTCCACCTGCTCCTCCTGCTGCTTCTGCTCCACCTGCTCCTCCTGCTGCTTCTGCTCCACTTGCTCCTCCTGCTCCACCTGCTTCTCTGCTCCTGCTTCATTTGCTCCTCCTGCTCCTCCTACTGCTCCACCTGCTCCTCCTGCTCCACCTGCTTCTCCTGATGCTCCTGCTTCAATAAGTTTTTATTCATATAGAGCACTTTACAAAGCTGTGAACTGTTCTCTGTTGCTGCTTTCATATTGAGGTCTCTCTGACGCAGACATGTCAAATTCAGGCCCACGAGCCAAATCGGCAAGACCATATACAGTGGCCAAAGGTTTCAAACTTATTAACAAATATACAATATTATGTTGCAGCATTCATGGTATTAGGCTGCCATGGCATGTTTTACATTTTTAAAGCTAATTTTCTCTGAAAAGCAAAAGAAAAGCGTATTATTTTATTCATTCAGAAACGTTAAAGGTACACTGTGTAGTTTTTACTCCCATCTAGCATTGGGGTCATGTACTGCAGTCCATGGTACTACGGAAGACTTTGTTGGACAATATGTCGTCTTTGACAGTGCTCCCCACCGCTCAGTCATTCACTGGGCCGCCAAGGAGAGAATCCTTTAGTTTGATAAATGACCGCATCTCTCCAAACGTCTCCGGCACTTGACAGTCGTAAGGCGACATGTAAATAAGACTACATTCTGAAGCGACACCCTGCACAGGGAGGCTCTATGATTTTACACATTTGTTATTAGTTCATTTATTTTTATTTTAAATCAACATGTGATATATTTTTCAAAAATTACTCATCAGTTTTTAAATTTTCTTACTATTTGTTGCTGTTGTTTGAACTAAACACTATTATGTCAATCCACAGTAACTGAACTCATCTATCGAATGTGAAAATCATGAATGTGAAAGTCATATGTCAAAATACCTTAATCATGTAAAAGATACTTTAATAAAAGATTTTATACTTTTGGCCCCAACCAGCCCTGACAGGTTTTATTCGGCCCTGAACCAAACCAAGTTTGACACCGCTGCTCTAAAGGATCCTAAAAACAGTCATTCATTTTGTGTGTTGACACATTTCCTGTTAGTCAAAAATAAATTGACATAAAAAGCTAAGGTCAGGTGACTGTGGGATTCGGAAGCAGATTCGAATGACACAGATGTGGTTTGGTTTGTAAAGTTTGTTCAGAGTGAGTTTCCACCTGTCTGTGTATGATGCTGCCCTCTGCTGGTTTGATGCGGGAAGTGCAGCAGACACCTGTGGGACTCTAACATGTCCACAAGAGGGAGACAAACAGCCACAAAAAGTGACTTGTCTCTGGCGTCACTGAATTATCTAACGCCAAATGAGGCTGAGGTCCAGTGTGTTTTGGGTTCTACATGGCAAGAAAAATAAAACAAAGTAGAAACAATCAGACAAGGCAATACAATAAAAAAGAAAATAATCACAGTGCATTAACAAGAGTGAAGGTATAATCCTTCAGTTGTATGCAGAGCTAAACAGAACTGTTTTAATTGGATTTGAACATTGTTGGAGAAGAAGCATGTCTCACATTTCAGGACGACTGTTCCAGATTTTAGCTGCATAAATCTGAAACACTGCCTCCTTATTTTTAGTTTTGATTCTGAGATCAGCAGGAGCCCAGTCCCTGTGCTCCTCAGAGTCCCAGCAGGAGGCCAGTCCCTGTGCTCCTCAGAGTCCCAGCAGGAGGCCAGTCCCTGTGCTCCTCAGAGTCCCAGCAGGAGGTCAGTCCCTGTGCTCCTCAGAGTTGGGTCGCGGTGGCGGCAGTCTGAGCAGAGACACAGACTTCCCTCTCCACACACACTTCCACCAGCTCCACTTGGGGAATCCTGAGGTGTTTCCAGACCATGAGACACAGTGAAACTTTGCCCCATATGAGATCTGGCTTTTTAAAAACACCACTTAAAGGACAGAATATAAATCTGTCAAATATTTTTTCATTTGATATCAATATAGCAATTCAATAAACACACAGAACAAACCCTAAAAAATCACCACCTCCCTCCAAGAAGCTGCCAAAAGGATGCAATCTAGTGTCGCTAAAACGGTTCCTAAGGCAAACTGGAGTTTCCCTCGTGAATGAAGGCCTCTGATTGGTCAATCCTTATATGGCACCTTGAGCAGCATAAAACTTGACCCTCTGAATACAGAGTTGTGGATTGAGGTGAACCCTGTAAAGACGATCCAAGACAGGTGTTTTGTACAATTGAAGTTTATTGATTTCCACTGATATGTACAAATGCCAAAAACACAGCCTCAAAGCCTCGTGGACAAAAGGGTTTATTGTGATTATAAATAAATATTTTCCACAAACACCAGATTTCCAGATGCCCTTAGGTCCCAGCACTCAGAAAACTCATTAAATAAATGCAAAATACAGCGAGTTCTTCCAGCGATACGTAACAGAGACAGGCTCACTGCAGAAATTATTAATGATGAGGCACTAATTGCTTGAATTGAGTGATTTAACTGTCTTAAAACAAATGTATCAATGGGACAAAGCCATTTAGTCTAATTTCAAGGGAGACATTTCTTGTATCTTTCTAAAACAAGATTATTTTTCTGGTCCCATTGGCAAATCTTGTTCTAAGTCAGAATGTGCTCGAATCACGATCTTTGACGTATGTTCATCACTTGTAGCAGTGCAGCTGGTGTCTTTCTGAAGCAGATTACTTTAAATACACATAAACCGATACAAAACACACGTCTGAGCAGGGGACAAAGGGAAGGAGATCAAAGCAAAGATAAAACTATGAAAAAACAATAGTGACGTTGGATTGTCATAGAATGAGGATCATTAAAGCTGGGGGACCTAGCTCTGTTAAATGTGACTAATACATGTTTCTCTCGACTGAGTCTTGTAAAAAGTAAAATGTCATGAGCAAACACAAGCTGACTCTGACTCTTTGGGCTGAGAGTTGATTGGCTGAGGGACGGGGAGATGTGAAAGACACCAAGCATAATGCATGGGGAGGCACAGTGGCAGAGTGGTTAGCATTCTCACTTCTCAGTAAGAAGGCCCTGGGTTCAAATCCTGGTTGGAACAGGGCCTTTCTGAGTGGAGTTTGCCTGTTCTCTCTGTGTCTGAGTGCACCTGGAGGATGGGTCAAATACAGTGGCACATTTCTCCAACTGGATAAAAACGTGAATCTTGACCCTAAATGAGGAAGCCAGGAACTAGAAACATTCTTCATCATAGAGTCAAAGCTGGTTTTTGAAAGCTACGTACTCCAGCTTTATGTAAAAAAAATACATTAATGCACATGTATAAAGCACACACAACTATCTCAGCACGCAATGTTTTCAACATCAAACGTTGCATGCAGCAAATACAGCCAGGCGGTTGTAAAGTAAGTGCGTTCATCCTAGTAGAGTAGAGTAGAGTAGGGCAGGGTAGGGTAGGGTAGGGTAGGGCAGGGTAGGGCAGGGCAGGGCAGGGCAGGGTAGAGTAGAGTAGGATAGAGTAGAGTAGGGCAGGGTAGGGTAGGGTAGGGTAGGGTAGGGCAGGGTAGGGTAGGGTAGGGTAGGGCAGGGCAGGGTAGAGTAGAGTAGGGTAGAGTAGCGTACGGTAGGGAAGAGTAGAGTAGGATAGGATTGGGTAGGGTAGAGTAGAGTAGAATCAGGCCAAGTAGGGTTGGTGGAAAGAAGTCTAAAGTCTTTGGTCTCTCCCATAGATCTACATGGCTTGGTAGTCTCTGGTCTCTCCTGGTGGGACCAAGACTGTGGTCTCAGAGTGGGATCAGGACTCAGGGTGGGACCAGGACTCAGAACCATGTGAGAGTTCAGTTGTTGTCGTTGAAGTCTCGGCAGATGCCTTTGACGATGCTGGGGATGAAGTCGTGCAGACCGGTGAACTCACGGCTGAAGAACGTGTGAGAGTCTTTAGGTTCTGAGGCCATGTCCCTCAGGTCCTCCAGGGGGGCCCAGGCCACGCCCACCGACACCATTGTCACTCCTAATTGGACCAGAGCACAGAGAGGGAGGACCAGGAGAGGACACAGGTGAGAAGAGGGAGGACCAGGACACACCAGAGAGGAGGGAGGACCAGGACACACCAGAGAGGAGGGAGGACCAGGACACAGCAGAGAGGAGGGAGGACCAGGACACACCAGAGAGGAGGGAGGACCAGGACACACCAGAGAGGAGGGAGGACCAGGACACACCAGAGAGGAGGGAGGACCAGGACACACCAGAGAGGAGGGAGGACCAGGACACAGCAGAGAGGAGGGAGGACCAGGACACACCAGAGAGGAGGGAGGACCAGGACACAGCAGAGAGGAGGGAGGACCAGGACACACCAGAGAGGAGGGAGGACCAGGACACAGCAGAGAGGAGGGAGGACCAGGACACACCAGAGAGGAGGGAGGACCAGGACACACCAGAGAGGAGGGAGGACCAGGACACACCAGAGAGGAGGGAGGACCAGGACACACCAGAGAGGAGGGAGGACCAGGACACACCAGAGAGGAGGGAGGACCAGGACACACCAGAGAGGAGGGAGGACCAGGACACAGCAGAGAGGAGGGAGGACCAGGACACAGCAGAGAAGAGGGAGGACCAGGACACAGCAGAGAGGAGGGAGGACCAGGACACACCAGAGAGGAGGGAGGACCAGGACACAGCAGAGAGGAGGGAGGACCAGGACACACCAGAGAGGAGGGAGGACCAGGACACAGCAGAGAGGAGGGAGGACCAGGACACACCAGAGAGGAGGGAGGACCAGGACACAGCAGAGAGGAGGGAGGACCAGGACACACCAGAGAGGAGGGAGGACCAGGACACACCAGAGAGGAGGGAGGACCAGGACACACCAGAGAGGAGGGAGGACCAGGACACACCAGAGAGGAGGGAGGACCAGGACACACCAGAGAGGAGGGAGGACCAGGACACACCAGAGAGGAGGGAGGACCAGGACACAGCAGAGAGGAGGGAGGACCAGGACACAGCAGAGAAGAGGGAGGACCAGGACACAGCAGAGAGGAGGGAGGACCAGGACACACCAGAGAGGAGGGAGGACCAGGACACAGCAGAGAGGAGGGAGGACCAGGACACACCAGAGAGGAGGGAGGACCAGGACACAGCAGAGAGGAGGGAGGACCAGGACACAGCAGAGAGGAGGGAGGACCAGGACACACCAGAGAGGAGGGAGGACCAGGACACACCAGAGAGGAGGGAGGACCAGGACACACCAGAGAGGAGGGAGGACCAGGACACAGCAGAGAGGAGGGAGGACCAGGACACACCAGAGAGGAGGGAGGACCAGGACACAGCAGAGAGGAGGGAGGACCAGGACACACCAGAGAGGAGGGAGGACCAGGACACACCAGAGAGGAGGGAGGACCAGGACACAGCAGAGAGGAGGGAGGACCAGGACACACCAGAGAGGAGGGAGGACCAGGACACACCAGAGAGGAGGGAGGACCAGGACATAGCAGAGAGGAGGGAGGACCAGGACACACCAGAGAGGAGGGAGGACCAGGACACACCAGAGAGGAGGGAGGACCAGGACATAGCAGAGAGGAGGGAGGACCAGGACACACCAGAGAGGAGGGAGGACCAGGACACACCAGAGAGGAGGGAGGACCAGGACACACCAGAGAGGAGGGAGGACCAGGACACACCAGAGAGGAGGGAGGACCAGGACACACCAGAGAGGAGGGAGGACCAGGACACACCAGAGAGGAGGGAGGACCAGGACACAGCAGAGAGGAGGGAGGACCAGGACACACCAGAGAGGAGGGAGGACCAGGACACACCAGAGAGGAGGGAGGACCAGGACACAGCAGAGAGGAGGGAGGAAAAGGTGTTTTGTTTAAAGAGAACAAACCTCGTCTCTGTGTGGCGAGAGCTGGAGCTCTGACGTCATCGTAGGACTGTCCATCTGTGATCACAATCAGGAAGTTCCTCCCAGGACCAGTCCTCCTGCTGAGAGACCAGACCAGACCAGACTAGACCAGACTAGAACAGATGTGATCTACAGTCTAAACACAGGTCTCTAACGCCACCACACGTTTACAGCCTTTTTCATGATCCGCAGAGTATTCTTCCATAAGTCTGCCTGTCGATCAGCTGTATCAGTACCTGAACTGCTGGTACCTGAACCACTGGTGCCTGAACTGTTCGTAACTGAACATATGGTACCTGGTGTGCTGGTTGCTGGTACCTGAACAGATGGTGCGAGGCGAAGTCGATGGCGGCCCCGGTGGCTGTTCCTCCACTCATGTAGTAGATGTTTGTGAGCGCGCTCAGAACCTGCTGCTTCTCAGAGTGATCAAACAAACCAAACTCCAGACGCTGGTCATAAGTGAACTGCACAGCTCCTAAAGGTCAGAGGGCAGAGGGCAGAGTCAGAGGGCAGAGTCAGAGGGCAGAGTCAGAGCGAGGTCAGAGTCAGAGGGCAGAAGTTAAAATTCAGTGGGCAGAGGGAGGGGGTTGAAGGTCTTGGGGGGGATCAAACCTCTGACCTTCAGGCTCAAAGGAATGACCATCCACCAACTGAGCAACTGTCAAGGGCGACAGTGGCTCAGTTGGAACTTCCTGGTCACACACATGGTCCTGATTCATATTGAGACTGGACTCACCGACTCGAGTTCCTACGTCTGAGATGTCAAAATGATCTGCGATTCCAGCCAGGAAGTGGAGAACCGTCCGGAAGTTCGAGTCTCCCACACTGGACGAGCCGTCGATCAGGAAGCCCAAGTTTATGTTGTTGAAGCAAGTCTTACCTGGAGACAGAGACGCACACATAAACAAGACACACACACAAGCAAGACACACACATAAACAAGACACACATAAACAAGTCACAACCATAAACTAATGACACCCACAACAACTAGAGACACACACATAAACAAGGCACACACATAAACAAGACACACACACAAACAAGACACACACATAAACAAAAGACACACACACGTAAACTAAAGATATACAAATAAACTTGATGCACACACAATCTAAAGATGCATACATAAAGGTGGGGGGGGAGGGGCTTGGAGCACAGGTGAGGAGGGGGCGGAGTTTAGATCACAGGAGAGGGCGGGGCTTACTACAGAGCAGGTTGTCCAGAGTGCAGAGTCGCTGCGTCAGAGTTTTCACGTGTTTGTTGGCGCTGAACCAACTGGGGATCGAGTACGAGAAGTGTCCGTTATCTTTGCACACGGCCTAAACACACACAGGGTTAAGAGACGATCCAGTCCTTGTTCAGTCCTGGTTTAGCCCTGATTTAGTCCAGGTTCAGTCCATGTCCTAGTCTAGTCCTTGTCCAGTCCTAGTCTAGTCCTTGTCCAGTACCTTGCTTGTAAAGTCCTTGTCTGGGACCATGGGCAGTTCGTCCGCTGATGGTTTGGCCACAGAGACCATGAAGACGTTGATACCAGACTCTCGGGCCAGGACCGAGGCCTGGGCCAGATCGTCTGAGGGCCAACCGTCCACCAGGACCAGCAAGACCCGTGGGTGGCCTTTCCGTCCCCCATGGTCCTGAAGGAAGAGGGACTCAGCAGCGTGAATGATGGCCTTCCCTGCAACAAGAACCAGGACTGAACCAGGACTGAACCAGGACTGGACCAGGACTGAACCAGGACTGGACCAGGACTGGACCAGGACTGAACCAGGACTGGACCAGGACTGAACCAGGACTGAACCAGGACTGAACCAGGACTGGACCAGGACTGAGACATTTATCACTAGACAGATCCTCCTTGTCTTCTTTAACTATAGCAACAAACTGGACCAGGACTGTCTATAGTATTATCTATAGTATTAAACTGGACCAGACTGGGCTAGACTGGCCCAGACAGGCCCAGCGCTCCGGGACTGACCCGTGTTGGTGTCCCCTCCGCTGTAGGACACCTCCTTGATGGCGAACAGTAGATCTTTGGGCTGCGTGAAGTTTGAAAGGAGGAACTCAGTCTTTGGATTTCCACTGAGAGAAACAGAAACCTTTAGCACTTCACAAACACACACAGAGGACAGAGGTGCTGGGTCCGGACCTGGCCTGGACCAGAGCCACGTGAGGTCCCGTTGGTCCCACTTTCAGGAACGAGGCCAAACGCACCACAAAGTTCTTCTGCAGATTGAACCGTCTGCGACCGATGTTGTTGGATCCGTCCAGGACCACCACCACGTCCAGCTGGCAGTCTGAGAGAGAGAGAGACGGGGTCAAAGGCCGGAACGTTTTTGGTTTTATATTATATTACTTGTTTTATATTTAAAGAGGATTTTCCAGAAATTTAGGAAAGAACTGCCCTCTCTACTTTCTGAAAAACTGCGAGAGTGGAACGAGACCAGAGAGAGACCAGAGAGACCTGAGAGAGACCAGAGAGAGACCAGAGAGAGCAGAGAGAGACCAGAGAGAGACCAGAGAGAGACCAGAGAGACCAGAGAGAGACCAAAGAGAGACCAGAGAGACCAGAGAGAGACCAGAGAGAGACCAGAGAGAGCAGAGAGAGACCTGAGAGAGACCAGAGAGACCAGAGAGAGACCAGAGAGAGACCAGAGAGAGCAGAGAGAGACCTGAGAGAGACCTGAGAGAGACCAGAGAGAGACCAGATAAGAAAGATCAGAAATGGATTAGAGAGAGATCAGAGAGAAGAAGAACATGACATAGTTGTACACCTTAAACTATTTCACTTCTAATGATTTGTTTTAATGTTGCTTTATTCTTTGCTTCCGTCTCTGCCTCAGTCTCAGTCTCTGTTTCAGTCTCTGTTTCAGTCTCTGTTTCAGTCTCTGTTTCAGTCTCTGTTTCAGTCTCTGTTTCAGTCTCTGCCTCAGTCTCAGTCTCTGCCTCAGTCTCTGTTTCAGTCTCTGCTTCAGTCTCTGCTTCAGTCTCTGCTTCAGTCTCTGCTTCAGTCTCTGCTTCAGTCTCTGCTTCAGTCTCTGCTTCAGTCTCTGCTTCAGTCTCTGCTTCAGTCTCTGCTGACCTTTGTTTCCTCCGTTCAGAGCCTTCTTCACCGCTTTCTTCAGAGACTTTTTAGCTTTGAAAACACAAACATAGCGTCCATGAGAGAAGAGTCCAGAGGAATCCGCTTCCAAATCTGACCCTGCTTTGTCAAAATGGCCGCCTCAGACCTCCATCTGCCGCCTCCTGCTGCGCCTCCTGCTGCGTCTGGAGGTCAGCAGGAGATAGATGCTGCTCTCCTGGACATCAACGGTTTGACAGAGAGTTCAGATGTGTTTCCAGTGGCTCTCTTTGTGACCGTCTGAGCAGAGGGCTCTTCAGGACACTCAAAAACCAGATGGACATTTGTTAGAATCTAATATTTGACTGGATTATTGTGGAGACACTTTGTTCTTATGTCGGAGTCATCACAGCTTCACAAGTTTTCAATTCAAATACATTTACTTTTGTATTGCCCTAAATCACAACAGTAGCTTATAAAGTTGTTGATTCACCAACACAGATCAGAGAATCAAACAGTTCAAGGCCCGAAAAAGCTGCAGATCCAGGACTGAGGCTGTTTTGAGACCCCCTCGGTCTCTCAGCGCCCAGCTCCTCAGATGAAACTCATGGACCGTTAGTAATCACGATCTCGTGGTTGTGGTTGTTACTCAGGACCAGAGATTCAGATTCAATTATATGAAACAATATCTTCTGCCAGAGGTGAGAAAGAGGACTTTGATTGTGATACCTGTAGGTGAAAGTCAGGTCCTGTCAGACTTCTGAAGCTAAGCAGGGCAGAGCCTGGTTAGTACTGTGAGGGGAGACCTCTGGAAACACCAGGTGCTACAGGGGGAGGCTGCGGCTGTGAAGGGACAAACTGTGGTTGTGGTCCTTAGGCAAGATACTTTACCCAAATTACAATGAGTCTGGTGTGTGTGAATGGTTTTTGGTAGTGGGAGGGGCCGATGGCTCTGGCTGGTTGCCCCAGGGCAGCTGTGGCTTCAGTAGTATTTTATCACCACAAGAATAATGACATGTGAAGAGGATTTGAGCGCTGTATAAAACATACGCATTATTATAGACTGGAGGACTATATGGACCATCATTCCCTGTGGGTCTCACCTGGTTCTTCTGCTGGTAGAGCCGTGGTGCTGGTCTGGCTGCTGAACTCCTGCGGCTCCTTCAGCGGCTCTGGACAAACAGAAGGACATGAAGGACAGAGCGAGGGACAGAAAGCAGGAGAGCCCAGACCTACGAGACACGGTGAAGGAGGAGGTCCAGCGGGACAGGTGCTGGGACTGGATCCCGTTTGAGTAGGAGCCCATGTAGCTCTGAGGCCCCTGGATCCTCTTCAGGAGCACGGGGCCCCCAGAGGCTCCAATCAGACCACTACATCAGAGACCATCAAACAGTGTCAGAGTCATTATCGTTATACTGGTGTGGGCTTTAACAGGGAGAAGGTCAGGACTAAAGCAGAGACTGAAGCAGAGACTGGTGTGGAGACTAAAACAGGACTAAAGCAGGTCTAAACCAGCTCTAAAACAGGACTAAACCAGGTCTAAGCCAGGTCCAAGATAGGTCCAAACCAGGTCTAAAGCAGGTCTAAAGCAGGTCTAAAACAGGACTAAACCAGGTCTAAGCCAGGTCTAAGCCAGGTCCAAGATAGGTCCAAACCAGGTCTAAAGCAGGTCTAAAGCAGGTCTAAAACAGGTACCTGTGCACTGCGGCTCCGCACACAGAGGACACTGATGCGAACACTTTGGTCCCGAACACGGACACTCTCCACTGGGCGCAGTCGGTGGGACAAAGGACGGTCTGGTCCTGGTCTTGGTTCAGATTCAGGTCCGCGGCTCGGGTCAGACAGGACACCGCCTGGGCCCCTGCGGTCGAGTCAGGAGAGGAAGGAAAGGAAGTGTGTTTATATAGCGCATCTCAGATAAAACTGCAATACTCAAGCGAGAGACCATGGAGAGAGACCAGAAAGAGACCATAGAGAGAGACCATAGAGAGACCATAGAGAGACCAGAGAGAGAGACCATAGAGAGAGACCATAGAGAGACCAGAGAGAGAGACCATAGAGAGACCATAGAGAGACCAGAGAGAGGGACCAGAGAGAGTCCAGAGAGAGACCATGGAGAGACCACAGAGAGAGATCATAGAGAGAGACCAGAGAGAAAGCATAGAGAGAGACCAGAAAGAGAGACCAGAGAGAAAGACCAGAAAGAGACTCGAAAGAAAGATCAATCAGAGAGGCCAGAGATAGAGACCAGGCAGAGATCAAAGAGAGATACCAGAGAGAGACGAGAAAGAGACCCGAGAGAAAGACCAGAAAGAGAGATCAACATGAGGTACCAGAGATAGACCAGAGAGAGACTATCGAGAGAGACCAACGAAAGAGACCAGAGAGAGCCAGAAAGAGACCTGAGAGAGTAACAAGAGAGACCAAAGAGAAGCGTAATATAAAGAACTACCGACAGTTTTCTATAAACAGTTTCAAACCATTCAAACTCTACTTCTCTCAGACTCGTGACAAACGCCTGTGTCAATTTATTACATCTGTACAATAACTTAATGAGGCCGAAGTCAAATAAATCCAGAGATATTCCATTTGTGAAGCCAGACACTCGACTGTTTGTTTTTGTGGTTTCCAACGGGAGACGATGAGACCACAGTTTATGATCTGAGGATTTCATTACCAGCACTAACGTCAATAGTATCTGTCTGTAAATACTATAAGTGGTTTTCTGAGAGGCAACATTATCCCAGACCCGCGTCTCAGATCTCACATAGTCACAGATTGTCATTCATTCTGGTCTGAAGCGTTGGTTTTTGCGTCCGGGAGATTTTTGTGAAGTGGAACCAAACCAAATACGAGCTAGTCCCGTTTCCCGCGGCGACGGAGACAAGGCCACACATCAAAGAGAGATTTACACTGAGGCTTTTCCTGCTTCACTACACCCAGAATCACTCTCTCTTCTCTCTCTTTCCTCTCTCTCCTCTCTCGCTCTCTCTCCTCTCTCTCCTCTCTTCTCTCTCTCTCCTCTCTCTTCTTTCTTCTCTCTCCTCTCTTTCCTCTCTCTTCTCTCTCTCTCCTCTCTCTGCCTTTCCTCTCTCTCCTCTCTTTCCTCTGTCCACTCTCTCTTTCCTCTCTCTCCTCTTTTTTCTCTCTCCACGCTCTCTCTCCTCCCTCTCCCCTCTTTATTCTCTCTCTCCTCTCCCCTCTCTTTCCTCTCTCTCCACTTTCTCTCTCCTCCCTCTCCCCTCTTTCTTCTCTCTCTCTTTCTCACTCTCTCCTCTCTCTGCTCTCCCTCTTCTCTCTCTCCTCTCTCTCTCTTTCCTCTCTCTCCTCTTTTTCCTCCCCATCCCCACTTTCTTCTCTCTCCCCTCTCTCCTATCACTCTCTCTCTCCTCGTTATCTCTCTCTCTTTCTCTCTCCTCGCTCTTTCTCACTCTCACTTTCTCTCTCTTCTCTCTTCTCTTGATCTCTCCTGAAGGTCAGTTTTGCGGCATGTGTCTTGGATTATAAACTTTCTGGGAGCAGAATAGTGTTTTTCTCTCGACCTGTCAGTTCTGTTGGAGCAGAGTGAGTCTCTCTGACACAGGTTCAGTCTGAGCAGATTATTCACAAGAGTTTAAACCAATAGCATCCAGTTGTAGAGAGGAATCCATATGTGTCTCAAGAACTGTCCATTCAAATACAAAGAACATGTACACACTGTTGGCAACTGATTTTGACACTATTTACCTTGTCATTTCATGTTATAGAATGTGGAATAATATCTCCAGTGGAAAATATGTAGAGAAACAAGTATGAAGGGTATAAAAGAGACTAGAGAGAGACTGGAGAAAGAACTGGAAGAAAGCGAGATCAGAGAGACCAGAGAGAGACCAGAAAGAGACCAGAAAGAGACCAGAGAGAGAAATTCTTTAGATGTTTCCAAATTTGAAAATTATCGGCTGCAAACAGACATGTGATTGTAAAGAACGTCAATTTATCTGAGGAATAAACTAAACTAATTCAGGGACAATACTTTTGTTTTAAAGACTGAAAATTCTTCTGAGCGTGATGTCATAGTGATGTCATGGTGATGTCATAGTGATGTCACAGTGGTTGCCGCAGCAGAAACCAGAGAAACATGAAATACGTGTGTACAGTAGATGAAAGAGTGTGAAGTACTGACCGCTGGACGGAGCACAGAGGGCCGAGGGCATCAGGGTCGCCGCTGTGGACACATCAGGCACATGAGAACATTCTCTCTAGTTTCTGCACTGAAAGAATAACAATATATGTTTTATATTCTCTCAAACACAGAGGTGATTAACTATTGTACCCACAGCTTCCCTGGGGCACACGGACAGAAGGTATATTATAGATACATGTTCATTTCACTACAATGAACATGTATCTAACTGGATCTAACTGAAAGATCTCAGCTCCTGTGGACTCACCTCCTGTGGACTCACCACCTGCAGGAGGATCAGTGAGGGGCTGGTGCTCTGTGACTGGGTGCAGCTCTGACTGCCACCCCCCCCGACCCAGAAATGGATTAAGGGGAAGAAAATGGGTGGATGGATGGATGTTCTGGATCTACAGTTTCAGTCCTGGATCTACAGCCTCAGTCCTGGATCTACATACAGGAGGGGTCTCAAACCGGTTCCAGAAAGGGCCATGTGGCTGCAGGTTTAAAGCCTAGCGTACATCGACAGAGAAACTGGGGACAACTAGTTGCAAGGCGGCTTTTGGCAACTGAGAGGAGATGGTGGGAGATGATCAGTTGCCGAAATCGGTCGATGTGCGCGCTCTTACAACTGGAGATGAGCAGTCGGTCTCCAGTTTCAGTCAGTTGCCCGTGTTCTACTTTTCGGCAACTAGTTGTCCTCAGTTGCTCCGATGTGCGCGCTCCATGCGCCGCTCCGACAACGTGTGTGTATTGCGTGTATAGCGCGCCCGCAACAGTTTATGTCAGAAAACACACTGTAGTTGAGGCCAGTTGCTGTCGATGTACGCGCTGTTATTCAAGAGACTGGCCTGCGACTCAGAGTTGCCCGTTTTCGCCAGATTGTCGATGTGTGCGGGGCAGCAACTCAGAGGCGACGGATATAATCAGTTGCCAGTCCGATGTACGCTAGGCTTTACTTCCAACAGTTCCAAGAGCAGGAGCACAGAAGTCCAGTTTTAACATGAAAATTTGAGGAAATGGGTGGAATTATCTGTGCTTCTCCTAACATGAATCCATGTTAATTTCACTACAAATTGTTCTGGATTTAAAGCCTCAGTCCTGGGTCTACAGCCTCAGTCATCCCTCTCCCTATGGACCAATGGCGCATTTCCCATGTTTGAACTGTTTGATTCTCTGATCTGTTGTGGGTGAATCTAAAACTTTGTCAGCCTAAACAAAAATGCATAAAATACAGTCGTTTGGTCATGTACCTGTGAGCAGCAGCAGCATTCTCCTGGGCGACATCTTGGATCCTGAAACACACAGCAACATTATAGCTCTGTCTGAGACTAAGAGGATTCTCCAGGACCAGATCCTCCAAGACCAGATCCTCCAGGACCAGATCCTCCAAGACCAGATCCTCCAGGACCAGATTCTCCAGGACCAGAGCCTCCAGAGCCAGAGCCTCCAGAACCAGAGCCTCCAGAACCAGATCCTCCAGAACCAGATCCTCCAGGACCAGAGCCTCCAGAACCAGATCCTCCAGGACCAGAGCCTCCAGAGCCAGAGCCTCCAGGACCAGATCCTCCAGGACCAGAGCCTCCAGAGCCAGAGCCTCCAGAACCAGAGCCTCCAGGGCCAGAGGCCACAGAGAGATGGGTTAAGGGTAGAGGTTCTTCTCTTCTTTCCATTTTGTACATAATTTACAGATTATAAAAAATGAAAGTCTGACTCCAGTCCAAGTCCAGACCTCTGGGCCCTCTGTCAGGAGCAGAACCCTGGACCCTGATCCTCAAAGCCTCTGAGGTCTGGGTCCTGGTCCTCAGACGTGCAGATGTTTAAAGTTTCTGACAGCAACCACTGAGAAAAAACATCTCGATATAAACTTGAAGAGTGTAAACATTGCACAAATATGCAGAGATCCATGTGTCATTACATTATATCAGATTTATTTGATAGATTAATTGCAATTATTAATTACTTTATTTGAATTACAATAACAAATTAAACTAGAGTGTTTCTGAAGTGCAGCCATCGTTAAAACTGCAGAACCTGACTTTTATATTTCAATGGCATGTGTTTGTTCAACAGAAAGAGTTTTGTAAAAGTCAAATGTTGGGGAAAAATCACGTAGGAACATTCTGGCATCTTGTTAGAAAAATGTTTTTACGAAAGAGAGAGCCCTGTGAGTCACTATCTGACTCTTTGGGCTGAGAGGGGGTCCTCTCTGTTTCACTTTTCTGTCTGAAAGATCTGATCTAAAGACGAGACAGAGACAGATGACTGTGACAGAAGCAACTGTTTCAGAGCTTGAAAGTTCCATTGTGCTTGGTAAAGTTAGGTACCTCAGCTTTAAACAAACTTACTAATACTTAGTCACATTTTAGTAATCAACAAAATTCTTTATTGTCAAAGTAAATTAGCAATGAGAGCATTCTGACATAATCAAATTAGGGTTTTAAACAGACCCTTCCACTGAACATGCTGAGATACAAAAGCCACATACCTGCTTTTGGATCAAGTCCAAGCCTGGGTCTGGGTCTGGGTGAAGTGGTCTCTGTATGGACCCTGGTCTCTGGTATCTGGTCTCTGGTCTATGTGGTCTTGTGATTCCTGGATAGATTCCTTTGGGACGAACTTGATCCGAGTCTGTGGTCTCGTCTCGGCCCGACACCTTTATACTGTGATGTCATCGTGAAGACACGAGGGGGCGGGACTTAAGGCCAGGTCCCACACAGACTCAGCAGAGAGAAACAGAAGGGGGGGGTGGGGGGTGGGGGTAGAGAGGGGAGGGGGTAAGACCTGGTCCAGTCCTAGTCCAGTTCTTGTGTGCAACAATAACGACTATTTTTTTGTTTATTCAAATTGTATAGAAGAGCCACGCTGAGTAGAGTAGAGTAGAGTAGAGTAGAGTAGAGTAGGGTAGGGTAGGGTAGGGTATCGTAGGGCATAGAGTAGAGTAGAGTAGAGTAGAGTAGAGTAGGGTAGAGTATAGTAGAGTAGGGTAGGGTAGGGTAGGGAAGGGTAGGGTAGGGTAGAGTAGAATAGAGTAGGGTAGGGAAGGGTAGAGTAGAGTAGAGTAAAGTAGGGTAGGGTAGAGTAGGGTAGAATAGAGTAGGATATGATAGAGTATAGAGTAGAGTAGAGTAGAGTAGAGTACGGTAGGATAGGGTAGGGTAGAGTAGGGTAGGGTAGGGAATAGCGTAGAGTAGAGTAGAGTAGGGTAGAGTAGGGTAGGGAAGGGTAGAGTAGGGTAGGGAAGGGTTGGGTAGAGTAGAGTAGAGTAGGGTAGGGTAGGGGAGGGTAGAGTAGGGAAGGGTTGGGTAGAGTAGAGTAGAGTAGGGTAGGGTAGGGTATAGAGTAGAGTAGGGTAGAGTAGGGTAGGGTAGGGGAGGGTAGAGTAGGGAAGGGTTGGGTAGAGTAGAGTAGAGTAGGGTAGGGTAGGGTATAGAGTAGAGTAGGGTAGAGTATGGTAGGGTAGGGGAGGGTAGGGTAGAGTAGAGTAGAGTATAGAGTAGGGTAGGGAAGGGTAGGGTAGAGTAGAGTAGAGTAGGGTAGGGTAGAGTAGGGTAGAATAGGGTAGAGTAGGGTAGAGTAGGGTAGAGTATAGAGTAGAGTAGGGTAGGGTAGAGTAGGGTAGAGTATAGAGTAGAATAGTGTATAGAGTAGAGTAGGGTAGGGTAGGGTATAGAGTAGAGTAGTGTATAGAGTAGAGTAGAGTAGAATAGGGTAGGGTAGGGTAGACTAGGGTAGTGTAGAGTAGAGTAGAGTAGAGTATGGTAGAGTAGGGTAGAGTAGAGTAGAGTAGGGTAGGGTAGAGTAGGGTAGGGAATAGCATAGAGTAGAGTAGGGAAGGGAAGGGTAGAGAAGGGTAGAGTAGGGTAGGGAAGGGTTGGGTAGAGTAGAGTAGAGTAGGGTAGAGTAGGGAAGGGTAGGGTAGAGTAAAGTAAAGTAGAGTAGAATAGGGTAGGGTAGGGTAGAGTAGAGTAGAGTAAAGTAGGGTAGGGAAGGGTAGGGTAGAGTAGAGTAGAGTAGGGTAGGTTTGAGTAGGGTAGGTTATAGAGTAGAGTAGGGTAGGGAAGGGTAGGGTAGAGTAGGGTATAGAGTAGAGTAGAGTAGGGTAGGGTTGGGTAGGGTGTAGAGTAGAGAAGGTTAGGGTAGGGTAGGGTAGGGTATAGAGTAGAGTAGTGTATAGAGTAGAGTAAAGTAGGGTAGGGGAGGATATAGAGTAGGGTAGAGTAGAGTAGGGTAGGGTAGGGTATAGAGTAGGGTAGAGTAGGGTAGGGTAGGGTATAGAGTAGGGTAGAGTACAGTAGGGTAGGGTAAGGTGGAGTAGAGAAAAGTAGAGAAGGGTACTTTGTTGTTTTTAAAGTTTTCTGCTATTAAAGTTGGATTGAAGACAGCGCCACCTGCACCTGAGGAGCAGTGTCCGCTCAGGGTCAACATTCATCTTCCTCATGACTGACAAAGACGCTTCTGGCTCTGAGTCTATGTCCAAACATTTCCATGCTCCAGAAATGAAGTTTGAATCTAATCTTCTGAGTGTGAGGAACGGAGTTAGTCCTGGGAGGAAATAAATATATTTTTTAAGGATCGAAACTGTGCAGTTGCCATAGTAACAGTTACACATGTGACCAGTGTGGGAAAGATGAAAGATCTCTTTTCTTATCTTATCAGACCAATGTGACTGTACATGGTGTGACTACTACATTATTCTTATATAAAAGCATTTACCTCTACTCTACTCTACTCTACTCTACTCTACTCTACTCTACTCTACTCTACTCTACTCTGCTCTGCTCTGCTCTGCTCTGCTCTGCTCTGCTCTGCTCTACTCTACTCTACTCTACTCTACTCTACTCTACTCTACTCTACTCTGCTCTGCTCTGCTCTGCTCTGCTCTGCTCTGCTCTGCTCTACTCTACTCTACTCTACTCTACTCTACTCTACTCTACTCTACTCTGCTCTGCTCTGCTCTGCTCTGCTCTGCTCTACTCTGCTCTACTCCACTTGCCTCGCTCCTGTCAGTGTGCCCCAGGGCAGCTGCGGTTTATGGTTTTTATTACTATTATCATTATTTACTATTATTATTATTGTCATCTTCACTTTTACAAGAGTCTTTCCGTTGAGACATGGATTATTTATGAAAGAAGACTCTTTAGCCGTAAGTCCTTCCTGAGACCAATGAACATTTCTTTAAATAACAAGTAGTGGAATTTAACATATGTCTTAAATTTTTAAAGCTCCGTTACCTGTAACGCTCTGAAATCTATGTATCACACTCAAAAAATGTACAGTTCACGTTTTGTTACCGAGCTAAACCTAACGCTCTAGTCCGTGCCTGGTCTCTCTCAGGTCTCTCTCTGGTCTCGCTCTGGTCTCGCTCTGGTCTTACGAGTGACTTTAGTAGTTGAAAGTTTGTTTTGACCGTTTGATTTTCTCACTTCCCTGTCTTCCCTGAGCTGATACGCTGACACGGGTCCAAACAACACACCCTCCTTTCACACTGTGGTCCATGCTTCATTGTTTTGAAGTGAGATTGATGTCCCACTTCAGGAGCAACTACAGCTTTAGACATTTTTCATGTTTCAGAAAAAAAACTTTAAACAAGTCCAAATCTTTGATTCTGTCTTCAAAGATTTAAAAGTTAAAAGTTAAAAGTTTTGGGGTTGAGTCCCAAACATCACAAAGACATCTCTGTGTCGAGGATTCTGATGTTTCAATGACAGAACACAGACTCTGAGGCTCAGAGACAAATACTGTATGTTTCTGTTTCACCAGAATGTGAATCTATGAGAGCTGGTTTTAACATTGTTTTAATGTTTGGACCTGGTTCAGACCTGGTTCAGACATGGTTTAGACATGATTCAGACCTAGTTCAGTCCTAGTTCAGTCCTGGTTCAGTCCTGGTTCAGTCCTGGTTCAGTCCTGGTTCAGTCTTGGTTCAGTCCTGGTTCAGTCCTGTTTGGACTTGGTTTGGACCTGGTTTAGACCTGGTTTAGACTTGGTACAGCCCTGGGGGATAAACAGTCTCAGATACATTACCTCAGTCAGATCAAATTCATGAAAATCAAACACGTCTCTTTATAAACTCAGACAAAACCAGGTCTGGGCTGGACTGAGACTGGACTAAACCAGGTCTGGACCGAAGGACCCTGTGGTGGCTGAACTTAAAGCTGTAGAACAAAACACAAAACACGTAACTATAAATCGTTGAGTTCTTGACTCTGAAACAATATATCACTAGTTTTACATGAAGATCACAGTCACACACTCTTTCTTACAATATTTCAAAATAAAATATAACATCTTATCAATGTTTTCTAATGCGCTGAAGATGACATGTTGACATGACATGAACGTGGAGCTCTGACTGCAGATGCTGCTCCCTCTGAAACAAAACAGTCTCATAGAGACGCTGCACCAACCATCTGTCAATCTCATTTCCATCCTTCCCTTACGCAGAACAAGACCTGAGAGACTGGATCCTGAAGAAAGATCAGGACCAGGACCAGGACAGAGACCTCTGCACTTGGAGGAGACCAGGACCAGGGCCTGGACCTGGACCTGGACCTGGACCTGGATCCCTCTCGGCTCCGGAACAGTGAACTTCATGTTTCTGCCTCAGACCAAACCTCTTTGTTCTTTTGTCTGGTGCAGAGCGAGACTCTGAGGCTGTGGGTCAAATGTAAAATCTGAACCTGAAGTAAAACCATGTGCTCCACTGAGACTGCTCCCAACAGACTGAGACAGACCAGGTGTGACCTCTGCCCCTGTGCCTCTGAGCAAAGCACCTCTGGTTCATCAGACTGACACAGGCCACATCTGTCCTGAGGCAGACTGACACAGGCCACGTCTGTCCTGAGGCAGACTGACACAGGCCACGTCTGTCCTGAGGCAGACTGACACAGACTGGCCTCAGAATCTGTGCCAGCAACAACTACCAACATGACAGGACTGGAGAAGGTTCAGTCCTGGTTTCAGTCCACCAAAAACTGGGAGAACATGCAAAATGCACACAGATACTGGTGTGTATAACAGTGTTCATATTATTCACAAACAGGAGCCACTATTTGACTCTTTGGGCTGAGAGATGATCGGAGTGATGGTGGTCCTCCGTTTTGCTTTTCTGAAAGTAAAACGTAAATTGATCTAAAGATGTGACAGACCAGAAATACATGAAACTAGAGACAGAACCAACTGTTTTAGTGCCAGGACTGGTTATAGGGATTTTAATATCTGAAACTCAGGGACTCGAGCTTTAAATAAGTGATATTACTATTTCACATCAGCAGCAGTTGAACAATTATAATCCAGGACATTTCTCAATGTTTTGACTTCACTAATGTGGTTATGTAAGAGACTTTAGCTCAAACCAGGTCTGCTCTCTCTAACCCCCACCAGGTACGGACTGGACCAGGACAGGACCAGGACTAAACCAGAACAGGGAAAGGACTGAACCAGAACCGGAACAGGACCAGACCAATCCCAGACCAGGTCCAAACTTTCCCAAATTCCTTCTAGTAAAATGTAAATCCGTGGTGACATCATGTCTCATTAGCCTGATCGTTAGCGCTCCTCGTTATCAGGACCGTGACGAGACTCAAATCCTGACTGGACCAGGAACCAGACTGGCTTTTATAGGAGTATCCATCACAGAACTAAACTGAGGAGCACAGAGACACACAGAGAGAGACACAGAGAGAGAGACACAGAGAGAGAGACACAGAGAGAGACACACAGAGAGAGAGAGACACAGAGAGAGAGACAGAGAGAGAGGGACACAGAGAGAGAGAGACACAGAGAGACACAGAGAGAGTGAGACACAGAGAGAGGGACACAGAGAGAGAGAGAGACACAGAGAGACACAGAGAGAGAGAGACACAGAGAGACAGACACAGAGAGACAGACAGACACAGAGAGAGAGACACAGAGAGACAGACAGACAGACAGAGAGAGAAGAGAGCGACCAGAGAGAGACCAGAGAGAGACCAGAGAGAGACCAGAGAGAGACCAGAGAGAGACCAGAGACCCTGTCAGCTGAGGACCAACCAGTTGAGTGAATATTGAGGTTTGCATGTGTGAGATTTCATAACACTTTTAAGCAACTTTTGTTAAAGTTAAACTCATCATTCTATCAATGTGCAGAAGCCAGTACTTTTCCCTTGTTTTGTCTATCTGAAGGCCAAGCTACAAGCACACCGTGGCAGCTGCTGATTGGAGGTCTCCATGCCTCCGCTCTGTATAATACACTTGCATTCTGTTGTGTGCTTTGTTTGTGCTGTCTCTACCATCGACAATAAAACATGTCTTCTGTCTGAATTAAAGACGCGATCCCAGACTATGTCATCTTCTTCACATGCTCTGCCTGTGTCTGGCTGCTTCAAAGTGTGTGAGTGAAAGACCAAAAACACAAGGTCAGAATCAGTTGGTTTTATTGAACAGAGGCAGAGAATAGTTTAGTCCATTTACATTTACAGGAGAATGATTAGAAGACAGTGGGGGACGTGCACGTTGGGCGGGAGGGGCGCGCACGTGGCTCTGCAGAGGGGCCTTCACTTCTGCCCGAGCTGAGCGAGCTGAGGAGACAGAGGGGCAGAGGATCAGTGACCCGAGGCTAACTACACAACACGCCTCAAACATCTTTATAATGGCAGTCTTTAAACTTTGAGATTATCACAGATTAGTAAGAGTAAGAGAGGGGTAGAGTGATCATGGTCATCTGTTTGTTGTCTTGTTTCCAAGAAGCACTAAAACCTCCTATAAAAGCAAAACAGCCTAAACAAACCGCATGTAAAGCTGGAAACAACTCTATGGGAATGAAGAGAGAGAGAGGCCAGAGAGAGACCAGAGAGAGACAAAGAGAGACCAGAGAGAGACCAGAGAGAGACAAAGAGAGACCAGAGAGAGACCAGAGAGAGACCAGAGAGAGGCCAGAGAGAGACAAAGAGAGACCAGAGAGAGACCAGAGAGAGACAAAGAGAGACCAGAGATATTCCCCAGAGAGACAAGAGAGAGACCAGAGTGTGAAATAAGAGCGAGAACAGAGAGAGACCAGAGGGACCAGAGAGACAGCAGAGACAAATAGAGAGCAGAGGGAGGGACCAGAAAAAGACCAGTGAGCGAGGCAAGAAAGAGCAGAGAGAGAGAGCAGAAAGAGACATGAGAGAGACCAGAGAGAGAGACTATAAATAACATCAGAGTTAGAGTCGGACCTGTTTGATGAACTGAGCAGCGTTGAAGAGCTCGCTGCAGCCGTACACCACCTTCCTTCCCTGTTTGGACTGAGCACAACACAAACACATTCACACAGGAGTTAGACATGACAGAATGGAACCTAAGAGATCTCCACGTTTACAACACTGTTATTACACCACAGACCTTAGCGTAGTCCACCAGGTTCTGGTACTCGATGTAGTTCCCTCCTCCCACCACAAACACGATCGCCTGCAGAGAGAGACCAGAGACAGACCAGAGAGAGAGACCAGAGAGAGAGACCAGAGAGAGGGACCAGAGAGAGGGACCAGAGAGAGGGACCAGAGAGAGAGGGACCAGAGAGAGAGGGACCAGAGAGAGGGACCAGAGAGAGGGACCAGAGAGAGAGGGACCAGAGAGAGGGACCAGAGAGAGGTACCAGAGAGAGAGACCAGAGAGAGAGACCAGAGAGAGAGACCAGAGAGAGAGAGACCAAAGCATTTGTATTGAAATCAGTATTGGGTACTAGGATCGAGTTGAAAGTATAGTAACGCTAAAGGCTGGAAGTGGTTGATATTAGCATGGAGGGAGCCAAAAATCACTCTAGATCAACAGCATAGAATGTTTCAGCACAAGTAAATGAAAAACTATGAACAAAAGAAGGTGTAAAAAACCCACTGACCTCTTGAAACGGGTTCTTGTTCCTCGGAATGGAGCTGGAAGAGAGACACCGTTTTTGTGTGTTTTTAAAAATGTAGACAAGGTTTTTTATCTTGATTGTAAACAAAGGCGACACGTTTTAGTAGCAGCTGTACAATGTTGTATGTGATGTTGCTTGAATACACACATGAGAAGCACACGGTACAATTAGGAGGCAGAGGCCGGGAGAACGGGCGGGTCTAACCGGTGCTTTCTTCACAGTTCAAAAAGTAAATGACTGTCAGTTACAATGTGAGGACAGCAAAGTGGTACCTCTCACTGCCGCGGAGCATCTTTGGGTCAAAGTATCTGTAGTCGTCAGTTTCCTGTGACAGAGATCAGTATGAGACTTTCGAAAATAGAGACTAAAGCAGGATTAAAGCAGGACTAATCCAGGTATAAAACAAGTCTAAAGCAGGTCTGAAGCAGGACGAAAGCAGGACTAAAGCAGGTCTAAAGCAGGTCAAAAGCAGGACTAAAGCAGGTCTAAAGCAGTTCTAAAGCAGGACTAAAACAAGTCTAAAGCAGGTCTAATGCAGGTATAAAACCAGATCTTAAACAGGGCATAAAGCAAGACTAAAGCAGGTCTTAAAGCAGGTCTAAAGCAGGTCTAAAGCAGGTCTAAAGCAAGTCTAAAGCAAGTCTAAAGCAAGTCTAAAGCAGGTCTAAAGCAGGTCTAAAGCAGGTCTAAAGCAGATCTAAAGCAAGACTAAAGCAAGTCTAGAGCAGGTCTAAAGCAGGTCTAAAGCAGGTCTAAAGCAAGTCTAAAGCAAGTCTAAAGCAAGTCTAAAGCAGGTCTAAAGCAGGTCTAAAGCAGGTCTAAAGCAGATCTAAAGCAAGACTAAAGCAGGTCTAAAGCAGGTCTTAAAGCAGGTCTAAAGCAGGTCTAAAACAAGTCTAAAGCAGGTCTAAAGCAGGTCTAAAGCATGTCTAAAGCAGGTCTAAAGCAGGTCTAAAGCAGGACTAAAACAAGTCTAAAGCAGGTCTAAAGCAGGACTAAAACAGGTCTAAAGCAGGTCTAAAGCAGGTCTAAAGCAGGTCTAAAGCAGGTCTAAAGCAGGTATAAAACCAGATCTTAAACAGGGCATAAAGCAAGACTAAAGCAGGTCTTAAAGCAGGTCTAAAGCAGGTCTAAAGCAAGTCTAAAGCAAGTCTAGAGCAAGTCTAAAGCAGGTCTAAAGCAGGTCTAAAGCAGGTCTAAAGCAGGTCTAAAGCAGGACTAAATCGGGAGCAGGCTGTTACAAAGAAATCCGAGTTCAGATGGCACATTTTTGAAACGCTGGTGCAGTTTCTCAGATTCTGGATTTCAGGTTCAGGACAAAGACTGGTTTGTTTGGACACAGGACTCGCTCTTCTTCCTCCTCTTTCCCTTTCTTCTCTGAGCGGACTCATCTTTCTGTTTCTTCCTAATCCCCTGTCCTTCTCTCTCCTCTGCTCGGTTCTCTTCACACACCCCTTATCCCCCGCCCACTTCTCTGCAGTGGGTCTGGGTCAAATGCGGTTATAGCAAAAGTTGTGATAACAGGAGGATTCTATATTCAACTTGTTTCAGACCAATATCAGACCACCATTATCAACTGTAATTAAATGTCCTGGGACTGTCCCTATTGGAGCATTCACCCTCTGCATTCCAATTCGAATGCATTTAAGGTCTCTTGGTCTGGACCTTGGTTTGGGTGGTGGAAGAAACTGGTGCGTCTGGAGGAAACTCACCCAGACACAGAGTAAACATGCAAACTCAAGTGAAATTAAGTTTTTAGAATCACATTGAGTTTGCAGTAAAAGCTAATTCTCCTTGTCCCCTTGGTGGCCACAAAGGGAATTACAGGCAGAAGTAGGTCTAAAGTAGGTCTAAAGTAGGTCTAAAGTAGGTCTAAAGCAGGTCTAAAGCAGGTCCTGTTGAGCTGTTGTAGACCTGGCTTAGACCTGATTTAGACCTGATTTAGACCTGGCTTGGACCTGGCTTGGACCTGGCTTGGACCTGGCTTGGACCTGGCTTGGACCTGGCTTGGACCTGGCTTGGACCTGGCTTGGACCTGGCTTGGACCTGGCTTGGACCTGGCTTGGACCTGGCTTGGTCACAAGGGGCAGTGGGAGCTAAAGACAAGTCCAGGTCTGCTTTTGATGAGGGAGCAGTGATGTAACATGACAAAAAGCTCCTAAAATTACACGGTTTCTCTCAATATTTCACCAAGTCCTGGTTTTAGACCTGGTTTACATCCATCTGTTCGGAGGAGTCCAGAGGATTTAACACCCATCCATTTAAACGTCCACACTAGAGATGAGCTTGGGCCAAAATAAAGACTTAAAGAACAAACCCATTAATCTTGGCCACATTCTAAATCCTATAGATCGACTGCAGACACACACACAAAGATACACACACAAAGACACATAAAGATACACACACACACACAATGAATGAGTCCCGGATGCAGAGATGGCACGGAGAGACTTTTGGCTCAGTTTGGACAAAGACAGATTAAGATTCCTGACATTTTTATCCACAGTCTTCTAATATCTGAGCTCCCAGCTGCTCTGAGATTCTGTCATGCATTTCTAACTTTAACTATGTGAAGAAAATGAATCGATTGAAGGGTTTTTGATGAGAGAAATAAGAGCAGTTACCGGGTGGGACTTCATCTCCATCAGGTTGTCCAGGATCCGAGTCACAGGCAGATTCTGAGAGACAAACAAAAACTTATTTACATCAAGAAACTGTGCTTTTTTTAAGGTTGTGGCTGGGATACCTAAGTTTTCTTTCCTTCACAAATAACACATGTAGTTTGTCGATAGAAGCCACAGAGAGTTGGGGCCAAACTTCACCATGAGCACTTCACTATTGGACTTCATTGCGCTAGTGGGTAAGCATTGCCAATCTGTGTACAGACTATGGTTGGATTACATGGTTCCATTGTTGTGGCTTGAAAGGTAGAAGCCCCAGCTTTAATTGTATCCCTTAAATGATCTTGAGAAAATGTATTTATATGCTTTAGAAGTGCCACAAGCTCCAGCTGTTTTGGATGAGGAGAAAACAACACGCTTAAAGAGATGTGTTTTAAAGGTGAACTCAGGTGTAACTACTCAAAGGCAGAGTCCACCACCTGCTGTTTTCATTATAAACCAAAACATAAAGCTGGAGCCTAAGGGGCCGGAGTAAAGCACTAGAGTTGGCCTTTTGTTCACATGGAGACGGTGTTTCAGGTGAAAACGCTAGCATTGAAAAACAGTCTCCGGAGTGGAACAAAACGATGTGCTGTGCGGCGGGTGCCATATCACAGCCGGGTCAAGAAGAAGGAGTGAAATCTCTGGCTGCTATGACCTCAGCACTTCCCTGCACGTACATTTGGACATGCGCAGGAGCCGAGAAACATGAACAGCAATGGCAGCGGGTACACTAATGCTACGGGTGCTTTTCAAACGAAACCGGGGAAAGCTGCAGTTTCAGTTTCCATTTCTGCTGCTACTGTTAAATGCAGAATTATTTCGGTGCATTCTTTTCTGGCTTTACGACAGTCTGATGAGAATTTTGTTGTTGAGGTGGTTATGGAGGAATGCTAACTTTTTGAAAAATACTAATGAAGCATTTAGTAATTTACTTTGGACTAGAGCAGAGAAAATGGTCTCCACCGTTTCAGCTGGGAACCGTCCTGCCCCACCCTCAGTGGCAACTCCACCTCTGAAGTTCTAACAATTATTACTATTGTTAGCTTTTTAGAATTTTCCATGTATTTGTTTTGTTTGTGTGAATGTGATTTTGCTGCTACTGGACACCTGATTTCTTCTACGGGAGTATCCATCTATGCTGCTGGAGATTGCACGTGTTGTGAAGTACACTGTCCCCTACTGCGCTAGAACATCGTTTTCCGTCGTTGTGTAGACGCTAAGCACTTTGAATATGGAGCTCGGTTGTTTTTGCATATCCTAGTCCAGCCTTAAACTAACCCTAACCCACATGGGATAGTTATAGTAGTAATTTAGATGCTGAATAAGGCCATATATTAAGAGTTTGTTAACCATAACTTATTTAATTAGCTGTGAATCAGTGAGGGCCAAACTTAAGTTTGACGAGCTTGAGGTAAAGTCCACATGAGAAACAGGACATACATGTTGTTTCACCACCAGGTTCTTGACGCCCTCCATCACAAACTGAGATCCAGTGTTCATGACCCGAGAGAACAGCCTGCAACCAGAGGACAGAGGACCACATGTTGGCAAAGTTATAATAATGATAATAATATTAATATCAACAATAATAATGATAATTAAAGCCGCAAGCGGCGATGAAAGGCCTCGCCCCTCTTGCAACCGCGTCCTGGGCGCCGGTCCCACAAGCGTCACGCCGACGAATTGGCAGCCCGATCTGACCAGGATTACGTATATAAAAGCTCATTTATATGATAAAGTGAGTCCCTAGTGGTCACCTCCGGGACATGCACCCTCTACGTAGAGTAGTATTTTGCTCGTGCAGATGTAAAGATTTGATTTTGCAACTTTGGTGAAGATCGGAAAAGTTTAGGTCAGAAGCCTTCCATAGGTGGCGCTGTAGAGTCATATTAGGTGTGTGTTTTCACACCATTACTCTCAGGCCATTACCAACTGTTAGTGATGTGAGTTTTAGCTCTGTAGGTCTGAGCCTGTGGTCAGGAGAGCATCAAACATGGAGAAATTCCCCACTACCTCGCATGAAAACGATAACAAACTTCTAACTTTTATGCGATGATTGCATGACTTCAATCCGTCCAGATGGATAAATGACATGGTAGAAGTCTGTGCGATGAAAATCCAGGGACTAGTATGAAGCCAAAAATGCAACACATTGAACTGCCTGTAGGTGGCGCTGTTGCACTCACAGTTGTGTGTTGCATATCGTTATGTTCAGGGTCATACACTGTATTTCTGAATTCATTTTTAGCCTCATCGGACAAACATTTTGCCCCAAAAAGCTCATTTATTCACTTTCCAGCGCCCCCAGTGGTCAGGTGTGGGACGTACAACTTTTGCGTAATGTAATGTTTTGCTCGTCTGGGTCCAGAGAATACACTCAGCGATTTTCGGGCCGATCCGAGCACTAGTGCCCTATTACTTTCCGACAGGTGGCGCTAAAGAGCTCAAATTGGGCGAATGATTTTAGTGTCATTGCGTTCAGGCCATAACCTAATAAAACTGATGTGAGTCTCAGCTCTGTAGGTCTGAGCTTGTGGCCCTCAGGACTCAGCGAAAATGGCCAAAACGAAGGCCTTATTCGCCATGGCGAGGGACGAAAACGATGAAAAATCAGGGACTAGTTCAAATTTCTAAATGAAAAGTCAAATTAGTGGCGAAACTTCGGCCCATCATGGCCGACTTCCTGTTGGTCCCAGACATGTGCTTAGACCGGCTTTTATGCTTGTCTCATAGAGATCTATCACTCATCCGGATTTTGTGTACCTACTCCAAAATATGCAATCCTGCCTCCAATAGAAATGGTAAATTTTGAATTTTCAAGGGGGCGCTATTGATTCGCCTTTTGTCGGACAATCTCGAAACGTCCGTTTTATCAAATTTTTCGCCGGACCGGTCGTTTTAGACCCCCCATGTGCAGACTTTCGTGCATGTCTTCAGGGTCAAAAATCGAATTGAAGATGCGGAAAAAGAATAATAATATGAAACCGGTGAATAACTAATAATACAGATAATGGCTGTGGTTCCAGGTCAAAGATGGGACCCCTCGGCTTTAGAGTCGAGTCCTGGATCTACACCCTCAGTCCTGGATCCACAGCTTGTCTGTCGGTACAAGAAGCCTCCTCGAGGTTTCTCACTTTTCTCCCACTGAGTTTATAGAGTATTTATTCTCTGATGCAGGAGAGTCTCAGGACTGTAGTGATGATCCAGGACACTCTGTTCATTTATGAACACTGGTCATCATCCCCTAACGGATCATTGCATTTCCTGTGTTTCAAATCTTTAATTCGATGATCTGTGTTGGCGAATCGACAGCTTGGGAAAGTCCTCAGAGATAACTTCTGATATGGATTTAGGGCGATACAAAAATACATGGAATTCTCTTCTCATGGGTCCCTACAGAGTTCCATAGGGCATGTTTCTCTCTTCATCATTTCTCTCTTGTTTATCTCCTCTGATCCTCTGCACCAGACTCTACATCGCTGTGTTTTCAGTTTCGCTGCTCGTAAAAACCCAAACTGTGGGCGAAGCTTTGGACACGTTTTGTAAGAAACAGAAAGAGCAGCTCAAACATGTGACACTGAAGCCGACAGCTGCAGCTTGAGTGACAGAGCCTGCTTTTCACTTTAACTCCAGAGTGAGGGGAGGAGTGAGAAGGAGTGAGGAGGGGTGAGGAAGAGTGAAGAGGAGTGAGGAGGTGTGAGGAAGAGTGAGGAGGGGTGAGGAGGAGTGAAGAAGAGTGAGGGGGAGTGAGGGGGAGTGAGGAAGAGTGAGGGGGAGTGAGGAAGAGTGAGGAGGAGTGAGGAAGAGTGAAGAGGAGTAAGTAAGTAATGTTTATTAATTTATATAGGACATTTTACAGATCAAAGTCACCCAAAGCGCTTTACAATGTTCCGAGTTCAGATATTGTTCCAATCAATCCACACACAGTAATGACGGAAGCGAGTTGTGGAACACACTGGTGCATCAAAGCCTCCTACCGACACCATCCATTCACTCTCTCATTATCTCATTACATTCATACCTATTGTGCATGTTTTTAGTGGTAGGGGAAACTGGAGCATCCGGAGGAAACCTGTGCATGCACTCAGAAAGGCCCTGTTCCGGATTCGAACCTCGACCTTCTTACTGAGAAGCGAGAGTGCTATCCACTCAGCCACCGTGCCGCCCAGACAGATGCAGGAGGAGTGAAGAGGAGTGAGGAGGAGTGAGGAGGAGTGAGGAGGAGTGAAGAGGTAAAGGTGCACTTTATTAATCCCCATAGGGCAATTCATCCTCTGCATTTGAGGCTTACGTCAGGAGCAGTGGTCGCTGTAGTACAGCGCCCGGGAACCCATCTCCAGATGTTGTTCAGGACTACCAAAGCTGGAGGATTTTACCTAGTGTGCATGTTTTTAGTGGTAGCGGAAACTGGAGTACCCGGAGGAAAGCTACGCAAGCACGGGGAGAACATGCAAACTCCACTCAGAAAGACCCTGTTCCGACCGGGATTCGAACGCAGGACCTTCTTGCTGAGAGGCGAGAGTGCTATCCACTCAGCCACCGTGCAGGAGTGACAAGAAGTGAGGAGGTTTGTGAACACTGTTCTTCATCCAGGTAAAAGTATGTGATACCCCCAGTGCTCACTGCTGCTCCCGCAGGAACCACACCAGTAATGACACAGCTGGGGCTTCAGCCAGACTGGGGGTAAGTGTCTGGCCCAGGGGCACAATGACAGCAGACTTCAGAGGGAGCAGGTGACACGTATTACAAGGGAATCAAACCCACAACCATTAGGTTGGTAGGTAAACTGATCCACTGTCGTACTCACTCAGACAATAAGGTGCGTCATGTGTGACGTCAAGCTAACAACATCGGCAAACTACTCTTGTCTGGTATAGAAGAACCAAATACTTGAAATCATTCTAAATATGGAGCAAAGTAAAAGATGACTAAAATAACTTTGCATTTGGTATAAAATAAAGTGTGTCTTACCCCATGGGTTTGACGCTGCTGTTGCCGTAGTTTGTGGGTGCTGCCATTTTGGTAAACGCTCTGAAACAGAATCAACAACTATGTGATCATCACAAGAACTCTGTTCTGCTAGTTGGTCGAGCATAATCGAATGTAACAAATGGAGTCTGTGTGTGTATCTTTGTACGTGTACGTGAACGTGTACGTGGACGTGTACGTGGACGTGTACGTGGATGTGTACGTATTTGTAGTCTTAATCAAAAAACACAAATACTTGTAAACATGAGCTGAAGAGTGAACATAGGCTGTGGAAAAAACAAGTCTGGACTCCTGTGCTAAACCAACAGCGCTAACAATAATAGCAATTTTAAAAATATATTTTTTCTGTATATGTTTATATAAAATATATAACATTTCTCACTCACTTCCACTGTTTGATGTAGTGTAGAGGAGACAGGTCACAGCCTGCGTCCAATAGGGCCTTCTTATACTGCTCCACGTCCGACTGAAAACACACAATAACAAGACTTTAGTAAGACAGTAGAAACTGTCTGCTTCACCTTCCACCCGTCTCCACCAACAAACCACATGTTACATATGAGGAGTGGACTGACCGAGTGTGACGTCACTATAGTGTTTGTTCACACAGAGCTTTAAAGTCCACAGAGATGGAGCAGTTCCCCTACAGGAGGCCAGAAATATTGTACATATTTTTTGTGGAAGAAAGAAACGAAGCACCAGGAGGAAATCTACGTAGACACAGGGAGAACATGAGGTGAACATGAGCTTGGTGGAGCCAGTTTCCTTATATGGTCAATCAGTGGCCTGAATCGGAAAATTTTGGAATTTCTCACATTTCCGTATAAAAATCACTATGAAATATGAACTTTCTAAAAAAGATAAGGATCATGAATACGTTTTGAAAGAGTAACAGCTAAAGGAAGAGCTTGAAGATCATGTGTTGGTGTTAGAGCATCAGAGGAGCCAGCTGCAGGAGACTTATCAGTGTCGACAGCAGCAGCAGCAGCAGGTGGTCCTCCTCCCGACATAGACCTTGCTCTGGAGAAGGCTCTGCCGCAGGCCTCAGATCCAACACAAGCTGCACGCTACCGTCTTGGAGAACACACGTCTCCAGCAGTCTTTAAGCAGATCCACAGACAAACTGCAGAAGGCGAAGGACGAGATCCAGACATTGAAAGCAGCGTCACAGAAGTCTGCAGAAGAGACCAAACGGAAGCAAGACGAGAAACAGGCCATGTACCTCAAGTTCCAGTCGACAAAGAAGGTCAAGGTTCTGATAGAGAGAGGCTTTGACGAGCAGAAAAAGACAGACTCAGTGATCTGAGAGCTGCAGAAAGGGCTTGCACAGGTCAAGTCAGAAAACCTGGACACAATACATCCCCTGAACCCTCAGCTTCTGAACAGTGACAGCTTCAAGGACTTGCTCCAGATTCAGACTGCTCAAATGGAGGAAGTACTGACCGAAACCAAGAAAAAGTTGGAGGAGTGTCGCATGAACCTCCTCAAGAAAAAACTATTGTTGCAGAGATGGAGGAGGGGAACTCTAAACTTAAAGCCCAAAACAGACAGATGCAGGAGGAAAGCCACCTCTGCATCCAGGACGCCAACAAAACTATAGAGGCCAGGATTCTGAATCTCAAACAAAAATGGAAGTCAGAACGCAAAGAGGTGAAAGGACAAAGCAGAGCCATCAGGCCAAAGTTGATTAAGTTTCCAAAATTTAGGAGAATCCTGGAAATCATCTGAGGAAGCAAGACAGAAGTCAAAGAGATCCTTTAGAAAGACAAAGAATTGACTGAAGCCATGAAAAAGATTTAATACCAGGTGAAAAAACTCCAGCCGGCCGATAGGAGACCTGGAGGGATCAGCCAAGAAGCACATTCAAGACCTCAGCAAGTTGTTTCACTCTCAAACCCAGGAAGCACAGAAGACGACATAGCTCCAGACTAAAGCACCGGATCAGGAACTTGTGTTGGGACAGTCTGTGAAGGAGGCCAAGAGGACCTCTGAGGAAATGGTTTGGAAGCAGAGGATAAAGGTTAAGCTGAAAAACAAAGTAATCAGCGATCGGACTGAACGCAAAGAGACGACGCAGCAACAGACACTCAGAAGGAACCTCATCAGAACACACGTGTTGTGTATAAGGCAGCCTCCATGAGGGATGCTCAAACAGGACTAAGACAAATCCAGGATTTAAGAAAATCTGGATCTCTTTTATTCCCAACTCCTCTTATGTTAAGTTTTTTCAAACCCTCTGCACACTAACTAACACTGTCTGCATAAGGTCTTATTTCCCCAAACATTTACAAAAACAAAACAGAGTTACTTGTGTTAGAAGTGATATAAGCGTGGATGGATCTAAAAACAACTCCATGTCTGTGACTGATGAGAAGCAATGTTATGACAGTTAAATACTTCTCTTTTAAAACGGCAGGACACTAAGAAAACACATTAGTTTAGACTTTGTTGACGAACCAGAAGTTTATCACTGTTTCCAAGAACTTGTCCAGCGGTTTGAGTTTGACAGATTTCTAACTGGCTCCAAAATGGCGTTTGTAAAAACCCTGTTGTCTTGTCGTTCTCAGGCCGCCATGAAGTAAAACAATAGTCAAAATGTCTGAATTTGAAACCAAAAATAGAAGTTATTTTGCTGTGGTGCAGAACAGACCGGAAAGTTATGCCTGCAGCTCAAGACACACATTCAATAAATGAATCTCTGTGGGGAAAGTACAGGTTTACCGAATTACTTTAGAAGTCACTGCATGTGTTACAGTATGTTTGAATTAATGTAAATATGTTGTTGAAATCAGACAGATTGATTATATCTGAAAATGGAAAAATCTCCTGTTGTGATTTTTTGAAAAAGGATATGAGAATCCTGCTGCTGTGACCGCAGGACACGAGTGAGAAACTCAGATATGTTATTTGGACCATGTCAAAATAAACCAATTTTGATTATAAGTATTCAAGTCAGAGCACAGTACACCCATGATTAGAAAACGAGACCAGAAAGAGGCTATTAAGAAGCAGAGGGACCGGAGAGAGTCCAGACAGAGAGCAGAGACCAGAGAGAAAAAAGAGAGGAATCACAACATATTGGATCATTTCAAGTTTCTCATTTCTCTCACTTTCATTAATGATGTTGTAAAAAGTATGTTGAAAAGAGCAGAACATGCAACAGCCCTTACTCTGACTGAGAGCTTCGCTCACCCAAACACAGCTCCACGGCTTTGTACGCTGTCAATATGCAAAGTACTGTTCCTGTGTGACAAGTGTATCTTTAGAGACTTCTTCTCCTGAGCCACATTTGAGCAACAGGCTCAAATACAGTTTGCTTTAATTGTGTCTAAAATATCGTTATATTTGGGACACGCCTCGACAAAAAGACCATATCACAAGGCGGGTGAAAGAGCGAGTTTCTGACTCGCCAGTCTGTGCTGCTAGATAGAGAATGGAGATATAGATTAAAAAAAAAATACATAATTCTAAAAGTTACTAACAATAGTGATAAAGAATGGAAGAAGATCAGACCCAGGGTCTTCATCCAAAATTCCTGTGTTTCTACTTGAGAATGAGACTGTAGAAGTCCAATCAAATCTGAAAGAGGAGTCCAAGATGGCCGCCCAATGTTTTTCCAGAATTTTTATGTTCTGTGCAGAGTGGTCTGCTGGACATAACTCTCACATTCTCCTTCGAACACATGGTTAATTGTTGAGGTCTGCTTCGTTAGAGGAATGTGTTTGTTCGTGCTCCTTAATTGCGAACGCCGCTAATGGCCGTGCAGCTCCAGGCTCCAGAGAGTCTGAAAATCCAATACTCATGGTAAACAAGGTTCGATGTCAGTGATTACAACTTTTAAAAGGAGGCCATTTCTGCAAAATAAACCTTTAAGAGCAATTACAATGTGATAATTGTTTCCCTGGTTTTTTCTCCTGTAAACACTGTATTTAAAGTAATTCAGGTATATTAGAGTCACTGCATTCATCTGACAATCCTCCATTGTTCTACAAATATCGTTGTATAAGCACAACGTTCAATACTGTTGTAGTCTGCCCTGGGGCACACTAACAGAAGCAAGGCAACCCGTCTGTTCCATCAGCCCCTACCACCAACAATTCACACACTCACCAGACTTATTCTAATGTGGGTGAAGTGTTTTGCCTAAGGACACAACCACAGTTTTGGCACTATACAATCGCAGCCGCCCCACTATGGCACCTGGTGTTCTCAGAGGTCTCCCATCACAGTGTAAACCAGGCTCTGACCTGCTTAGCTTCGGAAGTCGGACGGCATCTGGCTTTTATCTGCAGGTATGGCCACAATTATTACACAGCCAATAATTAGACCGAGATCTCAAACAGGAGAAAGGCCACACGGACAATGTCTCTAATATTGAACTAGTGAAACAATTCTGTCGTTGTGCTCTGACTTCTCCTGCAGACTGCGGCGAATGCATTAGATCTGCTGTGTAATTGTAAAACCGAGCAATGAGGCAGTTTGTTCATTTAAAGTTGTTTTGATGGAAATATCCGCAGCCTGGTTTTTACTGCGTTTCAAAGTTTAAATCCGACAGTGACATAAGAAACCACACAGCTGCTTTACATCTTAACTTATGGGGGACAGAAGGAGGAGAGGGAGACAGGAGGAGGAGAGGGAGGAGAGGGAGACAGAGGGAGGAGAGGGAGACAGAGGGAGGAGAGGGAGACAGAGGGAAGAGAGGGAGGAGAGGGAGACAGAGGGAGGAGATGGAGGAGAGGGAAACAGAAGGAGTAGAGGGAGGAGAGGGAGACAGAAGGAGACAGAGGGAGGAGAGGGAGACAGTAGGAGACAGAGGGAGGAGAGGGAGACAGAAGGAGGAGAGGGAGACAGAAGGAGGAGAGGGAGACAGAGGGAGGAGAGGGAGGAGAGGGAAACAGAAGGAGGAGAGGGAGGAGAGGGAGACAGAAGGAGACAGAGGGAGGAGAGGGAGACAGTAGGAGACAGAGGGAGGAGAGGGAGACAGAAGGAGGAGAGGGAGACAGAAGGAGGAGAGGGAGACAGAGGGAGGAGAGGGAGGAGAGGGAAACAGAAGGAGGAGAGGGAGACAGAGGGAGGAGAGGGAGACAGAAGGAGGAGAGGGAAACAGAAGGAGGAGAGGGAGACAGAGGGAGGAGAGGGAAACAGAAGGAGGAGAGGGAAACAGAAGGAGGAGAGGGAGGAGAGGGATACAGAGGGAGGAGAGGGAGACAGAAGGAGGAGAGGGAGACAGAGGGAGGAGAGGGAGACAGAGGGAGGAGAGGGAGACAGAGGGAGGAGAGGGAGACAGAGGGAGGAGAGGGAGACAGAAGGAGGAGAGGGAGACAGAGGGAGGAGAGGGAGACAGAGGGAGGAGAGGGAGACAGAGGGAGAAGAGGGAGACAGAGGGAGAAGAGGGAGACAGAGGGAGAAGAGGGAGACAGAAGGAGGAGAGGGAGACAGAAGGAGGAGAGGGAGACAGAGGGAGGAGAGGGAGACAGAGGGAGGAGAGGGAGACAAATTGAGGAGACGGAGACAGAGGGAGGAGAGGGAGACAGAAGGAGACAGAAGGAGACAGAAGGTGGAGAAGGAGACAGAGGGAGAAGAGGGAGACAGAAGAAGGAGAGGGAGACAGAAGGAGGAGAGGGAGACAGAGGGAGGAGAGGGAGACAGAAGGAGGAGAGGGAGACAAATTGAGGAGAGGGAGACAGAGGGAGGAGAGGGAGACAGAAGGTGGAGAAGGAGACAGAGGGAGGAGAGGGAGACAAAGGGAGGAGAGGGAAACTGGGATGAGGGGGAGGAGAGGGAGACAGAGGGAGGAGAGGGAGGAGAGAGCAGAGACCATTTCTCTCACTATAATAAGTTATGGATTCAGACTAAATTAAAGCCACAAGCAGCATTGGTTGGCCTTTCCTCCCATCTTCAAAAGGAGAAGGGTTAATCACGGCTCAGTGAGGAAAAATAAAAACATGTTTTTGAGCTGAATTTTGGGCTTCATCCACGTTCAATCAAAGACACAAAATATTCCATGCAGCAGCGTCTAAGGACAGTGATATTTAAGGACATTTCCCTCTCCCTATGGACCAATGGCAATGTTGTTGGTGAATCCACAACTTTGTAAAGTCCACTTAAGCTGTGGTTATTTAGGGAAAGGTGGGAGGTTGAGGATGACGCGCTGAGGTTTGGATGAACAAGAGTCATGTTGTTGTGTTCACTCCAAAAGTCAAACTCCAGTTCTTAACAGGATCCTTTCCCTTCTCATCTCCCACCAGTGTGGTGTCAGAGAGAAGAGCCAGAGCATGGGCCCCAGGGAGAGGCCCCAGTTAGGATCACCTTCATCCTTGCTGTATGAGGGAGAGGCTTCTGATGCTGTCAGAGTGTAGAATGAACAATGCTGACTCATCTCTGATCTCTCTCTTATTCAGGTCCCACTCTCGCTCTCCGGTCCTGCTTTCTGGTCCCGATCTCTCTTTCCAGTCTCTCTATGGTCTATCTCAACATCTTCCCTCTCGCGTAAAGCAAACACGGGTCTAAAAAACTCGCCAACCATTCCCACAAAATCCCCAAAAACACTTTTTTTTTCCCACGCCGCCGTGGGAAAAAGATTAAAGTCACTATTCAAGTCCTGAATCATATTGAAACCAGTAACATTAGTCTAGTCTGACAATCAAACATGTTCAAACGTGATGACAACAGACAGAAGCCTCCGTTCTGTTTTTTTTTATTAAACCACTTTGAGTAATGAGCCCCCGTTTTGCCTCTGAGGGCAGCGTAACAGAGGATCCTGGGTTCTGGTCTCCCACTGAGGACTCTTCAGACTGTGGGGTCAGTCACTGCAGAGAGTCCCACCCCCGCGGAAACCAGTCTGGAGCGATCCCGAGTATGGTTTGGACCCGGCTTTGACTGATGGAGTGTGTCCTTAAATAATCCAGGTCTCAGACTCTGGGAGGAGCGCAGGGAGATGGAAGAGTGGGTTAAACCGACTCACAGCATTTCTCAGAGGGAAAGCAGAGGCTGGTGTCACTTTCCCACTGTTGTCCTGAGTCGACATAACATGGGTCTGCCGGGTGAAAACGCCTTCTGACAAAACAGATTAACAAGAGCCATGTTCCAGCTTCTTCCCTTTGGCTGAAGATATCGTTGGCTGAGATGCTCTACACCTGGATAGGCCAACAGCTAATCCAGATGTCCTGCTCTCTTACACACTCCTGTGAGGGGGGTGAGTTTGTTTTGTAAAGAGTAGATGGGGTTGAAGATGTTCAACCAATGGCATTGTGAGATAATTTGTCTAAATAATAGCTATCTAACACACTGGTTTGTATCTAAATACAAACCAGAGTGCAAATGATAAGGAAAACTGTTGTACCTTACCTGCACACAAGTCTCCTTTATAAGACATTTTTGGTTGGTTGCACAGAAGTAAAACAAATATTTCTCCTCATGAAGCTGGTATCCGTAACCCTAATTGGTAACTGTAGCAACAGGGCTCAATCACTGCGCTGCCGAACAGAACTTTTTAGGGTCCTTTGTCTGTTCAGCTTTAAGGCTGTTGCTGTTAGGTATTAACTTTTAATGATGTGTTTGTGTTGATAGATGCATTTCTGCTGTTGGACAACAAAGTTTCTCCTACGGGGATCAATAAAGTATCTATCACCATCTCCTGCTCATATACTGTATAAGTCTACAGGTCTTCGGATCGTCCCTTTCTCTTGATCCTCTGTTGGGAGGTGTTCTCTGGAGACTCTGGAGTCTCACAGAGCTCCACCACAGAGCTTCACAGAGCCTGGTTGTTCTGGTGTGGTGGTGAATGATTCAGTGTCTGCAGTCTCAAGATGAAGTGTGAGAGAGAGACTCCACACATGAGCCATTCAGCAGAGACAGGAGCCGCTGTAACGCTGCTGTTAGCAACCGACGACTGCCAACGCCTCACTGTGCAATACTCACCCATGTGTGGATCCGAGAGGAACTTAAAAGGTCAGATTGCTTTATATATAGGTTCAGTTTATTTGCCATTTTTGGTAAAACCACATTGGAGTCTCTCTCTCTCTCTCTCTCTCTCTCTCTATGTGTGGAGTTTACATGTTCTCTCTGCTCTGGTTTTCGCTACCAGTTTCTTAGGATATCTTTTTTCCCTTCAGCCTTAAAGCAGCAATATGTATGCAAAATCTTTCCCTAATATCTCAAAAAGCATTAATAAACCATGCTCTTTTCGAATACTTATTTAACTGATAACAGTAGTTCAGCTGGGATATTTGAATATCAAAATTAGATTTACACCTCCTTGTTATTGTTTTCACTTTCTGATTTTTACCTGGTCAAGTAACATGTGGCCAAGTCATTAATGACAAAACAAGGAATAAAACTAGGATTTCTATTGAGGTCTTGGTGAAAAAGATGTTGGTTATAGATTTGTTGTTGCAGAACTCATGGTCTATTCAGCGAGGTCCCAGTTGGATTTGTGTGCATATCTGGCAACCCGAGTCAGGGCGAGTGGGAGAGGTTGCAGTACTACTTTTGACTAGATTTCTGCATATTGCACCTTGCACTTTATTACTATTGTTAGTCGTTTTTAGGATATGTATTAATGGAAGTTTGTGTGGATGCATGTGTTTCTGCTGCTGAAAACACATCAGTAAAGTGTAAGACAATAAGTCTGAATGTAAAGAGTGATGGTCGGGAAGGTCGTAGGGTCAGGTGTGTTCAGTGTCTCACTTCTGTCATCACTACAGAGATTACTGCTACATGTTACTGCAGAAATGGATGGAAACTATTTGGAGAACCAGGCCCTGCTGAGTTTCAGAGGTCTGGCTGGCTCTGGCCCTCACAGGCAGGTGGCGCTATCAATCAATCAATCAATCAAAGTTTATTTGTAGAGCGCCTTTCATACACAGGGCAACACAAAGCGCTTCACAGTCCACATCACAAATCATCACATAAAACAAACACCAGAATCACAATTAAAACATTAAAATCACACAAAAGATTAAAACACAATTAAAACATTAAAATCACACAAAAGAATAAAACCATTAAAACTTTCAAAATTACACAAGAAATTTAAAAAAATAAATAAATGACAGCAGTGCATTAAAAATGGAGATAAAATCCTTCAGTTATATGCACAGGCAAACAGAACAGTCTTTAACCTGGATTTGAACATTGACAGAGTAGACGCCTCCCTCACATTTTCAGGGAGATTGTTCCAGATCTTAGCTGCATGGATCTGAAACGCAGCCTCCCCATGTTTGGTTCTCACTCTGGGCACCAGCAGGAGGCCAGTCCCTGTGCTCCTCAGAGTCCGGGCCGGTTCATATGACACCAACATGTCACTAATGTATTCTGGTGCAAGGCCATGGAGAGACTTGTACACAAGCAGAGCCGTTTTAAAATCTATTCTTTGAGCCACAGGAAGCCAGTGCAGAGACCTGAGGACCGGACTAATATGGTCATACTTCCTGGTTCCTGTCAGGACTCTAGCTGCTGCATTTTGGATGTACTGCAGCTGCTTACAGGTCTGTTTGGACAGACCTGTAAGCAGGCCATTGCAGTAGTCTAGCCTGCTGGAGACAAATGCATGGACAAGAATCTCCAAGTCTGCCCTGGACACTATATTTCTAACTTTGGCAATGTTCTTCAGATGGTAAAAAGCTGTTGATGTTATTGATTTTATGTGGCTATTGAAATTTAGGTCTGAGTCCAGTATTACCCCCAAATTTCTGACCTTGTCTGAAGGAAGTAGGGAGAGAGACTGAAGTTGACAAATGACGCCCTCTCTTTGTTTCTGGGGACCAAAGACAATGATTTCGGTTTTGTCTGCATTTAGCTGGAGGAAATTATTTTGCATCCAGTCACTGATCTGTTGGATACAGTGAAGGAGCAAATCCAGTGGTCCATGTTCTCCTGCAGTCAGTGAGACATAGATCTGAGTGTCGTCAGCGTAATTGTGGTAGGACACTTTGTTTCTTTGTATTAACTGACCTAACGGCAGCATGTAGAGATTAAATAGGAGAGGTCCCAGGATCGACCCCTGTGGTACACCACAGGTCAGGGCCACATCATCTGAGACGCAGTCTCCAATCTCCACAGAGTACTTCCTATCCTCCAGGTAAGACCTAAACCAGTCTAGGGCTGTGCCAGTGACACCAACCCAGTCCTCCAGTCTCTGCATGAGGATCTCATGGTCGACAGTGTCGAACGCGGCACTAAGATCTAACATGACCAAAACTGTGACTTTACCTGCATCAGTGTGAAGTCGAATGTCGTTTGTTACCTTCACTAGAGCGGTCTCAGTGCTGTGGTGGGGTCTAAACCCAGACTGGAACATATCAAAAGAATTATTCATTGTTAAAAATTCAGTAAGTTGTTGGGAGGCCACTTTTTCAAGAATTTTTCCAATAAATGGCAGATTCGATATGGGGCGATAATTTTGAAGTCCCGCAGGATCCAGACTGCTCTTTTTTAGGAGAGGTCTTATGACTGCTGTTTTTAGGGCCATAGGAAAGTTCCTGACGACAGAGACATGTTTACTATTTGTGTCAGTGAAGGTAACAAACTGCTCAGGACGGACTTCAGAAATTTAGAGGGCAATATATCCAGGCTACATGTGGAGGAGCTCAGACTCATGATTATCTTTTTGACAGTTTCAGTATCCACAGGTGCAAAGTGAGTTAGCTCAAAAAGCTTCTCTGGCTGTTGCATTGTTATACGTGCTGTGGAGGTGATAGTGTTTTTGATTCCTTGTACTTTGTCATCGAAAAACTGTGCGAACTCATTACACCTAGATTTAGAGGAAAATTCTAGGGGCAACTTTACAGGGGGGTTCGTTAATCTACCAACTGTTGAAAACATAACACGAAAATTGTTACTGCAACCTCCAATAATGTCAGAAAAATACATTTCTCTTGTTCTACGTAGAACCCGGTTAAATTCACCCCAACTCATCTTTAAAGATTTCATAATCGCCCTGGAAATTGGACTTTCGCCACTTCCGTTCGGCCCTCCGGCACTCTTGCTTCTGTGCCCTAACCGAGTCTGCCTTAGTCCATGGGGCCTTTTTCTTACTGGTAACTATTTTAACCGTCACAGGAGCAATGGCGTCCAGAACAGTCAGAACACTGGTGGTGACAGAGTTATACAATTCATCAACAGTAGAGCATGGAGTTTTCTCAAAATTTAGCATTCCCATGAACAGTTCACTTGTGTTTTCATGTATGTGTCTTCTTCTAACAGTTGTAAATTCAGCTGGTGGTTTGCTAGCAAAACACATGTCAAAAAATACACAGAAATGATCTGACAAAGCAACATCAACTACATTAACATTTGATACATTAACCCCCTTTGTAATTAGCAGGTCAAGAGTGTGCCCCCTGCTGTGGGTGGGGCCACTCACGTGCTGAATGAAACCAAAGGTCTCAAATACAGAAGCCAGCTCCTTTGCATTTCTGTCATCAACATTATCAACATGTACATTAAAATCACCTGTAATAACTAAACTATCAAAATCTGTGCACACGAATGAAAGTAGTTCAGTAAAATGGTCAATAAAATCGCAACATGACTGTGGTGGCCTGTACAGGACAATGAAAAGAGTAGAAGATTGCTTTTGTTCCATTTTAAAAGAAATATACTCAAACGATGAAAAATTTCCAAGGGGCATTCTATGGGAGACAAAGTGCTCTCTAAAAACTGCAGCTATGCCTCCCCCCCTTTTGTTTTCTCGTATTTCGGATTCGAATTTAAAATTGGGTGGTGTTGCTTCTATTAGAACTGCATTTCCTGTATTTTGGTCGAGCCATGTTTCAGCCATAAGCATAAAATCAAGATCATAAGAAGTGATAAAATTATTAATTAAAAATGATTTGTTACATAGAGATCTGACATTAAGCATAGCAAGTTTAAAAATAACGTCAGAGTCGATTAATGTGGTTGATTGATTTCTACAGGGAACAGAAATTAGATTTGCAGAGTTGGACCGTCTAACTGCTGTCCTGTTTTGATTTCGTTTTTTAGAATTTAAAAACATTTTTGAGCTGGTGCGAGGAACACACACAGTCTCAATTGGACTAAAATGTGAAACCCTTGTTGTTGTTCTTTAGCTCCCAGAGTCAGAAGGGAGTCAGCACAGTTCAGTGTTTGGACTGGTAATGCACTGCCAGACGGACAGGGAGCAGTGTTTGCACCGTTGTACTCACCCGGTGCTGGTGAGCAGGAGGCGGGGGAGTGCGGTGGGGTCCGAGGGGGCTCAGATGTAAACAGTCACGCCCCCCTCGGGGAACGCTGAACAACATAACGTATGTAATCCATCAACAGGCTGCTACCGTATCTGTTTGGGTGTAATCCGTCTGGACGATAGGCTTCGTTACGTTTCCAGAAAAGGGCAAAGTTATTCACAAAGACAAAGTTAAAAGAGCTGCATGTAGCCTGGATCCACATATGCAGCGCCACAACACGACTGTAGAGGCAGTCACCTCTGTTTACAGTCGGGATTGGACCAGAAATAAAAACAGATAGTCCGGAGGATTGAAGGAGGTGGAACAGATCCATAAAATGTTTCTTCGTGACTTCTGACTGCTGAAGTTTCATGTCGTTAATTCCCACATGCACGACTACCTTGGAAACGGTATCAGGCAGGGACTGAAGCAGAGGAGGGAGACGGATGAGCAGGTCTGGCACAGTAGCTCCGGGAATACAGCGAGTGACCGCGTTAAAGAAGCGGACGTGTCTCACGATGGAATCTCCAATAATCAGAGTGGTCGGGGCGAAGAGTGGCCTCGGAGAAGGAGCTCGGTGGACGGAACCAGCGGGTTCACCCGAAGCAGGACCCGAGCCTGAGCGCCGCTGAACACATGGAGAGGAGGAGCGGGGGTGCTGACTCTCAGCTACAGGCGACCCACGCTGTGTGCTCGGGGACGCTGGAGCGGTGAGAGGGGCTGGCTCTGGGCGCTGCTGCTGACCCGGTGGAGGTGAGCGATGGTAATGATGGCTCGCTACCCCAGTCTGAGGCTGCTGCACTGGGGTCAAAGAAGGGGAACAGGCCAACATGGCTGGTGGACCGCTCTTTCGCCTGAGGACTGCTTCCTTTAGGAGCGTTTTCCTCGTAGTGGACTTGGATCCTCGAGCAGTAGAGTACGCTGCAGTGTCCAGGGATTCTGCTGAGGGGGCCGGGATGTCGGTGGAGAGGGCTGCATAGCGGTTTGCCAGACTCAGGACATGGGCCACGGCGCAGGATGGCTCCTCGGAATCCGCGGGCTCGTTATTCGGAAGCGGGCGCTTAGGTGTAGAACAGGAGGGTCCGGAGCTGACGGATCTCTCCCACACGACAGTGTCACAATATGCAGCGCTCAGTGACATCAGCCGTGAATGCTGCCCACCAGCGACTTCAAAAAGTTTGGACACTAGAGATTGTTTCTCATTCAACTCTGCGGTGAGACGAAGGACTTCTTTTCGTAGATCTGCAATGGTGGCACGGTCGCTCTCACGGAGCTCCAAGGTGAGGCGACTAATATTGTGCATGTTTGAGCCAATTTCATTGTCACTTTCCATGTCCTCGTTAGCTTGTGTTAGCCTCTGTGCTACTAGTGGGTTTCAGTCGGGACTAAGTGCTATTTGCTGAAACCACTGAATTAAAAAGATAAAACACTCAGATATATTAAAAAACTGAACAATAAAAACGCGCTAAAAAGTTGTTAAAAGTTTACTAAAAAGGTGCACAGAGCAGCCCTGCAGTACTGCTTACTTTGACACACCTGCGTTGAAGTTGGTGGGCTATACCATAGAGTGTCCTGAAAGTGACTATGAAACAACAGTATGCGTGATCTAAAGTGAAAACTGGTCATTCCTTTACAAAGTTGTTACATCAACCCTGAAATGGGCGAATCATAAATCGGTGATCAATGCAGTTATGTATTAATACTCATGCTGTATTGACGATTTAACGACAGATCTGGTTTAGACGAGACTTCAGGGTTTAGATTCAATGTGATTCTAGTATCTTTCTTCTCGCACAATCTCTTGCAAGTTTCTGCAGAATATTTCTCTCTCTCTCTCTCTCTGAATGAAACTTTAATTTGTCGACTGATTTTGTTCTGATCTTTGACAAACTCCGGCTCTGCTCCTCATCTGTCAGCGAACAGCAGATCTGTGCCGGAAACCTCTCGATAACAACACATCGTGTAATAGACACACAACACACACATGTACAGTGTGAGAAGGTCAGGAGAACTGAGTCTGATCCTGGTCAACACCTGGTATAAAACCGGGCTACATTTGGACTCTCACCCGGCCTCTCACCCGGCCTCTCACCCGGCCTCTCACCCGGCCTCTCACCCGGCCTCTCACCCGGCCTCTCACCCGGCCTCTCACCCGGCCTCTCAACCGGCCTCTCACCCGGCCTCTCACTTTGTAAACACCAGGTAGCGAGCACTGGATCTTTGTGTTCCATTTATGCTGATATGAACGTTTCAGAATCACAATATTCCAAAACATAATCCATGAGCGTCGACTTCCAAGGGGGAAATGGTGCACCTGATTTGCTGCATCTTCTTTCTGATTGATTTCAGACGAGCCACAGATTTCACAAGCATTACTCAGTCTAAAAATAGTGTCACTATGACAACATCTACTACACTTCCATTAGACTCACTTTGTTGCTTTTACCCTCGTCAGAACATTTGTGCTCAGAAACACAAAGAGCTCTACTCTTTGTGTTTCTGAGCACAAATGTGGCCAACACCTCTTCCACATGAACAGTTCTGAAAAGATCCAATGTTGTGTCATCACCTAATTATGTCGACTCAGAATCTACAAGTGAGAAGCCCCCTGCTGCAGAGCAAGAAGGTCTGTGGTTCAATCCCCTGCCATCTTCTTGAGTCTGGGAGAGTTTTGTGGAGACTAAGCTTTCCTCAGAGCCAGTGTAAGTCTGGGTCAAATACAGAGGACGGATGTTCTTACGGGACATCAAAGAACAAACAGGTTCCAAGTGACAGAGCATAAAGACTGAACTCTCTTGAGGACAAATAAATTCATTACAAAAACACTCGCCTACATTTCCATTTTTCAGCAAGTACAGCTCTCTGTAACGCGGATATTTCTCTCTGGAGCCAACTCTGCTCTGAAGATATAACAATAACGTTTAAATAATTAAGAATTAAAGTTAAAATACTCAAAAGAATCATAGAATGTACAGCTGGACACGGAGAGAGAAGCCACTAAGATAATGTTGTACCTTGTTCTAAAGCTCAGAAACTTTGTCGTTACTGTATCTGTATAAACTGACATTTGTTTTTGATTCTGCCACAAAGTCTATAAATGGGACAAATGTCACTGTGGTGTGAATGCATTTGGACTTTATATCAAACCCTCAGAACAGTCTGAATCCAGTCAAATCAATTACATCCGTGTTACCGGCCCCTGCACCAGTCTGGTGAGTCTGGACACCCCTGCTTTATACAGTCCATGCTCTAAGCCTCTCATTTGCGTTGCCAGATAAAACTCTGAAATACAGCGTGCCTCTCGCTGCCTAAAGCTCAGCACCTTCACCATTCCTGAAATCAAACCTGTGCTGCCTCATTATGTAGATTTATTGCAGGGAGACGAGAGGCCAATGTGAAAACAGTACAAAAAGTGATGTTCTGAAGCAGAAGCGTGCGGATACATGTCAGACAAAAACATCTTGTTCCTCATCTGGAGCTGGTTGACTGACATTTTCCTTCTCCTCTGGGTCCCTAACCCTCCTCACACAGATCCATGTCTGCCATGCTCTCCACTTGGAATTTCGCACACCTGTGAGCAGTTAGCGCTTCGTAGCTATCTGCTGGAGCTAATCCTTTGTGTGTGAATGTAAAGAGAGGTTTACCTCAGTGGGAGGCTGCGGAGCCGTGATGAAGAAGATCAAGAACAGACGCATCTTATCTTCTGGTGTTCCCGCTGCAAACAGAGGCAGGTTTTAATACCAGAATGTTGTTGGCTCAATACCACAATGAGGAAGACGTGTATCTGTAAGTGGGGAGGGAGGCGGGGGTATTTTGGAGTATTATGTCAATTATACTAAAGTGATCGATCAAACTTGTGCTAAAATGTGTTGCTAATGTTCTCCTGAGGTTCAAGATTCAAATTAGTAATAATAATTTAAAAATTCGGTTTTATAGAGTACTTTTCAGGACATTCAAAGACTTTTCACATGTCATGATTCATTCACTCAAGGACAAGTGACAAGTGCCCAAAAAATAACAATTGTAAACCGCTTTGTGACTCTGGTCTGTGAAAGGCGGTATATAAATAAAGCTTACTTACTTACACTCCAGACACAGTGGTGATAAACTACTACTTGAGCCACAGCTGCCCTGGGGCCGACTGACAGAAGCGAGGCAACCAGTATGTGCCATTGGCCCCTCTGACCACCACCAACCATTCACACACAACTGCCTTGCCAAAGGACACAACCACAGTTTGGCACTTAAACTTGGGACTTTACTATGGTCCCAAGCTTAAGCCAATTGTCAATGTAGAATAGCATAACATCTTCAACTTAAATAAAAAGCTAGAGCTAGTAAGAGCTTCATCATTTCCGGTCAGCAGGATTGTTTCAGAACGTTCCGTCTTGTGGGAGGAGTCTCACCGTCCGGGTCGCTGATGATGTCCAGCAGGGATTTGTCCAGAGTGGATTTACTCATCAGTTTCTCCTCGTACTCGAAATACACGTCCAGCTTCCGGCTCTGAGGGACAGGGAGCAGAGACAGTCACACGCCATGCATCGTTATCTTTGGATCGGTTTAGTGACACAAAATCATCATTAAGTTTTAGAATAGGTTTTGGGAAATTCTCCAGTCAAGAGGGAACACCTTTAACTTAATTAGTTGTTCAGCCTCAGTCCTCGACCTACAGCATCAGTCCTGGGGAAACACTTCTGGATAGTGGTCATCCTACTTCCTATGAACCAATGGCTCTATGTTTTTGTTATTATTATATTTCCAGTGTTAGAACTGTTTGATTCTTTGATCTGTTTGTGAATTAACAAGTCCTTTGAGACGACTGCTATGGTTTAGGGTGATGCACAAACATTTCTTATTGAGAATCTTTGCCTTAGTTAGAGGGAGGACTAATGTCTTGTTAAAACCTTAAACAGAACACATAAAGAATGATAGGTTTCCTTTAAAGCTGCTTTTACCTTGATGTGGTCGAGGACAGCGGTGGCGACGTTGGTGTGAAGATCAATGAGCCGTTTCTTCTCCAGAAGCTCCGGGAGAGAGCTGAAAAATACAAGAAATATTCAAACTACACTTCTGTCTGTACGAGAAATCCATAACAGAGAGAGCTGGAGGCCGTTTTCAGCCAGAGACACTTGATATGATCTAAAGAGGAAAGTGGAAAGTCAAACAAAACAGGGCTAAGATTTCAGATTCAGACACAGAAACATCCTGAAGAAACAGCGACAGACTCAATATGATTAAACAAGGCTCTATTTTACTGTTACTGTTACAGCTTCTATTACAGTAACAAGCTTTTCTTTCCAAATGCTTCCTGCTGTAGCTACAATAGTAAGTAAGTCATCTTTATTTATAAAGCGCATTTTATAGACCAAGGTTATCCAAAGCACTTTACAAAGTTCCGATATATTTCCATTCTCTCGACACTAACCACCGTGCCATCAATAATATTTTACACCAGTTATGCTATTGTCCAAGTCAGGGCTGTCAAACTCATTTTGGGTTGGAGCCAAATGTAAAGACATAAGACAAAAGACGTAAGACATAAGAGCTGGTTGGGGCCACTGTATTTAACACGACTTTGAATATTATTTTGTCGTTGATGTTTTAATTTAACCAACTATAATTTCTACTTACATTTCAGTAAACGTTTTAGAACAGATTAAATCATACGAGTGTCCTTTTGAGAAAATAGGCCTTAAAATGAAGTATATCATGCCATAGTAGCCCATTACCATCAATGCTACAAGTTACTATGATAACAGATCATTGAAAATCATTCACGGGCAAATAAAAATGGTCTTGCGGGATCAATTTGATGCCATTTATTATTTTCATCTTTTGTGCCTGTGAAGTACTTTGGGCAGCTGGTGTTGTTGTAAATGTGCTATACAATTAAAGTTGACATTGACATTGGATTTTTTCCCACGGGCCAAAGTTTGACATGCAAGTGGTTCCATTATTAACAAGCTATTTCTTTGATATTGTAAGATTTTAGTTGAATTAGAGATATAAGTGAAGGACAAGTAGACAGACATGTAGTAAAATCATTATTAGTAAGTATACAAAATTAAATAGGATTATCTTTCCATGGACAAGATCCATTTTTCTCAGTATATACTGCATTTGTCTCAGGTCAGTTTGTCCATAGACTTCCTCAAAGCCCAATGTCATATCAGGGCCAAATATTTCATAAATTGTTTTTATCACCTCTGACCAGTAGGGGGCGATCTTTGCCTTGTCTTAGAATACTAACTGTGCTTTACCTGACGGCCGAGGTGAGTTTGGCAGTGTTGTCTGATAACATGCTGATGGCTCCTTCGTCCTCTCCCTCCAAACCCTGTGCATATAAACAATCACATTTCACATTCAGTCAGCATTACTAACTTTAAGCTTATTCAGGGAGATGCTACTACCGATAAAAAATGTGATGTGTTCATAAATATTAGAAATAGTAACTAGAGAGGATCGGCATAACAGCAGGATCACAGAGAGCACTAAACCACTGATTTTTAAGACTAAAATAGTGAGTGTGACACAAACGGTTACTGAGCTAGGGGAGTTAATTTTTACATAGAAGTCGGAGCCAGAGCGGGTTCGAGCAAACCTCTTCCCTATTGAGCTTCATTGAGCTAGCAGGTTAGCACAGCCGCTCTGTATAACGCCTATAGTTCAGAAGAATGCCGAATAAATGCTTTCTCACCATGATGCTTTTGAGGTGCTTGACTTCGTCCTCCTGAGCTCTGTACGTGTCCAGCTCCTCCTGCACCGCCTCCGCCACCTCCGGGAACGGACTAAAACACAACCACGCAACAGGAAATATGGGACTAAAATAAAACATCAGAATGACCACATTTAAGAGCAGGTGTCAGGACAGGTCAAACTGGATCACTTACAGAAAAACACAAACTGAAAGACACATGATTCATTTATATTTATATTATATTATATTTAGGGCTTAAAGTCCTAATTATAAATGTATTTAATTATCCTTGGTGGAGCTTTGACAATCACTGTGGTGATAATCAGCTCTGCTAATGTTCACTGCAAATTATTTTTAGCAAAGTCATATGCAAGTAAGTTACCAAATCATGGTTACAGTATCTAAAAAGTTATGATTGATCATAACAATACACATGGGGTGGGAGTTTACAAGTTTTTCTTCTTCCCACTCCATATCGAGCTCAGGGAACAACATGTGTATAATAACTATGTAAACATGTAACGGTTTTTCTGTGCACGGGCGCATTAATAATGTAAGTTGTATATTTGTTATTTCATTCAGTCTATCTACATTTGGATACTTGTATAAGCATCCAAACAGCTCTGAAGGAACAAAATAAATAATTACTAAAAAATTAAATAAGCGGTCCTCACCTTCCTTTGTGCTTTTGCCAGAAGCGGTCTGCAGCAGTGAGGTCGTAGGTTTTGCGGTTCTTCTTTTTTGGTCGAGCTCCGGACGGACTGGGCTCAGGACCCGAGCTCTCGTCTAGGGCCACACGATTCAGATGGAAGTCCTGAGAAACACACACACACACACACACACACACACACCGACAGACAGACACACAAAAACACAAAAATACACACTCACACACACACACACACACACACAGATACAGAGAGAGACACACAAAACAGAGAGAAACACAGACACAGACAGACAGACAGACCAACACAGAAACACACACACACACACAAACATCAGGGTCACAAAGAGGATGACAAAAAGATGACTTAATGTCCCTTAAACCAGTGATCCCCTTGTTAGACCTGTTTAACATCACACAATCTTTTCAAGAACCGACAGCTAATGCCACTGGACCTTTAAAAATAAAACAATTAAAACTAATCTAAAATAAAAGAGATAATTTCCGCTCCATCATACGAATAGTTTAAACATGTGATTTCTTGGATTTGTCGTTCAATTCTCTCAGTTTACATGTATGATCAAAATGATGGCGCCTCACACTATTGACAACAAACCAATACTTATATATTCTAGTTCCAGAGTGATGTCACACAGACCATGAGATGCCAGTGTAAATATTGCCCAGATTCTCTAAGTAATGAAAGGTTGCTCTCACAGTCCATCTTCCTGCTCCTGACAGGTTAAACGCCCTTTCGCGGTGACACGCGGCTCTAAAAATCACTTTATTTCTGCTTTCTTTGGCGTTTTCCGCAGGACAGAGCGGTGTTTGGGCTTCAGCCTCCACGGTTCATCGCTCTGGAGGAATGCCTCTGCTTTTGACACATCTCCTCCGCGGCTTCAGTCACTTTCCTGGCACCGAGTCCACACAGAATGAAATAAAAAAAAAACTAAATAAAGGCTGGAGTGAGAGGTGAGTGAGCGATTATGTAAGGCCGACATTATTCTCGCCGAAAACATGAGAAAAGAACCCACTGTCACAAAGGACAGGCCAGAGCTCTGGTAAAGTTACTAAAGGTGAAGCCACAATCCCAAATTATGAAGCTATTGATCAAGAATAAATGTGCGGTGTTTTCAGCCTGGATAAAAACTGGATTAGCCGACGGAGACGAATGTAATAAAGGGAAAGAAAAATATTAAAGCAACGCTAACTATAGACAAGGGGCCACTCACAGGAACGGTCAAACCAAACTGAAAAACGTACATCAGTTTTAATGGAAAGTCTCTCTCTCTCTGCTCTCTCTCTGCTCTCTCTCTCTCTGCTCTCTCTCTCTGCTCTCTCTCTGCTCTCTCTCTGCTCTCTCTCTGCTCTCTCTCTGCTCTCTCTCTGCTCTCTCTCTCTCTCTGCTCTCTCTCTCTGCTCTCTCTCTCTGCTCTCTCTCTCTCTGGTCCCACTCTCATATAGTATAGTTCCTCTAACCAGGACGTCGTGCACCAGCGCCTGATAGGTCCAGGTGTGGTGAAGGGGCGTGGCCATGTCCAGGTTCCGGTCCACCAACACGAACAGCGGCCTCTGGAAACTGCATCAAAAACAGGTATGATATTTATCTGGATTTGTAGATCACACTTCAGGGGTCTTTGAAATTAAGATGAAGAGATACTAAAACAAAACAAAACCTCTAACTTAAGCAAAATAAAACAGCACCTAACATCTCCAACATAATAAAGACCTGGTACCTGAACTGTCCCGCCGTCATGTTGTCAGAGGTGAAGAGACTGTTCCGAGCGTCTCGCAGGTTTTCACGAAGCTTTTTGTCCAATTTCTGCAAAAAACAGGAAGCAAAACGTTGGATACTACTAAATGTATTTATAGAGCACATTATACACACTGCAACTCATTATGATTTAAGCTGGGGTTCCACAACATGCCGTCTTCATCTTATCAAAATATATGTTTTCTTTGGCATAAGATATCTCTCTGGTCTCCCTCTCTCTGGTCTCTCGCTCTCTGGTCTCTCGCTCTCTGGTCTCTCGCTCTCTGGTCTCTCGCTCTCTGGTCTCTCGCTCTCTGGTCTCTCGCTCTCTGGTCTCTCGCTCTCTGGTCTCTCGCTCTCTGGTCTCTCGCTCTCTGGTCTCTCGCTCTCTGGTCTCTCGCTCTCTGGTCTCTCGCTCTCTGGTCTCTCGCTCTCTGGTCTCTCGCTCTCTGGTCTCTCGCTCTCTGGTCTCTCGCTCTCTGGTCTCTCGCTCTCTGGTCTCTCGCTCTCTGGTCTCTCGCTCTCTGGTCTCTCGCTCTCTGGTCTCTCGCTCTCTGGTCTCTCGCTCTCTGGTCTCTCGCTCTCTGGTCCCTCGCTCTCTGGTCCCTCGCTCTCTGGTCCCTCGCTCTCTGGTCCCTCGCTCTCTGGTCCCTCGCTCTCTGGTCCCTCGCTCTCTGGTCCCTCGCTCTCTGGTCCCTCGCTCTCTGGTCCCTCGCTCTCTGGTCCCTCCGCTTCTCCTATTTTCAGTTTTACACATGGATCTGAGACTGTGTGCAAAAGATAATTGTTTTCTAATAAGATGAAGACAGAATGTTGCGGCCTTAGAAAGAGTTATTCATGTTTCTAAAGATCCTCACCACAGCTACCATCTCTGCTGCGTTTCCTCTGGGACAGCGGATTATGGGCAATGCACCTGAAGAAATAACAAATTATTAATGAGTTTTAAATGGTTTAGAAAAGATTACTCTTTTCAGAGAGCATCGCGTGGCGCTCAGGGGCGGTCTTAATGGAGTGCGAACCGGGGTGGTGGTCCCCCACTAAAAGAAGGGGGACCGGAGGGTGTGTTCCAATTATCGTGGGATGACACTCCTCGGCCTCCAAGGCACTGGTGAGATTCAACCGATGGTTGAATCTCTGATTCGGGAGGAACAATGTGGTTTTTGTCCCGGCCGCGGAACACTGGACCAGCTCTATACTGTCCATGAGACACTCGAGGGTTCATGGGAGTTCGCCCAATCTGTCCACATGTCTTTTGAGGGGTTCTTCGGGAGTACGGGGTCCTCTGCTGAGGGCCGTCCGGTCCCTAAATGACCGGAGTCGGCGCTGCAGTGAAGACAGAGCCAGTTTAGGTGACTCGGGCATCTCTTCCGGATGTCTCGTGGACGCCTTCCTGGGGAGGTGTTCCTTGCACGTCCCACTGGGAGGAGACCCCGGGAAAGACCCAGGACACGCTGAAGTGACTACAGTATGTCTCTCAGCTGCCCTTCAGTGTGAGCTGGAGAAAGTGTGTGTGAATAGGGAAGTCTGGGCTTCTCTGCTTAGATTCCTCCCACCGCAACCCGGCAACAGATGAAGCAGAAAAAAATTGATGGATGGAGAAAAAAAAGGACTAAAGCACGACTAAAGCAGGACTAAAACCAAGACTGACCCAATGTGACGAAGAAGCAGAATAGGCTGTCCACTATGGTGTCCATGATGGCCTCCATGTCGGTGTCCTGGAGGTCTGGTCGGTTAATGGCTGACACAGAAAGAGAAAAAAGAAAAATACGTTTTAGATTTAGACAACTTCATTGATCTAATATCTGCAGGAGGGATTAAGAAATATAAAAGACTTTAAATGATGGATACTTCTACAGTTTGGTAAAAGTGGGACCAGGTGAACTCGTCACTCATACATGACCTGTAGACGACATTATTCAGAGTCTTTCTCACAATCATCTTGTTACAAAACGCTGACAGGTCTCACTGTCAAACTCCAACTACTTTTGAACAGATGTGCACAATTCCATCAAGACTATCATTGAAAACTCACTCTCTCTAATAGGATTATGATAAGATTATAATCTTGAAACTATATTCAAGCAAAAAAATTGCCATTAAAATAAGCATAATTTGTTATTTTTAGTAAATAAATATTACCAAGATTTTACTTTTTTCAATGCATAACCTCAAAAGTGGGGACCAATGTAAAGAGGAAACTAAAGATTACATTTCAGATTTCATATTAGAATGAGTCTGGTGTGTGTGTGAATGGTGTGCATGGTTGGTGGTGGTCTGAGGGGCCGATGGCACATACTACTGCCTCAGGGCAGCTGTGGCTACAGTAGAAGTTTATCAACACTGTGTATGGAGTGAAAGAATAATGACATGTGGAGCATCTTTGAGTGAAAAAAGCGCTATATAAAATTGATGCATCATTATTATCATAATGTTTGCCTTAAGCGTCAGTCTAGTCTGAAAACAAACCAAACCTCTGCAGTGGTTTGCTGTCCCTTGGATTAAAAGGATGCTACAGAGTCTGACGCGCTGTGGTTCATTAGAAACGCATTATGTAAGGCCTCATTAGCTGTTTTATACATCTATTTTTGCATCACTATGTGTGTAACAAAAGGCCAAGTCTCCAAGTAAGTAATTAAGTCATCTTTATTCATATAGCGCCACAGACCACAGTCACAAAGCGCTTTACAATTGTTGCTATATTTGTCTCACTCCAAACAGAGCTGGAGCAGGTCGCCTATGGGAGACACATGCCAGACCTACTGTACATGTTTTTAGTGGTAGGGGAAACTGGAGCACCTGGAGAAAACCTACTCCACACAGAAACGGCTGGAGGTGGAATCGAAACCCAGCTTCATTCTGTGAAGCACAAGCGCCAACTGGACAGTCCATAGGCCGTTTACTAATTCAATCCAATGCATTTGTCTATAACTTTCCATATGACTTTATCAAAAATATATTGTTTTGGTCCAAAGACTGTAGCTTCCTCTTGGTCTGATGCTAAATCCTTCTCCACAGTGCCCCCATACTGCCATCCAGTGGACAACTTCAGACCATTGCTTTGGCTCCAACTCTACATTTGTAAACAGTGTTTGTGATAAGTGACTGAATGAGATAAACTGTTTATTATTGCATTGAGTTTTTAGCATTCATACAGGAATGCCTGTTTTAATTCTGTCTGCATAAGCTGCTAGCTTAGTCAAACACATAAATAATAATAATAATAAAAAGTAAATATGACAGTTGTGTTTCTCTCACCGTGATACGAAATGAGCTCTTTGTTCTGGTGACACAAGATAAACATGTCATCCTCCAAAGTGATGAAGTTGAGATACTGGTCGTAAACCTGGCATTACAAAAACACATCATTAAATCTGTTTTTACACATCCGGTTCATAGCTGTATAAAGATGGACAATACCAACCCGCTGGCTAGCTCAATATAGCCTGTAAACTCCAGTTTTAATGAAAATTGGCAACATGTACGCCTCTTCCTGTATTCCCCCTCTCCCTCTTCAGACTTTACAAGCCATTTGGATTGTTACTGTTTTCTATCATGTTTATATAAATCACACAAAAACAAGCTGTTTTCTCTCGGGTCCATTTTTTGAAATATACGATTTCTCAGTCCCTCCAAAATTTTGCAAGGTTGCAATCACAACTATTAACGCAAAAACAAGCAAACTCTGCGAAATCAGTGTAGTTTGTGGCAGTGTGACCGAGTCATTGCTCTCCCCCTGTCACTCAGCACTAGTTCCTTGTTTCTTGCAATGTTCTGAAACACAGCGCGCTAAATTAAACATTTGATGCTCACGGATCTCGCTTCATACTCACTGGTCCGCCACCTATCACCTCGCCCTGTCGCCTCTTTAAACCACACAGTAACATCATCCATGGCTCGCCCGCAGTTCAGGGTGCGCAGTTCAAGTTTGCGCGTCTAAATTCTCCTCTTCCACGTGACCGGTCAAACAGAGCGCATTTTTGGCCAATTATACGAGATCATGGATCTAATATAATAACTTGTTGGGTCATTGTCTTATTTGGTAAATGATCGTGTTTATTTTATTTATGCATTTATGTTTGATCAAAAAAAAAATTTTCTTGTTCAGAAAGTATGTTCTACAATGGGAAAAGTCGCAACTTGTCATTGCAACTTTTAGTAAAATGTCCAGCAAACTCAAGCCTTTTAGCCCGCAACAATCACAATAATTGCCCGCAAAATTCTGGAGGGACTGAATTCTGCTAGAAGCCCAATAGGGAATTGCTCCCAGACGAAGTTTGGGTCCTCTCTCTGGCTCTCCCTGGTTTAGCGTTCTCTGTGATCCTATTTTATTGTGATATTGTCTTTGTAAATCCAAATTCAGATTCAGAACTGATAGTACACACCACAGTCATTAAAGGATCGATGGCTTCACTTGCAGCTTACTTTGTTGACTTGTGTGACGGCGTTGGAAGCTAGAGCAGCACTGGCGATGTCCTCCAGTTTGCTGCGGCTAATGGCGGAAATGAAGTTCAGGAAGTAGGACTCGTAAAGCTGGTTCCGGAGGTCCTGAAACAACAGCACAGGTGGGAAATATACCAAGACACTTTACCGACGCAGTTGGGATTAAAACATCTTTCTGGATTATGTGTTCTAGTTTCATTCGTTGTATTTTAACTTTTGTTTTTGGAGCAGTCTATGGCTCCTGTGCTGCACATGAGTCCTGACTGAAGTCTAAATAGAAATAATATTTAAAGGAGCAATATGTAATATTTGCATGTCAAGTCATCATTAAATGACCCGAATAATTCAAAAGGCGTTATTAAATCATGTTCTTTTCAAACACATCTTTAACTGATAACAGTAGTTCATCTGAGATATTTGAATATCAAAATTAGTTTTACGACCCGTAAAAGTTGTTATTGTTTTGATTTTGATGTCCTACCCTCCGCCGTTTCGCCAATCAGGAAGTGTCATGCAAGTCCGTGATCGGGTTGCCAGAACTCCGTGCGGCTCACTAATCTCAGAGGTAAAATAACATGTGGCGCAGAACTAAAAAAGGTCTTGTTTTGACTCTCAAATCATTAATGACAAAACAAAGACTAAAACGAGGATTTATATCGGGACGCCTTTGAACAATTGAGACAGCTGATAAAAGTTTACGTGTGATGCAGAATTTGCTAGTTTGAGTCCGTTCTTCACAGTGACTCTAACTGTGTGAATCGGTGATCTAGTGGTCAAAACTGTGTGCTTACGATGCAGGAACCCGGGTTCGATTCCGGGCTATGTCTTTTTGTATTTATTGCATGTGATCACATTCTATGACAGATTGCTCTATAAACGGTAAAAGACGAAGGTCAAGACGTTTTTTTGCAGATTATAGCTTAATTGTAAAAATAATCATTTAAGACCACATGTACCCCAATTAAAATAATGTTAGTCTCTTTTTGATGTGGGACTTTTACATGTTTGTCTAAAAAATAGGGAATAAATAAAATTGAAAGATGATATCCTCTTGAGCAAACCCTGATGTTGATACGCTGAAGAAATACGTTCCAACATCCATTCTTCCCACTCCTATTTTGGACATCAATTGCTTATGTATTTTGCATAAACTGTGTAGAATTACATTGCTTTTATTTTGTTTTTGTTTTTTATCTCAAATGTCCAAATAATAATAATAAAAAAACATGAATCAAAACATTCATTCAGCATTAGCACGGCTGTCATGGCAATGTGAATGGAGACGGACAAACAACTGATAAAATAATTCCCTGTGTTTGCTGCTGGATTTGGTCTGAATCTGGCAACCTGAGTCAGGGAGAGTGGGAGAGGACTACAAAATATTGACTGTGACTGCAGAACCCCTTTTGGCCATATTTTTACATATTGTTCCTTTAAGTGACAGTTTACACACTTTGTACCTGACAAATGCGGTCGATGTTTTCCTCCGTTGGCATCACAAAGTAAATGGCTGGAACGTCTGGTATGGGGTCTCTGTCAGAGTGCAACAAACTATGCAGACAGAAAAACAAAGAATAGATTGAAATATTTTTTTAGAATAAACTTGTTATGAGTAGAGAGTTGAGGGGTACGCACAGGTGGAGGGTGATGCCCATGTCTCGCAGTTCTTTGACAGACAGCAGAGGAGAGATGATGTCCTGTCCGAACCGGTCGTAGATCAGCACCTGACCACCAGAGGGCAGCACCATGATACATTAATAGTCTATGGTTACAACTATGATAATAATGCTAAGTCCAGACATATAAATGTTAACAGTTTGTGGTCTACACTGTCTCAGGGGACACAGAATTCGAACATTAAAGTGTCACTGAGAATTTGGGCTAATATAGCATGTTTTACATATATCGCAAAGTCTCTTACTTTATTCTAGAACTCCATGAGCGGTCAATATGACAGCTTTTCATTTTGTAAGTGTAATCATTGCTTATGTACGTTTTTGGTCTTCAAAAATGTTGTGACTTTTTCTGTGTCTATATGTAGTTTCCATCTTTGCAGTTATAATTATCCCAATCCTGTTCTGGTTCTAGACTGGCCATGGAATAGTGGAGCAAGTGCCATGGCAACACACTTATTTTCAGTTAGCATTTAGTTTTGTTATATTTTAGAAAAAAAAGTGTATGAATAACTTAATTTGAACAGGAGTGGAAAACTAAAACCGCTTCTTGGGATTTTGTCAGAATTCCATTGGGACATCCATGTATTTGAAAAGACTCTCAGAGTTCTTGTAGTTTCAGAATTCTGGTATTTTTTCACCAACCTGTGAATATCCGCGGCTTAGGATTCACAGTGATGCACATTAATTTACTCTCAGTGAAGGTAAAGAATACAGAAATAATCTCGTTGCAATCATTAAAGCTGGAGTGTGAATTAATTATCAATATCAACATCTTCTATGTGTTTTAAACAGTTTTTTACCATCAGTAGTCACTTTACCTGCAGCTATTTTTACTATTGTTCATTTATATTCTCTGCCGCTAAAGTACATTAGAAACATCTGTTAGTCTCCACCGACTCTCACTGATCTCTGCTGTCGTTGTGTCCTTGGGCCAGACACTTTACCCCACTTTGCCTATAAGTAGCGCGGAAGCATTTTACGCTGTATGCCTTGATGTGTATAGTGTATTCATCTAACAGAAATGTATCCACTGTGGAACGAATAAAGGACTTTCTTCTTCTTCTTCAAAACCTCCTGCTGACTACAGTATATACTCCAAGATGAACTGTCATTGAACAAAGTGCAATTATTATATTATCTTATCCCTTCAGTATTTTATCATCTTATATAACAGATCCTGTTTGATTTGTGCAATCTGAGTGCTCTTATTTCCTCCTTTTATTCTGCTATAATGTGTAAAACAGTGACATTGAAATTTCCCCACTGTGCGACGAAAGGTCAATCTCATTTCTATCTACAGTAACCCTCAGTAGAATGTGCAGGCTGCTGGTGGTGGTGGTGGTGCTGGTGCTGGTGCTGGTGGTGGTGGTGGTGCTGGTGCTGGTGCTGGTGCTGGTGGTTACCTTCCAGACTGGCTCCGACAGAGAGTTGTTCAGAGGAGGAGCGTTAAAGTTCAGCATCCGCTTAAGAGCAGCTGGAAAACAACATAGGAGTAAATTTGTTCTACATGTTCCTAATATTATAATAACATAAACTACAGACAAAGCTGTTGTGACCAGTGACAACAACAACAACCAGAGGAGATGAAGACAAAGCCAGGAGCAGCAGAAGAATATGGGGTTACTAACATGGAGTTACTAACAACAGGTTAGACTAGAAATTTGTCTGCAAGAATACACAGCCTTCTTGTGTTTTAATGCCCTGCTTAAGCATCGAGTCAACATCAACTGCTTTCAGAGCAGCTACTTTAACATTAACAATAACAAACATGTAGCGATCCTATATTTCTCCCATGTTGGGGACATGTCAGTGTCACAGTAGGACTGACGAGCACACAACACAAGATAAGTGAATAGCACAACTCCATTAGATTAAATCACATCTATATCTTTATCTTAATAAAGAAGTAGAATCCAGAATGAGGTGATGCTGGGGTATGGGGGTCCAAACAGGCTGTTATTGCTCATGTTTGATGTCATTTCTTATGTTTGATGCGATGCACCGTGGATCTTCTGCATATCTTCTGTAGCATCAGCTTTAGCTTCGTCCGTTTTTAGTTTTTCATTTGGTGACAGTGCGAAGATGGTGGCTGCCGTAACACTAGGAACAGGCCCGGGACTCTGAGGCGCGCTAGAGCCACTTAAACCAGTAACAAAAACGTATAAACGTGAAATAAACGTGTTTTCTCACCGGTCTGCTTCTCCCGGGCGGACGTGACCGCCATATTGGATGTTGTGGTGACGCGACGCTGATGACGTGGCCCTTGATTTTTTTTTTTTACTTTTAGTATTTTATTGACATCTTAGCAAACAAGCATGATGTATTTTAATGAAGGATAAATACATCTGTAAATTTTAAATCAGGGGTGCCCAAACGTTTTAGTAGGAGGGCTAACTGGTTCAACAAAAATTCTGAGGGGCCTTTAATATAAGGTCAATCTTTGACAGAGCTGAAGTTGGCTGAATGACAAAGGTTTACTCACCAGATACATTAGTGCCATACAAACAATAATATTTGCTTGATGAATGCATAACGCCGAAACATTGCACTTCTAATAAGGTCTTTCCTTCCTGCTGCTGTCAGACTGTACAATGAGAACTGCTGAGCCTGTAAATTTAATTTATCTGTAAATAAGTGAATACTTAAATCATGTGCAATGTGCAATACTGCAACTTCAGAATATCCACTGAACATTGTCACTTTACTTATCTACTTATTATCCTGCACTACAGTACATAACTCAGCTAGTTATGCTAGTTAAGAAACATAGCTACTACTTATTTTGTATATGTTGTGTCCTCCCTGTGTGCTCTTACTACTGTCCTGTATGTGCGCTGCAACATCGAAATTTCCCCTCTGTGGGACGAATAAAGGAACTCTTATCTTAATAAATTATTTTCAATTTGCAAGTAAGACGGTGTGCGGGAATCTTTCTTCTCTCTTCTATCATATTCTTAAATATACGTATATACGTATATATATATATATATATATATATATATATATACCAGGGGGACCTGGTGAATGACCTGCAGAGAGCTGGGACCAAAGTAACAAAGGTTACCATCAGTAACACACTACGACTACAGGGAATCAAATCCTGCAGTGCCAGACGTGTCCCCCTGCTGAAGCCAGTGCATGTCCAGGCCCGTCTAAAGTTTGCCAGAGAGCACATGGATGATACAGCAGAGGATTGGGAGAATGTCATGTGGTCAGATGAAACCAAAGTAGAACCGATTGGTTTAAACTCAACTCGTCGTGTTTGGAGGAAGACAAATACTGAGTTGCATCCCAAGAACACCATACCTACTGTGAAGCATGGGGGTGGAAACAACATGCTTCGGGGCTGTTTTTCTGTTAAGGGGACAGGACGACTGATCTGTGTTAAGGAAAGAATGAATGGGGCCATGTATCGTGAGATTTTGAGCCCAAACCTCCTTCCATTGAGCTGAATTTCTGTTATTGACCAAATACTTAGTTTCCACCGTAATTTACAAATAAATTCTTTAAAAATCCTACAATGTGAATTCCTGGATTTTTTTTTTCACATTCTGTATCTCACAGTTGAAGTGTACCTATGATGAAAATTACAGACCTCTGTCATTATTTTAAGTGGGAGAACTTGCACAATTGGTGGCAGACTAAATACTTTTTTGCCCCACTGTATATATACAGTATTAAGCTTAGAGAGGGAAAAAAGGTGAGAATTTGTATAAATTCTCACCTTTTGCCCTCTCTAAGCTAAATATTTACAAATATGATAGAAGAGAGAAAGATGTGCTGGAGGAGAGCCCATCATGGGAGGACAAGCCCCTGCATGGCCTGTACCACCGGAGCATAACAGAAGTGGCTGATCTCAAGAAGTCCTACCAATGGCTAGAAAGGGCTGGCCTACAGGACAGCACAGAGGCACTCATCATGGCTGCACAGGAGCAGGCCCTGAGCACCAGAGCGATCCAACACACAACTGCAGGGGGCAAGATGCTGGGAGGGAAGGCCTACATGGAACGCCATAACCAAGTGGCTTGCATAGTGTACAGAAACATCTGTGCAGAGTATGGGCTGGAAACTCCAAGGTCTAAGTGGGAAACTCCTCCAACGGTGGTGGAGAATGAGCGTGCAAAGATCCTGTGGGACTTCCAGATACAGACTGACCGAATGGTAATGGTGAACCAACCTGACATAGTGGTGGTAGACAAAAGGCAGATGAAAGCCATTGCGGTGGATATGGCAATTCCAAGCGATGGTAACATCAGGAAAAAAGAACGCTTGAGAAATACCAAGGTCTCAGCGAGGAGCTGGAGAGGGCCTGGAGGGTATAGGTGACAGTAGTGCCCGTGGTGATCGGTGCACTCAGGGGAGTGACTCCAAAGCTGGAAAAGTGGTTACAGCGGATCCCTGGAACAACCTCGGACATCTCAGTCCAGAAATGTGCAGTGCTAGGAACAGCAAAGATACTGTGCAGAACCCTCAAGCTCCCAGGCCTCTGGTAGAGGACCTGAGCTTATAGAGGGATAACCGCCCGCGGAGGGCCAAAGGTGAGTGGACAATTTTTATATATATATAAATTCTCACCTTTCGAGTCCTCCACCAGAGGCTTTGGAGCTTGAGGGTTCTGCGCAGTGTCTTTGCTGTTCCTTGCACTGCACATTTCTGGACCGAGCTTTACAAGGTTGTTCCAGGGATCCGCTGTAACCAGTACTCCAGCTTCGGGGTCACTGCCCCGAGTGCACCGATCACCACAGGCAATACTGTCAACTTAACCCTCCAGGCCCTCTCCAGCTCCTCTCTGAGCCCTTGGTATTTCTCAAGCTTTTTTGTGTTCTTTTTTCCTGATGTTCCCATCGCCTGGAACTGCCATGACCACCGCAATGGCTTTCTTCTGCCCTTTGTCGACCACCACAATGTCAGGTTGGTTCGCCATTACCATTCGGTCAGTCTGTATCTGTATCTGTACCCTGCAGTTATGTGTTGAAAAAGTTGTCTACCTACAGCTTACTAGATTTCTTATAATTAACAACTCATTTGATATGTTTCAGTCCGGCTTTAGACCCCACCACAGCACTGAGACTGCTCTTGTCAAGGTTACAAACGATATCCGGCTGAACACTGACGCAGGCAAAGTCTCAATCTTAATCTTGTTAGATCTGAGTGCTGCCTTTTACACCGTCGACCATGAGATCCTCTTACAGAGACTAGAGGACTGGGTTGGAGTCGCTGGCACCGCCCTAAGTTGGTTTAGGTCTTACCTTGAAGACAGGAAGTACTTTGTGGAGATTGGAGACTGTGTCTCAGATCATATGGCCCTGACCTGTGGAGTACCACAGGGGTCGATCCTGGGACCTCTTCTGTTCAATCTCTACATGCTGCCGCTAGGTCAGTTAATACGCAGAAACAAAGTGTCCTATCATAACTATGCAGACGACACTCAGATCTATGTCTCACTGACTGCAGGAGAACATGGACCAGTGGACTCACTCCTTCACTGTATCCAACAGATCAGTGAGTGGATGCAAAACAACTTCCTTCAGCTAAACGCAGACAAAACTGAAATGATTGTCTTTGGTCCCCAGAAACAAAGAGAGAGCGTCATCTGTCACCTACAGTCTCTCTCCCTAAAACCTTCAAACAAGGTCAGAAATCTAGGGGTAATACTGGACTCAGACTTAAATTTTAATAGCCACATCAAATCAGTAACATCAGCAGCTTTTTACCATCTAAAAAACATTGCCAGGATCAAAAACATAGTGTCTAAAGCAGACTTGGAGATTCTTATCCATGCATTTGTCTCCAGTAGGTTAGACTACTGCAATGGCCTGCTCACAGGTCTGTCCAAACAGGCTGTAAAACAGCTGCAGTACATTCAAAATGCAGCAGCTCGAGTCCTGACTAGAACCAGGAAGTACGACACATTAGTCCGGTCCTCAGGTCTCTGCACTGGCTTCCTGTGGCTCAGAGAATAGACTTTAAAACAGCTCTGCTTGTGTACAAATCTCTCCATGGCCTCGCACCAAACTATATTAGTGACATGTTAGTCCCATATGAACCAGCCCGGACTCTGAGGAGCACAGGGACTGGACTCCTGTTAGTGCCCAGAGTCAGAACTAAACATGGGGAGGCTGCTTTTCAGATTCATGCTGCTAAAATCTGGAACAATCTTCCTGAAGATGTGAGACAGGCCTCCTCTCTGACAATGTTTAAAACCAGGTTAAAGACGGTTCTGTTTAGCTGTGCATACAACTGAGGGATTTTATATTTTTATCTTTTTTTTAATGTACTGTGATTATTTATGATTTTAATGCTTTCTTGTTCTGTTCAGCACTTTGAATTGCCTTGTGTATGAATTGTGCTATACAAATAAACTTGCCTTGCCTTGCCTTGGATCGTCTCAAGTCCTCCTTTGCACAACCGACACCATTGGATCTTGTCTAGTGTGATATATATTGCCGCTTTCCTTGTTGCCTCTTCGAGGTTGCATCTCCTTGGTAGATGCCACATTTTGGTCACTTGTGCTAGCGGCTTGCCATTTGCCTCAAGGGTGGTCTTCAACATCCCCATTGAGTTTGCAAAGAAGTCCCTTAGAGCCCTGTTGATATTGTACTTGAACTTCAACAAGTTCAAGCATTCCATGATCCATGTGTGTGGTATTTAGAGGTAGGCTTTCTGGTAATCAATCCAGGCTGTGCACAGGTTGGTGTGTCGTGACCAGCAGTCTTGGGCGACTGTTCTGTCAATCAAGAGCTGGTGTTTGGCCCCTATCTCTACCAATGCCCTTCTGTGCTGTGCTCATGAATTGTTCCATATGCCCTATATATATATATATATATATATATAGAGCTTTATTTATTTGAAATGGACACAACAGTTGCATTGGACAGACCAGATGCACTGCCTGTTGTGTTATAGCAAGACTATGCTAATTTTCAACACTTGTCCATAGAAGGCTTTTAGGACTCAAATGCACACCTTTAAAATTTACAAATATAAAAGTAATTAAATATACAGTTCATTAATCATGTGAACAACGTTGCTCCGATTTTAGCCACAGTTTCAGACGTCTGTTTGTAGTTTTAGGTCAGTGGGAAGAGCGTTCCACAGTTTGGCTCCATTGAAGGAAAAGCTGGACTGTCCCAACGATGTTCTGAACTTAGGAACCAGACAGTCCCCATTGACCGAGGTTCTGGTGTTAGGCCTTTGAGAGCCTTGACGTCTGACAGCCAGACCAGAGAACAGTGGTGGAACATGATCAGTTAAACATTTAAAAAACAGCTTACAAAATGTTCAAATGTAAAAAGTTTGTGTTTTTTAATGATGTCGCAGTGATGCCACCTCAAAGGTTTCCTGTCGTAGATCTTGATTGCCTGGTTGTACAGGGATATGACTGGCTTTAGAGTGGTTTGTGAAGTTTGCGACTTCACAAACCACTGAAGTCACAGGCCAGCTCCCCTCGCTGGCCTCAGTCCCCAGTGTTCTCTGGCTGGCGGTGCTCGTCCTCGTCCTTGGCCCGGTCCCATGTCCTCCTCCTCTCGCCTCCGCACTGTCTCTGTCTCTCGCTCTCTCGTGCTGCAGTGCCTGTCCCCAATTTAAGATAGTCTTGATTAAAAGCAGGTGTGGGTAATTAGGGAAAGTGTCCAAGGAACAGTGCTTAAAATCCATGCAATAAGAATATAAAAACACACCACACAAGTAAAAGCAGTTAAAAGTCATTGTTAAAAGTTCACTTTCTCACACACAGAAAACAGCAGTGGCCCTAATACGGAACCTTGCAGTACTCCCGTGTCATTAGGGCGAAGGCTGGATTTAGAGCCAGTAGGATTGGGTGTTCTGGATGCTTCCTGGACGCCTCTATGGAAAGTTATATCAGGATAATCACATTCTTAATCATTTCAGATTTGTAGACAGCATCTGCTTCATTTCTGTAAAAAGATAAGATTGAAGGGCTTGATTTGGCAAGTGGAACAGGTTGGTGTAGTAGACATATGAAGCATGAGATAAATTAATATTTACAGTCTATGCATGAGATAAATGGTCGGTTACCACATACCGTTGTTTTTGACATTTCACCAGAATTTTAGATAGAGAAATACAATTTTTTGCGTGTGCAGATCAATAGATAAGTAGATGCCATGAATAGAAAAACCCTGACAGACATAAGGACCAACAGAGATAGATAGACACACACACAGACACAGACATATACACGCACAGACACACAGAGACACAGAGACACAGAGACACAGAGACACAGAGACACAGACACACAGACACACAGACACACAGACACACAGACACACAGAGACACAGAGACACAGAGACACAGAGACACATATTGATCACGCACACTCATATTATTAGTTTCCAAACTTTCCCCTCGTGTGCGCCTGCGCAGTAGGCCCGATCGCTTCCATTTCAGTGTTGTGTTGATGGCGGCTCCACTCTGACCTTTTCCTCCGCGCACTCACCCATCAGTACCGGCCTGATCAGAGCCCTTACACCGGGCCCACACTCATCCCTCTCCCCTCACACGGACCTACACTCCCGCGTCCGTATCCCCCAGCTGCCACCCGCACCGCTACAAGAACAAAACCCGGTGAGTAATCCTCCAGACCTGCGCATGCCGCCCGTGGTTGCTCGTGGAGTGTAGCCAAAGAGGCGACGCGGCCTCCTGCTACGCGTAGAACTCGAGCACCGTGGATTGTTTTTTTCCCCAGAAGGCCGCAAGGTTTAGTTTTTGCCTACCGTGAGGCCTATGCTTTATATCACAATTTCTAGACAATTTTGCTCAGTTTAAACCCCTCACATTCAACATGGCTTGCCGATATTCAGTCAATTGTGTATTTTACACTATAAAATGGAGTGACGCTTATGCAAGCTAATGTCTGCTAGCAACTGCGCTAGCAACTCTAAAGCCCACACATATTTTTTCAATCCTGGTAATTCACCGGAACGTACAGGTGAATAGTTATGGCGATGCTGTAGTTTATGTTTGGTTACATTATAAGGAATTATTAAGCCTTTACAGAGGCTGTCATCGCTGTTTCTGTCCAGCTGCTGGTTAGCATGTGGCTAACAGAGCTAACAGACTTGGTGTCTGGGGCTTTTCTCCAAACAATGATTGATATCGCATTATGCTGTCACGGACTAGTGGCAATACACGTATTGATGACACATGATGCCTTATGATACTTGTGTATGGTAGTAATAATGTAGAATGTTCATCTACTGACGACTGTGTTTCGTTCAATCTGGTGGTCTTTAAAAAGGTGTTTAATCGTGTGCAGTGTCATGTATAAAGTTACCGATACCAAAAGTGACTGAAAATATGTCGCAATAAGAAGTCTGAAAAAAGGCTTTGCTTTTTAACAACATATGTTGTATCATTAACAGCTTTAAGACGTATTAACTCAGAAATTGACAAGTTTAACAACAAAACTGAAAAAGCTGGAAAAAGATCACACTTCTCTGTAACCGTTTCTCTCTGGAACCATCAAATACATTCCCACGCCACAAAACTTTATTAAGCAACTTACTAAAAATACAGTTAAATTCTCAATTGTTTTAAGATAATAAGATAAGTATTCCTTTATTCGTCTCACAGTGTGGAAATTTCGATGTTGCAGCGCACATACAGGACAGTAGTAAGAGCACACACAATATATACAAAATATCTATGTTTCTTAGCTAACATAACTAGCCGTAGATGCTGAAAATTCTTCAGGAAATACTCTTGGGAGTGATGGTCCTTCTACTGTAAGGTAAATTACCAATTTCTTTTATCTGGGTTTATTCAGATGATGAATCCTTTATTCGTCCCACAGTGGGGAAATGTCAGTGTTGCATCACCAGTTACAAAACAGTAGAAATGAGGTGTACACGGCACAAGATAAATAAATAAACAAATCAAACCATAGCATTTCAAATTAGCAAGTATACAATCTCTAACCTCGGCATTATCAGCTATAGACTTGCAGGTCCGGCCTCAAAAACTTGCTTTCTGTAACGCTACCCCTTTTACACAAAGCGGTTCTGTTTCCTTCTGATTTGACCCATATTCTAATCTACCTCCTGCTTTGTCATGCAGCTGTTATGAATGATTACATTATGGCCAGGCTGTTGACTGCTTTCATCACAGTCTTATGTCACAGCGAGTCAACAACTGCAGCCTCCAGGGCCCCTCCAGTTTCACACAAACAATTACACTTTAATACATGCTATTGTCAAAGGGTTACACTACTCCACTGGTAAGCATTTGTCTAAAACCGTCGGCACAAAATTATGATCTATATTTGACCACATAATTGCAGCCTTGGCAGTTATATATTGGCGCATCGTGAGAGCAGCAGAGAAGATCTGTGGAGACCCTCTCCCCACCTTTAAGGACATGTACTCCACCCGCAAAGCCGTCAGAATCACCAGGGACCCTACGCACCCATCACACAGGCTCTTCAGGGTAATGCCTTCAGGGAGGAGACTGCAGAATGACTTAAAAACAGTTTCATTCAAAAGGCCATCAGGAAGCTGAACTCCCTGCCCTCCCTCCCACCCCTCTTCCCCCGCTCCACAATCAAGGATGAGAGAAATATAATTCCAAACCATTCACTTGGTTTGACAAATAAAAATCTTGAAATATGTAAACTGTTACTGTCTTACGGATAGTTTAAGGGTGTGTGGGTGACTACATAAAGTTCAACTACATGATTACTGTGAGTGAGGGCAGTAATGTACATGTTTATTCAATCTATCAACACGTCTAAACAGGTAATGAGTAAACTTAGTATCTCACCTTTGTTTGTAACCACAGGAACATTCTTTACATTTTAAAAACAGAGCAATTCTAGTTTTCAGACCTGGAGCCTGTAAGAGCGCTTTAAGAACTTTCAGCTAAACTTTAAACAATAGGATGACTTTATTGTCCAGCAACTCATCCAGGTCTGTTGTACAGTCTGAAAGGATCTCTGATGCCGCGTTCAGACCGGATCATGCGTTGCGTCGACTTTCAACGCAAAGTCAATGGTGACGCGCGTTGGAGCGTGCAACTGCATGTGCGTCTCGGGATGCACGCACGGACTGCGCAGTAGAGACCCACAGACTGCGCGGCAGAGGCGCAGGAGTGGAAAATTGACGGACACAGGAGATGACTATTGCTCAGCATTTCTTGGAGCGACCAATCAGAAAGCCGCTAAAAGTGGTCACAGAGACATTAGCAGTCTGAGCGAGCGGACTGAAAATACAACTGCTTCGAGCATGTTCGCTGATGCGGAGTACCGTTTAATAATAAATTAAACTGTGAACACATACTGTTTTATAAAGTCTCTGGGAGGTCTCTGGACACAGAGACGCTGCAGAGCTGCATTATTGGAGAAGAACTTTACACAATGAGCCGCTAGCTTAACTCCGTTAGCATCAAAGTCCGCCCGGTACTTCCGCCACTTCTGGCGCGCGCCACCGCAGCCCAGGACTTCTGGTTTGAAGACCCCTGCGTCTGAAAATTAGAGAATGTGCGTCTGGTGCGCGAGGCGTCAGCGTTCCGGCGTCAGCGTTCCAGGGTCGGCGGTCTGAACGTGCCTTTTAAACCGTTCCATTCGGCAGCGCAGTGATTAGGGATGCACGATATTGGAAATAAGAGCGATATTCGATATGAGTGTTTAGTATTGCAATAACGATATTATTGCGATATTTTTGTCTGTCACCTAACATTTCTATCTGCATTAAAACGCAAGAGAAAAATAACAAAAAATAAGCACAACATTAATTACCTTTTAGATGCCATGAGCCCAAACTGCTTTTCCTTCAGCGGTTCCTTCAAAGCGCGAAGCTATCTGCCTAGTCTGCCTAGTTCATGTGCCTAGTTCATGTGCCTAGTTCATGTTCCCTGCCCCATGCTTCCCAGAAAGTAATCACACACGGACCAATCACAGTGGAGCTTGTCTGCTGCGCGGCAGGCAACGCAAGGGTCTTGCGGTGATCCTTGCGTTGCGCAAGTGACGTCACCACCGTGCGAATACACTAGGCTTTATAGACAGCATTGGCCTGAGCTGACCAGTCCAGTCTGTGGTCCATATCACTGTGCCACTTCAATGTCCTGTCCATTTAGTGTGGCCAGTTAATGTGAAGGATGAGGGTCTGGGGAAAAAGTGACTCAGTAAAGTGACAGTTTACACATGGTTCTATATTGCACATTAGTTCAACATATTGCACGGATTCACAGCATGTGAGGTAGGGGCGGCAGTGTTCGTTGTACAGTCTGATGGGATTTAGATTGAAAGACGGCTTCATACTGTTTTTGTATAATTGTATGTTCTCACTTCTTCAATAGAAATGATTGAATGTATTTTATTTTGTCATGAATGGAAATCAGTGTTCTGTTACAGCTCTCTAACAGTAAAAGGGTCAGTGGAGTGACTGAAGTGAGGAGCTCAGTCTGACCTAGAATTCTCTGGACACTGGACACGGGGAGAGTCAAAGGTTGAAAGACTAAACCGCTCGTGTGTCTGTGAGGTGGTCCCACTGAGTTGGAGATGTTTGATACACATGGGTCTGCTATCGAGGAAGCATGAGGAGCAGCAGGAAACAGAAGCTGATTAAACCCTTAATAGGATTGTGAATATAAACATCAGCTTAGACAGCACCTGCACCGCTCTGCTCCATCAGCTCCTCTTCAGTCAGGCTCTAGTCTAGACTCACTCTGATATGTACCTTTTATACTTGTCGAAGGCATCACTGTTGCGCTGATCAGGGCGAGTGAAACATTTGGATCACAATAGGGTTTTAATGAACTATTCTTTGATCATCTACATTTGACCAAAACAAAGCTTGAGTGACTTCTGAGCCATAAAACCTCTCCTCAGAAGGGCAGGGTTAGGTTAGGTTAAGTCTATGGAACATTCTAGACAGGTTTCATTTCCGGTTATTACCTTCTAAAGTCATCAGTCACATTGTTACAGCCATTCAATAAAATGTCTTTACTTAACTGTATTTCAACTTTAATTTAAACGGTTTAAAAATTGGACTTGTCTGTCAGGCAACCTTGGGTGTCTAGAAAAGTGCCTAAGAAATAACATTTATTATTACTGTTGCTTTCACTCAGAACCCAATTCTGCACGTATCAACAATTGTCTTTTTCCCTATGGTGTTGCACTGCTCTGAATGTAAAATGTTCTTTGTAGAATCTATTTCCACCGTCGGGCCTTCTCCACTGACTCCTGTCTATCGTTGTGTTCTTGGGCAAGACACTTAACCCACTTTGCCTATAAGGAGCGGAAGTAATGTTTGCTGCATGCCTATATGTGTATTCATCAAACTGAAATTTCCCCACTGTGGGACAACATTTAAGGTGTGTGGAAAGTGGCGAGGGCGGCACAATGGCCTAGTGGTTAGCAAGAAGGCCCGGAGTTCAAACCCTGGTCGGAACGGGACCCTTCAATGGAGTTTGCATGTTCCCCCTATTTCATAGACAATTATTATATAATTGTCTAACTCAAGAACAGAGACCAAACTTGCATCTTTTAAGGCCTGGTGGCGCCTGAAGAAATAAAGGTTGTAAAGGTTGGCAGCCCCAGCTCAGTGTGTGGCCTACTTTCCTCAGAGCAGTAAACAAACTGCATAAACGCAGTCCTATCCGACTGGAGCTGACTCCAGATCAGTTCACGTCATGATGCAATTGAATGGATCAAATTCAGATGTGTTAGGGAACATGTACGTCTTCTGTGTTCTTGGCCCTTTCACCCAGGTCACATGACTCACCAGTCCCCCCCAGTGTGCTCACACTTCACCACCACGCTCTAGTTTGAGAATCCGTTGCTATTTTGATTGCAATTTCAATATTGTGATCCGCAGGTGAGAAAACTACATGTTACCAGTGAGCGACTGTGCCTCCGCTCCCATTGGTTGGATGAATCCCAAAAAGAGTCAGAATCGTGAGCTGTGATTGGGCGCTAAGCCAGGTGAGTTTGACTTTGAAACGTTAGTTTCTGAGTCAAGGGCACTGTCTATACAGCGACCCATCTTCACACCATACCTTCTTACAATACCCATATTTTTAATCTTTCTGTCATTCAATCTCTTTCTCTGTATATAAGGATTCTAAGTTTATTTTAAGGGGTAAGGAGATTCAAAATTCGAATCACAACAGCAGTTATCTCAAAACTTTACAAAGCTGTCAATTTGCCAAAATACAGAACAGAGTATCAAACAGCTCAAACACAGATGAGCAATGTCCATAAATGTGAATAGACTTCAAATTCTCCATTCTACTGTGAAGCTTTTCAAACTGAAAAGTAGGAAGGAGATATTTTAATCTGGTTCCTCTGTGTCACTTCAGTGTCAACATAAATGTCTGACGATGTTTATGACTGTTTCATCTGAAATAAAATAGTAGAATTGCTAACACATATTTTACTGGGTCTGTATTCAGAGCAAAGATGGCGGACGTGGACCCCGACACTCTGCTGGAGTGGCTGCAGATGGGGCAGGGCGATGAGCGGGACATGCAGCTCATTGCACTGGAGCAGCTGTGTATGTTACTGCTGATGTCTGACAACGTGGACCGCTGCTTTGAGACGTAAGACACTCTTTTCTCACAAAACTCTTGCTGTCAGACCAGCCTTCATATGAATTATTATGCTCCTGCCAACAAGATGAGAGATACAAATTTGTTCCATTCACAAATCTTCACGATAAACTGAAATCAAGAGAGGTTTTTGGGTTTGCAAAGAACTTGACTCATAACTGCAGTCATTGATTTTTTTTTTTTTTAAAGCTAAAGCTGTGATCTGTGGCCTGTCCAGAGCTTGTTCTTCAGCAGTGACATAAAACCCTCATATTGTTTATTTCTGGCCCTATAAACAGTTAGTGTATTTGTGACGTCAGCATTTGAACCACTTTCCCCCGAAGGAGATAATAAAATATGATCTTATTACAGCCGAATAGTTTCGAACTCCATTCGAGTCTGGAGCTGTTTTTAAAGACGTCAAACACGGCTCATCTGGGTTCAGCCGAAAGCTAAGCAACGAAAGAACAGTCAGTGCTTTATTAGCGTTTTGTAATGAGACTACCATCTAAATTCCTTCTCTCTTGTGGTTGACTTTAGCTTGGGTAACAATGATTATGAAAACATTTGTTTCTATTATACATAATTATAAGTTCATCCATTCCAGCCACTTAACCCTTTAGTCATCCAACATTTGTTTTCTTTTTAAAGCAAGAAAGGTGAGTGCTGCAGAGGGTTCGTGTGCTAGAAGGGTTAACAAACAGTTGCTCTTCAAAGACAGGGCAATCTAAGCAGATATAGGATGTCAAAATAAAAAAGGGGGAGCCAGAGGCACCCTGATTAAAATGGACTGCCTACACGTTTCGACCAAAGCAGTCTCCTTCCACCGCCCAACAATATCCCCGGTCGAAGTCCCCGCCGTCCTTTAAAGGAATAGTTCACAGTTTTTACATACTGACATATGTTCTTACCTTACCTTAGACTAGTTAATATGTACCTGTCTGGTCTTAGTCCGTGCGCTCTGTCATGCAAACGGAGCAAAAACGGGAGCACAAACACAGCCTCCTCTGTATACTGGAAAAGTACCCAAAAGGTAGCTCCCGCTAGAAGCTACCAAACTCTTCCAAGTGTTCCCTATTAAATGTATATAGTTACGTGACGTGTTACACTGCAAAGTATAGTAACACAGAAATGTAACTGTCGATTTTTTCAGCGGATAAAACGGGTACTATATTGTGAGGCGTAGTAATCTGAGGAGCGCTACGTCCGCGCACTAACTTCTCTCCGTACTACAAGTCACGCTGCTTCTATTGACGGAAGTGAGCGAGAGAGAAGTCTCCGGAGAGAAGTTAGTGCGCGGACGTAGCGCTCCTCAGATTACTACGCCTCACAATATAGTACCCGTTTTATCCGCTGAAAAAATCGACAGTTACATTTCTGTGTTACTATACTTTGCAGTGTAACACGTCACGTAACTATATACATTTAATAGGGAACACTTGGAAGAGTTTGGTAGCTTCTAGCGGGAGCTACCTTTTGGGTACTATACAGTATACAGAGGAGGCTGCGTTTGTGCTCCCGTTTTTGCTCCGTTTGCATGACAGAGCGCACGGACTAAGACCAGACAGGTACATATTAACTAGTCTAAGGTAAGGTAAGAACATATGTCAGTATGTAAAAACTAGGGGTGCAACGGTTTGAAAAAATCACGGTTCGGTTCGTACCTCGGTTCAGAGGCCACGGTTCGGTTCATTTTTCTAAAAAAAAGTTTTGTCTTTTTAATAAACACAGCTCATGTGGACTCGGCACCTGCTCTGACTGCCCCCCCCTGACCTAGAAATGAATTAAGGGGAAGGAGATGGATGGATGGATGGAAGGCATATTCCATCCATCCAATTATGTCTATTTAACATAATTAATGAAAAACAACACAAAGTGCAACATAAGAAGGCACTTTATGAGGATATTTACCCTCATATATTACACCACCTTCCTGATTCTCCCAAGGAGGGGGTCCATTCTGGGCCCAGCCTCATTCACTGCATTTATTTAATTTTTGGCATTATCAGTTGTGACTGGGATATTAGTACTGGGCCTTTGTCTTCCATTCCTCCGCTGCTTGTGTCAGAACCTGCGCTGTGTGACAGTGTGACTGTCGTAGAGGGGGCGTGTCTGCAGCGCCAGACTTTTCATCTCCCAGTCTGCGGTGATGAAGTGAGCGGTTCCGCTCATGGATCTATTATAGGTTCCGCGGGACGTCCAAGCGTCAGCCGTGAGCGCAGCTGAGGATGCGCGGGAGAGTTGACTTTAGCCCGGTCTGACTGTGCGTAAAGGAGCTGCTTAAATGCCGCGACAATAGGTGGTCGTTGAGACGCTTTTTTCACTCATGTCTTTCTTGTGCCACAGTGCTTACACATTGTGACAGTTTTGTAGAATATTAATTATCAGTGTAGTTACAGTGAAGCCAAAATGCTCTCATACTGGGGATTTAAATGACGCAGGGCTTTCAAGCATCTCCGTTCCTCCGCTCGCAATGACCGCGCTGTGTGTGGACTGAACAACGTGCGCACAACTTTTTTTTCATAAATCAAACCGCGGATCACGTCTGTACCGAACCGAAGACGTTGAACCGAACGGATCACGGATCAGTGATGAACCGTTGCACCTCTAGTAAAAACGGTGAACTATTCCTTTAAGGTTGAGCCCGGCCGGGCTCCGTGGATTAAGGCCCGGCCACCAGAGGCTCTCTTGCAAGCCCCAAACCCAGGCCTGGGGCCCCGGCTTTACCATGCTGGGCAACGTCACTGATTTCATCACACACTCGTATCTAGCACAAAGCATCTTGGGTCCTCATCCCATCCCCTGCGCACAACCGGGAGGACCAGAGGATGCCCAAATATGGGCGAGTTTCACTAATCTTTCAGGTTCCATGTATGTCCCATTCACAAGATGGTACAAAAAGGGCGCCATCTTGGATGACCAGGGCTTAGGTACAATGTTCTCTCTGTTCGGCTATTGTTTATTGTACTCTGCCCCTTAAAAAATATATTAATGTTTTGTACAACCCTAAATCACAACAAGTAATTTGCAGGACTTTACAAAGATGAGAGAATCAAACAGATGTTCACAAATGCTATAGAATGTTCTGCATCCTCACCACTGTCCTTAGACCATCGGCATAAAGCAAGATTGCATTTTTTTGGCTCATCTTGACTGCCTTTTTCCCCCCCAGCTGCCCCCCTCGTACCTTCCTGCCTGCGCTCTGTAAGATCTTCTTGGATGAGAGCGCTCCGGACAACGTGCTGGAGGTGACGGCGAGGGCGATCACGTACTACCTTGACGTGTCTGCAGAATGCACCCGCAGGATCGTGGGCGTGGAGGGCGCCATCAAAGCTCTGTGCAACCGATTGGTGGTGGTGGAGCTCAACAACCGCACCAGCCGCGACCTGGCCGAGCAGTGCGTCAAGGTGCCTGTATATATGCATATGTTTTTATATTGTATTGTACAATGCATAATTAATTTGAAATAAAGACTACAACAATAAGTTGCATGAGGAGTCTAAAACAAGCAGATTACTGAGTTTCTTAAAAATCTTAAAGCTGGGTACCTGATTTTCTGTGAAAGAAAACAAGGAAGTCAAAACAAAGGCAAGACACTGGGACAATAAATTGAACTTGTAAACTTTACGAAAGGTAATTTATTTTTGTATATCTCTAAATCACAACAGTAGTTTATTCACCAACACAGATCAGAGAGTCAAAATGTTCAAACACAGGAAATGCAAAGATAGAAAACACATGGAACAGTTGGCCCAAAAGGGGCAGATGACCGTTGTCCATAAATGTGAAGGAAGGCCTTTCAAGAAAAGTGGATTTTCTCTCTTGACTCACTCCTCCTCTGTGCCCCGCCTCTCTCCTCATTCTATCTCCCTTGTGGCTCAGGTGCTAGAGCTGATCTGCACTCGGGAGTCCGGTGCTGTGTTTGAAGCTGGAGGCCTGAACTGTGTCTTGAGCTTCATCAGAGACAGCGGACACCTGGTCCACAAAGACACACTGCACTCTGCCATGGCGGTGGTGTCCCGTCTCTGCAGTAAGATGGAGCCTCAGGACCCTTCTCTGGAGACGTGTGTGGAGAGTCTGTCCAGCCTTCTGAAGCACGAAGACCACCAGGTAACATGACCAGTGTCTGATAGTCTGTTTTTGAATTGCCCTAAATCACATGTTGTTTCGGAGAACTTTATAAAGTTGTGGATTCACAAACGACAGATCAGTGAAGAAAATGATGCGAACACATAAAATGCAATAATATATATATATATAATTTTATATAAAAAACTATAACATAACAATATTAGTCCATAGGGAGCGGGATGACCACTGTCCAAAAATTTTCATAAATGTCCAGAAATTATCATTGTCCTTAGACTGTCTTACATCAGAGAGGAACCACTCAGAAACCAAGTGGGAAAATATGTGAGAAAGTTAAGAGAGGCCAATATTTTGAGGGAGGCCGTAGACTCACTCCACTGAACAGTGTAACCTTCTGTTATGTTTCTCTCTAACCCTGTCTTCTTCCAGGTGTCAGACGGAGCCCTGCGCTGCTTCGCCTCTCTCGCTGACCGCTTCACTCGCCGTGGCGTGGACCCGGCTCCTCTGGCCAAACATGGCCTTTCGGAGGAGCTGCTGTCTCGGATGGCGGCGGCCGGTGGGGGGTCTACGGGGCCCAGCTCTGCCTGTAAACCTGGCAGAGTCTCCACAGGCGCCACGTCCTCCACTCCAGACTCCAAACTCAGTAACCAGGTGTCCACCATCGTGAGCCTGCTGTCCACACTCTGCAGGGGGTCCCCTTTGGTCACACATGTACGTACACCTTCAACTATGTTCACTAATGGTCAGATAAGATACTGCTTTGTTGTCACCCATAATCAAGAAATGTGTCTTGGGACAGGGGTTCACATGCTGTACACAGACGCCACATACATATACATACAGCCCAGAACGCCTTAAAGGTACACTGTGGTTTTTACTCCCACCTAGCATTGAGATCTTATCCTGCAGTCCAGGGTACTACGGAAGCCTTTGATGAACAATATGCAGGGTTTCCTCCAGAGGGGGGGATGGGGGGGGATCAGTCCCCCCCTCAATTTTCTTACACAATACAATTGTATACAATTCTCACATCAAAAAGTGCAATAACATTATTTTCATTGGGATACATCTGATCTGGCTCACTGTCTAATCTATAATCTAAAACATGATGATAGTAAAAAGAATTACATAAACATACAGTGGTACAGTGGTAGAGGACAATCTTGAGGTCATGAATCCAGTGAAATTAGTCGCACACCTTTTTACAGTAATAAGTTACAGCAGATCAAAAGTGACATGTTTTGACAATTTTTAGGCTATTTTGGACCAAAATGGCTGCTTTAAATCAATATTTCTACAGTAAAAGTTTCTGGTCTTTGGTACAGTGGTAGAGGGCAATCATGAGGTCGTGAATCCAGTGAAATTAGTCGCACACCTTTTTACAGTAAAAAGTTACAGTAGATCAAAAGTGACATGTTTTGACTATTTTGGAGGTATTTTGAACCAAAATGGCTACTTTACCTCAATATTTCTCAATATTTCTACAGTAAAAGTTTCTGGTCTTTGGTACAGTGGCAGAGGGCAATAATAAGGTCATGAGTCAAGTGAAATTAGTCGCACACCTTATTCCAGTAAATAGTTACAATACTTGAAAATTGCACTAGCGGACCAAATTGTGTACTTTATACATGTAAACAATAGAGTGGCTATCCTCCTGAGAACTCACAATCTGCCGGAGGAATCGTAGGGGGCTGGTGCTATGTGTGCCGGGTGGCATCTCTATAAGGTTTTAATCACAAAAACGTGTCTCCCTGACCCCAGCGCGCTTTCTGTTCGATAAAAATGGGTGACTCCGAAAGGACGTTCCGCTGTTACCGTAAGTTCTCAACAAAACGCGCACCGTCTTTTCCCCGATGCGGGCCGCATGTTCATAGAGCTGAAAGATGCGGGCCACTTTACCGCGGTAAATTAATAGACACAGCTGCTTACAGCGATGATCGCTGATGGAGACGGAGACACGCGGTGTGCACGAAGGGGAGGGGCTGTGTGTGTGTAGGTCTCTGTATGTGGGAGAGACGCGTAGCTTGAGTGAGAGTTACGAAGGGCCGCCACATTTTAAACCCCCCTCCCCGCTGTCAAATTGACCGCTGCGGCGGCACTAGACGATGCATGTTTTAAATAGCGTAACAAAAAATATATATATATAATAATACGAAACGCAATTTGTGGCGGGCGGTCTCTAATCTGTGGCGGTGCGCCACAGATTAGTCTATGTGTGGGAAACACTGGTATACATGTTGATTTAAATATTTTAATGAAAAAAACATGAATTCCTTCACAAAAAATATGTATTGCTTGCTCTTAAAATTCAAAAATAAGACATTCTTAGAGGTAGCATAAAACCTTAGCCTTGAAAACACAGCTTACTGAAAAAAGTGCATCTTATCATTCTTGAAACAAACATTTGATGCTTAGCATTCAATAAAAATATGAAAAAGTTCAGCCAAATACTTGTGTAGAGCAACTAAAAGAAAACAGTAACCAATGTAAACTTGAAGGCTTTAAGCCAGGGGTGTCAAACTCATTTTGGTCCGGGGGCCACATACAACCTAATCTGATCTCAAGTGGGCCGGACCAGGAGATGCTCTACAAAAATATCCAAAAACGGTACAAAGTCCAACTTTTTGTGCACATAAACACACATTTATTTAAAACTTCCTTTAAAACACTATCCTTTAATACTCAGTTTTCTGTTACAAACTTAAATGTAACAGTGAGTTTTCCATAGTGCAAATAATGTAGCGTATTTACAATATTACATTGAAAATGGTATTTCACAATATGTATATTAATATTTGTGTGTTAGCTTTGTTTTAAGGCTCATTACAGAGAAAACCTGCTCACAAAGGTAAAGTAGGTAGATAGAAAAAAGCACTTAAACACAGCACCTCAGCTTAACCATCTTCAGTGTGGTAAGGTCCATGGTTATGTTATTATCACATTAACCATCTTCAGTGTGGTAAGGTCCATGGTTATGTTATCACATTAACCATCTTCAGTGTGGTCAGGTCCATGGTTATGTTATTATCACATTAACCATCTTCAGTGTGGTAAGGTCCATGGTTATGTTATTATCACAGAGAAAGCATCAAACTGACCATGATTCACTTGAAATGAATAAAACAACTTCCATAACGTGATCCATTCTTAACGACTGCAGCAGTGTCTCTGTGTAAAATACAGTCAAATGTCCAAAAATCATCACCTCCATTTGCAGCTTTGTAACTACACCTGTTTTTACCATCGGTACCCGTCCACACTGTCCAACACACCAGCAACAACAGCAGAACCAGCAGCAGCGCTCAAAACTCCTCTGATAGTTTCAGTAACACCACAAATGAATATGTGACATCAGTAACATCAGTCTCTTATCAATGGCAACATGTTGGTAAAAGCGAGTGGTTTCTCATACCATGTCTGCAGCCTGTAAGAGTTTTAACAAACTCTCTCTCACTGTGCGGCTGCGATGCTAATGCTAATGTTGTTAGCACAGGTAGCTTCCCTTTACAGCAGCAGCACTAACCTCTCGCTCTGGGCACAAACAGACTGCTGTGTCTTCAGGGCCAGACAGGTTTATCTTCTGTTTTCTCAATTCTTCGCTGAAAGTGCCGTATTTTTCGCCGAGTCTTGTAGTTTAAGATGTTATTCCTTCAGCACCGCTCTGGTGGAGCCACTACAGACGCACTGGACTCACCCCTGAGCGCGGCGCTGCTGCGTCGCGGCGCCTCGCGGCGCGGAGCCTCGCGTCGCGGAGCGGCATTTTAAAATGTAACTTTATTATATTTTTACATAAATGAGCCACGGGCCGTGTCAAATCTCTTGGCGGGCCGGTTCCGGCCCGCGGGCCGTATGAATGACACCCCTGCTTTAAGCTAAACAAAGAGTGCTTTTCCAGCAAAAACAGTGGGAGCCATCAGCCCGTCATGGCGTCCTTCCTGAACCAACAGAGTTTAACATTTAAGTTGAAGACACATAGGCCTATATTACTGAAGTCCATTAATTAAAGTGCATCTCTTAAATTCTTCATTCATATAAAAATAACAGTCAAAACTCTGCCACTCACCTTTTTCTTAAACTCAAAATTCAAAAATAAAATTCAAGTAAGAGTGTACAAGAGAAAAACAATGCATTGTGTAGCAAATAAAAAGGTCAACCAGTCATCCTTTCTTTTAGAGTTACTGAAAGAATACAGTAGAAGTCATCTCAGAGGACTTAAAACAACATTGAAGTCACCAACACAGATCAGAGAATCAATCAACAGTTAGCTAAACGCATTAAGGATATTGAACACATGTTGAAAAATGTCCATATACGGTGGGCATGACAGTGAATAATACATGTAGGGGCTATTACGGGCGCCAATATTCCGTTTGATACAAAGAAAGACAGACTAGTTGTAAGCTGTAGAGTTGCCACAGGACACGTCATCAGCCTACGTCAGCAGCCGCGGACTGCTATGAAAACATTAGCTTTGTGGTTTCACAGGCGCAGTTGACTGCTTAAACTAAACTTTGCACGAAACTTTGACTCTTAAAACCCACATGTGACAAAACGGAACCATCAACATCTCGCCTCAAATTGCATTAAAAGTGACATTCGTGTCTGAATTCGTTCGTATTTTAACTTTTAAAGAAATTCACGGTCCGCCATCTTGGTATGCTTCGGCTGCCGTGAGACGCGCCTGCACAGGTTTGCATTACATGATAAACAGCTGAGGCTGTGCATCTCTTCAAGACAGTGTATCTCAGCGTTACACCGGCTTGCACTTCTCTAACACGGCACTCGCATTGCTACCGCTCGCCGCCATCTTTGTTTTGTGTGTGACGCACCGACGCGCATATTATACGTCGGTGTATTTTTTGCGTCGACGTCACCGATTACGTCGACGCGTTGTCCCAGCCCTAGTTCAGAGACCTTCCACGGACTTTATATAACAGTTGTATGTGTTCATGGAGGTGCGCAATAAGTTTATTTTATTATTAAACGGTACTTCCACATCGGCAAACACACTCGAAGCAGTTGCACAAAGTTACGGGAGCATCATATATTTACAAGCACACAGTCCCCCATTGTCAACCCTGGTTTAGTCCTGATGTATCTCCTGTTTTGGCTGTTTACAGTATGTTCAGTCTGCTCGCTCAGACCACCAATGTCCCCGTGACCACTTTGCGGCTCTGATTGGTCGCTGCACGAACGTCCCGAGGAAAGATTGAGCAAAGTTTATCTCCTGTGGGTGTCCATTTTCCGCTCCTGCTCCTCCCCTTTGACTTTCCCGCGCAGTCCGTGCGTCTCCACTGCGCGGTCCGTGCATGCGTGCCAAGAGGTCCATGCGTTTTGGCGCTCGAACGCGCGTCACCATTGACTTTGCATTGAAAGCAGACGCAACGCATGATCCGGTCTGAAAGCGGCTTTAAATGCATAGTATTTACTTGTGCGTCTGTTGTGTACAAACTACAAAAATGGCCTCCTGTTGTGAATCAAAAGACAACATTCTTTTGATGCGTGTGACTTCAGTAAGCAATGTTTTATTGCATTTGCACCATCTCTACTTCCAGACCATGTTCTAACCCCCGCCTTTCTCCTCAGGACCTGCTCCGCTCTGCTCTCCCAGACTCCATGGAGGCGGCTCTGGCCGGAGATGAGCGCTGCGTCCTGGACACCATGCGGCTGGTGGACCTTCTGCTGGTGCTGCTGTTCGAGGGCAGGAAAGCTTTGCCCAAGTCCACGGCAGGATCCACGAGCCGCATCCCGGGTCTGAGGAGACTGGACTCTTCTGGAGAGAGGTCCCATCGACAGCTCATAGACTGTATTCGCAGCAAAGACACAGATGCTCTCATTGACGCCATCGACACTGGAGGTACGTCTGCACCACATGGACCTCTGTGAGTTAACTGAGCCTCGTCTGGTTTATTTTAACTGGACCAGACGATGTAGTGTTCAGGATTTCAGATTTATGCAGCAAAAAATCTGGAACGGTCTTCCTGAAAATGTGAAACGGGCTGCTTCTTTTTATTTTTTATTTATTTAATAATTGAATACAACTGGCTTCTTCTTTGACAAGTAGGGGTGGGGACCTAAGGGTACCTCACGATACGATACACGATACAAAGCTCACGATAACGATAATACCACGATAACGATATCACAATAACGATTTTATCACAATATGACGATTATTGATATATTGGTTAGAAATATACAATATGCCGATTTATGGCATAAATAAAAGAAAAAATACTCTTTATTTCATGATAAATATAATGGAGATGCGTAATGTAGCCATATATGCAGTATTGATACCAATTCAAAAAAAAAATTGTAAAAAAATATATATGCATATTGATAATCAAATCAGCGGGAGAAAGTATCGCGATATATCGAACAATCGATATATCGTCACACCCCTATTGACAAGGTTCAAATACAGGTTAAAACTGTTTAGATGTGCATACAACTGAGGAAAGTTTCTTCACTCTGATTAAAGTAGGAATTACAATCCTTTCTTGTTTTGTTAAGGCAAGGCAATTTTATATGTATAGTACTAATAAACAAGGCAATTCAAAACAAAACAAGATGGAAACAATCATGACAAGTGATTTAAATAATGGCTAAAGTGGCTAAACTGAACTATTTTTAAAACCTGGATTTGAACATTGTCAGAGAAGAAGCCTGTCTCACATTATCAGGAAGACTGTTCCAGATTATAGATGCATGAATCTGAAAGGCTGCCTCCATGTTAAGCACTTGAAGTTCCTGTGTGTTTAAACTGTGCTATACAAATAAACTTGCCTTGCCTAGTAAACATGACAAAAATAAAATTGGTGCCGTGTATTAGAGAATAACTATTGTGACACATTATTTTACTCTGAATAGAGAAAACACTCCTGAACCTGAAACCTCATGATTGCTCAAAGTTCAGATATTGAAACTTGAAAATAGTCCTTTATCCTCTTTCTATCCTATAAATAACTTTTTTTCCTCTGATCTGGTTTTGAGTCGTCTCTAAACTGTGATGTACTTTTCACCTTCAGCTTTTGAGGTGAACTTCATGGACGACGTGGGACAGACGCTGCTCAACTGGGCCTCAGCGTTCGGCACACAGGAGATGGTGAGTCTGCTTTCATACTGTGGCTCTGGTAATGGTCCTGTGACCGTCCGATGATGGTCCTGTGATGTTCAAGGTGCGTATGGTCCGCTGATGGTGATGGTCCTGCAATGTTGATGGTGCCTATGGTTCGCTGAGGTTGATTGTATGATGCTCCGGTGATGTTGCTGGTCCTGTGATGTTGACGGTATGTGATCTTCCAGGTGGAGTTTCTGTGTGAGCGTGGAGCAGACGTGAATCGGGGGCAGAGGTCCTCGTCATTGCACTACGCTGCCTGCTTCGGACGGCCGCAAGTGGCAAAAGTAAGCATCTACAACCATCAAACATCTACAATCATCACGTAAATCCAAAATGTCCCCCATGGTTCTCTCTGTCGTCCAGAACATAAGAGATTTTTGATGCAGTAAAATAAACTAGACAACGGCACGCTTCTTAACGTTTTTTGGTTTATTGTTTACTTTATTGTTCCAAGGTAAATTTGCCATGGGATACAGTGATCCACAGATCTGCATGTGAAAATACAAATGAAAATGAACATTTAATTTAAAAAAACAAGTGCAGTATTGCTTTATAGACTGTTTGTCCAGAATTAACCCTGTGATTGGCTGAGCCATAGTGATCCATTCTTTTTCAATGTCAATGTCAGCTTTAAGAACCTGTAAAAATATGGCACTTAGACATATCTAGGTTGGGCATGTGCCAACTATTGCGGCCCTCCATGTTCTGTTTTGTTGCCCTGTTTCGCATTCCCTAAAGTAGATATTCCGATCACTGGCAACAGTGGCTCAGTTCGTTGAGCATTGGCCTTAAGGTCGTGCAACCTCAAGACTTTCTCCACCGATTCTCACTGATGTCTGTTGTCCTTGGAACACCAGGTGCCACAGTGGGGTGGCTGTAGAGTGCCAAACTACCGTTGTGTTCTTAGGCAAGACACTTAACCACATTGCCTGGAATGAGTCTGGTGTGAGTGTGAATGTTTGTTGGTGCTTGTCACGCTTCTGTCAGTGTCCCCGAGGGCAGCTCTGGCTAAAACCAATGCTTTATTATTATTAGTATTATTATTATTATTATCAATTTATCAATTATTATCAGTGTCATCTGTCAATATCATAGCCTGCAAACGGTCTAAAGTTTTGGACAAAGTCTATTGAACTGAATAACTCATCTGACCCTTTATTGTGGTGTAATTCAAACATCTCTCCTCCTTCAGACACTGCTGCGTCATGGAGCGAACCCCGACCTCAGAGACGAAGACGGGAAAACTCCTCTGGACAAAGCCCGAGAGAGGGGCCACAGTGAAGTGGTGGCCATCCTGCAGTCTCCAGGTCTTAACTCACACCTAAACTGTCACTTTCATCTGCACCGTTTAATGTCTAGTGTGTGTACTTACTGTGTACTTGTGTATAGCAGTGTTAATAAAAAAATCTTTGACATTTTTTTAATGTACTCTTACAACTTGTTTGCGACATGAGGGTACACTATAAAAAAAATGCATTGGCAAAACTTAATAAATTGTGGCAACATTTTGCATGCATCTTTTTAAGCTTTAAGCAATGGTCCAGCACATTTTTTCCAATTCCACCTACTTGGATAATTGAGTTATAAAGATACTTTGTTAAAGTGGTTCTCACCCCCGCTCCTCGGAGCTTACGTTACTCACATTTTCTGTTCAAATCTTCCTCTAAATGGGCGTAGCCTGGAGGACTAAAGGGGGCGTGAACGAGACTGGGCCGTTTACATTGCTCTGGGCGGGGGGCTGCTGACGTCAGGTCCAACTTGCAGACGTCAGGTCCAACTTCTGTGCCAGTGTTGGCGCCAGATTCAAAATTCAAATGTAGTAATACAGGTCGCCAGCAGATGGCGCCTCACAGACGGTTTTAGGAAGAAAGTCTAACTTTCAACTAATTTGCACCAAAGTGACAAAATTATGACCAGGATATGTAGACAACACTATTGGACACTCATTTATACCGTTTATCAGCAAAAAAAAGTGGATTTGAGGGTGAGTTGTCCTTTAAGTATATTCAGAAAGTGTTTTAGCATCAGTTCAACTCAATTTTGACCACCAATACCACCAACTTCAATAATTACATCGAGAATAAATCTTTTTTGAGTATATTCAACGAGTGATTTTCAGTCAGTAGTAAGTAATCTTTATTTAAATACCACCTTTCGCAAAGCGGTTTACAATTGTTATTTTTGGGCATTAGTCTCTCACTCCACACAGATAGAGGCGGGGTCGCCAGTTCAGTTACCGGAAAGCATGATGACCACTATATAGTATTTGATCAGTGTTGACAGATGACCCAGGGAATATATGGGGCTATTTTGGCTTGACCCTGTCGATCACGGTTGGTAAAAAATGAATACAATTACTTATTTGGTCAAATTAGTTTATCTAGAATGTTGCTCAAGTATTTTGCTTTAGGACTTGCTTCATATTCACTCTTAAAATTAGTGCTCAAATGGAGAATTTAAGAAGTTTATATTTTTCTCTGCAATGCATTCTGGGTAGCGGCACTGCGTCGCCACATTTTATTTTCAATCAACACAATATATTTGTTTTGTCATTAATGGACCACAAGGCTTACAAAAGAAATACTTACAGTATTTTCACTTAAAGCAATAAAATCAGTTTTGTACAGGGAGCTATGATAATATTATACAGTACATATTTGTAAATCAAAAAGTATATAGTCATTGATAATTATTATAATATTTTACATCAAAGCTTGTTCTAATTCACTTATTACAGTGTATGCTACTGTGTGGACAATATCGCTGTACTACATGCTTTAGTACAGAGTCCGCATATGACGTCACGCGAGGATTTTCATGTTGAGCAAACTTAATACTTCTCCGTTGTCCAGTTATGCCAGAATATCAAATTCAAATTTGTTACAAAAATGAATTTGTATTCTTGTATTAACTTTTAATTGAGACGGGCATGTTTAAAATGAGTTGCAACCACACTAATTTAAGTAAAACTGGCAAAAATCGATTTGAGTTTAGTTCAGTAAGTTTGTGTACATGCAACTATATATTGCGGCACTAGAATAAACAGAATTATTTACTTACATTTTGAGATTTTGTTTTATTTTAGTATAGAGTTGTTCGCTTGTGCTGTGTGCTCTTTCCTACTGTTCTGTAACTGGTGATGTAACACTGACCTTTCTCCAATGAGGGAAGTGTAAAAGTTTTCTTCATCTTTATCTTTCTGGTTCTGACACTAATGCCTTTTACATTGAAATAAAAAAATTCAATATACAGATATTCCTCAAACCTCTTGGAGCCTTGTTTCTATGCTTACCTGAATGTTGATCCCTCAGGAGACTGGATGTGTCCGGTGAACAAAGGAGAGGATAAGAAAAAGAAGGATGTGAAGGAGGAGGAGGAGAGCAGTGAGCCGCGAGGAGACCCAGAGATGGCTCCTCTGTATTTGAAGAGATTGCTGCCTGTGTTTGCACACACCTTCCAACACACCATGCTGCCTTCCATACGGTAACTGTCACTCTGGGCCCTGAGGAATGTGCCTTATGAAAAAATAGGATAGAAAACTAAGATGGTAATAAGCTCTGAATCTGAGTGCTTTAAACATTTACATTCAAATGAAAAAGGAATAAACAAATGTATAAACTACATTTAGGTCCGCCATGTCCTGTTTTAGTCCACTCATGGATCCGCACTGTCCTCAGTGGCCTGCATCTCTCCTGTTGTGCTGAGTTTCTTGTCCTTTTATTTTGTTCCTAAGGAAAGCGAGTCTGGCTCTGATCCGGAAGATGGTCCACTACAGCAGTGAGGTTCTCCTGAAGGAGGTTTGCGACTCTGAGGCAGGACACAACCTGCCCACAGTGTTGGTGGAGATCACTGCCACGGTCCTGGACCAGGAGGTGAGCTTTCTTACAACTGTGAACTTAGCATAGGCTGGGCAGGAATATTCAGACTTTTGTCTTCCATTTCTTCAAAAATATATATTATCGTCAACATCTGAGTTTGCTTCGACACTGGTTTAAGGATCACATTTTAAAGTGATAGTCTGTAACTCTAAATGAATTACAAATTTTAGGAAATGTGTTAAATTGACCTCCTGGCCTTAAATGTTGATATAAAATAAGTCATTTTATTAATTCTAATATTACAGGCAAGTCCCGCCTTCCCTGCTCTTAGCTATAGTTCAGAATCCACGGTGCCGTCGAGGTTAACCAATCGAGTCATGCCAAGGGCTGTCAATCGGCTCTGGAACTACATGAAAACTGAACAAAGAATTCTGAACATCCGCGCTGAGTTACTCATTTATATACTGAACCTATATCCATAATCAGATACTCTGCAGGTGTGTCCTATAATGTGCAATTCATGATAATGGATAAAAACATATTTTTTTTCATTAAAACGTTCACAAATACTGAAAACCTCTGTGCATGTGTATTAATAATGTATATGTATAATGTGTTCTCTGATTAACATTTCAAAGTGTTACGGAAACGTAGGTGTAGACCAATCAGAAAGGAAGGGAGAGGGAACTTGCGTCGTTTTTTTTCAAATCAAGTACGTCTCTGTCTCTTTCTGACAAACTCCAGACAATCACTTTAAGTGTATTAGTTTCAATACGGGAAAATATCTAACAAAGGATCAGTGAGGAGCTGGTGCTCTGTGAATTGGGTGCTGCTTACAGTGCCTTGCGAAAGTATTCGGCCCCCTTGAACCTTTCAACATTTCGCCACATTTCGGGCTTCAAACATAAAGATATAAAAAAAATTTTTTTTGTCAAGAATCAACAACAAAATTTGTTGGATAATTTAAACCTTTTTAACAAATAAGTGGGGCGTGCAATATTATTCGGCCCCCTTGAGGTAATACTTTGTACCGCCACCTTTTGCTGCGATTACAGCTGCAAGTCGCTTGGGGTATGTCTCTATCAGTTTTGCACATCGAGAGACTGGAATTCTTGCCCATTCTTCCTTGCAAAACAGCTCGAGCTCAGTGAGGTTGGATGGAGAGCGTTTGTGAACAGCAGTCTTCAGCTCTTTCCACAGATTCTCGATTGGATTCAGGTCTGGACTTTGACTTGGCCATTCTAACACCTGGATACGTCTATTTGTGAACCATTCCATTGTAGATTTGGCTTTATGTTTTGGATCGTTGTCCTGTTGGAAGATAAATCTCCGTCCCAGTCTCAGGTCTTTTGCAGACTCCAACAGGTTTTCTTCCAGAATGGTCCTGTATTTGGCTCCATCCATCTTCCCATCAATTTTAGCCATCTTCCCTGTCCCTGCTGAAGAAAAGCAGGTCCAAAGCATGATGCTGCCACCACCATGTTTGACAGTGGGGATGGTGTGTTCAGGGTGATGAGCTGTGTTGCTTTTACGGCAAACTTCTTCCATTTCAATATAATTGCTTGCACAGTGCTCCTTGATGTTTAAAGCTTGGGAAATCTTTTTGTATCCAAATCCAGCTTTAAACTTCTCCACAACAGTATCTCGGACCTGCCTGGTGTGTTCCTTTGTCTTCATGGTTCTCTCTGTGCTTTAAACAGAACCCTGAGACTATCAAAGAGCAGGTGCATTTATACGGAGACTTGATTACACACAGGTGCATTCTATTTATCATCATCAGTCATTTAGGACAACATTGGATCATTCAAAGATCCTCACTGAACTTCTGGAGTGAGTTTGCTGCACTGAAAGTAAAGGGGCCGAATAATATTGCACGCCCCACTTTTTTTATTTGTTAAAAAAGTTTAAATTATCCAATAAATTTCGTTCCACTTCACGATTGTGTCCCACTTGTTGTTGATTCATGACAAAATATTTAAATTTTATTTCTTTATGTTTGAAGCCTTAAAGGAGCAATATGTAGAAATCTGGCCAAAAGTGGTACTGCAGTCACAGTCAATATTTTGTAGTCCTCTCCCTGACTCAGGTTGCCAGATTCACACCAAATCCAGCTTCAAACACAGGGAATTATTTTATCAGTTGTTTGTCCGTCTCCATTCACATTGCCATGACAGCCGTGCTAATGCTGAATGAATGTTTTGATTAATGTTTTTTTATTATTATTATTTGGACATTTGAGATAAAAAACAAAAACAAAATAAAAGCAATGTAATTATACATAGTTTATGCAAAATAAATAAGAAATTGATGTCCAAAATAGGAGTGGGAAGAATGGATGTTGGAACGTATTTCTTCAGCGTATCAACATCAGGGTTTGCTCAAGAGGATATCACCTTTCAATTTTATTTATTCCCTATTTTTTAAGACAAACATGTAAAAGTCCCACATCAAAAAGAGACTAACATTATTTTAATTGGGGTACATGTGGTCTTAAATGATTATTTTTACAATTAAGCTATAATCTGCAAAAAAACGTCTTGACCTTCATCTTTTACCGTTTTTAGAGCAATCTGTCATAGAATGTGATAACATGCAATAAATACAAAAAGACATAGCCCGGGATCGAACCCGGGTTCCTGCATCGTAAGCACACAGTTTTGACCACTAGATCACCGATTCACACAGTTAGAGTCACTGTGAAGAACGGACTCAAACTAGCAAATTCTGCATCACACGTAAACTTTTATCAGCTGTCTCAATTGTTCAAAGGCGTCCCGATATAAATCCTCGTTTTAGTCTTTGTTTTGTCATTAATGATTTGAGAGTCATAACAAGACCTTTTTTAGTTCTGCGCCACATGTTATTTTACCTCTGAGATTAGTGAGCCGCACGGAGTTCTGGCAACCCGATCACGGACTTACATGACACTTCCTGATTGGCGAAACGGCGGAGGGTAGGACATCAAAATCAAAACAATAACAACTTTTACGGGTCGTAAAACTAATTTTGATAATCAAATATCTCGGCTGAACTACTGTTATCAGTTAAAGATGAATTCGAAAAGAGTATGATTTAATAACGCCTTTTGAAATATTTGGGTCATTTAATGATGACTTGACATGCAAATATTACATATTGCTCCTTTAAATGTGGCGAAATGTTGCAAGGTTCAATACCTTTGCAAGGCACTGTAACACAGAAAATTCAACAATCGTTATTTGGCACCTTTTAATTCTGTGGAAATAGAACTATATTAATAGTTAATTTCTTATAGTTGGGTTGAATGCACCCTATTTCTTCTTCCAAATCACTGAAGAATAGAACTGATTTGTTTGTATTTTTTTGTATTTGAATGTTTGGATAGTTTAAATGTTGAAAATGTAATGTAGATATGTTTGATTTGACATTGTTATTGCTACTGCTTTTAAAGTGATTGTCTGGAGTTTGTCAGAAAAAAAGAGAGAGGTACTTGATTTGAAGAAAAAAGCGACGCAAGCTCCCTCCCCCTTCCTATCTGATTGGTCTACGCCTACGTTTTCGTTACACACTTGAATTTTAATCTGAGAACACATTATACATATACATTATTAATACACATGCACATGCAGTTTTCATGTAATTTCAGAGCCTATAAAGGCTTGATTCGGAGGCTCCGTGAAAACAACTGAGCATGCGCGCAGCTATGAGTATCAGCGCAATGATTGACAGCCCTTGGTATTGGTTAACGTGGACGACATCGTGGATTTTGACTGAGCTATAGCTAAGAGAAGGGAAGGCGGGACTTACCTGTAATATTAGAATTAATAAAATAACTTGATTTATAGCAACATTTAAGGCGAGGAGGTCAATTTAATACAATTCTTAAAATGTGTAATTCATTTAGCGTTCCAGACTATCACTTTAATGCTGGTGTGTGATTGTGAATATTTGCATATATAAAATATTAATGCATATTTTTTTGTTTATGCATTCAATTTTGCTCATATAGACCCTGAGAAGTATAGTTGTATATGTCGGTAGCTAATGAGGATCTAAATGAGAACAAACTAATAAGTAGACATCTCTGTCTCTCTTTCTCTCTCCCCCTCTGGCTGTCTCTCTCTCTGTCTCTGTCCCAGGACGACGACGATGGACACCTACTGGCCTTACAGATCATCAGAGACCTGGTGGACAAAGGCGGGGACGTGTTCCTGGACCAGCTGGCTCGTCTGGGCGTCATCAACAAAGTCTCCACTCTGGCCGGTCCCACCTCCGACGACGAAAACGAGGACGAGTCCAAGCCCGAGAAGGAGGAGGAGACCCAAGAGGACGCCCGAGAGATCCAGCAGGGGAAGCCGTACCACTGGAGGGACTGGTCTGTGATCCGAGGCCGCGACTGTCTCTACATATGGTCTGACGCTGCAGCCCTGGAACTCTCAAACGGCTCCAACGGATGGTTTCGCTTCATCCTGGACGGAAAACTGGCCACAATGTATAGCAGCGGCAGCCCCGAGGGAGGCTCCGACAGCTCAGGTATAGGATTGTAGACTGCAAACGCGCTGGTACTGTAGAGGGCGGTTCTGACAGCTCAGGTACAGGGCTCATACTGACCTCAGCTTTAAGTACTTGGCAGAAAGTCTGAATAAACCATCCATCCATCTTCTTCCCCTTAATCAATTTCTGGGTCGGGAGAATGGCAGCCAGAACGCCACCCAGTACACATAGCACCAGCCCCTTAACAAACCATTCACATGCAATCTCAGTAGTAGCAGCAATAGCAGCACTCAGACCTCTGCCAAGCGTCGTCAGCTCAAGTACCCTTAACGATTGACCCAACGTGTGTGTTCACAAACCAAAATCCAAATATTGTATTAGATCAGGGGTGTCAAACCGCCGCCGGTCTTCAAAGGGTCAGTGTGATTGCAGGTTTTGGTTCCAACATGACTCAACCCATTTCCTCACGTGAGTCCAGTTTTAACCTGAAGATTTGAGGAATTGGGTGGAGTCTGGTGTTTCTGCTCAGGTAGAAACTAAAACATGCAGCCACACCCTCCCTTTCTGGAACCGGTTTGACACCCCTGTGTTAGAGGTTCTTGATTTGCACATATGACCAGTATTTCAAAATAATACAATTCCACTGTCATTGACCCGGTAAGAAACAGTTCACCTCCAAGCCCCCAGCTGCACCTGGTCAGGTCAGGTCAGGTCACATCTCTGCCTTGTGGCTAGGATAAGGTCCATATTGGCAATACAATCTTGTATACAAATTTATACAACATACATTGATTCTTTTGTTGCTCACCTGGTCCTCTGCCCCTGTCCAGAGTCTCGCAGTGAGTTCCTGGAGAAGCTGCAACGTGCGCGGTCCCAGGTGAAGCCGGTGACCTCTAGCCAGCCGGTGCTGTCCGCCGTGGGCCCCACCAAACTGAGCGTGGGGAACTGGTCCCTGACATGTCTGAAGGAGGGAGAGATTGCCATCCATAACTCAGACGGGCAGCAGGCCACTATCCTGAAGGAGGACCTTCCCGGCTTTGTGTTTGAGTCCAACAGAGGGACCAAGCACTCCTTCACCGCGGAGACCTCACTGGGTATGTATTGCTTTAGTATTGCTTTTAATACTTCTTTAGTACTGCTTTAATATGGCTACTAAGAGACTGGATTGGGAGGGAGGTCTTTCATGGGAATAAATCTGCTCCTATGGCTAAATACACTAGCGTATCCATGGAAAGTAAAAAAAAAATATGTGCAAGAATATCCAAATATGATCTATTTATTTAACAGTAGCAATGGTGGTAGTCGTAGCAGCTACAGTACTAGTATTGGTAGTAGCAGCAGCAGCAGTAGCTGTAGTTGTGACCACACTCCTGCCAGACTTTTGAACCTAAGCAAGGCGGGGCCTGATTATTACTGTGATGGGAGACTTCTAGGAACACCAGGTGCAACAGTGGGGTGACTGTAAAGTGTCACACTGTTATTTTGTCCATCGGCCAGACTCATCAGCCACATTGAATGAGTCTGGTGTGTGTGTGTGAAGTGTTGGTGGTGGGAGGGGCCAATTGCACAGACTGGTTGACTTACTTCTGTCAGTGTTCCCTCAGGGCAGCTGTGGTAGCAGTAGTAGCTGACATGTTTTTTTTTTTAATCCTGTCCGTGGGTCCTCAGGCTCAGAGTTTGTGACCGGCTGGACGGGGAAGCGCGGGCGGAAGCTGAAGTCGAAGCTGGAGAAGACCAAGCAGAAGGTGAAGAGCATGGCGCGCGAGCTGTACGACGACCACTTCAAAGCTGTGGAGAGCATGCCCCGGGGCGTCGTAGTCACTCTGAGGAACATCTCCACTCAGCTCGAGTCCTCTTGGGAACTGCACACCAACCGCCAGCAGGTACCTGACCACGCAATAGCAGGGACCCCCAAACATGAGCATGCACTGAAAGATATGATATTAATTAACTTAAACGGGTCATTTATACCCTTTTAGACCCTGAGGCAGGAAAGATCATCAAAATTCAGATCAAAAAACAATTTGTGGTTTTTACTTAACATTGACCCAGAGGATAAGACAAGGGTTAAATCCTGGGCACCCAATTTTCATACTACGAAGAAAGGAGCTAAACAACATTCTGTTCATTCATACATTTTATGTTTGCGAATGTGAAGTAATTTATTAAACCTCAGGTACCTATCACCCAACATATACGGTGTTCAAACTGTTTGAGTCTCTGATCAGTTGTTGGGGAATGAAGTTTGTAGAGTCTTCCTAGACAACTACTCTTGTGATACACAAATACATTGAATTGAATTGTTCAAAAGAGTACCTTTACATCATAATTAGAGACTCTTTCTGGTGGTGGTTCTTTTTCATACCTCCTGACCGCCAGAGGGTGGTGCATAGCACTGAGTGACATAGCGCCTATGGTTGGTAAGCCAGGATTTATAGAACCGTGGTTACTAGGGTTGTCAAGATTCAATTCTCGATTTCATTCTCACACTGTAGCATACTGTTTTGTGACTCAAGTACACTAACTATATCCATTGTTTTCACTACCGAAAAAGGTTGCAGATTTGCTACTACAAATAACTGTCAATATAAACACTTCTACTATAAAATTAAACTCTCTGCGCTATTCCAGTGCATCGAGGGTGAGAACACGTGGAGGGACCTGATGAAGACTGCTCTGGAGAATCTCATTGTGGTTCTGAAAGACGAGAACACCATCTCTCCGTACGAGATGTGCAGCAGTGGACTAGTGCAGGCCTTGTTCATCGTCCTCAACAACGTAAGTGCAGAAAACCCTAGATTGATTTTGCATATAGATACTTTATATTGATCCCTGTGGGAGAAAAGAGCAGGTTTGTTTGTGTGGCAGCAGCATTCATCCACACAATCATAACAAACATCACTTGTAGCTTTCTCAGAGCTGTACAGTAACATGTATTCACTCTCAGCGTCTGTCTTCCAGAGCGTGGAACTTGACCTTAAACACGATTGTAAGCCTTTGATGGAGAGAATCAATGTCTTCAAAGCTGCTTTCAGTGAAAACGAAGACGACGAGAGGTAAACGTTTGTCTCTTCTCTGTCTGAAAGAGAATACAAGTATTTGTTCTTTTCTCAATCAATAAGAAATGAGGACACAACAGAAACTGATCTTACACTCGATCTACGCACATAAAAGCCGCAACAGAGCGCCATGAGCGCAAGGAAATAAAGACATGATTTGATAATGCGCCTTTTAATCAGGTGCGTCTTTTTATAGTGTGAAAATTACAGTAAATGAAATGCAGTGAAAAGTGAAGTGGTTGCTCCAGTATTACTGATTAGTTTGTAAAAGGTTTGTTTTTCATATTGTACTTTACTCTTAAGTCATTAACCCTTGTGTTCTGTAGTCGTCCTGCTGTTGCCTTAATTCGTAAACTCATTGCGGTCCTGGAGTCGATAGAACGTCTACCTCTGCACCTTTACGACACGCCCGGCTCCTCATACAATCTGCAGGTGAGGATCTCCACAAGTTTAAGGAGAGATGAGTGCCAGTCCACGTGGCTGTATAAATGCTGTGTGCTCCTCAGATTCTGACCCGGAGGCTGCGGTTCCGTCTGGAGCGGGCCCCTGGAGAGACGGCTCTGATTGACAGGACTGGACGCATGCTGAAGATGGAGCCACTGGCCACAGTGGAGTCTCTGGAGCAGTATCTGCTCAAGATGGTGAGTTCGAACATCTTGAGCAGTCATTGCTTACATACAGTACAAAGTAACTCTGTAGTATCATTCTAGTAACATTTTAACATTTATATCACATTAGTCTTAAACTGGGAAGATGTAGATGGACGATGATGGACATTGAAGGCCACTAAGGTACATTCAGGACTAGGGATGTAAAAAACTATGAATTTTCATGACCGACCACCGAGCCTCATTAACCGGTTGAAACCGGTTAACCGCGTAGTTTAAAATAGTCCACGTTCTTTGAAATAACAGCCATTTCGAGCCGCGTACTTTTCATAAGTGCAGCTCTGCGTTCTACTGGATCAGAGTTGAGACAGCGGCGCCCAAACCCGCAACAGCTCCGGCACCTTTGCGCACAGAGAACTGCTTTTTTTAATCTTCCCATTCTGCTGTGCTGCGGGTTAATACCAAAACTTTCTAGCAGCAAACGACGGCTCGTTCACATGGTCAGAGCAGCGAGTGACGAGCCGCGTCTCACAGGTCTTCACAAAAGTTTAAATACAAGTGATGTGTGTGGAGCTGATCCCGAGGACCATAAACACAAACATGTTCCATGTGGTTTGACTGGAGCCACGTATTTGCGCGAATCCTTTGGGCTCCGTGACACAGAGGAGCGCGACAGACCGGTATGTGTGTGTGTGTATGTATGTATGTGTGTATGTGTGTGTGTGTGTAAATATAAGCTCCAATGTAGTTCTGACCCGCGCCAGTGTGCAACTTTGACGGTAACAGAGGGGAGAGATGATGCGTGTGGATGTTACGTATGGAGAGGGGGAAAGTGTGTGTGTGTGTGCATATGTGGCTCGTGCGGCGTGAGAGTCGTACCGGAGTTTATAATACATGGGCGCACACAGCTAGATACAGACCCGCTCGTCACACCGTGCAAATAGGGCTTAAAATAGCGTTATTAAGAGACCTCCCCTCTCCCCTTTTTCTCTTTTTTTTAACCGACAGCTTTGACCGGTTAACGCTGTGACGGTCAACCACCGGTTAAACGGTCGCCGATTTACATCCCTATTCAGGACAACAATAAAATTAACCATAGAAGCCCAAAGGACAAGACTGTGGAGAGGGAGGCTCTGGCCAAACCTCTGGCAGATGGCTTCTCCCTTAATGTTCCATGAGGAGGCTCCACAGGCGGCAGCTCAGAGGTCCCCACACTGAATGTGTAAGGGGATGATGTCACAAATCCAGAGATGTCCCTGGATCTCCCGCTGTCCATGTGTCCTCTAACACACTGCCTTTGTTGTGTGTTTGTGCAGGTGGCGAAGCAGTGGTACGATTTTGAGCGTTCGTCTTTTGTGTTTGTGAGGAAACTGAGAGAAGGACAAAGCTTCAGCTTCAGACACCAGCACGACTTTGATGAGAACGGCCTCATCTACTGGGTCGGCACCAACGCCAAGTGAGACGCTCACTGTGTCTAAAACAGGACCACACTCTCCTCACACTGGTCTCGCTCTCTCCTCTCACCCTGGACTCTCACCCTCTCTTCTCTCAATGGTCTCTCTTCTCACACTGGTGTCTCGTAGGGCTGGGCGATAAATCGATTTGAATTAATAAGTAGAATTGATGCCACGTACGCCACACATTTAATTGTTTCATTCTCATTCATTCATTTCTCAGCGCTCACGCTAGTTACTCCAAAGCACGCTCCTGTGTCACTTTGGGGAAAGACACGTCTCACACATTTCTTTCTCTGATACAAACAACGCGATCTGTACTCGAGCTGTTAGCGCTACAGTAGCAAAATGTAAATGGGAAGAAAAACGGAAACTTAACTCAACCCCGAGGTAGTCGCTGAAGTTAGTATTAGCGCCACCAGCTGGACCGAGTACAACACTACAGCACAGTTGCTCTGGCATGGTTGAAAGAACAAGCATGAACCCAAGGAGGCTGCTTTTGTAACAGACTTTCTCTATTATAACAATTGTATTTAGAGTAATCATCCGTTTTAAAAATATGATATTTTATGTTAATAATGCATGTTAAAACGCTCAAACGAGGGCCATAGCAAATATATCAATCGTATTAAGTTATTTTGAAGGTGCATTGTGTCACTGTAAGTGAAGTTATTAGAAAACTGTTAATCTACATTTTCACTGTTTACAATGGCAGGGCCATGTCGTTTACAAGCATGTTTTAAGGCTTATTTCCAGTTACGCTTATGCTCCATGGGGAAATTTAGATTAAACTGCATAAAGGAAAATCTATTTCTTCGTTTGTTTTTAAGTAGAAAAAAATAATTTAAAAAATAAAAAGTCTCTCTTCTCACACTGGCCTCTCTTCTCACACTGGCCTCGCTCTTCTCACACTGGTCTTCTCTCACTGGCCTCTCGCTTCTCACACTGGTCTTCTCACACTGGCCTCTCGCTTCTCTCACTGACCTCTCGCTTCTCTCACTGGCCTCTCGCTTCTCTCACTGGCCTCTCTTCTCTCACTGGTCTTCTCACACTGGCCTCTCTCTTCTCACACTGGCCTCTCGCTTCTCACACTGGTCTTCTCACACTGGCCTCTCGCTTCTCTCACTGGCCTCTCGCTTCTCTCACTGGCCTCTCTTCTCTCACTGGTCTTCTCACACTGGCCTCTCTCTTCTCACACTGGCCTCTCGCTTCTCACACTGGTCTTCTCACACTGGCCTCTCGCTTCTCACACTGGTCTTCTCACACTGGTCTTCTCACACTGGCCTCTCTCTTCTCACACTGGCCTCTCGCTTCTCACACTGGTCTTCTCACACTGGCCTCTCGCTTCTCACACTGGCCTCTCTCTTCTCACACTGGCCTCTCGCTTCTCACACTGGTCTTCTCACACTGGCCTCTCGCTTCTCACACTGGTCTTCTCACACTGGTCTTCTCACACTGGCCTCTCTCTTCTCACACTGGCCTCTCTCTTCTCACACTGGCCTCTCGCTTCTCTCACTGGCCTCTCGCTTCTCTCACTGGCCTCTCGCTTCTCACACTGGCCTCTCGCTTCTCACACTGGCCTCTCGCTTCTCACATCGGTCTCTCTCTTCATTCTCACATCGGTCTCTCTCTTCATTCTCACATCGGTCTCTCTCTTCATTCTCACATCGGTCTCTCTCTTCATTCTCACATCGGTCTCTCTCTTCATTCTCACATCGGTCTCACTCACACTCTTCATTCTCACACTGGTCTCACTCACACTCTCCATTCTCACACTGGTCTCACTCACTCTCTCCTCACGCTTGTCTTCTCACCCTCTCTCCTCACGCTGGTCTCACTCACCCTCTTCTCACGCTGGTCTACTCACGCTCTCCTCACGCTAGTCTACTCACGCTCTCCTCACGCTAGTCTACTCACGCTCTCCTCACGCTAGTCTACTCACGCTCTCCTCACGCTAGTCTACTCACGCTCTCCTCACGCTAGTCTACTCACGCTCTCCTCACGCTAGTCTACTCACGCTCTCCTCACGCTTGTCTTCTCACCCTCTCTCCTCACGCTGGTCTTCTCACGCTTGTCTTCTCACCCTCTCTCCTCACGCTGGTCTTCTCACTCTCTTCTCACCCTGGTCTCTTCTCTCCTCCTCAGGACTGCCTATGAGTGGGTGAACCCTGCAGCCTATGGCCTGGTGGTAGTGACCTCGTCGGAGGGTAGAAACCTCCCATACGGGCGCCTGGAGGACATCCTGTCTCGCGACAGCTCGGCGTTGAACTGTCACACCAACGACGACAAGAACGCCTGGTTTGCTGTGGACCTGGGGCTGTGGCTCGTGCCGTCTGCCTACACGCTCCGACATGCCAGGTCTGCGCATGCCGCTGAAAACTGAATAACTCGTGTTTCTGTCTGCCCATGGTGGATTTTAAATGTAATATATATACAATACAAATTCTTTTAATATTTTATTTAAATTGTAGATGTTTTATCCTTTTTATAAACACAATCAGAATTGTTTTATTGCCATTGTAAGTAACAAAGTCACAAATTAGGAATTTGCTTTGGCTCAAGGTGGATAAGTTATAAAAGCAAAAATTGATATTAGGCATAGATAAAACATCTTCATAGAATTTCTCAAATGTCTACTACAAGTGCACAAAGCACTCACAAACAAATAGCCATTTATTGTTCCACATTCTAATGTATTAAGTGTTTAAGAGAATTGAGAGTTTGAAATGAACCATTGTAACAGAACTTGTTTCTGTATTGGTTGTGAACGATCCCTCTCTCCTCCAGGGGCTACGGCCGCTCTGCTCTAAGGAACTGGGTGTTCCAAGTGTCGAAGGACGGTCAGAACTGGACCACTCTGTACACACACGTAGACGATTGCAGCCTCAACGAACCTGGGTACACACAGTTACACACAATTTTACACATTCTGACCCTGTTCTCGCTGCTAACGCCTCTGTCCCAGCTCCACAGCCACGTGGCCCCTGGACCCCGCCAAAGACGAGAAGCAGGGCTGGAGACACATCCGCATAAAACAGATGGGGAAGAACGCCAGCGGACAGACTCACTACCTGAGTCTGTCTGGACTGGAGCTATACGGGACGGTGACCGCCGTCTGCGAGGACCAGCTTGGTCAGTCTTCAATTGTTCACATTCAGTCTATTTTCAATTTCCTGTAAAACCAAATTAGACTAAATGTGTGAAACAGACAAGTACATAAATAAAACGCGCTTCATCATACTATAGCAGGCGTGTCCATACTGATTGCAGCCTGCTGTGAAAATTTCTGTGGCCCTCTGCTTTGCTAACTCAAATAGTCATTGCATTCGTAAACATTCCTTCAGTGTCATCCAGCCAACTGGTACCATGTGTACAAAGCTGCTAATGCTACTATATACTTGAATCACATTAAGGTACATCTAACACCTCTTGGGTGACAGTGAGATTGCTCTGGTGGTGGTACGGGTACTGGCCCAGAGGTTTGTATGACGACGACAGGTTAAAGAGTGGATCCCTGTTCTTTCCCTCTCTCTTTAGGGAAAGCAGTGAAAGAGGCAGAGGCGAACTTGCGAAGACAGAGGCGCCTGTTCCGCTCGCAGGTCATGAAGTACATAGTTCCTGGAGCCAGAGTTGTTAGAGGAATTGACTGGAAGTGGAGGGACCAGGACGGGAACCCACCAGGGGAGGGAACAGTCACGGGAGAGGCCCACAATGGTACGACATGCAAACGCACACCAGCTGCACTAAAGCTGTCCATGTTATCCCTGTTTATTCACGTGTTCTGTGTTTCCCTTATGTGTTAGGGGGATTTGAACACAGCCAAAGATAGTGTGTAAAGCAGATAGATGTAGCTGAAGGTATAATCTTCTTACTCATACTTAGCAAGACGTACCAAACAAGAACAATTTCTTTGAAAACCAGTAGGAAGGAGCAGAAAAAGGGTGCAGCCGTGGTTTAGCTCCAGAGGGAGGGCTGAGAGGGAACGCTGGACCGCAGTGAGAGGAGGTTTAGATGAAAGACGCTCTAAGGCTATGGTGTCAAACGGGTTTCAGAAAGGGCCAGTGTGGCTGTAGGTGTTTATTACTACCAAGCAGGAGCACACCAGACTCCACCCACTTCCTCATGTCTTCCGTGAGACTGAACTCACTGGCCTTTTTGAGGATCGGTTATGCACGCTTAGTCTAAAGACCCTTCTTCCTCAAGCCCTACTCTACTCTACCCCTGATTGAGAGCGTTTCCTCTGGTCCTGTTTAACCAGTACCTTCTTCAGTTTGTTTTGGTCCTGGTTCTATCCAGGCTGAGCTGGTGCTTAAGTGTTCTAACTGGCTGGATTGTGATTGGTAAGAGTGATGCTGGACAACAAATTTACCTGGATACTGGTTTGTTGTGGGCAGGTTGTTTGTATATGGTACCAGATGCTAAAGTGTAATGGAAACCCATCAGAGTAGAGTACAGTTGAGTAGGGCTGGTGGAAACGGGGCTCATGGAGAGAAAAAGAAGGGAAAAGCGCATAAAGATGGAAGTTCATACCAAAGCTGACTTGATCTTGTGATAAACCCTAATAGCAAAAGAAAGCTAACTCCCATTTGCTTTTAGTGGGACTCGAGAAACAAATACAGTCCACTTCTATAAAACTAGCCAATCAGCAGATAATCAAGAGCCCATTCTTTTTCCTGTTTCTTTTTCCTGTCGCCTTCTTTTTTAATCCGAATTTTGACATTGTGTAAACAAAGTTTTTTGTTCCAGGAATGAGTTCAAATCCAGAGATTGTTTTTGATTTGTTTACCAAGCTTTGCATTTGTCACATTATTCTGCTCCTCACTGTGATCACCTGTTTCTCTCTGTTCGCTGGACCAAACAAATGTTGTGATAGAAAGGCAAAGAGGGTTCTGGAACTAATAGCAGCCCTCTTAAAGTAGCTCTGCAAACAAGGGTATTACTAATGATATGGCAACTATTTCAAATGTGTTGAGCCTACGACTATAAATGCATAGATACTCCGGCTTCTCGTGGGAACAAGCTGAAGAATAGAGTACAACAGTTTTCTGCCTGAATCAGCTAAAGCATCAATTAACAATGTATATGAAGAGGTTTTTGTGGGAATTGGGTATGGAATGGAATGAAAATCCTGCTTTTATCATGCCACAACTATCTAACTCTAATTTGCACAAAACTGACTATGAATTCAGTGCAAAATAAGTCTCAAAGACTAGATTTGTAAAGGCGGATGAAAAGAAAGATTTCAGACACGTGTGGTTGTTGAGACTTGCCAATTATTATTTTTTCAAAACCACTGTCAACTGTGATGACATCCTTGTAACTAGTTCCTGGCTCTAAACAAGTTTTTAGCATGTCTGTTTGGCATCTCACATTTTTAGATCAACTTTTTTGTGATAGAGAGAGGACCACCCTCACTCAGCTCTCAGCCACTCAATTATGCAAAAGTGTTGTGAATGTTGTGTTATGATCGGTTCACATTGTACATTGACAACAAAACTTGATGATGGCACCAACTAAAGATGGTGTTACTGGGGATAAAAAGACAGGTACCCCAGCTTTAAACAGCCATGTGCGCAAAGCGTAGTTCCAGTTGGTCCAGTACGGAGTCTCCTCTCTCATTCTTCTGTCCTCCTCCTCCTCCTGTTCGCTCTCCTCTCTATGGGGTCGCTCATCTGTGCCTGCCTTTGCCTCTCTCTTGTCTGTTATAATTTTAGGCTGGATTGATGTAACCTGGGACTCTGGCGGCTCTAACTCGTACCGAATGGGCGCGGAGGGAAAGTTCGATCTCAAACTTGCGCCGTCCTTCGACCCAGAGTCTCCGCACAACACCAAACCTGTGTCCTGCGTTCACGTTTCAGGCCCGTCCTCCACCTCCACCTGCCCCCAGCATCAGCAGCAGCAGCAGCAGTGGAGCAGCCTCGTCAAAAACAACTGTCCGGACAAATCCAGCACCACGTCGTCTTCCTGCGTGGTGGGCGGGACATCCTCTCACAGCAGGAAGGGCAGCAGCAGCTCGGTGTGCAGTGTGGCCTCCTCCTCGGACCTGTCCTCCTCGGCTCTTGGGGGACTCCTTCCTGGGGCCACCATCGGCAGCTTGCGTTTGGACTCTAGGCGCAACGAGGGACTTCTACTGGACCAGAGCGTGCTGGGAGGCGGGGTGAATGTATGTGACGGACAGCAGCAGGAGCCAATTGTGGTGCTTTCGTCCGCGGTTGACGCTAGCTCGGCGAATGAAGCCGCGGCTAACGCAGAGGCCGCGGTGTCTATGGGGCTGGTGAGCGTCAGTTCTCCCGACGTGAGCTCTGAGGCCTCCAGCAAAGACACACCCACGCCGCGGCCACTGTGCTCTGCGGCTAACGCTAGGCTGTCGGTAAGCTCGCTGCTAGCAGCCGGCGCACCTATGAGCTCCAGCGCCAGTGTCCCCAACCTGTCGTCCAGAGAAGCCAGCCTCATGGAGTCCTTCGTGAGGAGAGCCCCCAACATGTCACGCACCAACGCCACCAACAACATGAACCTGAGCCGCAGCAGCAGCGACAACAACACCAATACACTGGGACGGACGGTCATGAGCACGGCCAGTGAGTACACAGCACCTGATACAGTACACAGCACCTGATACAGTACACAGCACCTGCACACAGAAAGTTCTCACACTGGGAGGATTTAGATACACACTATGAACTCTCTCACTGGGAGGTGTGAGAGACACACACACACAGGGGGAGGATAGAGGGCACACTTGAAGCAGAATAGTCTTTTAACTTGTTTAACCCTCTATGCACATGGGTCATTTTGGGGAACTTTCCTCGCCTGGTTTTCTTTGTGTATAATTGTTCATAAAACAGTCATCTTTTGATGCAGAGTCAAGCAGTATACTTTGTTTTTTTCAGTACAACCTGGGGTTTTAGAATATTCATATTGTTGTCATAAGCTGTCATATGAATTATATAAAAATTATGGAATCATGAAGACAAAGAAAAAAATCAAACGGAAAATCAATTTAACAAAAATGTATTGAAAAAACACAATGAAATGCTATAAACTTTTTACACTGCATAGAAATGTTATTTAGGGACTTGGGGATAATGGGGAAAAAAAATGAATCTCTAACTATTATACTTTTTACAAAATTCCACTATAAAAGCAAAAAACTCTTTACTCCTGATGCCCTTCCTGAAGCAGTTTGTCTATAATGCTGGGGTTGCTTCTGTAGCACAGCTGTAAAAAACGTAAAACATAAGAAACTGAGCCAAAAAAAAAAAAAACAATTATTTATATAATACATATATTTATATACATCATATACACATAATGTCATTTTACTGTATTTATTATCGTCTTTATCAATAATGCGCACTCTTCAGCCGGTTATTGCAATCGCAGCTGTAGTTTCAACTGTGGGAGAACAAGTACAGACAGAGGAGTGAGACATCTCACTCTCTGACGATCTTTGGCAGTCCCCGTGTGTTCGTATCTCACAGCTGTTTGTACCTCACGGGTCACGCTTTGGACACGGACTTTCAGACAAACGTAGTTTATCCTCCGTGCATCGCACAGACAAATCAAAACTAGTTTCGAAAAGCCCTGAATATGTACTTCACAGAGGAAAAAAAAGTAAGTTGCTACATTTTACCGTTCGCGAGTAAATTGATCATTTGTAAAACATATGCACATGCATTGGCGCCAATGCAGACGGGTTCATAGGGTTAACTGGGTGTCCTTGAGAACCTTCCATCCATCCATCCATTTTCTACCCTTTAATCCATTTCTGGGTCAGGGGGGTGGCAGTCAGAGATGCCACCCAAGTCTCATTGCACCAGCCCCTCACTGATCCTCTGCAGGTGGTGAGTCCACAGGAGGACGGCTGCTCACTGAGTGTGAGCACAGCCTTGATCTTTCAGTGGGAGCTTTGGGCAAAGTGGGGTTAAGTGTCTTGCCCAAGGACACAACGACAGCAGTCATCAGTGGGAGTCGGTGGAGAAGATGTAGAGGTGGGAATTGAACCCACGACCTTCTGGCCTTAAGGCCAATGCTCCTTGAGAACCTGATGAAGTAAAATTAAGTACTGGTAATTCACTAGTCACTTCATCTGCTTCTTTTATTATTATTAGTATAGAAAAACTGATAATAAAACTAATGTCAAAACTCAATTAAAGATGCTATACCCGTTTTTTTTTTTTTTTTTTCATGAGTTCATAAAAATGCTTATTACTACATACTAGTTGTATTATCTGTAATTTAATTGAAAACTTGAGCTCATTGACTCAGCTTGTGTATAAACTCAGGCCGTAAAAAGTGACGCAGCCCCGTTCTCCTCCACTCACAGAACGGGGCTGCGTCCTCTAGCCTCTACAGCGCTGGTAAACACAGTAGCATGTTAGCAGCGTTGGCTATTACTCCTCTTGCTGTAACTGCATACACAGCAAAACAGCCCAAACGACCCAACAGTGAGAAAGAGAAGAGGGAACAAAAGCGAAAAAATGATCAAAGAAGTCAAGCTCAGGTGAACATAGCTAGTTTATATTGTATCCTCTGGAGAGACTTGTCTATGGGAGAGACCTGCGGGACCGCCTCGGACTATCTATGCTCGGACTACAGTCAGACGCAGAACTAGCTGTAATCTTCCAGTTATATATTTTGTTAGCAGTGCGTTGCTTTTGTACCATTTCATGAGTGATTGTTGTACAGCTTACAAGAAGTTGCGCTCATGCTAATATTTGCATATAGATCACAAATAAAACTAGATGGCTCCGTGGAATGAGAGCGTAGGGGAAATGAGACCTGTGAGCGAGTTGGGCGGCGGTGCTAAACATTCAAACCTTGCAGAAACGGGTATAGCTCCTTTAAGCAAAAAGACTAATACTAACTTCCAGCTTTTACTCAAAATCATGTTTAAGGTACAAAATGAATGATATTGGACAGATTTGTTGCTCTTGCAGTTAAAACATTGTTGCTCTCCTCCTCAGCGTCTCCTCTGATGGGCGCTCAGAGCTTCCCAAACCTCACCACCACCGGCACCACCTCCGTCACTATGTCCACCTCAATCGTCACCTCCTCTAACAACGTAGCCACAGCGACCACCGGCCTCTCCGTGGGACAGCTGCTGAGTAACACCCTGACCACGAGTCTGACCTCCACCAGCAGCGAGAGCGACACGGGCCAGGAGGCAGAGTTCAGCCTCTACGGTGAGAGATGGGAGCAAGATTAGCAAAACCCATCCATATTTGGTCATGCTCTGGCCCTCCCGGTTTTGCACAGTTGACAACCTCCCATTATGCTTTGCACCAAATACTAAAGGGGAAGCTTTTGGCTCCCGTGAAAACCCTAACCGTGGGGCAGCGGTCTGACCAATCATTTGCTGAGTTTGTTGCACTGAAGTGTGGATTTGAAGACATTTGAGGGATTTAACAAGAAAACATTTTCAGGATGACAATTGACACTAAAATCTCCACAATCCCACCTTTTAAGCCTAGCGTACATCGACAGAGTAACTGGAGACAACTAGTTGCAAGGCGGCTTTTGGCAACTGAGAGTACATGATGGGAGATGATCAGTTGCTGAAATCGGTCGATGTGAGCGCTCTTACAACTGGAGATAAACAGTCAATCTCCGGATTCAGTCAGTTGCCCGTGTTCTACTTTTCGGCAACTAGTTTTACTCAGATCCGGAGATATCACCCGATGTGCGCGTGTGTATGTGTATATTGCGTGCCCTCTACAGTTTATGCCAGAAAACACACTGTAGTTGACGGCCAGTTGCTGTCGATGTACGCGCTGTTATTCCCGAGACTGGTCTGCTACTAGGAGTTGCCCGTTTTCGGCACATTGTCGTCGTGTGTGGGGCAGCAACTCATAGGCGACGGCTATAATCAGTTGCCAGTCCGATGTACGCTAGGCATTAGTCTAGGTGTTTGAGTTTACATTGAGTTCTATGGGGAGAATTTCAGAATAGCCCACAGGAATTTAGTCTGCAAGACCCACCGAGCCCATGGGTTTTTCAGCTTTAAGCTTGTAGTACCCTATGAGGTTATTATTATAGATCCATGGACGGGAGGCAGTTTATATGTGAGAGGACTCCAGAACAGGGTCCTCACAGTCAATGTCAGCTGTGTGTGATGTTCCTGTTTGTTTTGCAGATTTCCTGGACAGTTGCAGAGCTAACACCCTATTGGCCGAGCTCGATGACGAGGAGGATCTGCCCGAACCTGACGATGATGACGACGAGAACGAAGACGACAACCAGGACGAGCAGGAGTATGAGGAGGTGCTGGTGAGTCACTACTGCTGCTGTTACTTATGCTGCTGCTGCTACAACTACTGCTATTGCTGCTGCTACTACTACTGCCTGTGCTGCTACTGCTGCCGCTACTTATGTTACTTCTGATGCTAGTACTCCTGCTACTACTGTCATTACTACTCCTGTTACTTCTAGTTGTGGGATTCACATTAGGGCTGAGCAATAGGACATGGGGGGCTATTGCAGCCCAGAGAAGGCAAACGGGCAAAGCAGCGAAAGTGAAGTAGAGCCAGTATCTCAATCATGTGACAAAGCTTAAAAGTTACTTTTGCGTTATCGCCTACGTCACCTACCCCTAGTTAATTCTCTCCTCTCATTACACACACATTGGTACCTCTGTGTTGGAAGCTTAAGAAAGGTGTGACTGAAGATTGTTGATTATGTTGCTGTAATACCGCTGTTGTCCTGTAGGAGGAGGAGGAGTACGAGACCAAAGGAGGCCGCAGACGGACGTGGGACGACGACTTTGTTTTGAAGCGTCAGTTCTCTGCTCTAGTTCCGGCGTTCGACCCGCGACCCGGAAGAACAAATGTACAGCAGACTACAGACCTGGAGATCCCCCCTCCAGGTACATAAACGAGTTTGGAATTTTTAACCGGATATAAGGATCATCTTCAGGACACACAAAAATATGACTGAGTGATGGAGTGTGGTCGAGCTGTTTACAAAGGTTCCTTTTAAAAAAAGTGTATGTGTTATGTTTGATTATCACATGTTTCTGCAGTAGACTTCCGCCTTTGCCAGAGACGTGGTGGTGTGACGTGTCTCTGATCAGCTGTTTTAAGCTTTTATTATAAAGCTTAAAACATGTACTGAATAATTCCACTGTCGTCCCTTTTCTTGTGAGATAAAGTTTGAGTGCTCCTGTTGCTCCGGTCTTATGGTGTCTCTCTCTCAGGAACGCCGCGGTCTGAAGTCCAGGAGGAGGTGGAGTGCGCTCCGTCACCGCGTCTCTCCCTCACGCTCAAAGTAAGAATCTCAAATCAAAGTTTGAGTCTGTGTAGTTTTATATATGAGGAAATATAAGTACTTGTACTAAAGAGACATACTGTGAAAGTTCTCTTTTTAGTTTTTAACTCTAAAGTCCTATTCAGACGGGATTATTATTACCTGTGGACCCCTGGTATCCGAGATCTTGCAGTGCATTCACACTGGATAAGCAGGTCTTGTGTCTGACCACAGCTGCCACAAAGACCATGAGGACAAACGCACACACGTCAGTGACGTGCGGTGAGGTTGGTGATTGGTGAGGCACTCACTTCACCCCAATCAGATGAACATATATATCATATAAATCAACAGGACGTACAGAGCGGCTTTTTCACAATTTGTTTGGCTACAGCAGATTGTTTCATGCCCGCATTGTTTGCTCATACAAAATGCACAAGTTTGTAAAAAGCACATTTCAAAGTGTGTTATGGTCTTTACCATATACAGTGCCTTGCGAAAGTATTCGGCCTCCTTGAACCTTTCGCCACATTTCAGGCTTCAAACATAAAGATATAAAATGTAATTTTTTTGTCATGAGTCAACAACAAGTGGGACACAATCGTGAAGTGGAACGAAATGTATTGGATAATTTAAACTTTTAACAAAAAATAACTGAAAAGTAGTCCGTATAAATGCACCTGCTCTTTGATAGTCTCAGGGTTCTGTTTAAAGCGCAGAGAGAACCGTGAAGACAAAGGAACACACCAGGCAGGTCCGAGATACTGTTGTGGAGAAGTTTAAAGCATTTGGATACAAAAAGATTTCCCCAGCTTTAAACATCTCAAGGAGCACTGTGCAAGCAATTATATTGAAATGGAAGGAGTATCAGACCACTGCAAATCTACCAAGACCCGGCCGTCCCTCCAAACTTTCATCTCAAACAAGGAGAAGACTGATCAGAGATGCAGCCAAGAGGCCCATGATCACTCTGGATGAACAGCAGATAACTACAGCTGAGGTGGGAGAGTCTGTCCATAGGACAACAATCAGTGGTGCACTGCACAAATCTGGCCTTTATGGAAGAGTGGCAAGAAGAAAGCCATTTCTCAAAGATATCCATAATAAGTCTCGTTTAAAGTTTGCCACAAGCCACCTGGGAGACACACCAAACATGTGGAAGAAGGTGCTCTGGTCAGATGAAACCAAAATCGAACTTTTTGGCCACAATGCAAAACAATATGTTTGGCGTAAAAGCAACACAGCTCATCACCCTGAACACACCATCCCCACTGTCAAACATGGTGGTGGCAGCATCATGGTTTGGGCCTGCTTTTCTTCGGCAGGGACAGGGAAGATGGCTAAAATTGATGGGAAGATGGATGGAGCCAAATACAGGACCATTCTGGAAGAAAACCTGTTGTCTGCAAAAGACCTGAGACTGGGACGGAGATTTATCTTCCAACAGGACAATGATCCAAAACATAAAGCCAAATCTACAATGGAATGGTTCACAAATAGACGTATCCAGGTGTTAGAATGGCCAAGTCAAAGTCCAGACCTGAATCCAATCGAGAATCTGTGGAAAGAGCTGAAGGCTGCGGTTCACAAACGCTCTCCATCCAACCTCACTGAGCTCGAGCTGTTTTGCAAGGAAGAATGGGCAAGAATTCCAGTCTCTCGATGTGCAAAACTGATAGACATACCCCAAGCGACTTGCAGCTGTAATTGCTGCAAAAGGTGGCGCTACAAAGTATTAGCGCAAGGGGGCCGAATAATATTGCACGCCCCACTTTTCAGTTTTTTATTTATTAAAAAAGTTTAAATTATCCAATAACTTTCGTTCCACTTCACGATTGTGTCCCACTTGTTGTTGATTCTTGACAACAAATTAAATTTTTATATCTTTGTTTGAAGCCTGAAATGTGGCAAAATGTTAAAAGGTTCAAGGGGGCCGAATACTTTCACAAGGCACTGTAAATGACCTGCACAGACCACTTTCATGTTTAATTCCAGATAATAGTTTGAGCGTAGATGTAATCCTCCATTTGTAAATAAGTCCAATGAGTTTTAAAAAGTAAAAACAAACGGGTGCCTCCTCCATTGACTCCTGTTTTGCTAGCTGCAGCCAACTCTCGGGTGCATCCAATTTCTAAAATCAACCTTCTCAACCTTCGCCTCTTCCTTATCATTCATATCATCATTGGAAGCACAACATTACCCTAAGTGCATTTTTAATTCTCAGAATGTGTTACACATTCTGCGCTACCCTGAGGCTGGCCTCACTTGGTGACATTACAAGCCGTGGTTGAGGGTGATAAAGACGCAATATGTAACTCCTCTGTTCATTGACAAAAAATAATACAGAAAGAAAAGCAAAAGCGGAAATAGCGATCACAATCACATGCAGATTCGCACGGGATTAGTATTATCACAGGATGTCTGTGTTTGGACAAATACAGAAGGTAATTTGAAGAAGGTCCTTTATTCGTCCCACAATGGGGAAATTTCAGTTTGATGCATACACATAAAGTACATACATATATACACATCAAGGCATGCAGCGAACATCATATCCGCGCTCCTTATAGGCTAAGTGGGTTAAGTGTCTTGCCCAAGGACACAACGACAGCAGGCGGAGTCGGTGGAGAAGGTCCCATTGTGGGCTCAAACCCACGACCTTTGGGCCCAAAGGCCAATGCTCTACAAACTGAGCTACTGTCTCCCTTACTGTTGCGACTTATTACTTTACAAATTACAGACATGGCGCATTCGCACGTGACTAAGATCTCGGACTGCCTCAGTGGTAATCACAAATTACCAGAGGTCCACAGGTAATACTAATCCTGTCCGAAAAGGGCTTTACTCCAACATTGTCCTTGTCACAAACAAACCTGGAGTGTTTTTAACTTAATCCAGGATAACTGGATAACACCTTCAGATTATGAAAAAAATCTGTTTAGATAAATGTTGATATTTTTAAATTGAATACATTTTAATTGTTTAATGTTCACTTCGAAATTTATTTTTTTTTCCTGTTTTTTTTAAAGTATTTCCTTTTTTTCATATTTTTTACTTTAATAACAATTGGTCTTCATTGCATCATTAGTGTTGTTATTTTGGTTTAAATGGGGCTGAGCTTTAGATTTGAAAAGATTGTTGAGAGTCCCCTGTAAAGATCTTTGAAGGATCTTGGAGATACCCAGCCCTTCGGCCTTCTTTAAATTAGTTTTGAGGAAAACTAACAAAAAATCTCGCACCATGTTAGCTTTAGGTGGTGTAGAAACTAGTAATTCCCTACTGTAGCCTCTAGATGGAAGTGTGGCTCATTCTAATCTTCTTTTTTTCTTATTTTTTTTCTGTATGTTTTGCTTCACTTTCTAAAAACAGCATCTGAAATGTTTATCAAAGTCATGTGACAGATGTAGCTGTTGCCCCGTATTATGTCTGTAACAGTCTGTTTGTGTGTCTGTCACAGGTGGCCGGTCTGGGCACGACTCGGGAAGTCGAGCTGCCTCTGTCAAACTACAAATCCACAATCTTCTTTTACGTCCAGCGGCTGCTCCAGCTCTCCTGCAGCGGAGCAGTGAAGACCGACAAGCTGCGGAGGATCTGGGAACCCACTTACACGTAAGTACAAGGGCTTTGACTCCAAATATTAATATTTAAATATAATTTGAATATTAAACAGACCTTGCAGACAGCCCTTAATATTCAAATGTACAAAGTTGTAATGGGAATTATCTTTCTTTAACGTTTCTTTTAACGTTAATTTTCTATTTAGATTTTGGGGCTTTTTCACGCCAGGTGAAGTTGTGAAGGCTCATTAATGGGGCTATTATAGTGAAGATACTTATTTTCCGCTAGACTAGCTACTTCAAAACTAGAACTCTCTAAAACTACATGAAAACTGAACAAAGAATTCTGAAAATCAGCGGTGAGTTACCCAAATATAAACTTAACCTAAATCCATAATCAGATCCTCTGCAAATGTGTCCTAAAATGTTCTATTAATGCTAACGGTTACTTCCGGGATTACCGCAAACGCTTTTAACAGTATATTTGTCATGAAAACGTTAACAGATAATTCTGAAAACCTCTGGGCATGTGTGTTAAGGGGCGTTCACACCGGACTTAACTTCGGCGTCAAAAGCGTCAGGTTTCCATTGAAAGTGAATGGTGAAGCGCGTCAGGTGAAGCCGAGAGCCCCGGCGTCACTTGACGCGTGTCAAAAGCTTCAAGAGTTGCGCGTACTACGCGCTCACTTGAAGCTTTTGACGCGCGAAACGCTCGCGTATCACAACAATCCCTCTGACGCCGAAGCTGAGCAAAGTTGAGCTTTTGAAGCGGGCTTCAACCAATCAGGAGACGAGGAGCAGCAGCAGCAGAGGGTCTGTCTCTGTCATGGAGAGAAGTCATGTATCTGCTGCTGCTGTTTTATTGTCATTATTGTTATTAGTAATATTAATTGTATGAGTAGTAAAATTCTGAGTAACAAAAATCATTGTACACATGCTATGTAGTAAACGTAGTTTATTTAAAATAAGAACAGGCTGACGATGAGTCTGGCTCAGAGCAAGGCAGCTCCGGGCGGGCGAGAGCCGGGGAGAGGCAGGGGGAGGCAGGGAGAGGCGAGAGCGAGGCAGGGAGAGGCGGGGAGAGGCGAGCTCCGGGGTTTGAGAACTCAGACTGGGCGAGTGACATGCGGAAGTACCGCTGAAAGCGAAACTCCTCCGTACGCAGCTCCTGGAGTAAATGACGGAACTCTGCAAACACTGCAGCCTCTCAAGTCTGTGGTGAACCCAGAACATGTTTTGTTGAAGCCCTACAACAACGTTATTTTGCTTTATATAACAAATAAAGGCTCGCTGCTCATTGAAAAATCCACCGCTGTCCTGACTACAGACAACAGAGAAGCTCCTCCCACCGGCGTCAGGCGCGTCAAAAGCTTCAAGCACCAAAATGACAAAACTATCCCGGCGTCAGTTGAAGCACGTCAAAAGCTTTTTGAAGCTTTTGGTCTGAACGCGCCTTTAAGAATGTATTTGTATAATGTATTCTTCGATTAACATTTTAATGTGTTGATTGATTGATATATTTGTTTGAGCGTGGCTAGCTTCGATAGCTTCTCTCGCAGATACAAAAGTATCTGTGCTGTGAGGAGCTGTGTAATAATTTGATTAAATATTCAAATATATTCGAATATTTAACTTTGAATATCATTTTTGTGAAAAAGCCCTAATAAGTACCACCAACAGTCAGGCCACTGCGGAAAAGCAAGGGACACACAATAACGTTATAGCGTTTAGATATTGGAGCAAGTTGAATGAGTGAGGGATTCCAGTTTAGTGTGGAGACTGTCTGCTCTCTATTAAGAGGTATTAAATGTAGAAATTGTTTTACTAGTAATCTGCCTGGAGGTCCTAAAGGCATTAGTAGTGTGAAACTATGAGGTTAAGACTTGCATCCATTTCATGTTTGCAGGATAATGTACAGAGAGCTGAAGGACTGGGACAAAGAGAAGGAGAGCTGCAAAATGGTGAGTTTCAAATACACTCATGGGGGGTTTCTGAGGCAGATTTTGAAGCCAGAAAATGAATACATAAAATTTGAAGCGCACTCCATTTCCGCATTTCCATTGGGACTTATTATATATACAAGTAATTGGTTGAGTCACTGAAAAAAAATTCCATGCCAGCTTTAATCTTGTAATGGTCTCCTCAACCATTTGGTAGATCATTTTGAATCACTTTTTCCAATCTACTTGATTGGGGCATCTCCACATAACTACTTTGTTGTTGTAATGTTTTTTCATGTAACTGTGGACTGCAGATGGAAATCGGAAATAATCTGGTGCCACACATGCCTTTGATCTTAATGTTGCTGCGTACTGTCGCTTTAAAAAAATAAAAATACTATCTGGGTGGATGGTCTAATAGCTCTCAAATGAGTGCATTTTCGATTCTAGTTTGATTATTAATTTTCTGAATTTAGCTACTTTTAGCAACCAGTAGCAAACAGTAACAGTGTTGTTTTGCTGCAGGACTTCTGTGAGCAGAGCCGCTCTGGGGGCCTGTCTCCCTCCATCCCTCACCCACACAGCTGTGAGATCCTGGGGGGAGCGCGGGAGATGGCCCAGGCTAAAGCTGGCAGCACCCAGAACGCATGTGGAGTGGAGGACGTGCTACAGCTGCTGCGGATCCTCTATATCATCGGAGGAGACGCCGCCATCAACACCAGGACATTACAGGAAGGTGAGTCCGGAGAGGGAGAGGTCCGGAGAGGGAGAGGTCCGGAGAGGGAGAGGTCCGGAGAGGGAGAGGTCCGGAGAGGGAGAGGTCCGGAGAGGGAGAGGTCCGGAGAGGGAGAGGTCCGGAGAGGGAGAGGTCCGGAGAGGGAGAGGCCCTTACTATTTCCTTTAAAAAATAAATACTATGCTTTATTTCTATCTATTAATGGGACTATTTACTGTGTCACTTTTTTAGAATGTGAATTAATATTCTAAAAAAATATATGGACAAACATTTTCCCATGATTCTGCTGCCAGAGGAAGAAGAATTTGATTTTATCTCTCTCTCTCTTGGTCTCGCTCTGGTCTCGCTCTGGTCTCGCTCTGGTCTTGCTCTGGTCTCCCTCTGGTCTCCCTCTGGTCTCGCTCTGGTCTACCTCTGGTTTCTCTCTGAACCCTCACAAATGATTCCATAATTTGCCATATTTCTTAAGGTTTGACATCAGTGAAAGGAATTGCAACTATATAACAGTGAGTGCAGGCGGTGTATTTTAACTCTGGTGCTTTTCGTCTAGACGTGGAGGAGCTGCAGTTCAACGCGTCTCCAGAAGAATTCACCAGTAAAAAAGTCACCACCAAAATACTGCAGCAGATCGAAGTTAGTCTCCCTCTGCTCCTCATTGTGTCAACATTCAAACATAATTATGTGTATTAACTCACTGTCTGTGCTGCGTCCAGGAGCCGTTAGCGTTAGCCAGCGGGGCGCTCCCAGAATGGTGCGAGCAGCTCACCTCCAAGTGTCCTTTCCTGATCCCCTTTGAGACGCGGCAGCTGTACTTCACCTGCACGGCCTTCGGAGCCTCCCGGTAACAGCCCCAGGAACATGTTGACCTTTTATAGACAGAACCATAGTGTGTGACATCACCACAGTGTTTGCCTTTGGGGATGGGGAAGAGTCCGTGAAAATAAGCTGGAGCAAATTTCCTATGTCAATTCAATTCAATTTATTCTTGTATAGCCCTGAGTCACAACAGTAGTCATCTCAGAGGACTTAACAAAACTGTTGAACTCGTCAAAACAGATCAGAAAATCAACTGTTAAGACACAAAAAATATAGAACACATGGTATTGGTTCATTGGGAGTAGACCAAAGTCCACGAATGTTTATAAATGTCCATATATGTTGTAGAATGGTAGAGCGTTAGAGTGTCCTGGATCATCACCACAGTCCTTCTTGTTAGTCTAACAGACTCCCCTGCATTAGTAAGGAAAAACTCTAGAACCCAGTGGGAGAAAAGTGAGAAACCTCGGGGAGATCCATGGGTCTTCTTGGTGAGGGTTGGCTCCCAGTTGAGGTCATGGGTAATGGTGGTGCCCAGGAAACAAAAGGAATCCAGAGGTGATGGGGGAGTCCATCAGGGAGGGTGGGGGCGGGAGGACTGTGCCCTTCCTGAAGTCCACAATTATCTCCACTGTCTTCTGGGCGTTCAGCTCCAGGTTGTTCCCACTGCACCAGGACACCAGCCACCTCTCTCCTGTAGGCGGACTCATCGTTGTTGGAGATGAGGGTGGTGTTGTCTGCGAACTTCATAAACTTCACGGAGTCGTGGCTGGAGGTGCAGGGAGAAGAGCAGGGGAGAAAGAACACAGCCCTGTGGAGCTCATGTATTTAAAATCCTGGAGTCAGACACATTCTTCCCCAGACGCACTCGCTGCTTCCTGTCCGTCAGGAAGTCAGTGATCCACCTGCAGGTGCAATCAGGCACGTTGAGCTGGGAGAGCTTGTCCTGGGTTACGGATGGCAGGATGGTGTTTAAGGAGAGCTGAAATCCACAAACAGGACCCTGGCGTAGGTCACCGGGGAGTCCAGATGCTGCAAGATGACAGATCTGTTGGCAAACTGTAGGGGGTCCGGGATTGAGGACTTTAGGTGAGTGAGGACCAGGCACTCTAACATACTATAGATGTCAAATTTAACCTCACGGTTATTGTGACCAAATTATCACGGTTTTTGGTATTATTGCGGTATTTTTTTTAACGTTCAGTGAATTTGTTCTGAAAGCATTGATGGTCCTATACAAACTGAAATGGTTTCAAAAAATTCAACAAATGTTAGCTGCCACATTTGGTTAATTACATTCACTTAATTATAATACACATAGTAAATAGAGTTGCCCTCTCTTAAAATACGGAATCGTACCATGATTTAAGAAGGACTTAAATACAGGAAATAAGGGACTTTTTTTCCTGTATTTTCAGAGTCCTCTTAATGTATCACTTGCTCACATGCACAAAACACAGTAATCACAGTTTAAAATAATTATTTTTGGCCAATCAATGTCAAAGGGGGGCGTAGGCTTGATCACGTCCATGGGCTTAATGTTGACAAGCGCCAGCATGGGCCACACCCTCAGCATCATCGTGGCAGAAGTTTGGTCAAATTTGCGGCGTAGTTACCAGATTCGGACTTCCGTGGCCATTAGTTCACGATAGCTGTTTAACAAAAGTACAAACCTGTGTCTGAATCCATTTGGTCTAGGGCAATTGTGTGGCTGCAGAATCGTCGCGAGGCCACGATGGAGCGGTCGCGTCCTTCCACAGCAGTGCGCAGAGACGATCCAGGGGAGTTCCGGGTGGGACGCCTCAAACACGAGCGCGTCAAAGTGCCCCGCGGAGATTCCATGATGCAGTGGGCGGAGTCTGTAATGGGCGTGCACGCAGAGAGGAAGTCTGTGCTGGAGGTGAGTGTCTGTGAGGAGGCGAGAGTCTGAGAGAGGGCAGAGGAAATGTGTGCTGGCCTGCATCCTAATTCTCAGTTGTCTCCTATTCTGAGACGAGAGCTCCAGGTTAGGTCAAGGGAAATTCAGACTTATTTCAAGGTTCCAGATTTGGGCCTTCCTGCTCCTTCTAGGGGAAAGAGGGCACTGATTTAGTCTTTGTTTTGGTCCTGGGTCAGTCCTGCATGAGTCCTGGTTCAGTCCTGGTTCTATCTCACAGGTGGAGTTCCTGGGGGAGGAGGGTACTGGTCTTGGTCCTACTCTGGAGTTCTATGCTCTGGTGGCAGCTGAGTTCCAGAGGACGTCTCTGGGGATCTGGCTCTGTGACGACGACTTCCCCGACGACGAGTCCAGACAGGTCTGAACACACTACTTTATGTTTGTTTATTTTTTTTTTATTTTTTTTAAAGAGACAAACTTTACAACAGGCCTGAACACCAGGCTGTTCAGGCCACACTCCTTTTTATAAACCCTCAGTATTGCCCTCTATCTCATAAACTTTCTCCTCTGGTGCACCTGGGAGGTTCCTCTCTAGTCTCTCATGTTGTTTGTCCTCTGTCCTCTCAGGTGGACCTAGGTGGAGGTCTGAAGCCTCCTGGGTTCTATGTGCAACGCTCGTGTGGCCTGTTCCCAGCTCCGTTCCCTCAGGACAGTGAAGAGCTAGACCGTGTCACGCAGCTCTTCCACTTCCTCGGAGTATTTTTGGCCAAATGTGTCCAGGACAGCCGCCTAGTGGACCTGCCACTGTCCAGACCCTTCTTCAAGGTGAGTCTGACAGATCTGCACCTAGTTTAGAGTATTTTTCCACAGTGTTGCATTCTAAAACATGAAATGTGAAATCTCATGTTTTAACACAAGATTAAGAAAGACCTCTAAAGTGTCTTTTTAACATCTGCAGCTGCTGTGTATGGGAGACATCAAATCCAACATGAGTAAGCTGCTGTACGACTCTCCCAGTGTGGACCGCGCTCTGAACCTTGAGGCTGGGACTGAGGACCAGGACTCTCTGTTCGACGAAGACTCAAAGTCAGAGTTCATCCTGGACCCTCCCAAACCCAAACCCCCGGCCTGGTACCACGGCCTGCTCACCGCGGACGACTTCCAGCACGTCAACCCCCACAGGTGAATGTGGAGAGAAAACGGGGACCCTTTCAGAGGAAGACTTTTGATTATTATAATTAACAGCACTGATTATTAATATTCAATTTTATTTATATCACTCTAAATCACAACAGATCATAAAATCAAACTGTTAAAACACGGGAAATGCTTTAATAACAGAGACCACTTTTTCCCAGTGGGTTTCCGGGATCTAAGGACGAGGACAATCAAGAATAATTCTGGACAGTGATCATCCCGCTCCCAATGGCTCCTATGTTTTTGTTATCATTGCATCCCTTGATCTGTTGTGATTTAGGGCGATACACCAATGCATTGAATTGAATATTATTTTCCCAAATGTTTCTGACGCACTTGTTTTAAACTATGAAACGTAATGGGTATGTTTGATAACTTACTAAAAGAAAGCATAATATTTCTTGGTTATCTGGACCTCTTTGTTACTGACGCCGTCCCTCTGTTGCTCCAGAGCGAGTTTCCTGAAGGAGATGAAGGACCTGTCTGTGAAGCGCCGTCAGATCCTCAGCAGTAAGTCTCTGTCTGAGGATGAGAAGAACACCAGGCTGCAGGACCTCATGTTGAAGAACCCTCTGGGCTCTGGGCCTCCTCTCAGTGTTGAGGATCTAGGGTGAGGCTCTGTCTGACCTGTCTGGACCCACTGAACCAGGACTCTGTGTGACGCTCTTATTCTGCGGTTTCCAGGTTGAATTTCCAGTTCTGTCCGTCCTCCAAAGTTCACGGCTTCTCAGCAGTGGATCTCAAGACGAACGGGGACGATGAGGTGAGGTCCTGGTTCTGATAGTTCTCTGGTCCGTCTCCTGGTGCAGAGGCTAACGCTTTCTCCTGGTGCAGATGGTGACGATGGAGAACGCAGAGGAGTACGTGGAGCTGATGTTTGACTTCTGCATGCACTCGGGGATCCAGAGGCAGATGGAGGCTTTCAGAGGTAAACAATAACAAATACTTCCACCCTCTTTACAAAACCAGCCTGGATCTGAGGAACTGTATACTCTGAGAAGTCTGTTGTAGTTTAGGACAAGACACAAATGCATTTAATTGAATTGAATACCAGTGATGCAAGAGACCTCCTCAGTGTGGGGCTAAATCTTTATTTTTCAAATCAATATTGAGATTTCAAATGTACTAAATATATAATTAGAAGGAATTAACTGCTCAGAGCATCACCAGGCCCTGCAGGCTCCGCTCAGCCCTGTCACTCCCTGTTGTATATCTTCACATTTACATATGTTTGAGGAAACGCACAGTATGTGTATTCCGTGTTTGCAGAGGGCTTTAACGTGTGTGTATACCGTACATTTCCTTGTACATATTTGTGTGTGTTCATGTTTACAGAGGGCTTTAACCGTGTGTTCCCCATGGAGAAGCTCAGCTCCTTCAGCCACAAAGAAGTTCAGATGATTCTGTGCGGAAACCAGTCTCCGTCCTGGACCAACGAAGACATCATCAACTATACAGAGCCCAAGCTGGGATACACCAGAGACAGGTGACTATATACTACTACTACTACTACTACACTAGAGACAGGTGACTATATACTACTACTACTACTACTACTACTACTACTACTACTACTACTACTACTACTACTACTACTACTACTACTACTACTACTACTACTACTACTACTACTACTACTACTACTACTACTACACTAGAGACAGGTGACTATATACTACTACTACTACTACTACTACTACTACTACACTAGAGACAGGTGACTATATACTTGTCTCCAGTAGGTTAGACTACTGCAATGGCCTGCTCACAGGTCTGTCCAAACAGGCTGTAAAACAGCTGCAGTACATTCAAAATGCAGCAGCTCGAGTCCTGACTAGAACCAGGAAGTACGACCACATTAGTCCAGTCCTCAGGTCTCTGCACTGGCTTCCTGTGGCTCAGAGAATAGACTTTAAAACAGCTCTGCTTGTGTACAAATCTCTCCATGGCCTCGCACCAAAATATATTAGTGACATGTTAGTCCCATATGAACCCGGACTCTGAGGAGCACAGGGACTGGACTCCTATTAGTGCCCAGAGTCAGAACTAAACATGGGGAGGCTGCTTTTCAGATTCATGCTGCAAAAATCTGGAACAGTCTTCCTGAAGATGTGAGACAGGCCTCCTCTCTGACAATGTTTAAATCCAGGTTAAAGACGGTTCTGTTTAGCTGTGCATACAACTGAGGGATTTTATATTTTTATCTTTTTTTTTATGTTCTGTGATTATTTATATTTTAATGCTTTCTTGTTTTGTTCAGCACTTTGAATTGCCTTGTGTATGAATTGTGCTATATAAATAAACTTGCCTTGCCTTACTACTACTACTACTACTACTACTACTACTACTACACCAGAGACAGGTGACTATATACTACTACTACTACTACTACTACTACACCAGAGACGGGTGACTATATACTACTACTACTACTACACCAGAGACATGTGACTATATACTACTACTACTACTACTACACCAGAGACAGGTGACTATATACTACTACTACTACTACTACTACACAAGAGACAGGTGACTATATACTACTTCTACTACTACACTAGAGACATGTGACTATATACTACTACTACACCAGAGACATGTGACTATATACTACTACTACTACACCAGAGACATGTGACTATATACTACTACTACTACTACTACACCAGAGACAGGTGACTATATACTACTACTACTACTACTACACCAGAGACAGGTGACTATATACTACTTTTACTACTACACCAGAGACAGGTGACTATATACTACTACTACACCAGAGACATGTGACTATATACTACTACTACACCAGAGACATGTGACTATATACTACTACTACTACACCAGAGACATGTGACTATATACTACTACTACTACTACACCAGAGACATGTGACTATATACTACTACTACACCAGAGACATGTGACTATATACTACTACTACACCAGAGACATGTGACTATATACTACTACTACACCAGAGACATGTGACTATATACTACTACTACACCAGAGACATGTGACTATATACTACTACTACACCAGAGACATGTGACTATATACTACTACTACTACTACTACACCAGAGACATGTGACTATTTACTACAAATGCTACTGCTACTACCACGACTGGTTTAGTCTATGGCCTGTACATATAATGGCTGTGGGCAAACTGTGGTCAAATTCCTGCTCCTGATGCAGATGAAGTCACATTTGTTCTTAACTTCAATGAAAGTGATTCTCATCGTCTTTGGTTTAGCCCCAGTTGAGCCGCCTTATCACCGCTCTGCTCTTGGTTTTATTTGACCTTAGTTCTGTCTCTTCTGTCCTGTATTTGACCCAGTCCTCTCTCTCCGCAGCCCTGGCTTCCAGCGGTTCGTCAGAGTCCTCTGTGGGATGAACTCAGATGAGAGGAAAGCGTTCCTTCAGTTCACAACCGGCTGCTCCACACTGCCCCCTGGAGGCCTGGCTAACCTGCACCCCCGCCTCACCATCGTCAGGAAGGTCAGCCCGACCCCTCTGTTAGAATGATCCAACTCAAACTTGATACTGATTTTTCTACTGAATTTCTACTTTCAAATCAAAATCTATTGGATCCTAAATGCTGGGATTGTTCAGCCTCAAGTCCTGGTCTAGCCTAAGTCTAGTTCAGATCCTTGTACATGCCCTGGTTCTAGTCCTAACCCTGGACACCTTGGACGCCAGCTTGTTCTTGTTGGAGTCCCCAGTCCAAGTGGACGCCTCAGACCTGGTTCTAGACTCATTTCTGGTCCTGTCCAATCCCCTCTTCTCTTGGACCACAGCTAGTTCTAGTCCTTCTTTCTCTGTCTCTCTGTCTGCTCTCTCTCTATGCATCTCTCTTTCTCCAGTTGGACACTTCAAACCTGGTCCAGTCCTAACCCTCCCCTCTCTCTCTCTGCAAGTTGACTCCTTAGACAGGGAGAGACACAGTTGGACTCCTCAGACCTGGTCTGGTCTAGTCCTAACCTCTCTCTCTTCTGCAGGTGGACGCCTCGGACCACAGCTATCCCTCGGTGAACACCTGTGTGCATTACCTGAAGCTGCCAGAGTATTCCTCAGAGGACATCATGCGAGAGCGCCTGCTAGCGGCCACCATGGAGAAGGGCTTCCACCTGAACTAGCCCCGCCCCGAAACCAAAAGTACCAGAGCGCTGGGACCGGACCTGCGCCCAGACCACCTCTCCAGCCAATCAGTCTCCGATCTCCTCTCACATTCACACAACTGTTTGGTCTGAATTTTTGCACATTTTTCAAAATTCTCCAAACGGTTTGTGTCTCATCCAACATTTCTCATATTTTCTGTCTAGAATTTAAAGTTTTTCACTGTCCACTCGCCCGTGTTGTACATTGTAAAAAAGTCCAAGCTTTACAATTCTTCAGATTTGTTTTGAAGCCGCTGCCTGTTTTTGTTTGCGAGAAATCTGCCCAGTTCTTTTTGCCTTAATCTGCGTCGCAAGCAGCGGCCCTTCTCCACATGGATTCTTACAATATGTTTTTTACATCGCAGCTTTGAGCCTTACTCCCAGAAACGGTCACATTTCTTCATTTCAAATCCGTGTTGTCGCCTTTAACTTGAAAGCAGCCATGGCTTTGTTCATATTTAGGCTTTTTTTTGTTTGAAATTGATCTTTTCTCAATGTTTTAAAGCTGCTGTTTCGCCCAAATCTGTCAAATCAGACTTAAACGGCTGGTCTTGTCATTTCCATGAACCTGGTAACCAATGGCAACTGTTTACTACCATTTTCACGTGAAGCTGTGATACGATGCTCATATTCGGGCTTTTCTGTTCAAATTTTGTTGCTTAAAATTTGCTACATCGCTGCTTTGCCCCAAATTCAGGTCAATATCCTTCACTTAAACCTCACTTTTTCACATTCATTTTGACGCCTTGAACTTAGGAAAGCCCACATCTAATGCCACGTTTAGGTTATTGGTTTTTATTCATAGCTTTTCTCCACTCTTTAAACTTTATTTCAAGCTGCCGTTTCACCAAAATCGGTCAACTGTCTTCACCTCGAGGTTTGGAAATCTGCTGGTCCTATCTGCAAGTTTTCAAGCGCTTTTGTTTCAAATGTCAAATGTTACTTTTTCTTTCACTTAACCCTCACTTTATCACCTCTTATTCACTTTGACGCCTTGAACTTAAGAAGTCCAATGCTCACATTTAGGTTTTTGAGTTAGAGATTTAGCTTTTCTCCACGCTTTAAACTCTCACACGGATCACGTTTCTCCACTCGGACCTGAATCTCTTCATTTGCACATCCCTCCAGGGCCACATTCTGGCTCGGTCCTGGTTTTGGTCCTGGCGCTCCCCTCCTCTCACTGAGCATGCTCCGGTTCAGTTTAGTGCCTATTTTTTCCACCTTTTCCCGTAGCTCAATTTCTGAACTTATTTTTTGTTTCCTCCTTTTTCCTCCAACTTTTTTTTTTAGTTATTTTTGGCGTGATGTTCTCAGTCCCGCGTTTGTTCATTTTTGAAGAGGGCAGAGACACTGGCGGAGTGAGAGGATCTTGTATGACTTGTATATTATTATTATTATTATTACAGTTCTTTATTTAACGAGTTGCAGTTTTGAGGATATTTTCAGATGTGTATGCTCCAAAAAAATCATTAAATTGTTTGCAAAACTATGAACTGAACATGACGTGTCGAGTTTCTTTTTACTTCAAAGGGCTTCAGTTTGAGGGTTATCCCATGTTTTTTGATTTTTGTGTCAAGCTGGGACAGTGGGAAAGGTCGGCATGTTGTTTGGACTTGTGTCCTAGAAGAAGGCTAACTCCCACTTTCAAAAGGTCTTCAGCACAGTGAAACCAGGACCAGAGAGGGGACTACAGTGTTTCCCATCCACAGGGAGCAATATAAACATTTTTCACAATGAAAACTTTATAAAGGAAAGGGCATGTACGACAGCCCAAACTGAGGCCAGAGCTTCACTCACCGAAACCCAGCTCCATGGCTTGTTACGCTGTAATTATGCAGAGTACTGTTCCTCTGTGTGTAGCTTTAACACCTCCTAAGCCACATGTGAGGTTGTTTGATTTATATTGGTCTAAAATTACACTGAACTCACCTCTGCAAAAAGACAAGGTGCTGAGGCGGGTTCAGTGCAGCCTGAGTCGCTGTTTCATACATGAGGATTTGCGTGTGTTTGTGTGGGGTCTGAAACAGCAGGATCAGGCTCTGTAGTGTCATAGAAACATTGCCAATCCAGGTTTAACGGTGTCATCCTTGATACAAATGAAAGAACAGAAGGAAAGACTTAACTTTATTTGGTTTTTATACATAAAACATTTCAACAAACAGAAAACTATCTCAGAATTCCAACCATTAGCTATTTCTCAAGTCTTTTGAACTCTGATACAGGGATGAAGCCAAAGAACGTGTTTTTACTTTGTTAGAGTCCCATTGGTGGTACGACCGTGTTTGGACACAGCTCCAGAGCATGTATATGAATTGAAATACAGGAACAGTTTGGAGAAAGGCCCCCAAACTCTAACAGCTGCAAGTCTTCAGTGTGTTGGTATGGTAATGAGCACACTCTCTCCTCTCTGACTCTGTAAATGTTAGAGGCAAGCTTCTACCATAGACTGCAGACCTTAGAGCTCTAGCCGTCACAGATCTTGTCGATAGCCGACAGTGGAGCCAGGATGCGGCTCCTGTTGGTCTCCACTATGTTCCCATTCTGAATCATTTCGTCCAATATGATGTGAACTCGATCCAAGTTGAACATGATCTGAATCGGCGTCAAAGGAACAAGCGGTTTTTTCAAATCACCAACTCTACATTCAATAAACTATATTTAGGAACAGCAAAGGATACGTCCAGTTCACTCTGAAAAGAAACGGTGAATATTAACTTGTGGAGGTAGAAAATGGGAAGTAATATTCTGTTAGAAATTATCCTTAAACTTCTGAGTCACAGAATCAGGATCACTGTTGTCGCACATTTGTTACATTTGAGATGAGGTGTACTTTATTATCTCACAATGGAGACATCCAATTTCTAATTATCACAATCAGATTATTGGTCTGTTTTAGTTAACAGATGTTAATGTATCCAATCATTGTTTGTAATTTCAATTAAGAGACCAGAGAGAGAGGGAGACTAGAGAACTACCTGACAGAATCCAGAAAGAGGGCAGAAAGGGAATTTAGAGCAGTTTTTTTTATGTTTTATTTCCCAAACATAAAAGCTTCAATCTAGTCTCATTAAATCCTCTAAATGAACTCACCACACGACTGAAGTATTTGTCCAGAACTTCTACAAAATTATGAATCATCTCGAAAATGGACAACTCGTTCTGGGGAAAAGAGGACACGTTCAAAGACTGATGGAAACTATTCAAAAGGATAATAACTGGCTCTGACCTCATCATCTGTGACCCCCACGACGATGAAGAGGCCTGCGTACTGACGATAGACCAGTTTATAGTCCTGGTACTCCACAAACGAGCACTGGAACAACACAAAATAACTCAATATCACACTGTTTATTATTAAATAGATTCAAGCTAATTTATTTCACTGATACCATTCTAAATATTCATTCAAATAGCAAAATAAATACATTACATTTCACCACATGTTGAGGCTGGTGTACCTGACATTTTTTGCTTCAGTGTTTGTCTCAACAGAAAGAGTTGTGGAAAAATAGCACAAGACTACTCCCTGCTGTTATCATCTGAGTTGAAAACATGTTGTGATGACTCTGTTCTCTGAGCTCTCACCTGGTCTTTGGTCCGGGACAGACAGCGGTAGACCACCTCGGCCTCCAGGCTCTGTCTCAGTCTCAGCTCCACGTCGCTATAGTAACGGGACAGTCTGGTCTGGCCCTGACGGTTCACCATCAGCAGGAACCGGATCATCTCTGAAACCAAAGCACCACTGACGGAAGTGGGTCCTGGGCATCTGTGGAGGGAGGAGACAAACTATCAACACCGTCGACACTCAAAACATCATCGGAGGCTCGGCTATGACTATTATGGTGGAGTTGAAGTTGGCTGGATGACACTGTGAACTTGTGTGTGTGATTGTGGGCTTAAGTTTGGACATGCCCGATCTATACACACATAATTGATTACTGATACTATCCGTGTATGATGTTGTATTCTTAGCTGTACAAATGCAATTATTATTATTTCTTCATAAAGTGCAGCTTTGATCAATTTTGTTCCAGTGCTATTCATGTCACTCACACAGACTGTATATATCATGAATAAACACGTAAGCTAAATATTGAAATACTCACCTGGGGATAGCGTTAGCATCTGCTAGCTACAAGGATTTAAAGTCTCCGGTTTGACGCAGAGACGGGAACAGATTCTCATTTAAACTCGACGTAAGCCTCGTAAACAAACAGTGCAGATGGTGGGTAGAAGAAAAGGGGATAATGTAAATGTTAAGTTTTATTTTGTCAAAGCTTAAGTGCTGCTAAGAAGCTAACGTGATGGAGAAGCTACCACGACGCCTGCGCAGACCGAAACCAGATATTATAAAATACAATTATGTGCATTTTTTGTTTATCTATATACTGATTCCAGCGGATCATGGTCAGAATAAAAAAAAATGTATTTTTATGTTTTATCTGAATTAATATTTATGTTAAAAGTGCCGTTAGTGCATGGATCTATTATATTAACATTGTCAGGGCAGACTGCACGTTAACCTGCTCATAATAACACTGCTCACACTGCATGGATCTATAATAATATCTAGTCCTCTGACTGCTTGTACTTGATTGTCTGCTGCACAGGTGACTCTAATAGATCCATGAGGCGAGTGCTGTGATAAGTCTGATAGCAGGGGAGGGGAGCTGGCTCCAACAATACCATTTGGATTTGTGCAACTTATGGTGCTGTTGACAACATTGTTATGTGCACACATATCAAACAAAAAATAAAAGATAAATATAACATAGAAATAAAGAAATTAATAAATGTATTTAGGTAACGCATTCCATTTACACTAGAACGAGTAATTTTTGACTGCTTCCATACAGACCAATAGAATTTTGAGAAATCCCCCCAAAAATATCAGATGTATAGTCATTTATATATGTATTTTTTCCCTCTCACTTTTACTAAATGTTAAAGCAGTTTGTTGCTAAAGGAGATTAAAAACTGACGGTGAACGCTGTGTTGCCAGTACTCTCTTTTCAAGGTAGAATTACTCATGTTTCAAAAATAATTTCATAATGACAGAAATGAACTACAGTAAACCACTATAGATGAAGAAAAAGTCACAACATTAAAGGTATATAGGAGGACTTCATCCGTCCGGATGGATCATCCAGACTATAAGGTCCTCCTAATTGTCAATCATTCTGGTGATACGTGCTCATCAAATAAGACCAGAGAGTTTTGTTCAAAAACTGGAAAAGGGACGTGGTTCTTTTGGGATAATCCACCTGTATACATTTAAGTCAAAAAAGGTACACACAATGAGTTATTGTAATGGATCCACTTCTAAACTGAGCGTCCCATCCATGGCGTCCCCGTGTGGCCTCAGAGCAGACTGCAGCTCCCGTCATGCTTCGCTCCAGCTCTCCTCCCTCTCCTGCTTCACTGCCCATGCTCCTGCCTCCTCTGACCGCAGCTCAGAGCCGTAATGGCGGCTAAGGAGCTACACACACGGCCCCAGTGCCCCGGTCCATAATCCCCGGTGCCCGCGCAGTTACGGGGCCGGACTTTGCTCTCTCTCCACCGGGAAACAGGCGCCTTGAACATGGAAGAACTCCCGGGAGCTGGGGGCACTACCGCGGGAGCCACACGGCAGGCTACACCGTCTCAGCAGCACTCTCCGCCGGGTGGCAACGGCAGCGCGGCTCCTGGTCTCCCCGGGGCTCCCGTCATGAGTCTCCAGGCTGAAGAGATGCCCAGGCCGCAGCAGCAGTACACGATCCCGGGGATCCTCCACTACATCCAGCACGAGTGGGCCCGCTTCGAGATGGAGAGGGCACACTGGGAGGTGGAGAGGGCCGAGCTGCAGGTCAGACGGGACCCGTGGGTGACTGTGAGGGTGTCATGATACCAAAACATACTATTACTGTCCGAGTAAGAAAGACATCAAGGATCTACCTATTATTGTTATTAATCCTTTTGTTTTCTCTAATTTCACATGTCTCGCCAATGCATTAAAGCCGCACTACGTAATTTTGTGTGGGAGGGTCTCCATGGTGATGTTTGTTTATCCTGGAAATGACCACACGTCCCCATTTATCCTGTTCTGTGCGTGTGTCCCATGTTTTGACAGTTGTCCATATTTTAGACCATTATCTCTCATTGACCATCCATCCATCCATTTTCTTCCCCTTAATCCATATCTGGGGGGGGAGTACACATACACCCAGTACACATAGCACCAGTCCCTCACTGATCCTCCTGCAGGTGGTGAGTCCACAGGGCTTCTTGTCATATATATTTTACCAAAATAGTGATGATAGTGTTTGAAAATAATTAAACCCGGCAAGTGTAAAGCCATAGCTGTGAGAATTATCCATAATAATGTAGACAATTACCTACACACAGACAATTACTCTACACACAACTCCTGCATTGAAATACGCAATTAACATTGAAACATTAAAAAGTAATTAGTGGCCAAACCCTTGGGATTGAATAATTGAAATATAGATTACTTATATAATATCAGGCTGTCCAGACAAAACAGAATGATCCCTGAGTCCTGTCTCACCAAGAGGGAGGCTCAAGCACTTTTCATGATAAAAAGAAGAAAAAAATCCTACTCTGGACCTGTTCTGGTGTGCATATTCCTATGCACACCAGACTCATTCTAATGTGAGGGAAGTGTCTTGCCTTTATTTGTTCCACAGTGGGGAAATGTCTATGTCATTGCATTACAGAAGAATAAAGGGAGGAAATAAGAGCACTCAGATTGCACATGTTAAATGTCACTTATTATTTAATCAAATAGATAATAAAAAATAAGATAATCAAATAGAAACTCTGGAGGTATTAAAGGGATTTGGTCTCATATTGAATCAGAATATTGGCTTTAAATCTTGTCAAAATTAATGTGTTTTACAATACTTGGGATTGAGGTGCACTGAGAGACATTATACACATATTTCACACTTTACTCCCTATTCAACCATGCAGGTCGCTAAAACCTTTGGGAAACGACTCAACAGAGCGTAAAATCCTCTGTCCTATAAAGTCCTATAGTAGCGTGCAGAGAATAGAATTCAGAGCATATTTCGTTTTAATTGACATAAATCCCATTGATGCTGCTCAGCATTTGCATTTGTTTTTATCACAGCCTTTTCTGACATTTTATTAAACAAGATTTTTTTAACATGTTTCTGTAACTACAAGAGTAGATAGATACTTTATTGATCCCCCCATTGGAGAAATTAGATGTCGAGTAGCAGCAAAAACACATTCAGCAAAACAAATAAATAATGGTGCTTGTGTTCTTGAAATAGGAGACACTTGTATGAATATGTTCCTTGTAATCTTTCTGAATCCTAAACCAGGGTATGAGTCATGCTGCTAATGAATGACAACATCCACTGGCTCTTTACAAAAGCTGCGTCCTACCTCATTATTCTCTCTCCTTTGATTTAGGTGACATGTTTGAGGTCTTTTCAAAGGTCTTTAATGTCACTTATTTAAACTTCGAGCTGTCTTGTTTAAAAAAGTATATTTTGAAGTTGGAACTATTTCTGAATGAAGTTGGATACAGCCAAAGCCCCCTGTTTATTAAGTAAAAAAGACACTGTAGTGGCTTGATGTAATATTTGATCACACTTTTCTGTCAAACAGTGTCTTAAAAACGTATATGTGCAATCTTCAAATATTTCCCGTGACACTTTTTTCAAGTGTAAGTTAAACCAGTTTGTTAGCGTTTGTTGACCGTTTGTCCATTACAGTTGGCCTCTAGCAATGTAGCTTTCAGAATATTGTTTTGGTTGGGCTATTTTGTGCTTTTAATATACAACAACACGATCTGGGTTCTTCTTTCCACGCAGTCCGATAGAGTTAGCGGGGTTTATGTGCTGGTGAAGCCGGTAGGCTGTCGTTAATCTCGGGTTGGGGCTATTTTGGTTTGTCACGCTAGCTTCCGTTAGTTCCAGTTAGCATCCGGGCTAAAGCTAACTGTGGCTATGTTAGCTAAACAAATGCGTGTCAGCCCCAAACTTTCACTTGTAAATGAGCAGATGCGAAGTTAACAGATACGACTGAGATTAGTCTGTTTGTAAGCAGTTTTATTGAGTTAAAACGTCACTCAAGCTCTGAAGCATGCGATATGATGTATGTGTAGGAGAGGCCTCCTCCGAGCAATGCAGCTATCATTAAGTGCCTCTCAATGAAATAATAATAAGAATTGATTTACATTCTGACATTAGTCTTGAAAATTACCCGTCTATAGGACCAGCACTTACAGTACATACGTTATCAGATTGTTTAATTGCACTTTGAATTGAGTATCAGATCGAAGATTCTTACATTATCAGTAACAAGGTGCAATTTAGATTTGTTTTTTGTGTTGCCTGTGCTTTTGTATTAGTGGACATGCGGAAGAACTACACTAATAGTATACTAGTAGTCATAAAGGATGTAATAAATATTTTAACAGTGAAAAGGGCTGTTATCCAGTACAAGCAAAGAGGAAAAGTGGAACATAAGTAACACATTTTACCAGGTCCTTCTTGAAACCACAATTTATTTCCCAAATCAAACAATTACTTATACTTTGTTAGTGAGGCATTTAAAATTGCGTGCGCCACTGACTGTGTGGTAAGAAGGCAGAGTGGCACATACAGAAGCATGGATGTGATGAGTACTTTTAAAAGGGTTAGTGGGAGAAATGCACTATAAGCACTTGTACGCAAGAAGATTGGAGTAGATATAAAGATAAACTAAAAATAAGTATAGGAGACCGAACTGAACAAATTCAAAGCCCATTATGAGACATTGGGAAGTCTCTAGGTTTCTGCTTCAATTCTTGCTGCCTGATCACAACAGCTAGCGGCCTTTTCGTTTGCAGAAGGAGGGTCTGGATCAACTTCATACATAGTCCATGTTTTCGTCTATGTTGGCACCCGGATTGCTTTTTGGGAAACCTGAATCCGACCGCAGACAATGACTATATTTTTAGTTTTATGTTTTATATATTATATATAATCTTAATATATCTAACGGTGTAGCATCCAGGTCGCAATCGCTGTTTTTTTGCCAGTCACGTGGCCAGCGCGGAGTTACTATAAACGTCACTCAAAGATCCTCTTATTGACAAGCTTTGATTTTAAAGCTGTGTTACATGCACTTAAACCACAGAAAAAATAATCCTAACTCAAAACGGTTTGGTTCACATACATTTATTTTTTGCCCTGTCACAACTTTAGATCAGCTTTAACAGAAAAGTGACAAAGAGAAGGCTCCCGTCACTCAGCCAATCACCTCTCTGCCCAAAGAGTCAAATAGCGACTTACAGTGCTTTGCAAATAATAACATGTTTTCTGATAAGTTGAAGGCGGCATGTTGTGGACATCTACAAGACTTTCTGTTGGGAACTTCATGCAGATTTATTGCCACATTTACTGTATTTTGTGTTTGTAAATGTATACATTTTGTGTTTAACAGTTTTTTACATTGTCCAATACAACTTAACGATCTGGACTTTTCCCTCATTAAAACGCAGTCAGAGCAGTCAGGGAAATGTTTTTTCAAAGACCTCGTTAAATCTTAATCTCATCCAGGAGTCACTGTGTCTGATCTAAAGACAATCAATCACTCGTGGATTAAACTCTTTTGAAACTCGCTCCTGGACTAATGAGAGATTATTAAACTTGCCTTGCCACTCCCTAGTCTACTCTACTTTACTCTACTCAGCCTCCCTTAGGTGGGGAGGCTGCAGCCCCTCCCCACCTAAGAGCTGCTTTGGTCCTGCTCCACACCTTCGTCTCTGTTCTACAACTTGAGTCCTAAACCACGAGGCCTTGGTCCTCGTTCTGCAGATTGAGTCCTGGATCTATAGCTTGTCCGTCCGTGTGGAGTGGATCCTTCTCTCAATGTGGACCTCCCTGAGCTTTCTCATTTTTCTCCCACCGGGTTTTAGAATTTTTCCTTGCTGATGCAGGAGGGTCTGTTAGGACACTCTAACATTCTACAACATGTATAGACATTTATCAACATTCAGGGACATTGGTCTCTCCCTATGGAGCAAAACTTAGATATTTTTTGTGTTTGAACTGTTTGATTCTCTGATCTGTGTTGGTGATTTTAACGGTTTTGTTAAGTCTTCTGAGATAACTTGTTGTAATTTAGGGCTATACAAGAATAGATTGAATTGAATTGAATACACTACTACTACTGATTGGCCAGAATGCTGCTTGAAGCCATGGTTACCACGGAATTTTCCCATACACTGGTTAGGTTGCTACAATACGCCACCAGATACTATAGTGCAATGGAAGAGTAGAGCCGAGTAGAGTAGGGCCAATGGGCTAGCTATGTAAAAGGTAAGTTAGATGCCTTTAACCTCCCTCTGTAATATCGCCTCCTGTTTCACTGCATGGAGTTATAATATTTACAGTCTATGAATAATACGCAGTCAAACATTCCGCTTTTCCTTCTGAAGCCGAGCACTTTTCTTTGCTGTTTTCCCCTCTGCGGCAAGTGCAAATTCGTCACTAAATCTTAATCCACATTTGAATAATCTGACACTGTTCATCCCACACACGCATAGACACACGTACAGAGGATCTGAAGAAGAGAAGTTAGGTTTCTTATACAAACATGTAAATTCCATAGGTTTGTTATCAAAGCTTTCTTCATGAACTACCATCTCTCATCAATTGTGTTTCTGTTGTCCATGAAACAAACCGAAATGGCAAATTGTTTATTAGAACATTTGCATTTTGGCATGAAAATTGTTCAGGAATATTCTAATTTGTCGCATTAATTTGATAGTTCTCTGAAAGTCGTGATAAATCATGTTGTTTCCTGCTCGACCTGTTGTATTGAACTATTCCTGAAACATCTGCAATGCTTAGTTTGACAGTTCATGTCATTCCACTCAGATGAGAATGCCGTTGAAACAATACTGAATTAACTGGATCTAATCCGGTTCCAAGTTATATTCTTTCAGGTTTTTTGTGAAATTAGTCTCATTAGCTTTTCTTTCTTTATTTGACTGGCACAGTACATGTCGATGAACATGTATGTTTGAACATATATGTCTACACGCCAGATTGTAGCAGAAGGCTAATTTTCATCTGTAGTCCCAGGGGGCGGGGTCACAGCAGATAAAAGCATCAACAGGAATTCACACACACAGTGTAAATACAATACTCTGCATAATGACAGCATATAAGACTGAAAAAACGGTACTAATATTGACACTATTTCTGATTGCCGCTTTTAAATTGCCACTTTGTATTGTACATAATATATCCTGCATTTTAACATGTTTGCACATTTCCTCCCTTTTTGCACAATCTTGAGTGTTCCTATCCATGCCAAATGTGACATGTAAATTTCTCCTTCGTAAGATAAATAAAGCATATCTTATCTTATCTTAACAAGCCGTGAAGCCCTGTTTGGGTGAATGAAGCTTTTACTGTCAAACACAGTACAAAGTTGTCCTTGTGAAAAATGTTTCTCTCTCTCTCTGGTCTCACTCTAAGTAAGTAAGCGCTTTACAGTTGTGGGCATTTGTCTCCCACGCCACACAGAGAGCGGGGTCGCCAGTAGGGAAAACTGGAGCACCCGGAGGAAACCTACGCAATCACGGGGGAGAATTTGCAAACTCCACTCAGAAAAAAAGGCCCTGTTCCAACCAGGATTCAAACACGGTCTCTGGTCTCTTTCTGCTCTCTCTCTTTGGTGTCTCTGTGTTCTCTACTTCATGAATCATCTCACACTTTAGAGACCGGGTCCAGAACTAGTCTTGAGTCACAACTTAAAATAAAATCATGACAGCGTCCAGTCACTGTACATCGGAACCAAAACAACACGGATGACACAGCAGCCATAATTACTGTCAAACAAATGTGATCCTAAATCCTTGTTCTGGTTCTCACTCTTCTGTGTCATTAGTTCTGTTTGTTGGAATGTGTATAGAGCAGCTGCGATGACTCTGTGACCTGAGGTTTAATTTGTACTACTTTATAATCCCACAGCTGATGGAACACTGCAACTGTTTCACTGCAATAATACAATAATAACAATAAAAGCAATGAAATATTATGAGCCATATTCGGATTGACCAATCAGATGCCTTCAAACTCAAGCTTGCCTTATCCCATAAAAGAGAATCGGCTTCCTCTGCATTAAGGCTAACACTGGTGATGTCACACTTGCTCAGTCCCCCCCTAACCTACACTCTGGTTTGAAATTTTGCACATGGAACAAACTTTATGGAAAACATGGAATAAAAAAAAAAATAATGTTCACTCTGAGAATCAAATGCATGGAATAAGACTGAACGGCTCTGTAAATAGGATACAAGAACTTTGACAACAATAGATGACATAGAAAATGTGTGGATCGTTTCCTTCTTCTTAGATTATAGCCGTCACATAGACATTTACGTAACTGTGTGTTGTGTTTGGTCCAGGCCCGGATCGCCTTCCTCCAGGGCGAGAGGAAAGGACAGGAGAACCTGAAGAGCGACCTGGTGCGGAGGATAAAGATGCTGGAGTTCGCCTTAAAACAAGAACGGTATTTTACTCTGCTTTATTGTTGCCCTTTAAACACAAGAATGAGACGATAACAAAGATGAGAGTCCGCCGTGTTCTAAGCTAAAATTCTAACGTCAGATTAGCAGCTAACCTCGGCTCTTGCAGCGATCAGTGAGATTAACACTTTCACAATAAAGGCTCATCAGATCAGTTTGACTTTTGACTAAAACAGATTGTTTTTTGTTTTTTTCCAGAGCGAAGTATCACAAGCTAAAGTATGGAACAGAGCTGAACCAGGGGGAGATGAAGAGTCCGAGCTTCGACTCTGGTCTGGACCTGATCCTGCTGTAGTCTCTGTGGTCTCTGTGGTCTCTGTGGTCTCTGTGGTCTCTGTGGTCTCTGTGGTCTCTGTGGTCTCTCTGATCTCTCTGGTCTCTCTTGTCCTGATGATGATTGTGTTTTCAGACTCCAGAGACTCAGACGTGTCAACGGTTCCTCCAAACAGTCAGCTGACCTGGAAACAGGGACGACAGCTGCTGCGACAGTAAGACTGGACACACACACACATATACACACTCATACATACACATATATACACGCACACACATACACATGTACACAGAGTACTGGTGTCTGAGGTGGTGTCTCTCCCTTGCTCAGGTATCTGCAGGAGGTGGGCTACACAGACACCATTTTGGACGTTCGGACCCAGAGAGTGAGGTCTCTCCTGGGGCTGTCCGCCTCCGAGCAGAACGGAGGTCTGGAGAACAAGAGCCTCCCCCTGATCAACGGCACAGAGAGACGCAAGGACAAGAGGTTAGACCGGGTTAGACCTGCTTTAGTGTCTGCTTTAGTCCTGCTTTAGTCTCTGCTTTAGACCTGCTTTTGGCCATGTGAGAATATATGCTTTTAAAACCAATTAGAAAGAGGCTGTTTCATCTTTGAGGTCCAGTCCTGGCCCAGTCCAGGCTCAGACTTGAATCTAAACTGGATGGATGGTGTTTGTGCAGGAGTCCTGGTGACGTTCTGGAGACGTTTAACTTCTTGGAAAACGCAGAAGACAGCGATGAAGACGATGACGAAGAGGGAGAAGAGGTGATGGACCTCAGCGACAAACCACGGGCCAAAAAACACAAAATACACCAGGTACGGAATACACCAGGTATGTTTGGCCTCTGTCACATCTTCCTATGTTTAGCCTGTGAAGGTTTAAACATAGGAACAACATTCAGTGTATTTGTGTATTGCTCTAAATCACAGCAGCAGTCGTCTTGGAGGACTTTAAAAAGTTGTCGATGCTTTTTAAAGTCCTCCATAGAATGTATAGAATGAGAGTCACATTCTATACAATGAGGACTGTAGATCCAGGCCTCCAGCGTTAAGTCCCCCTGCTGTGTGTTTTAGGCCGGCCACGAGGGCCTGGCTTCGGAGGAGGACGCAGACACAGAGGAGGCGCTGAAGGAGTTCGACTTCCTGGTCACAGAAGACGGAGAAGGAGCAGGAGAAGCACGGAGCTCCGGGGACGGGACCGAGTGGGGTGAGGAGCTGTGGATCCAATACTGAGGCTGTAGTCCCAGGACCGACCGAGGCTGTAGTCCCAGGACCGACCGAGGCTGTAGTCCCAGGACCGACCGAGGCTGTAGTCCCAGGACCGACCGAGGCTGTAGTCCCAGGACCGACCGAGGCTGTAGTCCCAGGACCGGCCGAGGCTGTAGTCCCAGGACCGGCCGAGGCTGTAGTCCCAGGACCGGCCGAGGCTGTAGTCCCAGGACCGGCCGAGGCTGTAGTCCCAGGACCGGCCGAGGCTGTAGTCCCAGGACCGGCCGAGGCTGTAGTCCCAGGACCGGCCGAGGCTGTAGTCCCAGGACCGGCCGAGGCTGTAGTCCCAGGACCGGCCGAGGCTGTAGTCCCAGGACCGGCCGAGGCTGTAGACACCGGACCGACCGAGGCTGTAGACACAGGACTGTAGTAGGGCTGTCCTGTCTCTCCCTGTTCATACTCACATCTGTCTGTGTGTAGCGGAGCCCCTGTCCTTCCCGTCCTCTGGGGGAAAGTCCTTCCTGTTGGGAGGGGAGACCGTCCTTGAGAGTGTCCTGGGTCTGGGCGACCTCGCCGACCTCACAGTGACAAACGACGAACAGGACTACGGATACGACGTAAGATCCTAGAGTTCTATTGTGACTATAGATGATGATGTATTTCCAGGTTTTTTGTTGTCGTTCAAAATCTGTTTTGGTGTTGTGCAGCTCCAGTCCAGTAAAGAATCTTCGTTCAGAAAAACCTGGAACCCCAAGTTCACCCTTCGGAGCCACTTCGACGGAGTCCGAGCTCTGGCCTTCCACCCGACAGACCCCGCCCTGCTGTCTGTGTCCGAAGACCACACCATCAAACTATGGAACCTCACCAAGACTGTGCCCGCCAAAAAGTAAGGACTGGAGGCAGAGACTGGAGGCAGAGACTGGAGGCAGAGACTGGAGGCAGAGACTGGAGGCAGAGACTGGAGGCAGAGACTGGAGGCAGAGACTGGAGGCAGAGACTGGAGGCAGAGACTGGAGGCAGAGACTGGAGGCAGAGACTGGAGGCAGAGACTGGAGGCAGAGACTGGAGGCAGAGACTGGAGGCAGAGACTGGAGGCAGAGACTGGAGGCAGAGACTGGAGGCAGAGACTGGAGGCAGAGACTGGAGGCAGAGACTGGAGGCAGAGACTGGAGGCAGAGACTGGAGGCAGAGACTGGAGGCAGAGACTGGAGGCAGAGACTGGAGGCAGAGACTGGAGGCAGAGACTGGAGGCAGAGACTGGAGGCAGAGACTGGAGGCAGGGACTGGAGGCAGGGACTGGAGGCAGGGACTGGAGGCAGGGACTGGGGGCAGGGACTGGGGGCAGGGACTGGGGGCAGGGACTGGAGGCAGGGACTGGAGGCAGGGACTGGAGGCAGGGACTGGAGGCAGGGACTGGAGGCAGGGACTGGAGGCAGGGACTGGAGGCAGGGACTGGAGGCAGGGACTGGAGGCAGGGACTGGAGGCAGGGACTGGAGGCAGGGACTGGAGGCAGGGACTGGAGGCAGGGACTAATAGTTTTAAATCTGTAGTTTTTCAAACGGCTTAAGCGCGGCTTGTCCCTTGTGTGACTTGTGTGTAGTTTTATAACCTTCTCGCAGAGCACACTGCGTAAGGACTGTTTGTTCTCGCTTCTCTCATCACTGTGTGTGAACTGAAAAGGAAATATCAATACTCTAAAACATTGTGAAATGCTTTGTGTGACCTGAGTCTGTGAAATACCTCTCCTCCTGATCCCGCTCTGACTCCTGACAGTCTCTGGGTTCTCTTGTTGCTCTGGGTTCTCTGGGGTTTCTGGGCTCTCTGTATCTTTGTAGTCTCTGCTTTCGCTGGGATTTCTGAGGGTCTTTATTTTAGACCAAACTTACCCTTCGACCTAACTATCTGACCTGTGAACTGTGTGATTTAAATAAATGTGCCTCTGTGTTTCAGAAGTGCCTCTTTCGATGTGGAGCCCATTTACACGTTCAGAGCTCACATGTGAGTAGATCCCAGGAGGTGCCGCAGTTTGGTTTTGGTTCTTTAGCAAAGCACTGTCATTCATGCTATTGTTGCAGTTTGTGGGCCTCACCATAATCACTATTTTGTATACTTCAATAACTGGACTAACACTGCACTGAATATCACTGGTGTTTGATGGGCCTTTTAAATAGATTAAGATTCAGGGATCCTTTATTTGTCCCTACAAGGATGCATATATTTGTGTTCAGGGTCATATGCTCTATTAGTGAAATAATTTCTAGCCTCGTCGGACAAACATTGTGCTTTAAAGGCTCATTCAAAGAATTCGGGGAATCCCCAGTGATCAGGTGTGTTCCTCGTCTCTGAGATTACACTCAGCGATATTACACTCAGCGATATTACACTCAGCGATGTTCTGGTCGATCGGAGCACTAGTGCCCTATTACTTTGCTAAAGGTGGCACTCAAGGGCTCATATTGGGAGAATGATTTGACTAACTGTTTTGAAGGGATTCAATCCGTTCAGATTGGGAAATGACATGGTAGAGGTTTTTATGATTAAAAACCAGGGCCCAAAATGAAAAGTCAAATTGACAGCGAAACTTTAGACCATCATGGCCGAATTTCTGTTGGTCCCAGAGGCTCCAAGAGAGTTTTAGGCTCGATCTATCCCTGATCCGAATTTCATTTACCTACTCTAAAATATGCATGTCCGGCTCCCATAGGCTTTGCATATTTGAATTTTCCAGGGGGCGAGAGTTGGCATGTCTTTGGGGTCCAAAATCAAATAATATGAAACCAACAAATAACAATAGGCCTCTTCAATACTTCGTATTGGCTTAAGCTAATTAAGAAAAATATTAGATTTTTATGTTCTGACTGTATATTTAATTGAATCAATTTTTAATCTGGCCTAGTTGAGAGGCCATCCTGAGCCAATGGTTCTAACTGACTCAGAATTATAGACGGTCAGGAGAGATCAAAGAGATGATGTTCTTCCCAGGCAACCTTCTCTTAGGGAGAGCTTCAAAATGGAGTTGTGAGGGTTTTGTCACTACGTAGGCCGCCTCCCCCCAGGAATACAGGGAGGCTAAAGCTCCTTATCAGTGCAGAGGAAGGGCTGCATATGTTACAAGAAAGAGGTAACCCAAAGTTATATGGATAAGTCTCTATTTTAAAACACAATGCAAAAAGAGAGGGAGAGAGACTCTTCCATGCTCACTGTTGTCAGACATTTGGGAAAAGGGGTAATTTCCATTTCCCGTACATTTGTGATAGTGACTTCTCAGCCTAAAGTGTGGTGTTTGTGAGTGTGCTTGCCCCTCCCCAAACCTGACTGGTGTCTCCACTCTCAGAGGTCCCGTCCTGTCCCTAGCGGTGACCCCCAGTGGAGAGCAGTGCTTCAGTGGAGGTCTGGACTCCTTCATTCACTGGTGGAACATCCCCAGCGCCAACACGGACCCCTACGACACATACGGTACTGCTGCCACAAAAAAATTATCATACTGCTCTATCCTGAACCATGCAGATTAAAGCTGGGGTACCTAACTTTCTTATAACACGTTTGTCTCCTTCTCTCTCTCTCTGTCTCTGTCTCTCTCTCTGTCTCTCTCTCTCTGTCTCTGTCTCTCTCTCTGTCTCTCTGTCTCTGTCTCTCGCTCCCTCCCTCTGTCTTTTTCTCTCTCTCTCCTTCTTGCCATGATCCAATCAGATGCCAGTGTGTTGGCGGGCTCGTGGAGTGGTCACTCCGACGCTGTGTGGGGTCTGGCGTTCAGTGGCATCAAAAACCGCCTCCTGTCATGTTCTGCCGACGGCACGGTGAAATTGTGGAACCCTCAGGAGAGAGCGCCCTGTGTGGCCACCTTCAACTCTGACAGAGGTGAGAGTGCTGCTGATGCTGCTGCTGATGCTGCTGCTGCTGCTACTGCTGCTGCTACTGTGTGTACGTACTTAGCAGACTCTAACTCTTTGTGGCGTGTTTCCAGAGCACGGCACTCCCACCTCAGTGGACTTTAATGGTACCGACCCCGCCCACATGGTGGCGTCCTTCTGCTCTGGAGACGTGGTTCTGTACGACCTGGAGACTTCCCAGAGTGCACTGGTGCTGAAAGGCCAGAGCGACACCAGTGAGTCCTCCTGTGATGTCCCCCATTACAGATAACGTACACTCTAACCATAGCGATATATCAGAGACCACAGACTGTAAATACATGGACCAGACCAGCATGACTCCTGATTGGTTCTTTGGTTGCCAGGTTGTTGATACCTACATTTGTCTCCAGATTCCCGCTCAAAAAGCCTGTAACCTGCAACAATTTTTAGTGTTACCTGAAATGATTTTCAATGATTGTTATTACAGTAACTTGCAGCTTTAATGGTAATGGTCTACTATGGCATGTTAAACATTTTAAACCACTTCATCCATTGCCGGGTAGCGGGAGCAACAGTCCAAGCAGAGACGCCTAGACTTCTCTATCCACACACTTTCTCCTGCTCATTTTAATTTGTATATATTTGAAACGGGACAGTGCACATTAACCAACATTATACAATGTAAACGTGTCCAAGTTAGCTAAATTTAGCTTTTTTTCTTCGGAAGTCCCTTGGGCAGATGTTAATTAAATACTAGTTAAAAACACAATTCATTTTACAAATACAATACAGTACATTGACATTGAAGGAAAACAAAAACAATACATTTGCCACACAGTTAGTGGTCACAAGTCTGTCTCCTCAAGCCACTTTTTGGCATTTGTTTCATGGACCCTATAGCATTCACAGGCCAGTTGGTAATTATTTATCGACTTCATATGTACAAGAGTGGTTAAATCCAAACATATCAGAACATAATATCCATGTTGTTATATCTCTCTCCCTCTCTGTCTCAATCTCTTCTCCCTCCCCGTTTCTACAGGTGTGAACCACATAAACAGAGTGGTGAGTCACCCCACTCTCCCTGTGACTATCACGGCTCACGAGGACAGAAACATCAAGTTCTTCGACAACAAGTCAGGTACAAATACTGCACTGCCTCTGAAGTACTGCAAATACTGCAGAACTACTACAATACTGAATACTGGGCGACAGTAGCTCGGTTGGTAGAGCATTGGCTTTTGAGCCTGAAGTTTGTCGAGTGAATAATAATGACATGTGAAGCGTCTTTGAGTGTCCAAAAAAGCCCGAGATAAAAAATGTTTTATTATTATTATTACTGCAGTACTGCTAATATACAGAATACTGCAGTACCGCTACTATACAGAATACTGCAGTACTGCTACCATAGATAGAGCCAAACGGCTGACATGTCAGTTTAAAGCTGGGGTACCTACATTTAAAGTCACAAACAAATGAACTCTAATGAGATCCATGTCTAGTTCCTGGCTCTAAATTTGCTTCTATCACTGCTTATTCAGACCACCCTCTGTCAGCCAATCAGCACTCAGCCCAAAGAGTCAAGCAGTCATTCACAAAACTCTTCATGAAATACAAGACCAATGTTTTCTACAAAAATGAAGAAAGCATCAGATTCTATGTTTGAGACAAAGGGAACAGTCAGGTCCCAGAGCTTTAACTGTGTGTGTCTGTGTCCAGGTAAAGTGATCCACTCCATGGTGGCTCATCTGGACGCTGTCACCAGTTTAGCTGTGGACCCCAACGGCATTTACCTGATGTCCGGAAGTAAGTGACCTCTAAAACTATCAACTACGAGAGCACTTTTACCCAGGACAGCAGTAGGAACGGTTGGTGTGTTGTTTAGACCAGTGTTTTCACAGCAGGGAGGTCAGGAGTTGTCAAAATAAAAGTCAAGACATCAATTTCAGTGTTCTAAAGTCACAGGTACAGGACAACAGGGACCAGAGAGAGTGGGAATGAACTGCTTTTTACATAATATAATTTAACATTTCTTGAACTTCACCAAGAACTGTGTTTTAGTTCTTGGACTTAATGATGAATACTGACGACTGATGACATTTTGGCCCAGGTTCTTCTCACTCACTCCTGATGTTGTTCTGTTCTTCTCACTCACTCCTGGTTTTGTTCTGTTCTTCTCACTCACTCCTGATTTTGTTCTGTTCTTCTCACTCACTCCTGATGTTGTTCTGGATCTTCTCACTGAGTCCTGGTGTTGTGCTCCCCCTACAGGCCACGACTGCTCGGTGCGCCTCTGGAACCTGGACAGTAAAACGTGTGTGCAGGAGATCACGGCTCACCGGAAGAAGAGCGAGGAGGCCATCTACGACGTGGCCTTCCATCCTTCCAAAGCCTATATCGCCTCCGCGGGGGCCGATGCTCTGGCCCGGGTCTACGTGTGAGACCCCACCATGGGGACCGGACCATAGAGACTCAACGAGGTCTGGGAGGTCTCTGCTCCATGTCTGGTCTGACAGAAGTCCAGGACTTTGCAGGGTCTTGGTCGGATCCTGGTTTTTGTGACAGGAAATCCTTCAGGTCTGGACTTGTTCAAGACTTTGCTGGATCTGGACTTGGACTCAAACTGGGTCTTTGGCTTCAGACCTGGTTTTGGACCTGGTTTTAACACGTTTATAACAGTCTTTTATATAGTCTTTTCCAAAGCCCTGTAACACAGTTTGAACGATTTGTTTTACAGCCGTGTCCACTAAATTGTTTATTTATGATTGTAAATTAGAAAATCAAGCAACTAGAAATTCAGACGTATCAAGTCATTTTCACAGGAATTTAGCCGGTGGATAATTCCTGTTTTATGTCATAGACTGTATATGAGGAGAGGACTGAGGACACCACAGTGTTAGCCTTAATGCAGAAGAAGCAGATTTAAACATAAGCTGGGGCCAGTTTCCTTATATGGGCATTTGTCCTGACGGCTTTAGCTTCGATCCGTAACGGGGGCAGACATGTTGCTAAGACGGTTGCTAAGGGAAGCTGGGAATTCCCCTGTGAATGAAAGCATCTGATTGGTCAGTCCTTACATGGCTCATATCTGGATTTACAAAGACAATATCACAATATAAACACCAGGAGCATAGAGAGCAAAGAAACCACAAATTTAAGCCCAAATTGGTGAGTGTGAAACAAATGGTTGTTCAGCTAGTTTACATTTACTTTGAAGCCAATGGGAGTCAGAGAGAGGAGCCAAATTTCATCCATGAGCACTTTCTTATCAGGCTTTTTGAGCTAGCAGGTTAGCATAGTCCTGCTATATACAGTCTGTGGTTTAGGCCCAATAGTTTTGTGTGTAGTGAGCGTATAGCACAGGAACGGTGTTAAAACCAGGTCTAGACATAAAAACGGTTTGAAGCGTCGAGAGAATTGAGAAGAAACAGGGAAAACTATCAATCTGTCGTTTTTGTTAACTAATTCAAACCCGCAGCTTCAGAAACAACAGGTATTCACTCGAGCATATATTATGAACATACGTTTGGATAACATGTAGGTTATGAACACAAAGCACAATGTCTATTAACGCTAAGAATAAAATCAAAATTATTACAAAATTGTGTGAAATGTTTATGAATTTAATGTACTGCACAGTTTTCAACCGTTTCATCAAAATAGTTTAACTTCACTTTTATGGATTCAGTTCAAACTTGGCACAGATGCTGGAAATATTCCAAAAAGGTGCCGGGTCAAATTTGAGTCTAGTATCTTTCTGGAGGATTAAGGATGCGGCCTGTGTATAGTTACACTCTGAGACCCACTGGTGTCAGAGAGTGGGGGGCTTTCTACAGGGGGGAAAAATCTATTGAACGTCAACTTGAAGTGCTTTTTGTTTAGCTTGGAATAATAATTACATCCTTCTTTCTGGTCTCTCTCTTAGGTCTCTGGTCTCTCTCTCTGCTCTCTCTTTTAGCTAAAGTTTGGATTTTTACAACATAAAGGCCACACTTTATTATAAGCCGCAGGTTTTCACACGGTAGGTAAATTCCGGTGCTGCAGCGCTCTAACGGACAGTAGTAAGGCACTGAATATACAGAGATAAATACTGCATGTGTAGTATTGTAGCTACATCAGCCACTGGTCTTGTGAATGAGTTGGTGGCCTTTTACCGGGAGAAAAAGTCCACTGAACGCTTACTTGAATTACTTTATGTTTAGTTTAGTTTATAACACATAAAATAACATGCGTTCCCCTGGTTTGATAATGGCATCGGGTGGGATGCAAACAAGATGCAAATTTATGATAAAACAGACAATAACAATATTCATCATCTGTTTGTGCGCGGTCCTTCTCTTGAGAACCGTCCTCTTGTTTCTGAAGCTGCCGACGTTGCTGTATGTTTGATTTTTGTGTAAATGAAATGTTTTCATTATCACCTTTTGTAAGAGCAGACCCTCCAGATCACTGCCCTCTCTCTGGGATCGATGAAGACGAGCGAGGAAGAGAGTCCCACTGATTTAAAGGAGACATACGATGTGTGTTTGACCTCAGTCACAGACCGGAAGCTGAGTTTAGATCAATCCACGCTGAGATCAGGGACTTCTGTCACAAACGTGTAACTCCTTCTGTTCAACCACTTTCATGCAATCTTGTAAACTCTGTATAGTATGAGAGACCAGAGGGAGAGAGGGAGAGACCAGAGGGAGAGACCAGAGGGAGAGGGAGGGAGAGAGGGAGAGACCAGAGGGAGAGACCAGAGGGAGAGAGGGAGAGACCAGAGGGAGAGGGAGAGAGAGAGGGAGAGACCAGAGGGAGAGGGAGAGACCAGAGAGAATCAGTCCTGTAATATACTCAACTAATTTAGAGACAAAATGTTTTCTGTAAAAGACAGACCTCTGCTCTGTTTAAAGTGTAACAAGTTAGAGATTGAGACAGAAGGGGCGAGGGATGTGTGTGTTAGTCCCTGAAGTTCCAATATCAGCCTGGATGAATCTAAAAACAGACTGCCTAATCAGGACCGTGGTTAAACACATGGTTAAAGCTCAAACACTAGGATTTGGCACGTCTCCTTTACCTGCTTCCTCCTCCTCTTCTTCTTGTTTGATTTGTTTGCGCCTCAGAAACGGCCAATCACGGCCTGGATCCTCAGATTTGAATTTACTGCCTTTTGGATTGGTTGATTTTATTTGTTTTTACGAAGGGACTGTTTCCTGATGTTACTAAAGCTTCAGTTTGTGTAATGCATGGTGGTATTAATAATATGATAAAGTATTTTTTCTAGTCTTCCAAAAAAAGACAAAAAAAGGAGTTTGGAGTTTTGACGCATTTTTGTAAGTTTTGTTTTTGAATTATGAGATTTTAAAGATTGTACCACATAGAAACAACTGTTGAAATGTACAGAAAATGTCTATATAATATTAAATGGTGGAAAACATTGACTTCACTAGCTCTATGTCTGATTTCAACGTAGCTATGAGCACACTTATCCTCAGCAACAAGGTCTTGGGTTTGAATCCCTGTCGGAACAGGTCCTTTCGGAGTGAACTTTGCATGTTCTCGTCCTCTGGTTTCCCCTACCTCTAAACATGTCCACAGTGAAATCCTCATCTCGGGTGCTGATCAAGAGCATTGACTTGTGGAGATGGGTCCTGCGCTGTTAATACGGCGACCGCTGCTCTTGACAGATGGAATAATGGGTCAAATGCAGAGGACTGAGTAAATGTTGGTATGAATATTCCTCCTTAAATGATATCCATGTCCCCCCTCCATGGCTGACCCCCCTGACCAATCCAGTGGAACCTGAGAGTAACCTCACAGCCAGTATATAGAGAGCTGGGATGGACTAGTTTGGGGTCTTGGTCGGTGTCAACTCTCTATGCAACATGTAGCAGCCTAATTCTGAGGTCCAGAGCCTCCAGGATTCTCTCTCTCTCCTTGGGGTATGATATTTCTGTTATCTCTGTATCTGTCATTAAATTTCCTCTTTTATGTCTATTGGTTTGGGCCTAGTATGCACAGCAACGAGTACATTTTCATGATAACAGTAAAACTTATTAGCGGGTCATGAACATTCAGCTGTTTAAATACAGCTCAACATCAGGTTAAGTCCAGGTAAATTTCACTTTGTTTAAAATGCGAGGATTTTGTCCGAATCGTACTTGAGCTTCATTGCGTCTCTTCCTAAGAGTCGCAGCTAGAGGGCGCTGTGTTACCAGTGTGATCTATAACTAGAGACCGAAAATAGTTCTAATGAAAACAGATATGAGAGCAATCTCTCTCTCTCTCTCTCTCCTCAGTACTCCTCTCCCTCCTCCTCCCCCTCCACAGAGTCAGCGCCCACCTCCTCATAGTCCTTCTCTAGGGCTGCCATGTCCTCCCTGGCCTCGGAGAACTCCCCCTCCTCCATGCCCTCCCCCACATACCAGTGGACGAAGGCTCTCTTAGCGTACATCAGGTCAAACTTGTGGTCGAGTCGAGCCCAGGCCTCGGCGATGGCGGTGGTGTTGCTCATCATGCAGACGGCTCTCTGGACCTTGGCCAGGTCTCCTCCTGGGACCACAGTGGGCGGCTGGTAGTTGATGCCCACCTTGAAGCCGGTGGGACACCAGTCCACAAACTGCACAGTGCTAGTTTAGTTTAAACTAAAAAAGTGCAAAACAGCTCTAGTTTCGATCCTATTGCTGGATTGCTGGACAGAGTGTTGCAATAAAATAAAATACAAATAACCAACCAGTCACAACTTTGTTTTATAATTACTTTTTATTAACAGAACATTGAAAAAGTCACATTAAATATTAATTATTTAATTAAAACAAATATAAAAGAAAACAGTCAAAAAATTTAAGAAGAAACAATAACAAACCAGGAACAGTCCTAACCCAAACGATTGGAACAGTCCAGACCTCCTCCTCCCTCTTCAGGCCAGCTCCTCCTCCCCCTCCTCATCAAACTCTCCCTCCTCCTCAGCAGTAGCGTCCTGGTACTGCTGGTACTCGGACACCAGGTCGTTCATGTTGCTCTCCGCTTCGGTGAATTCCATCTCGTCCATCCCTTCCCCCGTGTACCAGTGAAGGAAAGCCTTTCTGCGGAACATGGCGGTGAACTGTTCTGAGATGCGTTTGAACAGTTCCTGGATGGCCGTGCTGTTTCCGATGAAGGTGGCCGACATCTTCAGACCTCGAGGAGGAATGTCACACACCGCCGTCTTCACGTTGTTGGGGATCCACTCCACAAAGTAGCTGCTGTTTTTGTTCTGAATGTTCAGCATCTGTTCGTCCACCTCCTTCATGGACATGCGCCCTCTGAAGATGGCCGCCACCGTCAAGTAGCGCCCGTGACGCGGGTCGCACGCCGCCATCATGTTCTTTGAGTCGAACATCTGCTGCGTCAGCTCGGGGACCGTCAGGGCCCTGTACTGCTGGCTCCCCCTGCTGGTCAGAGGAGCGAAGCCGGGCATGAAGAAGTGAAGCCGCGGGAAGGGCACCATGTTCACCGCTAGCTTGCGCAGGTCCGCATTCAGCTGGCCAGGGAAGCGCAGGCAGGTGGTAACTCCGCTCATGGTGGCCGACACCAGGTGGTTTAGGTCGCCGTACGTGGGCGTGGTCAGCTTCAGCGTCCGGAAGCAGATGTCGTACAGAGCCTCGTTGTCGATGCAGTAGGTCTCGTCTGTGTTCTCCACCAGCTGGTGCACCGACAGAGTGGCGTTGTACGGCTCCACCACCGTGTCCGACACTTTGGGAGAAGGCACCACGCTGAACGTGTTCATGATGCGGTCAGGGTATTCTTCGCGGATCTTGCTGATGAGCAGAGTGCCCATACCCGAGCCTGTGCCTCCGCCCAGGGAGTGAGTGAGCTGGAAACCCTGCAGACAGTCGCAGCTCTCCGCCTCCTTACGGACCACGTCCAGAACCGAATCCACCAGCTCTGCTCCCTCCGTGTAGTGGCCCTTGGCCCAGTTGTTTCCCGCTCCGCTTTGACCTGGAATTATACCCACTGCTTTACAGCTGCACGCGCCACATTGGACCATTCAAATGCTTCACACCTCTCTTACCAAACACAAAGTTGTCAGGCCTGAACACTTGGCCAAACGGCCCAGACCTCACAGAGTCCATAGTCCCGGGCTCCAGATCCACCAGTATAGCACGAGGTACATATTTGCCCCCTGTGGACACATCAGGCATTACATCACAGCGCTTCAAATGCAGGATGGGACTCAACATTCTTGGCATTTCGCCCCCAGGTGGGTTAACCTCATGGTTACACTTTACCTTATCTAAACTGTTCCTAATTCCATGTCCCGGTAGGGAAATATGCGTCTGCATTTGACCCTGAATACCACTAGTATCTGTCAGGAGCAGTGGGTACCACAGTGACGAAATGCCTACATTTTAGTGAGTCCTAATATATTATACTAATTTGGTTCAGACTTTACCAGTGGCTTCGTTGTAGTAGACGTTGATCCTGTCCAGCTGCAGGTCACTGTCGCCATTGTAAGACCCAGTGGCATCAATGCCGTGCTCGTCACTGATCACCTCCCAGAACTAAAAAACAAACAAACAAATAAAAAAAACAATAAATATCTGTTCAAACTGTGCACGCGCTTTTACTGTGACAGCAGGAGCGCGCGGCCGCTTTGGCGCTCAAACCCGAGCAGTAGAAAAACCTCAACGTTTATTACAGTAAAATAACCCAGAAAACTGTTTTAAACCATCGCTAAATATGTAATCCGATTATCACACCGTCCATTAGGTTCAGATGGTGACGATATATGACGGTATTTGAGGAAACGTTAACAGAAGCAAAGGGGCGCGAGACATCCGTTATTCAAAAACTCGATATTATAAAACAGCTAAACATCTACAGAAAAGGACATTTTCCGACACCATTCAAGCTCATTAACTTTGTATTTGCAACAGATAATAGTCTGGATAAGTTATGGCACAAAAGGGCCACAGAAACAAATTCAAATAATAATTTAGAAAAAATACTATGAATAAATGGTTACCGACCTTGGCACCGATCTGGTTGCCACACTGGCCTGCCTGGATATGGACGATTTCCCTCATTTTATTTGGAGAAATAAATAAACCAGATGAAAATGATGTTTGCTCCGATTTCAAGATAAGCGCAAGAGGCTGTGCAGGGTTTTTATAAAGCACTAAAGCCCGTCCATAGCAACGCGTACTGCATTTTCATTGGACCAGTTTTCACATCACCTCTGACAGACACATACAGCGACCAATCAAATCATCATATAATCGTCCGCTCAGATTGGATCAAATCAAACGCCAATCACCATCACTGTAGGATTTGACTGTAGTGGACTTGGACTAGTTTCACATTTTACGCCTGTTTTCTTAAATTTAGACGTTTCAGCGTGTAATCTAGCCAGTAAAGAACATAACATGCACTAATCTATTTTGAAGGGATATTCCAGCCCCTTTTTTAATAGAATCGGCACGGGACCACGGGACACATGCTAGTTAAACAGTAAGTGTAGCTGGAAAATGGTCGTCGTCCAACAAAACGGTGCTAAACAATGCTTCTAAACGTCGTCGTGGAGCTTCAATAATAAAGCTACACGTGTGCTCCTGTTTTAACTGTACGGACATGTTTTGGCGTCGGTCCAGTTTGGCTTGACCAGTGTTAATAAATAGTTTGTATTTCAGCAAAAGTGGAAAAGGTATGGATTATGCTCCTTGGGCTAGTGTGTAGACATGCACATCCAAAGAGCAAATTTGGGTTAAGAGCTGGGTGCAGCAAATTTAGTATATATTGTATTGCTTGTCAAATATAATTTAAAAAAAAATACAACATGCTCTATGATTAAGAAGCATCTTCAAGCCCTCCATTGTGATTAGAGTCCCACATCATCGTCTATGTATTATTATGTAAATGCTATAAACTATATTGAGAGATTCCTTTGGTCGCCCAGGTCTGGAGTTCCTGTATGTGAGCCTTGCTTTGTTGTTCCCAGTGTAACTACTCCAGACACCCCACTACCCACGATTCCAGTAAGTATGAGACCAAAGAGAATCTGAAATGCTTCAGCACCATGTGTCCACCAATGCAGCTTCTGTCTGTGTAGTGACATCCCAAGAAGGAATGAGAAATGGTGACCTTACTGTAAAAAGATATTGTGATAAAGGTCCACATTGAAATTATATTTATGCCTCTGAAACTCTGCGGTCAGGTCGTAAGTATTTGGCAATATCTGTCACTGAATGCTTTAGATGTTTTTCTTGAGTAGAAGAAAGAAACAATGTATCTCTGAGTAAGTTACATTTTCAGCCTTCTTGAACTAAACTTGGATAAAATTACATTGAAATACAATATCAATTCTTCCCTTGATACAGAACAGGATGTTAATGCATTAAATGCTCACCCTCCAAAATGACAAATCCACTATAATTAACAATACGTTGCAACAGAATCAAAGGAATGAGGATTAAAAATATAATGCAAAACTCTTTGTTTTAACCATGTAGCGTTTGCACACTTGTAAGAAAGAGCCTTGTGAATCACTATTAGACTCTGGCCTGAGCTGAGTGAGGGTGGTTCCCTCTTTTATACTTTTATCTCTGAAAAAACTGATCAAAAATGTGACAGAGGCCAGAAACACTTGCATGTGTGTTGCAGAGAGGGAGACCAGAGAGGGAGACCAGAGAGGGAGACCAGAGAGGGAGACCAGAGAGGGAGACCAGAGAGGGAGACCAGAGAGGGAGACCAGAGAGGGAGACCAGAGAGGGAGACCAGAGAGGGAGACCAGAGAGGGAGACCAGAGAGGGAGACCAGAGAGGGAGACCAGAGAGGGAGACCAGAGAGGGAGACCAGAGAGGGAGACCAGAGAGGGAGACCAGAGAGGGAGACCAGAGATATGCATGTTAAAACTAGTGATGGATTCAAACTGTTTTAGAGGCAAGTCCTAAAGACATGGCTTATGTGCATGGTTACATTGAATGTCTGGTGCTCCAGCTTAAAGACTAAGTCTCATTCTAAAACAAGTGAACACAAAAGTGCTTAGATTGTGACGCATGTGTCCAGTGCTTTTGATCATTATTTTTAACTTTCTCTTACATCAGCAGAAATTGTGTTACATTCCACAGATCTGATGATGCGTTCTCTGTGTGTCTCAGTGACGCCACGCCGTTTCTGGAAGAGCAGGTCGGACTGGCTCTGAGTCACCGGGTACCTCCTTCTAACAGCGCCATACAACCTCAGCCTCCTGGTCTCCTCTCTCACACACAGCCTCTGCCCCAGTCCCTCTGCTCTCTCTCCAGTCGCTCTCCTGGACCTCTGCCTCAGTCCTTCTGCCCTCTTTCTGTCTTTCTCCGAGACCTTTGCCCCAGTCCCTCTGCTCTCTCTCAGTCCCTCTGGACCTCTCCGCACCTGGACCAGATTGAACCATGCTGCAGTTTGTCCTCCTCTTCGTGGTGGTTGCCGGAGTTTATCTGCTCCTCAACAAAACGCTGTTCAAACGCTCGCGCTGCAGAGGAAACCTGCCCATGGCCAAGAAGACGGTGGTGATCACAGGTGAGAAATCCACTGGGTATAAATCACAACAGCTAAAGCTCGGCTAGTCATAGTAATTAATGGAAAGGACTTTTGCCAATGACAGAAAGATAATTATATTTTATTCAATTAAATTAAATGTATTTGTGCACCACCCTAAATTACAACATGGCACTGTACGAAATGTGGATTCACCAATATCATACAAGACAATCAAACGGATCAAACACAGGGCATGCAATGATAACACATAGGAGCAATTGGGTGCGGGATGAGCACTGTCCAGGAATGTCCATAGATGTCCCAGATAATGGATATCCTTAGACCCTCCTGCATCAGAGAGGATCGCCTCAAATATAAAAAACAGTGGGAAAAGTGAGAAACCCAGGATATAATATAGCGGTAGAAATATATGCAAGTATATACTTGGCCATACTAGATCAATACTTTGATTTAATTGGACAATCCTATTATCCACTGATTTTCATTTAGTTCAGTGGTGTCCAAAACTCAGCTATTTTGTTCTTGGTTCCAGGCTTTCAAGTGAATTGACCCATGTTACACTGAATTGTTATTATTATTTTCATTTCAAACACAGTGAGCCTGAGCAGGAGCCTCGGTCATGGAAAGTGTGCGTACAAACTCAACAAACATTATCGAAACTGTCAATTTTTCCCTGGAGGCTTTTTAAACCAAACTAGTGTGTTCTGAATTTGGATCCACATATTGTTTTTTCAGGGTTTGAAGACTTGAACTCTCTGCTCAAATGTTGAGTTTTTCTTGTCTCCAGAGAAGGATTTATGACGGCCTTTTACTGAGACTGTGACTCCAGGCGCAGGATGTCAGTTTATTTATGAAGAACTTTTCACATAATGGAAAAAAGTGCTTTACCCTTGAGCTGTCTTCGAGTCAAAAATGACCTACCACACTGATTAAAAGTTGAATAAATTATGGTATAAAATCATGAAAATTCAGATAATTTTTTTTATATATTTAGGGTATTTTTTAATCACTGTGGTGGGTCAATTTGATATGAGGATAGTAAAAGGGTTAAAAACAATACCTTATGCCTGAGAGAGAGACCGGAGAGTAAGAGACGGTAATGAGACCATAGTTCATACGTGGTTGATACAAAGATTAGTTTCCATAGTTACCAGGAGTGAGGTTTCATCTTCTCTCCACCATAATGTGAAACTATAGGTTCTTTGCAGCATTGTGATGTTACATGAACGCAGCCTATTGGTCGACAGTGTCCACCAAAACATATATTTGTCAAATATTATATATATATATATATATAATTGTATTACAAGAATTTTTGTGGAAAATGGCAACATTTAGAAGGTATGGAGCAGATCAGCTTACAATGTTGGTATCTACCGGATCAAACCCTCAGTTCACAAGTATCCGTAGTCGTATATCCAAGTGATATTAAAATAATCTAAATAGTGGATTTTGCACACTTCTGGTCAGATACAGTAATCGTAATGAGAGATTTGGCCACGCCCTCTGGGTCGACGATAGAACTTGTATTAGTTTTATCTAAAGAGAGAAGGGAGAGAAATGACCAGCAAAAGTTAGAACACATCTCAGAATGTTGTTTATCACAGTTGTGGTTGTTTTCAGGAGGAAACAGTGGAATTGGAAAAGCCACAGCGCTGAACTTGGCTCGAAGAGGAGCTCGGGTCATTATGGGATGTCGGAACCAGCGCACGGCGGAGGCAGCCATCTTAGAGATCCAGCAGGTCAGAGTGGTGTTCAGTGTTACATAGTTTAAGTCTGTATTTCCTGCACTCAAACAAACTCAAACCAGTGATCACATTTCTCACTTAGTCACGAGTAGCATGGGTGGGACTGCTATAAGCTTGTAATGCCCTTTCCAGATATTATTATAGATCCATGAGAGAGACCAGAGCGAGATATAAAAAATGGGTGAGAAAACGGTTTGCTTTTATTGTGTCTAAATTGGCTAAATGTGGTTGATTTGTTCAGACAAATGGTAAAAGAAAAACGTTGTCAAGTTGTGTTTACTGATGTGGGAGAAAACTGGATCCATTAGAGCTCTGTTGTTTGAGGAGAGCAGTTTAGACAATGGAGGGTGGTGTGTCTAAACCACACAACCCACTGTTTAATCTACTTACACCACGGTCACGACATTCACACACTCATAACATGTTTGAAACAATATAGATAGATATATTTAGTACATGATTGAACAAAGAACTGCTGTATGAGCCAAGAGCCAGAAAAAGCTCCCTAGCAACTGTTGTCATGACAAAATAAAAACACATAGAAGAGAATAAGCCAAGATTCCCGACATTTAACTCATGGCTTTAACAAAACAATACATTTTTTAAATGTTTAGCAACTCAGTTCATAATCTTGCTGTATATTAGACCTAAATCTAACTTGTTTGTGTTCAGAGCTGTGTTGCTATGGTGACGGCTCAGGTGGAGTGATACTGAACCTGTGATATACAGGGATTATATATATATATATATATATATATATATATATATTATTGGGATCCTCTCTGACCGCTGGATGGGTCTAAATACATGTTTGAATGAATGGACATCAAGGGAAAACTGGGAGAATCGCACCAAAAGTACATCATTTTAGATTTTACATATCGATGAGAGAGAAGTAGCTCTGAAAACCAAAAGATAAAAAGAATAAGAACAGTATGTACTCTCTCTGATCTTACACTCCTCACATTCCTGGCCTTCTAAAGATTTAGCGTGACCTGGTTGCCCTGCTGTTGTTACCTGTTTGGCTACGTGCACAGTTCCAGGTGAGCTACACATTCCGGGCTTGTCTCTGTCAGTAAAGTCGCGATTCCTCGATTGCCTGCAGAGCTGCACGTGTGGAGCGAGACTCTGAGCTTGTTCGACTGGTTTAGCTTCACGTCTGTACAGCAATTATTGGATTTGCATCTCTGTCCCAAGCTGTTGATTCGACACCTTTCCTGTCACTAGTAACAAGTTCTGTCGCCGCTAAATATGTGTTGAAATTAGAGGTGCACCGATCGATCAGTAACCGATAATAATGGGCCGATCACGTGAATTGCGTGATTGTGACCGGTGAAATGTGCCGATCAAAAAGACCGATCATATAACATGGGGTTCGTGCGTACAAGTTACTTTCTCTTGTCAAAATTCAAAGTTCAAACGACTCATGTCCACTGCTTCAATATGCCATCTTTGAAACATTTGACTGATGTCTGCCTGCCGCAGCTTTATCAAACTGTATATTCTCACATTGACACTCCCAGCCCAGTCAGTCACACCGTGCAGAAGACACCCAACACACTCAGCAGCGAGGCGCTGAGCTCCGAGCCACAGGCAAAAACATCTCGTGTCGGGACTTTGCATGTTATGTTCACAGAAATGTTGGAGGAAGATTAGTGTAGTGGTAGTACAGACAGTCCTACAGTGTCACTGATGCAGCGATACCTAGCGAAAGTAGTTACGCCTCAGAGCGGACAGCCGATTGTTTATTGGAAAGAAAATAAAAAGTTTCTTCTTACCTCTGCGCTCCATGCACAAGTGCAGACAATGAGTGGCTGCTTACGCAGCGGGACTATTCAGGATGATAAACGTAATAAACTAACCCCTGCAAATGCTGAGATGCTAATATTCATGAAGAAAAAACATGGCCTTAACTATCTCTTCTTAATCAGTTTAGAAATACAGCATGTACAGTATTGCTGTATATCATTGTATTTTTTTTGTATGTATCTCAATGCTCTGTAACGCATACTTGTGGTTCCCAACCTTTTTGTCTTGAGTACCCCATTGGATTTTATTTATACTACCTAGTGCCTTGATGGTTTTGAAAGATTAGTTATAAAGTGAATAACTAGTCCTATTAATTTATCACTAAAAATATCAATATTTGATTGGATCGGCAATGATCGGCAAGTCAAAATTTTAATGATCGGTGATTGGCCAAAAAATTCCTGATCGGTGCACCCCTAGTTGAAATACAGATCCTGGACTAGAATGAGCTCAGAAGAGGTTGTCATACTGTGAATGCTGCTGTTTTTGTTTACTGTTTATTGTATTTTCTTCATAAATTCTACAGAATGACATGGAATGTTGGCATTTCTAATCAAAAAAACAATTATGCTGCATCTAGTCTGTTAAAAAGATTTTAGATTTAAAAAACTGTTCGATCATCTTTATAATCACTAGACATAAGAGTGGTTTATTTAGTAACCATAGACTGCATATAGACTTGATTCAGCATTCTCTTCTTCACTGGTGACGTCAGCACTCGTCCTGATATACAGTCTGTGCCACTGACGCCAAGAAATAAAACTCACTGAATATTGTCATAAGAGGAGCCAAATCAATTTCCTAGTTTGACTTCCTGTTTCTCACAATAACAAAAATAATTCAGATTCTGATAAGGAAGCACTGGCCAAAGATGCTTCCTTATCTGTGTCAGGAACTTTTTTTTCTCTCCCGTCAGGACCAGTCAGCCTCTGTCGTTGTTTACAGGAGACGGGTAACTCGGACGTGGCCTTCAGACACCTGGACTTGGCCAGTCTCAAGTCGATCCGAAACTTTGCTGAAAACCTGCTGAAGTCGGAGCCCAACATCGACATGCTCATCAACAACGCAGGTGATAATCTATCAGACTATCAATGAACTATAACAGGATCATGAGGGTTTATGCTCAATATTTATCGTTCCACCAGTTTTCCTGATTTATCATTGAGAGATTTGAGCTGCAGAGTTTTGAACTAGTCACCTTTATGGGTCAGTATTGGTTTTTGCTAATGTCCTTTTTTCCGTGAAATATGATTAATCCTTTTATTCATGTATTTATTTATTTTAGTTTATTTGAATAGGGACAGTGCACATTAATCAACATTACTGTAAATGTGTCAGTAGGAATTATACCACTAGTTTCCAACTGTAGTCCCAAGGCAAGGTGTAAAATGGCAATGAAATACACTGCAAACATTACACTATCAAAATAATTAGTCAAAACTAGGGCTGTCAAAATTATTGCGTTAACTCACGTTAATTAAATTTTTCATTAACACGTAAAAAAAAATATTACGCTTTAACGCATGTCTGAATGACCCGCTCATGTAAAATAATATCACTCAGAATGCCGCGGACACATGCCTGTGTGAGATGGCAACAGAGCAGGTCTCTGGGAATTCAAGTTTTAAAAGAATACGTGCATGACCGCGGGGCTGTTGTTTGCTCTGAACTGAAGTCTGCCTCCTCCGCGGCCGCTCATGTTGTTCTTTGCGGCTGTGAGCCACTAACAACAACACGGTGAATGTCGCCGCGTTGCTCATATAAGACCATACACACACGCACGCACATACACCACTGAAGCTGAACTATGGAGCCTCAGGGAGTGTCCGTGTCTCCCCCTGAAACGGCACCAAAACTTGCTAAATTAAAGCTGGGGTGCATACATTTTCCGTTCATGTTGGTTGTGCCAAAAGTAAAAGGTTGTGAGAAAATCAAACAGATTGAAGTACATTTGGTATGAATGACATGTGTCATTACATTTGCTGATCTCATTTAACTTCAATTGGAGTGGATTGGAAATAGAATGTTAAGAATGCGATTAATCGTGAGTTAACTCACCATTACTATGCAATAAATCAACAAAAAAAATTTTATCGTTTGACAGCCCTAGTTAAAACATTATAATTTCAATTATATAAGAATTGAGAATTATTGCTTTCACTGAGTGTAATGGTTACTGTATGATACTTGGACTGCAGGAGGGATGTCAATATAGATTTTGACAGTGAAAACCCTCCTGGTCTAAACCTGATGGAAGCTGAAGTGAAACTGAAAAAGAGTGACGTGCTACTGTTGAGGTAATGAGGTGAGTTGCTGCACAAGCTGAAGCAGGGCAGGACTGTGAGAAACTGTTTAAATGCAGCAGGGGAAGCAGCTTCCACAAACCTGCAATGTTGTGGCAATTGTTGAGTGTCTTTCCACTGTGAGCAGCCTGGGCTATAGCTTTAGCTTGACGTGTGCTCTTGAAAAAATAAACAGATTGAATGTCCAGACTTACGGAATAACGGAGAAATGTGGTTCCAAACGAACAGTTTCAATTCCACATCCAATGCAGTTTTCCACAAAATAGCACAGTGAAAAACTGTTGTGCCTAAACCCAGCTCAGCTTCCACATTGCACTCAGTGGTTCCCCCTACTGTCATTAAAAGGAACTGCACTTCACCTGGCCCCACCCAAACACACACAAAGTAAAGCATAGGTGCCTACCAAAACAACATTATTAACTTAGAATTAGCATTTTCTTAGTTAAACGGCCTTTACATGCAGGGATGTTTAAATGAAACTAAACCAAAGCTAAAACAGGACTATACCATATCTGACTATACCCCCCCATACCTGTTGTATAAGTGAATGTGTTTGACCTTAGAACCAGCTTAGATGTTTAGATTTATCCATAATAAGCCCCCCCCCCCCCCCCCCGACCCAGAAATGGACTAATAACGGGGTAGAAAATGAATGAATGGTTTAAGTTCATCTGTCATTTTATTGCGAACATCCACCCCAGATAGCAAATGATGTCTTTATATCTGCTTTTTGAACAAGTCTGCTCCTCTTAAATCACAATGACTTCCTCTAAATCAAAGTTTTAGCTTCAGTCTTTCTTCAGTCGCTCAGTAAGAGACACTCATTGAGTTCATCACTCTCAAATTTTCCTAGGCTTCCATGTTTGGCTCTGCATGTGTTAGGTTTAGTGATTCTTCTTGCTTACCCTCTGCTGTTCCTGGTTATCTCCTCTCTGTCAGCGTCTGAACCCTGTCTGAATCCTAATGCCGCAAAGTAATGGGGTAATTTTAATGTGATTTTCCTATTGTAATGAATGAGCCAAGCCTGTCCGAGCTTTTGTTGAACAGTTTGATGTGGTTCTGGTCTCAGGTCTGGTTGGAGACGGCCGCACAGAGGACGGTTTTGGAGTCCAGTTTGGAGTGAACCATCTGGGACACTTCCTGCTGACAAACCTGCTCTTGGACAAACTGAAACAGAGTCCCAGCGCCCGCATCATCACTGTGTCCTCTATGGCCCACCGCTGGGGACACGTGGACTTCCAGGTGAGACCCAGACCCTGACCAAGACCACAGAACCAGGACCTAACCCAGACCAGACCCAGGACCTGACACGGACCCAGACCCGGACCAAACCAGACAAGTCCCATAGCTTCAGTCCTCTCTGGCTCCACTAGTAAAATCTTAGCCAATTTTTCTTCATGGGATTTTAATCAATCCAAATATTCAACATTTGAAGCATGATACACTTACAGCTATATGAAAACTACTGTCACATCTTTTCTTCCTGGTGTTCTTGTATGGTGTTTTACGCCCATACAGGAGGGTCTAAAGCCTAGTGTATACTTGCGCGGCGTGGCTTACGTTAGCGGTTGCGGTGGACCTACGTAAGCACAATTGATATTATACTGGCCCGTTCCCCTTACGGAGTTTTGAGGAGAATTTTGTAATCCCACAACAAACCACATGAGGGCGATCACACAGGAGCGGTCCCATTTACGCTGCTACTTTGTCCTCTTCAGAACAACAATAGCAAACAAAGCTGTTTGAGCTCATTACACGTGTTTCTACTGCAGGTTTATGTGAGAGTTTTATGGATTAATTATTTTATAAGTCATTTCAACTGTGATGCTGTGAATAAAGACACAGTTCTTGTTGGAAACATAGTTATTATTAAATAGTTTTCAGCACAAACAGCAAAACAATAATAGTGGTAAATATCTGAGACAAACATGAACGATTTACGAGTGCAGGAGGAAAGCAACAAACGCTACGATTCAAACAAGACAGGAACAGTGCAAAACAAACGACTGCACAGTTTATAAGTTATATATATATGTTAGATAGTCCACAGTCTCCTGTATATCAGGCTCTGAGCCCAAACTGCTTTTCCTTCGAAGCACAAAGCTCTCTGCTCCATAGTGCCTCGTCCATGTCCCTGCTGCAGCCGCTTCATGCTTCCTTCCAATACACACACACGGACCAATCACAGCGGAGCTTCCTTGCGGCGACCCTTACGTAGTTAGAAAATTTCGATGCTGCGCGGCAGGGCCTTGCGGTGACCGTAAGCTCCGCGCCGCGCGGGTATAAACTAGGCTTAAGAAGGGTGATGTATGAACATTTCTGGACAGTGGTCATTCTGCTCCCTATGGACCAATGGCTCTTATGCGTTTGTTCTCTAAAAAGTTGTCAATTCCTCAACAACAGATCAAAGTCCTCTTAGACGACTGCTGTTGGGATTTAGGGCTCTGTATTAAATATATCATTGACAGTAACTGAAGGCCTCCTTGACAGTACTAGTTTTACAGAAGGGTGGAACATGGATTGATTGCCTTTGTTTAGTTGTAATGTTCCGCCCATAGGCTGTTTGTGACACAATGTGACTTATAATAGCTCTTACACTGTGATTGGCCGAGCTGGTGGAGTGATGTTGTGGAAGAAACAGGTCGGTCTACATTTCCACACCCGTGTCAGGCGTCTGCTGATCCTCTGTCTGAGTTATTTCAGGGTCATTGTCACTACTTCAACAACAATCTGTATGTCTTTGATTCCTGGCTCTAAAATAGTTGCTTCTATCACTAGTTTAATGTGTTTCTGGTCTCTGTCAAAAATTTGGATCCTTTTTTTCAGACAGAAAGGTGAAAAAGAGAGGACCACCCAATCAGCTCTCATTCCAAAGAGTCAAATAGTGACTCACAGGGGTCTGTCCTCTCCTTGTCTCCTCTGATGTCTCCTGTTTCCTTGTCTCATTGTCTCCCCAGACCTTGCTTCAGACCCGGGACCTGGGCACTGGTTCGTACTCGTGGCAGTTCTTTGCTGCGTACTGCAGCAGTAAACTCTGTAACATTCTGTTCACGCGTGAACTCAGCCGTCGCCTCCAGGGAACCTCCGTGTCCTGCTTCTGCGTTCACCCAGGTGAGGAGCATATGTCAGAACGCATTTATATTAATATTTCAGCCCTTCAGACTTCTCCACACAAAAGAAGCTCGCACTAACACGAGTGTACATGACGGTGATGAATAAAGTGAAACTTATTAAAGCACCTCCGACACACAGCAGCAGAGAGCAGAGATGTCGACAGATACCACAGCAGGGGTCTATATAACCTGTAGCTTTATAAAGGGTTCATGATTTCAGCCTGGAGTCAAAGTGACGCTTGGACACATGTTTACTGTTCAGAGTTGGCTGAACTGAGAAGTTGGTCCTCTGTGTTGTTGCAGGCGTAATCCGCACAGAGCTGGCTCGTAATATCTCGTTGTGGCAGAAGGTGCTGGTGGAGGGTGTCCTGGACGTTCTTCTTGAGTCCAGAAGAGGGCGCTCAGACCACTCTGCACTGTGCTCTGCAGGAGGGACTGGAGAAACTCAGCGGCTCCTACTTCAGCTGTTGCGAGCTCCAGGAGCCCGCCTCCCAGGCCAAAGACTCCCAGACCGCTCGCCGCCTGTGGGAGGAGAGCGAGCGCTTCTGTGGCCTGCAGTGAGGCCTGGTAGACCTGCATTATACTTGGTTTAGACCTGATTTAAACCCGAGTTGGTCTGTTGTTAGTCTTGGGTTAAGACTGGGGCTGTATCCCAGTCCATAAGAAATGTCTCCTTATTTTCCCTTATTTGTCCTTTGTTTGTTAAATCAGGCATCTGTGGCTTTGAACCCATCTTTGAAAAGTGTTGAATCTAACTTGACTAAAACTGAAGCCAGCCAGTCTCATGAAAGGTCCATTTTAAATATTATTTATGTAGCACTTTTCACAGACCAGGGTCAGAGAGCTCTTCACATCACACAATACGAACAATACAGGGTTGCAGAACGTTTTTAAAAAAAAATCTGATTTTGATCGCCGCCCGGGTTAAGACCTGATTCAGCCCTGGCATAGCCTCGACTCCTCACACACTGAGCGGCACAGGTTGTTGTGTCAGAATAACTCGGCATTATTCAGCGAGGCACACGCTGCTCTTTCCTTTTATAAAGTTCTTCTAAAACGTTTTTTATAAGAACTTTTTTTATGTTTGAAAATGTGTATATTTCTCCACGTGGATGAAATGTGGGTGTTTTTAAAGCTCCAGTTCTGGAGCAGGTACTTTTTTATCATGACCTCTTTTATTATTCTCAGACCTAAACAAACTAAATGAATGACTTGAACAAAGCGGCACTAGTACTGTAACAACTCATCAAACTTCTTTTAATGAAGTCAAAGAAATGTGTTTGAGTAACTGCAATTTATCAGTTTATTTTAAGTCAGTATTTTTTTAGGTTTTGTGCGCAGGTTTACATGGACTGAAGTCGAAAAAACACTTTTGGTTTTCTACTTTATGATGTACTGACACATACACCATAGATGCTAAACTCCAAACTAATAATTAGGAACTTCTGGCATAAACATGTCCCCCCGCCCCTTCTGTCTTAAAGCTCCTGTCTCAGTCCTCACACTGTGACATGTTCCTTTTTTAAACAAAAGTATTACCCCATGTATTATATAATCGTTTTGGCAACTTCTCCGGTGAAATTATATTCTTTATACCCACGTGTTTAGCGCATCCAATGTTTTTTTATAAAAAAAACAAAAAGATTTTAACTTCTCCCAGATGATTTTGCAGGGGGCAGAGCACAGAGCGATGCAGCCGGACTAAATACAGTAGACTGCGCCAACTTTGTCTCTAATACATCTTTCAAATGTTGTAAATGTATAAAAATGAAGCGTGTGAACCGGTTCTTGTGACTGGGAGTTTATTAAGAAGAGTTCTCATGTTATAGTTTGTTTTTACATTAAATATTATTGATACTTCGGGTTATTAGATGTTTCTGTTATATTTTGTCTTATAAGTATTTCAGCACATTCACTGGATGTTTATGGCTCATATGTTTTGTATTTATATATAGGCGAAATAAATTACTTTTTAAACTCTTTGTTATTTTTAATGAAGTCTTTGATATTGTGGAAAAGGGAAACAAGTCTAGGACCTGTTTGTAGTTCATATTCAGGGCAACAGTAGCTCAGTTGGAAAAGCATTGGACTTTGAGCTAGAAGGTCGTGGGTGTGAGCCCACCTCAAGACTTTCACCATCGACTCCCACTGATATCTGCTGTCGTTATGCCAAGGACACGACGCTTAACCTCTGGTAACACCTGATGCCACAGTGGGGCGGCCTAGAATGAGTCTGGTGTGTGTGTATAAATGGTTGGTGGTGGTTGGAGGGGCCTATGGCACATACTGGTTGCTTCTGTCAGTGTGCCCCTACAGTAGTAGTTTATCACCAGTGTGTATGTAGTGATTGCATAATGACTGAGTGTCCAAAAAAGCTCTGTATAAAACCAATGCATTATTATATTGCAAGATTTCAACTTCTTTATATAAATAAACATTACTTATATTTGTGATGGTAAGTACCTAGGTATTTTTACTAGTGCAGCTTCAGCAACAGACTGAGCTCCCTCACTGTGTGAAGAAGTTTTCCAAGTTGTTTCTCCTGCTGCTGTCCGACTGGACAACGAGAATTGAGTCTGCCATTCCCTCTATATTGACAATTCACTAGTCACTTTTATTTATTCTGGCTGTATTCTCTGCTTCAACAGTACACTATTAACCATTTTACATATGAAACTTGATGCTGCTTACTAGTGTATACTCCACATACGTTTATTATTTTAAACAATAGATCATATTGGACAAAAGATTTCAGTACTCTATAGTTTTATACTGTGTGCGTATGTTTTTTGTATTATTTTTGTTATACATAAAAGTAAAAACCATACATCATATTACAGAAAACACAGAGCATCCATATTTATGTAAACATCAGGTTTGAATAATGACAGTCTATGGTTTAAACTGTCATTATAAGCTTGACTATATTCTGATTGCTTCTTGCACTTGTCTCTGAAAAGTCTCAATGAAAAGGTCAATCTTTCCATGTAAATCTTCTGGATTATTTGAGTCCAGTCTGTGAGAACGGGGGCAACTTCACAAACCATTTGCATGATATGGCTTTCATTGCTCCCGCTTTAGAAATGACAAGAGATAGTCAGATTTTCGCATGGCATGTGTAAGGTTACCCAAAATAGACATCCTTCACTCCGGATTCTTCTTATCTCCAAACAAAATGAGGGAAATCGTCCATATCCAGGCGGGCCAGTGTGGCAACCAGATTGGTGACAAGGTCGGTGACTATTCATTCATTGTATTTTTATTTATTTTTTTATCACCTCTGACCTCTGACCCCTGGTACGATGTTTGCAAAGTCCCAGAAAATGTGGAAAAGACCTGCTTTTGTGTTACCACCACACTTGTTTGAGTCATGGCACTGCTTATACAGTCTATGCTTTTGACATGGAGTGACACAAAAAAGTACAATGGGCCTCATTCACGAACTGTTCTTAAGAAGAAAAAAATACCTAAGAAAAATTCTGGATGAGAGAAAAATTCATGAATGCCACAATCTTCTTAAATTCTTAGTACGAATTTGTTGAACAGTCCGTAAACGTGAATTAGGCATTTGCTGCGTTCATGATTTTTTCTCTCGCCTCCTCTGTGTTTATGTTTAGCACCATTTTTTTGTACCAACAACTATTACTGCTAAAATTTTTTATCTTTCTTGAGTTTTTCTTCCAAAACATATGTACGAAATAACGAAAACAGGCATATGAGTATACTGTCTATCTATGGTAATACTCATAAGATACATGGCCCAAGTCCACCCTAGTCATCTGAGCAAACCTTTGCACATGATGATTTGATTGGTCACTTTATATGTCTGTCAAAAATGATGCTGTTATTGTCCAATGAAAATGCGACATGTTTTGCTATGGGCGGGCTTCAGTGCCATATAAATTTCCCGCACGACATCCGCGAGTGCGCCGACACCGTTGTAAACGAATAAAGTTCTTCACTCCGGATTCTTCTTATCTCCAAACAAAATGAGGGAAATCGTCCATATCCAGGCGGGCCAGTGTGGCAACCAGATTGGTGCCAAGGTCGGTGACTATTCATTCATTGTATTTTTATTTATTTTTTAATTTAAACTTTTAATTTGTTTCTGTGGCCCTTTTGTGCCATAACGTCTTATCCAGACTATTTTCTGAAGCAAATACAAAGTTAATGAGCTTGAATGGTGTCGGAAAATGTCCTTTTCTGTAGATGTTTAGCTGTTTTATAATATCGAGTTTTTGAATAACGGATGTCTCGCGCCCCTTTGCTTCTGTTAACGTTTCCTCAAATACCGTCATATATCGTCACCATCTGAACCTAATGGACGGTGTGATAATCGGATTACATATTTAGCGATGGTTTAAAACAGTTTTCTGGGTTATTTTACTGTAATAAACGTTGAGGTTTTTCTACTGCTCGGGTTTGAGCGCCAAAGCGGCCGCGCGCTCCTGCTGTCACAGTAAAAGCGCGTGCACAGTTTGAACAGATATTTATTGTTTTTTTTATTTGTTTGTTTGTTTTTTAGTTCTGGGAGGTGATCAGTGACGAGCACGGCATTGATGCCACTGGGTCTTACAATGGCGACAGTGACCTGCAGCTGGACAGGATCAACGTCTACTACAACGAAGCCACTGGTAAAGTCTGAACCAAATTAGTATAATATATTAGGACTCACTAAAATGTAGGCATTTCGTCACTGTGGTACCCACTGCTCCTGACAGATACTAGTGGTATTCAGGGTCAAATGCAGACGCATATTTCCCTACCGGGACATGGAATTAGGAACAGTTTAGATAAGGTAAAGTGTAACCATGAGGTTAACCCACCTGGGGGCGAAATGCCAAGAATGTAGAGTCCCATCCTGCATTTGAAGCGCTGTGATGTAATGCCTGATGTGTCCACAGGGGGCAAATATGTACCTCGTGCTATACTGGTGGATCTGGAGCCTGGGACTATGGACTCTGTGAGGTCTGGGCCGTTTGGCCAAGTGTTCAGGCCTGACAACTTTGTGTTTGGTAAGAGAGGTGTGAAGCATTTGAATGGTCCAATGTGGCGCGTGCAGCTGTAAAGCAGTGGGTATAATTCCAGGTCAAAGCGGAGCGGGAAACAACTGGGCCAAGGGCCACTACACGGAGGGAGCGGAGCTGGTGGATTCGGTTCTGGACGTGGTCCGTAAGGAGGCGGAGAGCTGCGACTGTCTGCAGGGTTTCCAGCTCACTCACTCCCTGGGCGGAGGCACAGGCTCGGGTATGGGCACTCTGCTCATCAGCAAGATCCGCGAAGAATACCCCGACCGCATCATGAACACGTTCAGCGTGGTGCCTTCTCCCAAAGTGTCGGACACGGTGGTGGAGCCGTACAACGCCACTCTGTCGGTGCACCAGCTGGTGGAGAACACAGACGAGACCTACTGCATCGACAACGAGGCTCTGTACGACATCTGCTTCCGGACGCTGAAGCTGACCACGCCCACGTACGGCGACCTGAACCACCTGGTGTCGGCCACCATGAGCGGAGTTACCACCTGCCTGCGCTTCCCTGGCCAGCTGAATGCGGACCTGCGCAAGCTAGCGGTGAACATGGTGCCCTTCCCGCGGCTTCACTTCTTCATGCCCGGCTTCGCTCCTCTGACCAGCAGGGGGAGCCAGCAGTACAGGGCCCTGACGGTCCCCGAGCTGACGCAGCAGATGTTCGACTCAAAGAACATGATGGCGGCGTGCGACCCGCGTCACGGGCGCTACTTGACGGTGGCGGCCATCTTCAGAGGGCGCATGTCCATGAAGGAGGTGGACGAACAGATGCTGAACATTCAGAACAAAAACAGCAGCTACTTTGTGGAGTGGATCCCCAACAACGTGAAGACGGCGGTGTGTGACATTCCTCCTCGAGGTCTGAAGATGTCGGCCACCTTCATCGGAAACAGCACGGCCATCCAGGAACTGTTCAAACGCATCTCAGAACAGTTCACCGCCATGTTCCGCAGAAAGGCTTTCCTTCACTGGTACACGGGGGAAGGGATGGACGAGATGGAATTCACCGAAGCGGAGAGCAACATGAACGACCTGGTGTCCGAGTACCAGCAGTACCAGGACGCTACTGCTGAGGAGGAGGGAGAGTTTGATGAGGAGGGGGAGGAGGAGTTGGCCTGAAGAGGGAGGAGAAGAAGAGAGAAAGGAGGAGGAGCTGGTGCGAGGAGGTTCGAGTTCTGGACTTTTTGTTCTGTTGTCTGTTCCTGGATTGTTTTGATCACTTGTTCCATTCTTTGACTTTGTTAAAGTTGTTGGATTTGATTTATTTGATTTTTGATGAATACTCGTTTGTTAAACTGAATATTGTCTTAGTGGTTCTTTCTTGCCTCTGAGTGAGATGTTTTATTTTGTAGCGATCCTAAATTCTTGTTTTGGTCACGTTTGCAGAAAACCTGTATTACACTCAACATCGAAGCGACCTCTGGGGTTATGTTCTGATCACTGTCGCCTGTGAGGACGGAGCTCATTTTGTCAGTTTTTGAACGTCAAATGTTAAATATACTGCTTTTTAATGTTCCCTTTAATAAAAGTTGATTTTCTTTCAAACTAAAAGCAGCTATTGAGTTTCAGTGATCACATGGACATTGGTTTGTGTTTGTTTTCAGTTGCAGACCTGTTTTCCCCTTGGTGTCCAGGAGGCAGTGCCAACAGTTTGGTTAATGAAAAAAACCATCAGTCTTCAAATTTGAAAACCAATAATAGAAGCAACAGTTATGAAATTGAGTGTATGTTTACAAGGACAATATTACGTGGGTCCTTTGTTTGGAAAAAATCATGCACCCCAGCTTTAAAATCATGTAAATAAAAATCCTACTACTGTTCATTAGTTAAAATTACATTGTGTTCAGTCTGAATAAGCCTGGCCTTAAATTCTGGCCAATTATTTCCCTACATGTGGCTTGGTACAAAATTAAATCAGCCTTATATGGTAAGACCTGGCTAAGTGAATGCAGCTGTACTCAAATTATCAACACATAAAATGTTCGTATAATCATCATGCAATTCTTACAGAGAAGCTCAAAATCTTATCAAAAATTCATCAAAGTGCCCTGACTCACAACTGGCTAATTGAGGGTGGTCCTCTTTTTTTTTTAATTCACTTTTCAGTCTGAAAAAGCTGAGCTAAAGATCTGAAAGAAGCCTGAAATGCTTGTACATAGAATACTATTGTCTGAAGCAAAGTGAAACCAGAGCAGATACCAGAGGGATTGTGACCAGAGAGGAACCATAGAGCATAGAAAGTCAAGGAGAGTCACCAGAGAAAGACCAGAGGCCAAAATTACTTTCATGTGAAAACTTGACTAGTGATGGAACCAAGCTGTTTTAAAGCCAGGGACGGGTTACATTAATTTGATGTGACTCGGAAGTTAAGTAACCTAACTTCAAATGTAGCCCAAATAGAAACTGAAATGACTCAAAGTTTTCATTTTTTTTTTCAATTCGCCGGAATCCACTGACTACTTCCGTTCTACCCAGTTTTTACAACAACACATCAACATGAGAGAATAATGGGAATTTTAAATTTTTGACTCGTCCCATTTTTGGTACAACTGATTGTTTTCTCTGATGCCAGTAGGTAAATATTTATGCTAAAAATCTTGGGAGTTTTATCCGGAAGAAAGTTTTGTCCCACTTTGCTGAAGCCGGTTAGCTTCCGTTAGCCTCGAGACACAGCTAGCTTTAGCACTTGTTTACGTTGTTTACTTTCAAAAAAAATTGAGTGCGGGCTCGGTATTTTTATTTCCTAATGGCTTTATGAAGTACTATTTTTTTAAACCCTTGAACAAACTCCAAACTGTGGTGGAACGTTGTCAATATCATAAAAATGTATCTTAACTTCATAGTTCCTGGCTTTCAAAACATATTGGTTCTATCACTAGTTCTGATCTCTCTTTCTGGTCTCTTTTTGGTCGCTCTCTGGTCTCTTTCTGGTTTCTTTCTAGTCTCAGGTTGGTTCTATCATTAGTTTTCACTTGCATGTCTTTTGCATTGCGGTCAATAAATCGAAATGTTCATACAGAAAAGTGATAAAGAGAGGACCACTCCTCAAATAGTGACTCACCGAGCTCTTTCTAAAAGATAAATGTTACTTGTAAGCTCTTTCTGTTTGCACAAATGCAATTTATGGAACGTCAACTTTAATTGCAGATGTTATGCAGAAAATAACTGGACTTCAGAGCTAACAAAGGATGATTGTTGAAAGTGTTGTGTGTATGTCTCCATCCCATAGATTACGGTGTGATAAAGCATCTTTTTGTACGGTTGCGAAATCAGTTTTTCGTATGTGGTTATACTGCAAATGGCCAAAAAATTCTTGTATCTTATTGTATCAGAAATTCAGATATATTAATTGATACCAATGGCTCTGTGTTTTTTTGCCATACCTACATGGTTAGTACTACCTGGTTAGTGCTGTGATGGGAGACCTCTGGGAACATCAGGTAAAATGCCAAACTGTGGGGTCGATGGCATAGACTGGTTGCCTCTCTCCTGTCAGTGTGCCCCAGGGCAACTGTGGCTATAGTAGTCATTTTTCACTAAGTAAGTAAGTAAGCTTTATTTATATACCGCCTTTCACAGACCAGAGTCACAAAGCGGTTTACAATTGTTATTTTTGGGCACTTGTCCTCTCACTCCACACAGAGATGGGAGCGGGGTCGCCAGTACAGGAGGCGCATGCCAGACCTATTGGACATATTTTTAGTGGTAGGGGAAACCGGAGTACCCGGAGGAAACCTACGCAGACACGGGGAGAACATGCAAACTCCACTCAGAAAGGCCTTTGTCCGGCCGGGATTCGAACCAAGGACCTTCTTGCTGAGAGGCGAGAGTGCTATCCACTCATCCACCGTGCCGCCCACACCACCATGTTTACAGTGAATGATTAAAGATGAGAATAATGAAAAGTGTCTTTCAGTGTTCAAAAAGCACTATGAAAATTGATGCGTTATTATTATTAAAACTAGAACCAAAACCAGATACTTTTTTTCTTTAGCAAGATACCCACTGATAGACATTACCTGAACTATTTTGGACTGATTTGGTTCTATATTCATGCTAAAAAGTTACTTTTTGCTGTGTTTCCTCTTCCAGTTTTAACAAACTGATTTTTAGGTTTGTTGGGCTTCATTGAGCTAGCTGTCCATCTATATAACATGGATGTGTTTTATTTTGCACCAAACTCAAAAGGTCCATGACCAAACCAAATTTGTTTCTCTGTATTTAGAATGCGTCCCTCTTCTCCTGTGTGATGTCGGCCCCAGAGTGCCTCCTCCTGGCGGAGGAGGTGCTGCAGCTCAGTGACCATCTGCGAGCCGAGGCCGTGTTCTCATGGCTGAACCAGCTGAAGAACGAGCTACCGACAACCGAGAAGGTCAGAGGAACCACTACCAGAACAGAACACAGACACCAGGCCCAGAAACAGGACAGACATGACACTTTATTTTTGCATCTCCCCGACTCTTGAGAGATAAATTAGGCTTAGGCTGGAGGGGAAAAGAGAGGATTAAGTAGGGCGGGTGGAAATGTTGCTTTTAATTAGTCTTAAAACAAACAATCTTGAGGTCCAGTAGTTATTAAAGCTTCCAAAAACAACTTAATTCTGCTTTTTTCTATCTCTCTTTTCTTTAAGTGAAGGTGGAGATCAGAAAGTGTCAGCGGCGTCTTGTGGACCAGCTTTCAAGCGTTCTGATTGGCTCGCCTGGACCTCCTGTGCGCGTCCTATTGGCCCATTGCCTGGCCCTGGTGTTCCGCCTCGGAGACCCCTTACCCTGCAGCCTGGTGGTGGACAAGTGCAATGACATCATCCGCAGCAAGGACGACTCCCCCTCTGCTCTCCCCTCTCGTCTGTGAGTATCCCCCTCCTCCCCCTCTCGTCTGTGAGTGTCCCCCTCCTCCCCCTCTCGTCTGTGAGTGTCCCCCTCCTCCCCCTCTCGTCTGTGAGTGTCCCCCTCCTCTTCCTCTCGTCTGTAAGCGTCCCCCTCCTCTTCCTCTCGTCTGTAAGCGTCCCCCTCCTCTTCCTCTCGAATTGTGAGTGTCCCCTTCCTCCCCCTCTCGTCTGTGAGTCTCCCCCTCCTCGTCCTCTCGAATTGTGAGTCTCCCCCTCCTCTTCCTCTCGAATTGTGAGTGTCCCCCTCCTCTTCCTCTCGTCTGTGAGTGTCCCCCTCCTCTTCCTCTCGTCTGTGAGTGTCCCCCTCCTCTTCCTCTCGTCTGTGAGTGTCCCCCTCTTCCTCTCGTCTGTGAGTGTCCCCCTCTTCCTCTCGTCTGTGAGTGTCCCCCTGCTCTTCCTCTCTTCTGTAAGTGTCACCCTCCTTCCCATTGGTTATCTGCTCTTTATGGACCAATGGTTCTGTGTTTTTTTTCCTGTCTTTGAACTGTTTGATTCTCTAAACTCAAACTATAAACACCAGGATCATACAGCGCGTTAAACCACAGATTTTGAAGCACGGAATGTGAAAGTGACACAAGCAGTAATAGAGTAAGAGTTTACTTTTTAATGTAAGTCAATGGAGGCAAAATTTGGGCATGTTTGCATGTTCTCTCCATGTCTGTTTAGCTATCCCCTGGGTGCTCTAGTTTCACCTACTACTAAAAACACATTAAAGGAGCAGTATGTGCAAATCTGGCCAAAAGTGGTACTGCAACCTCTCCCACGCTCCCGAACTCAGGTTGCCAGATATGCAGACGAATCCAGCCGGGACAATAATATCTGAATAGACAAGTGTTTTGTCAACAACAAATTTATAACCAACACTTTTTTCACAAAGGCCTCTATTGAAATCCTCCTTTTTATTATTCCTTGTTTTCGCATTAATAATTTTTGAATCCCAATGAGACCTCTTTTAGTTCTGCGGCCACATGTTACTTTACCAGTGAGATTAGCTCGATGCTGTGAGTTCTGGCAACCTGGATCACAGACTTTCTGATTGGTGAAACGTGTAGGGCAGGACCAGGGCCGGAGTGGGACAAATTTTTGGCCTGGGAATTCTGGGTCAGACTGGCCCTTCTGATAAAGTAGTCCATCAAAGAAACTGAACTGCCTGCTGTTGTAATATCCATAACAACCAGCAGGTGGCCTAAAATCAAGTTTTATGAATTTCTAGACTAGTACTATTCAAATTATTCTTCCTTCTTATATTCCTTTCAAGACTAAACAAACACAAAGACTAATGCAAACACTACACAAAGACTAATGCAAACACTACACTAAGACATATATAGATAAAAATAGTACTTGCTACAACTTGATACAAAGCCAAAATTAATCTTAACATACTTTAATGTTGTCCCAGGGGGAGAACTAAAGGCAAACTAAATGTTAACCTGTATCAAGACGAAAAAACACAAACTGCACACTATTTAAATCAAACAAACCCAAATTAACAATTGCGAGAGAGAAAGAGAGAGAGAGATCGATCTCCGAGAAAGGCTGCAGCGGTGTCAGGAAAGCACGGCCGCCGGCCAAGTCCAACCAGCAACATATAACATCCAACCCACCGGCTCTCCCAATTAGCCACGCCGGCACTGGGCAGGACATTGAAATGAAAAAAATAACAAGATTTAGAGGCTGTAAAACTCTTTTTGCAGTAGTTCAGCCGAGCTATTCCAATTTCATAACTAGTTTAACAACCCCTGAGTCTTGTTTTTGTTTTCATTTTGATGTCCTGCCCTCCACTGTTTTACCTATCAGCAAGTCCGTGATCCGGGTTGCCAGAACTCACTGTGCCGAGCTAATCTTATGTGGCCACAGTACTAAAAAAAACTAGATTTCTATTGGGTCCTTTGTGAAAAAGGTGTTGGTTAAAGGTTGGATATTTGGCAACCTGAGTCAGGGAGAGTGGGAGAGATTTTTTACATGATGCTCCTTTTAAATAAGTTTTTGAAAAGATTTATTAATAACTTTTGACAGATTAGGGCCATTTAATGATGACTTGACATGAAAATCTTACTTATTGTTACTTTAACACTTTCTTGTAGGCTTCATAGAGCTAGCGGGTTAGCATTTTCTATTCCTACATACAGAGATGTAAGCAGAGATGAGAGTGCCTCTGTGGTCTGTGTCTCAGGGCAGCTGTGGCCTGTCTGGGATCAGTCTTTGAACAGTTGGGTCGTCTGCTCAGCGGGTCCTCCAAAGACACAACTACAAATCTGCTGCGAGCGCTAAAGAACGCAGAGGTGAGACTCCATTCTATCCACAAAAGACTTGAGACATCATCACTCGCCTCCAGGCTCACAGCCTCATCTGCTGCTTCATATATTCTCACAGGGGTCTTTATTCTATAGTCTCACAGTGGGGAGGTTGTTACTGTGGTTCACCGTCTCTGTTGTGTGCAGTCTCAGGGCCGCTGTGAGATCTTGGCCTCTCTGGAGAAGATACTTCGTGGTTTGGGGCCTTCAGCAGCTCCTGTTCACAGAGATGTCTATAAATCTGCACGCTCCTGCCTCAGCGATCGCTCTATGGCCGTGCGCTGTGCGGCAGCAAAGGTAACTGTGCTTCTGTGTTCAGAGCAGTGATTCTGTCTTGATGTTTGTTTGGGCCCTTAAAGGATGTCTAGGGTCTCACTCTGGTCTCTCTCTTGCCTCTCTCTCTTGACTCCCCCATAATTCATTTTCAAAAACTGCTCAGGGCTGAAAAGTTGCATTGACACAACAAATTTGAAAACTAAGTATTTAAACACTAAGGGAGGGGTGAAGTGGATGGAGGTAATTACTCAATAACTCCAGGGAGAATGTTTTTTCTCTTATGGACATTTGTCAATTTCCTGTTATTTGATATTTGTGTTATGACAGACACGTTTCTGACAAACCCGGTGAAATACAGTTACAATATAACGTGATATACCTTTATAACAGTTAACCCTAGTGATGTTTGGTACATGTGTTTGTCTACATTCTCACGCCTCCTCTGCAGTGTCTGCTGGAGCTCCAGAAGGAGGCGTTGTTCCTGTCCTCAGAGCTGGAGAACATGTCCACAGTTTGTTTTCGAGCGTTTGAAGGATCTTCCTTGTCTGTGCAAGTCTCTGTCTCTGAGCTGTTGGGTTCTCTGCTGAAGGCCGCTGTAGAGTCCAGGAACAAGACAGGTACAAGACTAGGTTTACTACTGCTACTGCCATAACTGTTGTTACTACTGCTGCTGCTGCTGCTGTACATGTAGCATGAGACCGTGGACACATATTGCACAGAAGTTTTCATGTACATTCACATGGCCGCAGTAGATCAGTCTGTCGCTGAAGCTGCTTGATAATCACTACCATTGCTAGAGTTTCAGCTGATAAGTTCCCAATAGGAGTGGGAAGTGGCAAAAATATGTTTCGATAGTAATGCAATAGTTGGGCCACAATTCAATAGTATTTTTAACATTGTGCGATACACTAAAGTTTGCTATTAGATTTTGCAAACCTAATGGAAATTCATGGTTCCTGGTCCTCAGCCCAGAGAGCTGCTTCTGGAGCTGCTCTGGTGGAGGTGATGGAGCTGCTGCTGGGAGGCTTCACCAGAGGAGGAGGAGGCGGCTTCCTCAGAGCCTCAGGAGACATGATCAAAGGAACCAGAGACGTGAGCAGAGACGTGCGGCACGGCATCGCCCTGGTGACTACACTCACTCACACTTAACACACACCTCCACACTTGCACTAAACACACACTTCCTGCTCATTTGAGTTTTAAAGTTCAACATGATGCTGGTCAACCTGACTATTATAGTAGTAGTTACTTGCTTCTAATTGGCTGTTTGGTTGCTTTGAGGTTGCTATGAGCGAATGTAGCTCTAGACTCCTGCTGTCTAAAGCAGCACTAATTCTCCTTTTGTTCCAGACGTGCACAGTCCTGGTCTCCTCTCTGGGCTCCTCGTGGCTGGAGCAGACCTTCCCTCAGTTCTTGGTTCTCCTCCTGGAGCTGGTGTCTCACTCTCGGAGCTCCCAGACCCCTACGGAGGCGGTGCTGACACGGGGGTGTGTGTCCATGGTGCTCAGGGCCAGTCTGGGGGGGGTCCTGGGGGAGAAAGCCCAGAGCAGTGCAGTCCAGCAGTTGTGTGTCACTGTGGGAGCTCACAGGAAGATCATAGGTGAGAACCAAGTATCAAGAGCATGTTCCATGTCTCTCTCTGGCCTCTCTCTCTCTGGTCTCTCTCTCTGGTCTCTCTCTCTGGTCTCTCTCTCTGGTCTCTCTCTCTGGTATCTCTCACAGGTGGAGAACATGATTTACCCTTCATTCTTGTTTTGATATAGATGGTGGGGCAAAAAAGTATTTAGTATTTATTTAGCCACCAATTGTGCAAGTTGTCCGACCTAAAAATGATGAGACAGGCCTGTAATTTCCACAATGGGTAAATCTCAACTATGAGAGACAGAATGAGAAACAAAATCCAGAAAATCAAATGATGACTTTTAAAGAATTTATTTGCAAATTATGGTAGAAAAGCATTTGGTCACCTACAAACAAGCACAAATGGGGCGATGTATCATGTATAAGCAAGGGCATTGAAGATGAAACGTGGCTGGGTCTTTCAGCATGACAACCAATCAATCAATCAATCAACGTTTATTTGTAGAGCAAGGCAACGCAAAGCGCCTCAACCCATATTACATCATGCATAAATCATCAAACATTAGACTCTACATAAACATTAAACACATTAAGAGCACAAGATATTTTAAAAAATAAAAAAATAAATGATTCCAAATGACAATGATCCCAAACACACCACCCGGGCAACGAAGGAGTGGCTTTGTTAGAAGCATTTCAAGGTCCTGGAGAGGCCTAGCCAGTCTCCAGATCTCATATCAAATCTTTGGAGGGAGTTGAAAGTCTGTGTTGCCCTGCAACAGCCCCAATACATCACTGCTCTAGAGAGATCTGCATGGGGGAATGGGCCAAAATACCAGCAACAGTGTGTGAAAACCTTGCAAAGACTTAAAGAAAACATTTGAGTTCAGTCCATCCATCCATCCATTTTCTTCCCCTTAATCCATTTCTGGGTCGGGGGGGTGGCAGTCAGAGCTGCACCCTGTCACAGAGCACCAGTCCCTCACTGATCCTCCTGCAGGTGGTGAGTCCACAGGAGCTGAGATCTTTCAGTTGGGGCTTTGTGCAAAGTAGGGTTAAGTGTCTTGCCCAAGGACACGACAGCAGTTCAGTCATTACCAACAAAGGGTTTATAACAAAGTATTGATTATTTTTTGTTGACCAAATACTTATTTTCCACTATAATTTGCAAAAAAATGTAATTTTCTGTTTTTTTTCTCTTGTTCTGTCTCTCATAGTTGAGGTATACCGATGATGAAAATAACAGGCTTCTCTCATCTAGCTGACTAAATACTTTTTTGCCCCACTGTCTGTTCTATTGAAAGTATTATAAAACAATCTTTGTCCCTAATGTGATGATCATTTTGTGTTATTTTGATATTTGATTGTGAATTTGATTATGAGGTGTATGTTGTTCCAGAGTCTTCAGTGTGTGACGCTGCAGCAGAGTCTAAAGCTGCCTCAGACCTGTGCTCCTCTCAGCACGCTCTGGTCTGTTTGCTAGTGGAGCTTGGGTCTCTTCTCCTGGGGTTAGGGTCCACCGCGGGGCCCCTGCTGACGGACCAGTCCACAGGTACAACACCTCACAGCAGCAAGACCCAAAATATTATGTCCAGCTTTGAGTTGGTTTGTGTGTGAACAGTTCAATGCGAACAAACTTGCCTGGTCTTGCGTTAAAATACAAGTATTGCCCATAAACAGACAGTACAAACAGTTGTGATGTCACATGATCACACCTCTCTCCTCTCTCAGCTCTGGTCGACTCTGTGGTCTCGGTCCTGGTCCATCCCTGTCCCGCTGTGCGATTGGCAGCTGCCTGGTGCTTGCGCTGCGTTGCCGTGGCAATGCCGTCCCAGAATGCTCCGCTGCTGGATCGCTGCACTGAGAGGTTGACAGCGCTCCGGTCCAGTCCGGACGCTGTGTCCGGGTTCGGGGCCGCGGTCTGTGCCCTGGTGTCGTCACCACAGCACCACAAGCTAGGTCTACCTCACAGCAAAGGAAAGGTGAGTCATGGTCTGCTTTAGACCTGCTTTAGTCTATGCTTTAGTCCTCTAACCCTAACCCTCTGGTTTCAGAGTGTCCTGGCTCTGGCTGAGGACCTGTTGCGCTCTGCATCTCAGAACAGTCGCATCTCTCTGCAGAGGACTCAGGCTGGATGGATGCTCCTGGCCTCCATCACCACATTAGGTATTGAGACTGGAGCAGAGACTGGAGCAGAGACTGGAGCAGAGACTGGAGCAGAGACTGGAGCAGAGACTGGAGCAGAGACTGGAGCAGAGACTGGAGCAGAAACTGGAGCAGAAACTGGAGCAGAGACTGGAGCAGAGACTGGAGCAGAGACTGGAGCAGAGACTGGAGCAGAGACTGGAGCAGAGACTGGAGCAGAGACTGGAGCAGAGACTGGAGCAGAGACTGGAGCAGAGACTGGAGCAGAGACTGGAGCAGAGACTGGAGCAGAGACTGGAGCAGAGACTGGAGCAGAGACTGGAGCAGAGACTGGAGCAGAGACTGGAGCAGAGACTGGAGCAGAGACTGGAGCAGAGACTGGAGCAGAGACTGGAGCAGAGACTGGAGCAGAGACTGGAGCAGAGACTGGAGCAGAGACTACATATGTGTATGTGTTGTAGGCCCTTCAGTGGTGGACTCTCTCCTCTCTCGCCTGCTGCTTCTCTGTCGGTGTGTGTTCCCTGCTTCTTTGCGGGAGCAGGACATGGAGCTGAGTCGTGGAGACTACTTCACATGGCAGGTGACTCTGGAGGGACGCTCCGGAGCGCTCTGTGGTGCGTTCTGCTCACACACATGAGTCTGTTTCACACACATGGTTTTGTTTTACACATGGCTCTTTTTCATACACATGTCTTTACCATCTGTCACTTATGGATAATGTTCAAGCTTGATACATTTCCCCCCATGAACAGTGACGTTTTATGATTTATTTTTTACTTAACCACTTAATGTTTATTCCTTGCAAAGCAATGTATGTTTTTTAGTCTAGGATGTAGGAGAACTGATTAAAAAAATCTATCAATATTTTTGAACACCCAAATGTTTTTATCATGGGCTTTACAAAATGGTTGAGAGGAAGTTTGATGGTAAAGGTGTCTAAAACCAAGTGATATAGATGCCCTAATGAGGTAGATTTCAATATAATTACTCAAAAAGTGTTCTAAAAGGTTGAGCAAACCATGAAAGGGTTAAAAATGTGATACAGACACATGCAGATAAATGTCCTTTCCTCCTCCTGACCTGCAGATGTGTGTGTTTCAGTACTGAGGCGTCTGCTGCTTCACTGTAAAGAGCTGATGTCTGATGAGGCTCTGTGTCGTCTCCTCACGCCGCTGAACTGTGCCACCGCTCTGCTCAACAAGTAAGAACTAAAGTCACAGCAGCAGAGGTGGCGCAGTCGCTGGGTGCTTGGTAGAAACCATTTTCTCTGCTCTGGTTCAGAGTGAAATTTTGAATGCTTTATGAAAAATAATAATAATGATAATAATAAAGTATATTTTTTTAACCCTAACCCATTCTCTCTTCTCTCTTCAGACTCACCCCTTCTCTCCTCTCTCTTAGACTCACCTCTTCTCTCCTCAGACTCACCCCTTCTGCCCTCTCTCCTCAGACTGGGTCCTGTCCTTCGCTCTTACGGCCCTTCCATTCGTCCGTTCACCATAGTCTACAGACTGCGAGTGTATGAGCTTCTGGCTGAGCTTCCGCCGCACACGTACCACGGTAAAACTACATCACACAGTTATGGATAAAATAGTTTTCCCCACTCCTCCCCTCCTCCTCCTCCTCACTCCTCCCCACTCCTCCCCACTCCTCCCCACTCCTCCCCACTCCTCCCCACTCCTCCCCACTCCTCCCCACTCCTCCCCACTCCTCCCCACTCCTCCCCACTCCTCCCCCTCCTCCTCCTCCTCCTCCCCACTCCTCCCCACTCCTTCCCAGTCCTTCAGTCCTTCTCACTCCTCCAACGTCCTCCCCCTCAATCCTCATTCCTTCTCATCTCTGTCATCCGCTGGCAGAGAGCTTCGGTTTGGTGATGAACCAGCTGGTGTCAGACCTGTGTGCTCAGGACCAGCCGAGCTCAGAGAGGAGCCTGCTGCCCTCTCTCTGCTGCTCTGAGGACCTGAGTGTGATCAGCCCAGGCCTCAGCGACCCCCAGCAGACAGACATACACCAGGTACCAGCTATCTCTGTTTGTGCATGATTGCTTCTGTCAGAACATTTGTGATATTCAGCTGTCAGCTGCGTCTAAAATATAGCAGCACTGCACTTTTAGTGCACTAGTGCCTGCTGAAATGTTTGATTTATATGATCAGATTAGAAGCTTATTCTGTGTAAATCCTGTTTGTGTGGAGTACCAATAAAATATCAGTAACTTGTACTTACAATGTTGAATGTTGTCTTAAACAAGGCTGATACTAGAATATTCTAAGATTTATAGATACAAAAATAACAAATCTCTGCAATTTTGCTACAAATATAGAAAAGGACAGACACTGCAAGACTTGAACAAGGTCTGTGAATGTTCCTCTAACGTTCTAATATTCCTCTAACCCAGAACTTTTAATTACTTGTTTATATAAGATCGCACGGATCAAATGCAGTAGACACAAAGTGAAGTTTACCTTACCTTTGCTCCAAACCAGATAATCTACTCTATAGACTTAAAGCAGAGCGCAAACCCTGAAACATTCCCCCATACCATTCCTATGTGGATTTTGTAGCACCATAGTTCTATCTGTAACTTTAGTTCTGGGTCCTTGTCGTCCTGCAGCTCCAGATCAGCAGTGGGTCAGGGGGCTCTCTGGAGAATGACCCCTTCTGTCTCACCCTAAAGTCTGACATTGCTCCGACTCCTCTCCCCTCTGCTCTGGCTCTGATGGAGGTCACAGTGCGTCTGTTTGGAAACCTGTTCCCTCACGTCATCTCAGCTCAGAGGTGACGCCCAGAGGCACAATTTTCATGTTCTCTGGTTTGTTCTGCTGTTACCTTGACACCTGGTTTTCAGAGTGAAGATCCTGGAGCAGTTTGTGGACTGTGTGAATCACCTGCGCGGACAGAAGCAGCAGACTGTGCAGACTCACGTGTGCGCCGCCCTCTGCAGTGCACTCAAGGTACTGCTTTCATTCTGCAGTTAGACTCCTATCCTCCTCCTCCTCACCCCTGTCTTTCCCCAGCTCCTCTTCTCACTCCTGTCTTTGCCCAGCTCCTCTCCTCACCCGTCTTTCCCTAGCTCCTCTCCTCACCCCTGTCTTTCCCCAGCTCCACTTCTCACCCCTGTCTTTCCCCAGCCCCTCTCCTTACCTCTGTCCCTCCCCAGCTCCTCTCCTCACCCCTGTCTTTCCCCAGCTCCACTCCTCACCCCTGTCTTTCCCCAGCCCCTCTCCTCACCTCTGTCCCTCCCCAGGTCCTCTCCTCATTCCTGTCTTTCCCCAGCTCCACTCCTCACCCCTGTCTTTCCCCAGCTCCACTCCTCACCTCTGTCCCTCCCCAGCTCCACTCCTCACCTCTGTCCCTCCCCAGCTCCTCTCCTCACCTCTGTCCCTCCCCAGCTCCTCTCCTCACCTTTGTCCCTCCCCAGCTCCTCTCCTCACCTTTGTCCCTCCCCAGCTCCTCTCCTCACCCCTGTCTTTCCTCAGGTTCACTCGGGCTCCCACTCTGCCCTGGGCCCCTCAGAGCTGCGGCCTCCTGCTCTGTCCCTCCTGTGGGGGGCGTTGGAAAGCTCCTCCCCTCTGTTGCGGTGTGCGGCTGCAGAAGGACTTGCACGATTGGTCCAGAGCTTCAGCGACTTGGCCTTTACTTTCTCCACCGCGCTCTTCTGCTTCGACAGGTGACGTATAAACAGTTTCCCTATATTTAACAATTAGACCCCGGCCGGAATATTGCGTGACGTTTGCAGGAGTAAGTTTAATAGAGATTATGAACGAACCAGGTCTAGACCCTGATGGCGAAGGAAGCTGACGATTCTCTACTGAAATGAGGAGGAGGAAGAGGAGGAGGGTTGCCACATGAACAGCAGTTTGATGCAAAGAGGCTCTGTTTAAACGCAGCCATGAAGTGATGAGCTCAGGTGTGAGGCTGAAGGAGGACTGTGATATCAGGGAACCATGCCTCGCAATCTTTCAGTTTCAAATCTTTCAGAATACAAAATTAAATTGAAGATGGACCATGTCAAAACGGATCCGGCCCTTGACAATAGAGCAATATCTCCATGTGGTCTGTGGAGAGACTGATTTCACATGGGGTCTGACCTGTGCTTGCTTTAGAACATTCTCTTTTGTCTGATTCTCTGCTGTTGTGATTTAACAGCATGAATTTAATTGTATCTAGACATTTTGAACAGTTGCTGATTCTCCTTGAGTTGACAAATCTCGGTGGTTTCAGACTGAAGACAGCTCGGGACGCGGCTTCTCGTAGTGGCGTGTCTCTGGCACTGGGGGCGCTGTATCGATACCAGGGAGGCATCAGTTCTGCTCAACACCTGTGCAGCTGTGTCGGCGTCCTGTTTACTCTGAGCCAAGACACCACCTGCCCAGAAGTCCAGGTGAGAGGGAGGCACGGGGGAGTGAGGGAGGGCCGGGGAGAGAGGAGGAGGTGTGGGCGAGAGAAGACTTATTTATTTTTTATTTATTTATTTAAGCAGGGACAGTACATATTAATGAACATATAGAAATATGTAAATATGTCAGATTTTAGCCATAGGCTAATTTCCATCTGTTGTCCCTAGACAGGTTGATGTGAAACTTCATATTCAACATCATAATCACAAAACAATATCAGAGAAAAGTACAGGACAAAGCATATAACAAGATACACATTCACAAACTGTACAAGGTACATTTGGGATTAGGGAGATACAAGGACAAAAGACTGGACAGGACAGAGGACAAGGAGTGAGTGAATGCGAAGGCGGTTTACTTCCACAAACCCAGCATAAGTCAATTCATTTTGCTAAATTGATAAAAATCTAAAAATCTAAAAATAATGTTATAATTCATGCATACAAATATATTTAAAACTTAATTAAAGTGCTGTGGTGCATTGCACAGAGCCCTAAAGTGCATGTTGACAAGTTTGGGTGGATCTGAGCCACTCCTTTAAGTGACTTTTAAATGGCTATGCTCAATTATTAGATTCATGCTCAATCTCTCTCTGGCTCCTTTTGACTTCCATTTAAAAGTACACTCCTCTAGCTCAGTAACCATTTGTGTCACACTCTCCATTTTGGGCTTAATTCTGTGGGATTTCGCTCTCTGTGATCCTGGTGTCTATATCTTTGATATCTTCTGTAAATCCAGATATGAGCCATACAGTGGGGCAAAAAAGTATTTAGTCAGCCACCAATTGTGCAAGTTCTCCGACTTAAAAATATGAGGGAGGCCTGTAATTTTCATCATAGGTAAACCTCAACTATGAGAGAAAGAGCAAAGGAAGGTTTCTCACCCATCATCTGTACTTCTTAGCAGGTTTTCCCGACGTTTCGTCCTCAATCCAAAGGACTTCTTCAGGGAATGAATTCTCAGACCGCGCGTTGGAGAATTATAACCTATGGGTGTGGTTTAGGGTTTAATATTTTTCCCGAAAATGAGCCATATCAAATCCCGGGAAAAGACGACGCCGTTCCCGGGAATTCCCGGGAAATAGCTGTTGTTTGTAGTTGTTGTTTTTAGCCCAAGTAATGTATGATATCACTCAAATATATAATCCAACAAAAGCTGCCGTCTCCACTAGTGTTTCACCAAGCGACTTGCTAGCTTTTCTAAAGTAGCCATAGCGTTTTCAGACGTTTTGTTGATGGGCTTTCATCAGGAATTTCACTATTATGAGATTCTAAATGTCTGCACAATCCACTTGTCGACCAGTGACGTGCGGTGTGGTTTGGAGGCACTGACTTCAGCCCAATCAGATGAACATATATCATAAAAATCAACAGAACCTACAAAGCGGCTTATTCATAATTAGTTTGGCTACAGCAGAATGTTTTCCATGGCCCGCATTGTTTGCTCAAACAAAACGCAAAAGTTCGTAAAAGGCACATTTCCAATTGTGTTATGGGTCTTACCTTAGTTATTAATGAACAGCACAGACCACTTCAGTTCAGACCAGTTTCATGTTTAAGTCCATATAATAGTTTGAGCGCAGATATGTAATCCCCCATTTGGAAATAAGCCCAAAGAGTTTTAAAGCGTAAAACAAAACGGGTGCCACCTCCATAAACTCCTCCGTGTGTTCGCTGCAGCCGGCTCTCGGGCGCATCCAATTTCTAATATCAACCTTCTTACCCTTCTCCTCTCTTCCTTATCATTCCTATCGTCACTGGAAGCAGAACATTACCCTAAATGCATTTTATATGATCTTAAAATGTGTTATATGTATGTTAGCCAAACCTGTTGCTGCCCTTAGCAGATGGAAAAAAAAGAAAGGAGCTTTCTGATAGAATTGGACGTAGCCAAATTCTGGGCTCTCATGTGCCCCGTACCTTGAGGCTGGCCTCATTACAAGTCGTGGTTTAGCGCGATTAAGACCCATATTTGTTGTCAAAAACACAATTTATGAGCCATCCTCTCAGCTGTAGACATGTTGATTGTAAATGAAATATGTTTCAACTTTGAACAACAATAAACGTGCTCTATAATTGGAGCGCACTGGATTTTTTTTTTAACTTTAATTTCCCGGTTCCCGTCATAACATTTCCCGGGAATCGGGAAATAGTTTTGATCAGATTTCCCGGGAATCCCGTGTCTCGGGATTAAACCCTAGTGTGGTTAGCCACACCCTAATCCTGATACTAACTCATAAACAATCTAAGGTCTGTTTGATGTAGCAGGGAGCAGATCTAACGACCCTGCTGAGGCTAACGACCCTAACTCCTTACCATGTCACAGACCTATTGTCTGCTGGGATGCTCAAGTGGAGTGCAGGTCTCACCCCTCCTAACTCATTAGCATGTCACTGACCTTGTCCCAAGTTAGGGCGTTGTTTTTAGGATGTCGTCATAGATGCGAGGCAAAACAAATCTTAACCCTCCTCCTCTGTTAAGAGAAGGTTTTTGTTTCCTCACAAAAATGGCTTCTTTCACTCCTCTCTCAAACCAATTCTGCTCCCGAGCCAGAATTTTAACCTCTGTGTCATCCACCGTGTGGTTGGAGGCCTTGAGGTGGAGATGAACAGCCGACTGTGGCCCACTAGAGTTTTCTCTACGATTTTGGTAAAGTCAAGGGCTAACACTGTGGTGATGTCACACTCTGTCAATCCTCTCCTTACATACATTATCTGGTTCTCTTCTCTCTGCAGGAGTGGGCGCTCCACAGTCTCTCCCTGGTCGTGGACCTCTCTGGGGGCCTGTTCCGGCTGCACTGTGAGCCCTCTCTGTCTCTGGTGCTGAGGCTGCTGCTGACCACGCCTCCCTCTCACCCAGAGGTGCTGCGGAGCCTGGGTCGCTGCCTCCACACCCTTATCACCTGCCTGGGACCAGACCTGCAGGGTACCCCCCCTCATGACTGCTACATCAGAGCCTGATTCACGTTTCCTTGTGGGCCTTGGACATTGTACTGTGTACTGCATCTCCCTATTTAAATAATTGGGAATCACTACCCAATGTTAGCAAACCTAATGAGTGCTCCGATGGAATGTTATACTACTATACTACTACTACAATAGCATAACATAATAATAATGAAAATATTGATAATAATTTTTCCACAAAACTTAGCCCTCTCCAGCTTTAGACCAGCGTTGGTTCAATTCAAGAAAGTATTCAAATCTAATAACAACAAAAAATGATCAATTTTTAATGAATAATTTCCTCGAAGTTCCATAAATAGTTTAAAAAAATTAAACTAAAGCCACAGAAGCAAAAGATGAGCTGACAGTTTAATCAAATATAACATGGGATTTTCCAGGTTTCTGCTTCTCTTCTGTAAATATTGTTGTTTATCAATTACACACTTTTTTTTACATTTTAACTGAACCCAATGATGTTGTTCTAAATAAATTAAATGGTAGCTATGTGTCCGGCCCTCTGCAGTGTACTGATATACCAATCTGTCCCCTCTAGATAATGTCTGCCCAGCCCTGAAGTATTCTAAACTTATGCTTTTGAAAGCAAACTGTTTTAGATCCAGGAACTAGTGACAGTTATTTTATTTGTCATTTTGTTGTGGTTTTAAAGTCACTCCACCTTTTTAACATTTATATTTTATCTTTTTACAAGATGTAAAGAAACTGCACGCTTTTACACTCATGAAATTCTTCTGGTTCCCTGGTTTGTAACCGTCCTGTTGTTTCTGCTGCAGAGGAGAGCTTCAGGTCCTTCAGAGACACCATCTCCTTGTGTTGCCTGGTTCTTCAACAGTCTGAGGACGCCTTGGTTCAGTCCAGGTCTATCCTGTGTCTGCAGCAGCTCCACATGTTTGCTCCTGCCCATACAGACCTCCGACAGCTGGTGCCGACGCTCTGTGTGAGTGAAACTGTGATGGTTAAAACAGTCTCAAGAGGAAGTAGTATCATAGTGTTTCTATTTGGCGTTGCTCCTAAACCGGTCTGATCCCTTGGGTCCCAGTCTGCATTTGAGCGCTGAGCAGATTGCTTTGTCTTTTCTTATCTCAATCTTTGCAAAACTGATTTCAATATGTAAAGGGGATGTTAATGTTTATTTAGGGTTGGGGGGGGGGGGGGCTCTGTGTTGTGCTCAGAGGACTGAGAGCAGAGCATTGGCTGTATATGAGGATATCAATAACTCAAACGCACTAAAAACAGCTGTGTCTAAACGACAAGAGAAAACGAGGGTTACGTATGTAACCACGGTTCTATGAATCCCGAATGACCGCCAGAGGGCGGTGCATAGCACTGAATGTTCCCTTCGCGCATGCGCAGTTCGAGTAATAATACCAAATGAGTCACACCTGTGACCCCTTGGATGACACACCGGAGGTAATAAAGTCCAGCGTCATCCAGCACTCTGTTCCTGCAGAATCTTCTCGCGGACGCAAGGACCCTGAGTGACAGAGCGCCTCTGGCGGTCATTCGGGATTCATAGAACCGTGGTTACATACGTAACCCTCGTTCTATTTCATCCCTTCTGACCGCCAGAGGGCGGTGCATAGCACTGAATGACCTTATACCAGCTATGTCACGAAGGATCTTGACCACACACCTCACGGAGGAGAGCCAGAGGATTCCTGAAGGACCACGCCAAGAGGAGCCGGAGTGGCCACATTGATGTTGTAGAATCGGGTGAACGTGCTTGGTGTAGCCCAAGACGCAGCAGCACAAATAGTCCCCAACGGCACCCCGCGCATAGCGGCCCAGGAGGTAGAGACACCCCTGGTAGAATGGGCCCTCACCTCAGCTGGCGGGTCGCGGCCGGCCGAAACGTACGCCTGACTGATAACGTCAACCACCCAGTGGGAAAGGCGTTGCTTCGAAAGTGGACTTCCCAGTCTAGCACCACCATAAGCAACAAAGAGCTGGTCTGAGCGCCTCACACCCGCCGTCGCAGCAACGTAGGCCTCCAATGCCCTCACAGGACACAGCAGGTGCAGTCTGTCCCCACCCCCATCCAGGGGAGACACAAACCGCGCCAACCTCAAAGGCCGGTTACAATAGTCACGGGAAAGCACCTTAGGGAGGAAAGTGGGATTAGGCCACAAGACCACGCCAGCCTTCTCGGGGTCCCAGTGTAGGCATGAGGGACTGACAGAAAGTGCATGCAACTCACCGACCCTTTTTGCAGAGACCACAGCCAACAGGAAAGCAGTTTTATAGGAGAGCCACTTGAGGTCCGTTCGGGCCAATGGCTCATACCGAGGGCGGCAGAGAGACTCCAACACCAAGGCCAGGTCCCAAACCGGAGACCGTGCGGGCACGCGAGGGTGCAGCCTACGAGCTCCGCGTAAAAAGAGAGACACCAGGTTATGGCCCCCCACAGTACAGTTATCAACCTGGCCATGATAACATGAAATAGCAGCAACATATACCTTCAGAGTAGATGGGGCACGACCTTCATCCAGGAGAGACTGAAGGAACTCCAGGACAACCGCCACCAGGCACGACACGGGATCCTGACCGCGGGAAGAACACCACCGGGAGAACAACTTCCACCTATTCTCATACAGCCGCCGAGTAGAGGCCGCCCTGGCATTCAGGAGTGTACGCCTGACAGGGCCAGTGACATCGAGCGCCCGCAGCTCGGGCCAGCCAACGGCCACACCCATAACTTGAGGCGGTGAGGACAGGGATGCCACACCTGACCGTCCAGCTGTGAGAGCAGATCCCGCCTGGGAGGGAGAGGCCAGGGGGGAGCCCAACAAAGTCTGAGCAGCAGTGGAAACCAGGGCCGTGCAGGCCAAAACGGAGCCACCAGCAACAACCTGTGCCCCGCCCGAAGGACTGTCTGGAGGGTGGGCCAGATCAGAGGAAAAGGGGGGAAGGCGTACAGGAGGACCTGAGGCCAACTGTGCGCCAGGGCATCCTGGCCGAGAGAGCCCGGAGCCCCGTCCAGGGAAAAAAACTGAGGGCAATGAGTGGAGGCCACTGAAGCGAATAGGTCCACCTGTGCCTGACCAAAAAGGCCCCATATCCTCTGGACCACACTGGGATGGAGACACCAATCCCCCGGGGCAGGCCTCCCGCGAGACAGGGAGTCCGCCACGCGATTGCAGTCCCCTGGCAGATACGCTGCACGCAGTGTAGACAGGCGAGGCGCAGCCCAAACCAGCAGCGCCTGAGACACCTCGAGGAGCCGAGCAGATCGGACACCCCCTTGATGGTTGATGTGATACACGACCGAGGTGTTGTCCGAACGAATGAGGACATGTTTCCCCACCAGGTGCGGCAAAAACTCCTGGAGAGCAAGGTGGACGGCCCGCAGCTCCAGTACATTTATGTGGTCTGAACGCTCTGCCCGAGACCAAACCCCTCGGGCCAACCTGTGCTGCCACACAGCACCCCATCCCGTACGGCTGGCGTCGGTGGTGACCACTTCCCTGCGGCACACTACCACCCCCAAGGGGACCCCACGTGACAGGAGAGGAGGGCGGAGAGCTCCTGATCCAAGATGAAGGCTTTTGCCGGGTCCGAGATCAAAGTAACCTTGACCCGGCCCGACAAGTGCGGCCGGCGTCGGAATTGCAGACGGTATCCGTGGGTCAATGTGGCAACCACCCACGGATCCCGAGCTCGAGCAGCCCAACACTCGAGCTGCTGATGGGAAAAATGTCCGACGCCCGGCCCTGAGGCGTCAATTCCACGCCCCCCGCCCCCTAGGGGCTCTGGGGGGACCTCGCCCAGGACCAGCTGCGGCGCCACTTGGCTGGCGGGTCGGGCGCCTATGTACGGGTGGGGCACGAAAATTCCCGGCAGGCCTGACCTAGGGATAACGCTGAGCACCAGACCAATCCCGAGGAGGCTGCCGAACACTGGGGGCCACCATCGGGCGCAAAAACTGCCGGGGAGGGCGCACCACCCTGCTAAGGCTAGAAAGTTGCTGTCTAGTCTGACCAGCATGGACAGTCCGGTCCAATGCTTCCTGGGCCGCCGTCCCAAACAACTGACCCGGCTCGACAGGCCTCAGTCAGGGGAGACTGAGCCAGCCATACCTGCCGACGAGCCTGTACAAGGACCGACATGACCCGTCCGAGCTCCCTGGTCATCAAGGCAAACGCATGCAGAGCTGCGTCGCTAAACGCAGTAACATCAGTGCCCACAGCACTACCCTCTTGGAGGGAGGCAGACAGGGCAAGCAGCAGATGCGCTAAGGAGTTACCAATACGGCCAGCTCGAGCACCAGAATTGTAGGCCTTTGTTAGCAAGTGATCAGTCGCACGACACTGGCTCCGAGGGCACCTCACATTCTCCCGCAAGGACTCCTCTGGGGAAACAATGAGGGAGGCAACAGCCGGCTCAACAGCAGGCATGCAATCCAGGCCAGCCGAAGAGGCATCGTGCATTGCGGCCAAAGCCCGACCCTCAGCCGAAAGCTTAGAGAGACGGCTGGGGTCCCTCCAGCACGCGTGTAGCTCCTTTAGATACTCCGCGGACGGGGGCACAACAAAAGCAGGAGACAAACCACTACGCCTGAAAAAAGCACTGCCAGGGTCAGCCTGTCCCGACTGGGGAAGTTCCACCTGCAGACGGGATAAAGCCCTGCGAAGAACCTCCTGCATTGAGCCGTCACCAGACCGGCTGGACACACTATGCGCGGAAGAATAAGAATCGTCCCCCGAAAGGGACTGCGCATCATCCTCGTCCCGGAAGCACGAAGCAGATGCCGCCAGAGAAAGCACATCCTCTTCCGGATGGAGGGATGGCATGGAGCAAGAACCAGCCCCAGAGACGGCATCAGCAGCACAATGTACCTGAAAAGCGGATTTCATCGCCTCCAACTCTGCAGATAACTGCTCCACCCTCGATACCAGGACAGCATCCGGCTTGGCCTGCTTGGAAGGACCATGGGCATCAGACCGCTCCCCTGAAGCACAGGCCTCAGCACGGCGCTTAGAACGCCGAGGGGGCGGAGCCACAGCAGGTCCCACTGGCAAACTGCCACCGTCGCCAGACGAAGGCAGCTGAGCCAGCCTCGCCACCCTAACAGCCCAGGGCAAGCAGCTGCAGTTCATGCACGGGTTATTGGACACTGCCTCCCTCAAGTGAGTGGGGCCGAGGCACGCCGGACACAGGTCATGGCCGTCATCAACATCGAGTGCTGACCCACAGCCCACACACGCATGTGACCCGTCCATAACAACAAAGTATTTTTTTTATTTTTTTTTTATTGAATATTTAATTTATCCCAAACGGCATTCAAAAGTCAGAACCGAATGAACGTACTGCAGTTTCACAACAGAAAAGCCAGTATAGCACAGTGGAGGAGCGGGCGCGCGAACAGCAGCCTTCACACCACACAATGCACCTGCAGTAAAATGCCAACTCAAATAAAGTAGAGATGGAGGAGAGGGCGCGCGAACAGCAGCCTTCACACCACACAATACACCGGCAGTAAAATGCCAACTCAATAAAGTAGTGATGGAGGAGAGGGCGCGCGAACAGCAGCCTTCACACCACACAATACACCGGCCACAGAGTAAACACAGGCAGCAAATGCTAACCCAAACAAGAACTGATGGAGGAGCGGGACAACGAACCGCAGCCTGCACACCACAGAATACACCGGTAGCAAAAACTAAGCCAAATAAGAACTGATGGAGGAGCGGGCGCGCAAACAGCAGCCTTCACACCACAGAGGACACCGGTAGCAAAAACTAACCCAAATAAGAACTGATGGAGGAGCGGGACAACGAACCGCAGCCTTCACACCACGAAATGCATGTAGCAATTAGGTAACCAAAAAAAAGTACTGATGGAGGAGCGGGCGCAACAGCAGCCTTCACACCAAACAATACACACGTGTATATAGACAGAAAACACCAATAAATACCCGAAGGACAACGTTACCGTCGCGCCCCACGGAGGGCGAACCGCAGCTCCGATGAAGAGGGCTTCAGCGACAGACGTTGACGAGGTTCAAGCAAAAACGATTCGAACCGCACGCGAGAAGAAAAAAGGAACAGAGTGCTGGATGACGCTGGACTTTATTACCTCCGGTGTGTCATCCAAGGGGTCACAGGTGTGACTCATTTGGTATTATTACTCGAACTGCGCATGCGCGAAGGGAACATTCAGTGCTATGCACCGCCCTCTGGCGGTCTGAAGGGATGAAATAGAACAACTATACTGGGACAAAAGGTGAAACGATTTCAGTGTTTTGTCCCACACTATTTCACCTTTTATAAATTCTGTATTCTGTGTTTCAGGGCATTTTGTTGGATAGTTCCCAGTTGGTAGGTTCCTCTGTGCAGACGTTTAACTTGTGTGTATTTTGATTGGCTCAGATCTGTTCTCACACTTGTCCTTTTGTTTTATCCTGAATACTGAAGGTCTAACCCACTAACACTACTAGGTTTTTGGATATCGTGTAGCTTAGCATGGCATGGGATTTCCTGTTTCCTCTCTTGAACAGCCTCTTCACTCTGGTTCAGTTCCTAAAGTCTGTATGTTTAATTTCCAGGCCAATTTGAGCCATTCCAGCCTGGTGCTGCGGCGTGCGGTGGTGTCGTGTCTGAGGCAGATCGTCCAGAGAGAAGCTCTGGAAGTTTCTGAACTCGCCGTGAGTTTGGTTAAAGAGCAGCCGCCCAAAGAGGCTTCTCCCCTGGGTAAGAGAGCCTGGTTAGTCTTGTTTTAGTTTCCTTCAGTTTCTGCTTCAGTCTCTGCCTCAGTTCTCTGCTTCGGCGTCTGCTTCGGCGTCTGCTTCGGCCTCGGCTTCGGCCTCGCCTTTGGCCTCTGCTTCGGCCTCGGCTTCGGCTTCGGCCTTAGTCTCTACTTCGATCTTTGCTTCATTCTCTGCTTTCTGGTTTCAGAGTGCACTTTGCGTGAGCTGGGGCTAGAGGGCGCACTCTTCTCTCTGTTGGACCGGGAGTTGGACCCTGGTCTGCGTCTGGATCTGCAGCAGACTCTGGGCTTCATGATGGCCTCCAGTTTGACCAGTGACAGAGTGGGACAGTGGCTGCGGCTGTGCAGGGACGTGCTCTCTGCGACCACAGGTGAAACTACAGATTTATCTCAGCCACTTGGTTGGGAACCTGAACCACAGCTAATAACATGAACATTCAGCTCCTAAATCTAGTGTTTCTCCAGAGCTCAGCGAGACCCAGGACTGTCCTGAGGACGAGGAGGAGAGAGAGGACTGGAGCTCTCTGGGAGCGCGCTCACAAACACTCTCTCCCTTCAGCTCCCTCCGTTGGTCAACTCGTCGCATTGCAGTGGAATCTGTCTGCACTGTGATCCAGACCTGCAGCAAGACAGGGACCACAGGTAAGTTATTATAATGTTATTGTTAATATCAATATAATAATGTTGCACATTCTCAGACCTAAGCTTTGCATAGATACAGTTGTGTGTCTGTCTACACAGTTTGTGTGTGTGTGTGTGTTTGTGTTGCAGATGTGCTGGTCCCTCGGCTCGGAGAGCTTATCCGCATGTCCTTCATGGCGTCCACAGACCACAGTGCCCCCCTGAGGCTGTCTGGGCTACACACACTCATGGAGATCATCATCGCCTTCAGTCTGATCCAGGAGCCAGAGTTCCCAGGACACTTTCTCCTGGAGCAGTACCAGGCCAATGTGAGCCAGGCTGCTTTAGTCCTGCTTTAGTCTTGCTTTAGACCTTCTTTAGTCCTGCTTTAGTCCTGCTTTAGTCCTGCTTTAGACCTGCCTTAGTCCTGCTGTAGACCTGCCTTAGTCCTGCTTTAGTCCCGTTCTTATATTAGGTCCTGATCTGTTTTAGGTGGGGGCTGCCCTGAGACCTGCCTTTGCTCCAGATGCCCCGCCTGATGTCACAGCTAAAGCCTGTCAGGTACGTAACTCTTAACATGAAATTATCAGATAAAATCTCAACTCACCATGGGACTGTTGTGTTAATGATAATAGAGTAATATAATATTATTATCTGTGTAAAGGATTTTTAAGACAAGAATAGCCAGTTTGCTGATATGTGTGAAAGTTATATAATTGTTTTCTGGACTATAAGATGCGTCTTCTTTCTAGTTCTTTGGTCCCTGCAGCTTATATAGCAATGTGGCTAATACAGTAAGTGTATTTTTAATGCGGTAGATTTGTAAGACTGCAATGGGGCGACAGTGGCTTAGAAATGGACAAAGGGGAAGACAGTGGCTGGATTTGTAAGATATTATGGACGTATTATTTTGACTCCATCAAGATTTAGTAGCTACAGGACAGGTTTTTTTTAAATAGATGAGTGTGTAAAAGCCATGTTGCGGCTTTTATACAGGTGCACCTTATAGTCCAGACAGTACAGTGTAAGAGTGATGAAGGAGCAGTGTGTAAAAATCTGCCCAAAAGTGCCACTGCACTCTCCTGACTCAGGTTGGCGAATATGCAGACGAATCCAGCTGGGACCACAATAGCTGAATGGACAAGAGATTTGTCAACAACATATCTATAACCAACACCTTGTTCCACATAGATAGAAATCCTTGTTTTATTTGAGAATCATAAAAAGACCTTTTTTGTTCTGCAGCCACATGTTACTTTACCAGTTAGATTAGCTCGACATAGTTCTGGCAACCCGGATCACACAGACTTTCTGATTGGTAAAACGATGGAGGGTCAGCATGGTTAATTTATGCCTTTTGACATATTAGGGCCATTTAATGATGACTTGACATGAAAATCTTACATATTGCTACTTTAAGTATAAAGATGTCGTAGATTTTCTTGAATATTTTGATGTGTAGTCTTATGACCCTCTGTGGTTGTGGTTAGAACAGATGCAGTGTTTCTGATCCGGTCTTTCTATTTGGCTCCAGGTCTGCAGCGCCTGGATCTGCAGTGGAGTGGTGCAAGACCTCAGAGACCTCAGGCGGGTCCATCAGCTCCTGGTCTCCTCTCTATCCAAGATACAGAACCAGGACCAAGAACCAGACTCTCACCCTCAGCTTTACAATGAAGCAGCAGCGACAATGGAGACGCTGGCCGTGCTCAAGGCCTGGGCCCGAGTGAGTGTGGACTAGGTTCAGATCTGGGTTAGACCTGCTTTAGATCTGAGTTAGACCTGGTTTTGACCTGCTTTAGACCTGCTTTAGACCTGGTTTAGATCTGGTTTAGATCTGGTTCTGCTTTAGACCTGGTTTTGATCTCATTCAGACAAGAGTTAAACTTGGTGTAAACCCAATCCAACGTAGTTTGGATTGTCTTTAATCCTGCTTGAGTCCTGCTTGAGTCCTGCTTGAGTCCTGCTTGAGTCCTGCTTGAGTCCTGCTTGAGTCCTGCTTGAGTCCTGCTTGAATCCTGCTTGAGTCCTGCTTGAGTCCTGCTTGAGTCCTGCTTGAGTCCTGCTTGAGTCCTGCTTGAGTCCTGCTTGAGTCCTGCTTGAGTCCTGCTTGAGTCCTGCTTGAGTCCTGCTCAAGACCTGCTCGAGTCCTGCTCAAGACCTGCTTGAGACCTGCTTGAGACCTGCTCAAGACCTGCTTTATTCCTGCTTTAGACCTGATTTAGACTTGTTTTAGATTGATCCTGCTCGATGTTTTTCCAACACCTAACTTTATGTATTTTCTATTGTATGTAGTTTATTTCTTATTAAACAGTTTTTAGTCCAGACTAACAGTGTTTCTGCATCTTCATCACAGGTGTATATTGTGGCGGTGCAGAGGAGCAGGGCAAGCTCTGATTGGTACTTGGACTCTTCAGTGTCCTCTTCTTCGGCCAATGATGACACAGACCCTGGAAGGGCAGGGCTTCTTTGGCTCGTCCAATCAGATCTGCCGACACTGAGTGGACTGTGGCTGGCGGCGCTTCAGGATCAGGCCTTGCTCAGTCTGCCTCCAGGGCAGCCAGTGCCACGTGAGTTCAACACGTCCTCAATATATACCACGGCAGCGTTCTGACCAATCAGAGCTGAGGATCAGAGCGGAAAGAGCGCAAGCAGAGTTTGTTAGACTAAAGTGTGGAAAAACAAAAACCGATGGGTTTAACGAGAAAAAAGTTCAGGACGACAAGGGACACTATATTCCCCACAGTATCCTCCCTTAGGGCCTCTACACTGAGTTCTGAGAGGAACATTTCTGGGTTGCCCACATTAATTTAGTCCTGTGGTTCTCAAACTTTTTACACCAAGTACCACCTCAGAAAATACTTGCCTCTCCAAATACCACCACAAATGACCAACACTATACAGTAGTGACGTAGTAAGCCTATATGTATTCATCAAAAACAAGGCAGAGGTTTAATTCCTAAAGAAGTATATTTAATATTGTCAGCCATTGTAACATTTTACACAGTTTCAACAGTAAGACTTAAATATTAGGGGAAAAAAACTAAAAACTGTACTTAAATATGATTTGATTAAAATGTTCAATTTATTACAAACTGCAAAGCCTCACTGTGAATGATATTCTGGAGTGGGATCTTTGTCCACAGAAGGTTTGGACACTGGTGCACTTTTGTTTATAAGGATTGGTCTGCTGCCCTCTTACATCTGTCGTTTACTCACACAAAGAGATGTTGGTTCATATGGTTTGGATCAAATGATCTTTTGTTGCTCTCTGTTCCTTTTGCACAGAACTGGGAAAAAAGGTTTTGTATTTGCTGCTCCTTCTACATGGAACGTGTTGCAAAAAGACTGGAAATTATCTGAGCTTATTTCATTGAATGCTTTTAGATCCAGATGGAGAGACTTGAGACATCCTCATTGAAATGTAACTGTTTTTATAATCTGTAATTGTATCTAACTTTTTGTCCAGGACTCCCTTGAAACTCCCTTTCAGTGATTCTTTGGCGTACCACTAGAGGGAGCCCCACATTGTACCACACTTTCAGAACCACTGCTTTAGGCCCTGTCCACACGAAGTCAAGCTCAGGCCTAAACGCAAAAATACTTTATCAATCCAGTGTATCGTCCATACGAGGCCGGCGTTTTGGGGGGGTGTAAACGAACATTTTTGAAACCAGGTCCCAGAGTGGAAAGATTTCAAAACTCCGTATATGCCGCTCCGTGGTTACTGCCTCTCCGCAATGTATCTGAGACGCTTGCGTCATCGCCCCGCCTCTTGTTAAAGCACGCATGCGCCGCACTCAGAAAATAATGACAACAACAATGTAGCTTGTTGGTTTTGTAATCCAGTGTGACCCGAAGCAACAGTTCAACCTCATCGTCCGTCCATACTAATGTAGTACCAGCTCGCCCACTCGCCATGTTGTCTGTTTACAAAATTCCGCGCATGCCCACGGAAGTTTGGGCTTGATCCCGTCATTGCGTCACAGCGCCACCAACAGGTCTGGCATAGTTTCACAGCGTTTTCAGGCGTATTGACTACATTCATATGGACGCACACATTTACTGAGCTAACTCCGTGTTTACAGAAAAAGTTTCTGAAATTATAAGCGTTTTGTCTTCGTGTGGATATAGCCTTAGTCTGTAGTTGCCCTCCCCCCTGGATTTATATATCTGTGGTTGATGAAGCGTGTCTTTGGCAGGTGGGACGTTCTTCTCCCCAGAGACCCTGCTCCAGGCTCGGGTTCACTTCTGCTCGTCTTGGGCCTCCATCCTCCATGCCACCGCGCTGTGGCTGCACTCCACCGGTACGATCCACATCCTGCTCTCTCATGATCACAGACCTGGAGCTGTGTTTGGATCCATCCACGCTAATATCAATAACATCTGACATACATGAAGCTCTGCCACACATGTCTAAAAGCTAGAGACCAGAGAGAGAGACCAGAGAGAGCGCGACCAGAGAGAGCGCGACCAGAGAGAGAGCGACCAGAGAGAGCGCGACCAGAGAGAGCGCGGCCAGAGAGAGCGCGACCAGAGAGAGAGCGACCAGAGAGAGAGAGAGAGACCAGAGAGAGAGAGAGCAGGGGAGACCAGAGAGATCACTCTATATCTCACTCAAAGTGGTTTTGCTCATACATTTGTTTTGGTATTTCTCAACTGAAATATTTTTGTTTCTTGGTTGATCCTGTGACAGGCCTGATGGCAGCGGAGGACACACCTGTGCACCTGTCTCGCCCGGCCACGCCCACCTCGCTCGGTCACTCAGGGGGCGGAGTCAAGAGTGTGGAGGACTTGAGCGCAGAGAGACTGCACCTGCTCCTGGGTGAGCATCTGTGCCTTCTCCTCCTCACCACCAGTCTCCTCTCTCTCTGCCCTGGTCCTCACCAGTCTCTCTCTGCTGCCCTGGTCCTCACCGGTCTCTCTCTGCTGCCCTGGTCCTCACCCGTCTCTGCTGCCCTGGTCCTCACCAGTCTCTCTCTGCTGGCCTGGTCCTCACCCGTCTCTCTCTGCTGCCCTGGTCCTCACCCGTCTCTCTCTGCTGCCCTGGTCCTCACCCGTCTCTGCTGCCCTGGTCCTCACCCGTCTCTGCTGCCCTGGTCCTCACCCGTCTCTCTCTGCTGGCCTGGTCCTCACCCGTCTCTCTCTGCTGGCCTGGTCCTCACCCGTCTCTCTCTGCTGCCCTGGTCCTCACCCGTCTCTCTCTCTGCCCTAGTCCTCCCTTGTCTCTCTCTGCTGCCCTGGTCCTCACCCGGCTCTCTCTCTGCCCTAGTCCTCCCTTGTCTCACTCTGCTGCCCTGGTCCTCACCTGTTTCTATCTCTGCTGCCCCCTGCAGGTGTAGCTGTGCAGTTCTTGTGTTCACCTCACTCTCTGAACCAGATGGAGAACATTCAGTCTTGTCTTCAGGCGCTGCAGGTGCTGCTGGACATCCCCTGGCCACGCAGCCGCATCAGCAACGACCAGGTCTGAGCTCCAGTGATGCACAACTGTGCTGTGATCCATGTTTTCACCTTAACCAGGATGATTCTGTCTCTGTGTAGTAATGTTTCTCTGGTTCCAGTGTCTGTCGGTGGAGCTTCTCTCTGTCCTCCACAGACTCATGGTGACACGTGAGTGTGCGGAGGTTCAGGCGTCTGTCCTGGATTTACTCAAACGCATTGTGTGCGCGGCTCAAGAGCACGTCCGCGAGAAACGCCACTCTGCAGAAGGTGAGTCGCAATAACGTTAACTTACAGTGACGTATCATACAGATACCAATGTTTTATTTGAGATTTAAATGTTGTGTTTCACTGTCTGTTATCTGTTATTGAAAAGTTAATAAAGAAAGTTGGACTAAATTCATTCTGAAAAAAACAAATTGTTAAGTCTTGAAGCTAATTAGGACTTCCTGGCTCTAAAACAGTTTCACCTGCAGGTCTTTGTCACTTTTCTGTCTAATGAAGCTGAGGTCTAAGAGAGGACCGCCCCCTCACTCAACCAATCAGCTCTCAGCCCAAAGAATCATATAGTGACCGATGGGGCGTTCAGACCGCCGATGCTTGAACATAGCTTCTACCTGCACTGGACGCACATTCTCTAAATGTCAGACGCTAGGGGTGTTCAGACCAGAAGTCCTGGGCTGCGGTGGCGCCCGGCGAAAGGGCTTTGATGCTAACAGAGTTATTCTAGCGGCTTTTTGTGTAAAGTTCTTGCAGCTCTGCAGCGTCATTGTGTCCAGAGACTTTTCAGAGACTTTATATAACTGCAGTATGTGTTCACGGAGCTGCGTCATGCACAAGTTTTATTTATTATTAAGCAGTACTTCCTTATTTAGCAAACATGTTAGCTGCACTTGTTTACAGTCACTGGACCATGAGATCAGGAGAATGTTCACAAGCACTGTGTCCCCCATTGTCAATCCTGGTTTTGTCCTGGTTTAGCTCCTGTTTTGGCTGTTTACGAGTATCTTCCGTCTGCTCACTGTGTCCCAGTGACTACTTTGCGGCTCTCTGATTGGTCGCTGCCCGTGCGTCCTGCGGAAAAAGTTCAGCAATGTTCATCACCTGCCTGCAACAATTTTTATGCTCCTGCGCCTCTGCCATGCAGTCGATGCGTCTCTTCCGCGCAGTTTGTTCATGCGTGCCGCAACGCATATTCAGTTCCACGCAGACATCATCAATGAAAGTCGCCGGGTGCGGTCTGAACGCAGATCACAAGGATCAAGGTGTCTAAGTTCACAGTAATTTACTTTGACAAATCTCTTCCAGTTGAGACAAACATGTTTATAATGATCTGAAGTTGAGGTTTAAACGTGTGTCGCTTCTCGTCACTTCTCGTTACTGTGTGCAGTGGACGACGGTGCGGCGGAAAAGGAGACGCTGCCGGTATTCGGAGAGGGCCGGGACACTGGGGGCCTGGTCCCAGGACACTCTCTGGTCTTCTCTGCTCTTCAGATCTGTCTGTCTGTCCTGCTCCGGAAGCTTCCCCATCTCAGTCCCACTCTGTCCGGAACAAAGACCAGGTCCACAGGTGGGTCCAAGCTCAATTGGCGACATGTTAGTGCCATATGAACCAACGACACTGTTTCCACATTGGATTCTTCTCCTCAGTGTTTTGAGAATGGGGAACGAGCTACATAGATTATACTACATTTTTGTTGTTTTAAAGTTATTAAGTATTAGTTAGATGTTAAAAAAGGCTAGCCTGACTCTCGCCAGACCCTTGTAGATCGCTGTGTTTCTCAGCTGTGTTCAGCCAAACGCCACTGGTGGAGCATGGCGGAACTACAAGGGTCTGGCGAGAGTCAGGCTATAAAAAGGCCATGTAGAATAAATACCCATTACGAGACAATTTACCATAAAATATTCACTAATAGCACTTAATTAGCTGTGTATTAGGGATGATTAAACTAAAGTGTGCTCTTTCTTTTTCTAAAACATGACACTCCAATGTAAATATTCTCCAGAGAAAATTACAGAACCAAATGAAGATAAATGCTGGTGTGTGTTCAGGGGGAGAGGTGTGGAGGCTGTCCTTCTCAGACAGTCACCTGGTGTCCTCTGCTCTGTCTGTCCTGTCCCAGCTGCCGTCCCTCTGCTCTCCTGAAGGTGTGTCCCTGTGTCTTTTTGTCTTCTGTGTCTTTGTCTCTGTGTCTTCTGTGTCTGTGTCCTCTGTGTGTCTCTGTCCCATGTGCTGATGTCTCTGTGATGTCTGCAGGAAGTGTGTCCATTCTGCCCACGGTGCTGTTTCTGCTGCTGGGAGTGCTCAGAGGACTCGTACACAGACCTCCAGCTCTCACAGGTGACCAGTGTGGAGAACTGGGACTAATGCAGGAGACCAGTGTGGGGAACTGGGACTAATGCAGGAGACCAGTGTGGGGAACTGGGACTAATGCAGGAGACCAGTCTGGGGACCTACTTGATTCTGTAGGCAGGGGGGGAGATGATCTCACACATAATTCGGGAGGTGTTTTATGAAAATGGGAATACATGCATCTTAATGGAGTAATATACACTGCTCACAAAAACTTAGGGAACACTCAAAAAAACACATCCTCGATGTCAATCAATTACATTTTTTGGATGTAAATCTTTATTCATAGTGTGTTGAGAACAAAATAACATAAGAATGATAAATGGAAATCAAAGTCTCAGCCCCTGGAGGTCTGAATCCAAAATTATAGTCAAAATCAAAGTGACAAATGAGGTAACTGGTTGATCCAAATTCTGTAGAAATTCATCAAAATGAGTCTGTATCATCCTCAGTAGTGTGTGTGGCCTCCACGTGCCTGAATGCACTCCCTACACCGCCTGGGCATGCTCCTGGTGATACCAAGGAGGTCCTCCTGAGGGATCTACTCCCAGATCTGGATTAGAGCATCAGTCAGCTCCTGGATAGTCTGTGGTGCGACGTGGGGTTGATGGATGGACCGAGACATGATGTTACAGATGTGCTCTATTGGATTTAAGTCTGGGGAACGGGCAGGCCAGTCCAAAACATCAATACCTTCATCATGCAGGAACTGCTGACCCACTCTTGTCACATGTGGCCTGGCATTATCATGGATCAGAAGGAACCCAGGGCCCACAGCAGCAGCATATGGTCTTACAAAAGGTCTGAGGATCTCATCCCGGTACCCAATGCCAGTCAGGGAACCTCTGGCTAGCTCATGGAGGACTGTGCGGCCCTCCAATGAAATACCTCCCCAGACCATCACTGACCCACCACCAAACCAGTCATGCTGGATGATGTTGCAAACAGCAGAACGTTCTCCAGGGCGTCTCCAGACTCTGTCACGTCTGTCACATGTGCTCAGGGTGAACCATGCTCTCATCCGTGTAGAGCACAGGGCACCATTGGACAATCTGCCAATCGCTGTGTTCTCGGGAAAATGCCAATCGGGCTGCACAGTGTTGGGCAGTAAGCACCGGCCCAACTTGTGGACGTAGGGCCATCATACCACCCTCTTGGAGTCGGTTTCTGACCATTTGAGTACCAACATGCACATTTGTGGTCCTCTGGAGGTCATTTTGTAGGGCTTGGGCAGTGCTTCTGCTGTTTCTTAGTGCACAAATGAGCAGATAGCGGTCCTGCTGCTGGGTTGTTGACCTCGGTCGGCCCCCCCAGGTCTCCTGGTGTACTGGCCTGTCTCCTGGTATCTCCTCCATGCTCTGGACACTGCGCTGGGAGACACAGCAAACCTTCTTGCAACAGCACGAATGGACGTGCCATTTTGGATGAGCATCACTCCCTGAGCAACTTCTGTGGGTTGTAGATGCCTCCTCATGATACCTCTAGTGGTAAGAACACTGGACAAATGCAAAAGTGTTCAAAAAATACAGTACAAAGAATGAAGACAGGGAGATGGTAATGGCAAAACCATTCCTCTTTTGGAGTGATCTTGCTAATTGCCTCTCATTTCCACCTGTTGTCTGTTTAATTTCCACATCAGGTGAAATTGATTCACAATAAGTGAGCCACACTTATTGTGAATCAATTTCACCAAACTGGACAGTCTGATATCCCAGAAATTTGACTGACTTGGAGTTACATTGTGTTTTTTGAGTGTGCCCTAAGTTTTTGTGAGCAGTGTAGTTTGCATGTGACTTCCCTGCTTCTGACAGTTGCCCTGTAGTGGCTTAGAAAGTTGAAAATACATTTTGTCATCTAGATTCAGCCACTGGTCCAGTCTCTGCTCTAGTCCAGTCCTGTCTTCAGTCCTTCAGAGCCGTTCTATTGAGTCCAATGAGTCGTCAGGAAAAAAGTCGAGAGTCCTGGGTCCAACTTCTGCAGTCTGCGCTGAGCTCACTGCTGCTACTGTGGGAAAATGGTACAAACTACTACTACTGCTACTGCTAGTACTATTACTCCTACTATTGCTAGTACTACTGCTGCTACTGCTGCTCCTCACACGTCTCTGTCTGCAGATGAGCCGGAGGTGATCCAGGACCAGGGGACCCTCCTCAGAGCTCTGTCCCTGTTCCTGCTCTCCTCCTCTGGGTCAGACGTCTGCTGTGTGGCCCCTCTGTTTAGCTGCAGTGTGGAGAAGTTCACCTCCGCCATGGACTCCAAGGACCCCCAGGTGCCCGGGCCTGGACCAGATCTGGTTTAGTGCTAGTCATGTTAGGACATATAATTGTATTGTTTTTATAGCATTGAATATGAATGAATGAATATGTATTTATTATTGTGTCTTGCATACAACTGTATGTCCAGCCCGTTCATGGGCTTCTAAGACACCAATATAAAGAACAGGATCAGATGATACACAAATAACTTATTTGCATAAACAGGATTGCCGGCGCTTCCAGGCTTTACCAACATAAGTAGCCAATTTAGACACATTGGAATTAAACAAGCATTGTAGCTTATCATCATCACTGCTCCATTACAATTCTGTCTTTTTAACAAACAGACCACTAAACAAAAGATTACGAAGATCGTCATACAAAGCACAGTACAAAACAAAATGTGTTTCATTTTCCACCTCTCCTAAGTCACAAAGTTTACAAAGTCTGTGTTCTTCGGGAGTCTGAGTAAACCTTCCCGTTCTTTGTTTTCTGGTCAGATTTGCTTTAATGTAGAATTCTGCTTCATATACGTCCTTCATTTGTGTGTATGTTCTTAACTTTGGTTTTGCCAGAATCCCACTCAACCATCCTTCTTCAAATGTTGACATTAATTTTGTTCTATTTTTGTTGACATTGCAGGGCAGATTATTATGAAATACATACTGGAGATGTACCTCAGTAAATACAGCACGAACCTCAGCAGCCCAGGGGGACATAGCTTTACTCCAAATAAAGATTTTTTTTGTTAACCTATTATCAGACAGATTCATTATTCTATTCCATAACCAAACCATTTCACATTTCCTTTGAACTGTACCAGGAACCCAGCCCATGTCCCCCTGCGCTGCCAAAACAGGAACAAACTTATGTACCCCCAGAAAACAACGGATTGCTCGGTTTTCAACTGCATCCAAGGTTGAATAGTTAAAAACAGGAGACACACATGCCATGTACAACTGAGATTACAGTACCTTGCGAAAGTATTCGGGCCCCTTGAACTTTTCAACATTTCGCCACATTTCAGGCTTCAAACATAAAGATATAAAAAATATTTTTTGTCATGAATCAACAACAAGTGGGACACATTCGTGAAGTGGAACGAAATTTATTGGATAATTTAAACTTTTTTAACAAATAAAAAACTGAAAAGTGGGGCATGCAATATTATTATATTATTATTACTATTATTCTTCTTACTTTCAGTGCAGCAAACTCAGTCCAGAAGTTCAGTGAGGATCTTTGAATGATCCAATGTTGTCCTAAATGACTGATGATGATAAATAGAATGCACCTGTGTGTAATCAAGTCTCCGTATAAATGCACCTGCTCTTTGATAGTCTCAGGGTTCTGTTTAAAGCACAGAGAGAACCATGAAGACAAAGGAACACGCCAGGCAGGTCTGAGATACTGTTGTGGAGAAGTTTAAAGCTTTGTTTGAAGCCTGGAATGTGGCGAAATGTTGAAAGGTTCAAGGGGGCCGGTTACTTTCGCAAGGCACTGTATCTGCTAACCCCTGCACTACCATTTGGCAACGAGTAGATGCTAAAAATGTCTCAGGGAGTGGCTTTTTCCTTCTTTCAGCACGAGGGGGTACACTTCAAAAGTTAACTGCAGTAAAGGGTGGTCAGGTAAATTGCATCTATCACCAATAAGAGACAAACATTTTGCTGCATATTTGTTTTGTGAGTCTGTGGCAGTCATCACTTTAAATTGGGTGTCACAAAATAATCTACTACAGCTTTTCCACAAACTGAAATAGAAATTGCCATCGTTCACATTAAGCCTGCCATTCAAAATACAACACTTTGAGTCTTTCAAAAAATCAAGAAACGAGTCCCCGTGACTGAAATAAGCCACTCCAGGCAGAATATTGTCCAGGCCTTCAGTACAGCCCTCTTTATCAGCAACGCGACAATTAAAATCGCCACAAACACAAATTGCATCCACGTCTACGCAGAACTGAATAAGTATTGATGGCTATTCTGAGCCATTTTATGTCTGAAGTGATGTACTGAGTTTTTCGGGAGTGTGATAATAGGTTAATATATAATTCAGATTCAGATTCATTTATTTGCCATTTGCAGTAAAACCACATTGGAAAAACTGTGCAAGACTACCCCGGTGTGCGCCAGACAGAGAAGGCGACACACACCAGAGCTCTTGCTAATGTTTCTAGAATAATGTCTTCGATACAAACGCTAACTTCTGGTCTCTTCTTGGTCTGTGCAGGTCCAGAGTGTGTGCTTCCAGCTGCTCTGCTCCCTGTTCCAGACTCCATCGCCGCTCAGTGGTCTCTACGTCCGTGCCCTTGGTCCCGCTCTGGTCCGCTTCCTCAAGGTGAACCCTCCGTTGTTGTTGGCAGCCATAAGCCTCAGCAGTTGTTCACACTGCTCCTTTTAGGGATGTGCAAAGATAGATGCATATCAATACTTTTGAACGAGAAACAAATTGATTTTTGGATCTAGTTTAAAAAATGATACGGTTGTTTGACGTTTTTATTTCAGAGAGAGGAGCGCTCTCGGCCTCAGACTCAGGAAGAACTGGCTCCGGTTCTGGAGGCTGTGATTGCCATGGAGACACTGGTGCAGGCGGCAGGTCCACAACATCGTAAGGAATAGGACTGCTCCGGACAGGATCAGAACTAGACAAGGACTGAACATGAACTGAGTATTCCTGAACCAGGTCTAAACCTTGCTGTGTCTCAGGGTCTCAGTTGGTGTCTCTGCTGCTGCCACTGCTCGTCTCGTTCCTATTGGATGAGAACGCTCTTGGCTCTGCCCCCTCTGCGTCTCGCTCGCTGCATGACTCGGCGCTTAAGGATCTAATGCGGATCGGACCACAGCACCCAGCGGCCTTCAGGTCAGACTGCAGTTCACACACACACCACCGGGGGCAGTCCTGAGCACAAACCAGTCTGGTCTACCCCAAGCCCTGGTGATCCAAAATGGCTGCGCATTCAAATCAACGGCTTGTGCTCGGTGGCGCCCCACCATGGGCAAAGAAAGATTAGTGGAACTCGTCCATATTTGGTCATTTCTCTGGTCCCCCCCCCCTCCCGTTCTGCGCAGTGGACGACCTCCCACTATGCTTTGCGCCAAATACTAACGAGCGTTGCTGATCAGAGCGGGAGGAAAACTAGGAGTTTGTTGTAGTTTAAAGGACGACTAAACACCTGTGCCCAGCCTTACTCCGCCCACATTAACATTTGAAAATGTTCTCTACAAAGGCCATTTCCCGAAGGACCAGGGACAAGAAGAGGGACTTAAATTTGAGCGTGTTCTCAACCTACGCCACAGAATTATCTCAATAGTAGTGGCTCTCAACTGATGTAATGTAATAGAGGCCAGGCATATAATTCAAATGTAGTGTCACAGAAAATGTAGAGAGGGCGCCAGACTGTTTTAGGCTCAAAAGTCAGATTTTTTCTAATTTTCACTAAAATGTCACACAAAAAAAGACCAGGACATGCAGAGAGCACTATAAGAAACATTTATGCAGTTTGAGTAAAAATATATATATGGTGTTTAGTTGCCCTTTTAACAAGACAGGATAACAAGGGACACTAAAATCACCACAGAATCTGTGAAAGCTGTAGGTTCTCTGTCAGCTGAGGTCGAGCTGTTTTAGTTTACATTGAGTTCTATGGGACATTTTTCTGGGTAGAACACACAAATTTAGTTTAAACTATAAGCTAGTAATACTCTATCTAGTTATTATTATAGATCCATGGTCTTCCCGCAGGTCACTGATGAGCTCGTGTCCAGAGCTGAAGTCTCGCCTGGAGGCTGCGGTGAAGATGAGCCAGGACCAGCTCCGGTCCAAACCAGACTCTGAGGTGGCGTCCAGGAACCAAACCCCCTCCATCAAACTCAAGACTAACTTCCTCTGAATGACCAGGTTTAGTTCTAGCCTTTAGTCTTTTAAAGTAATATAACTACATAATGTACACTACTTTTTAACATTTTTTGTGAAACTGTGAAAGAAACTTTTTCTATAAGTAGAAACACAGAACAAAGAGGGACCAAAGTGTTGGAAAAGCCTTTATTTCCTGTGTCAAAGTGCTTTGAACAAACTCACAATGGAGGAGACACTGGTGACGCCTTAAGCCTCAGCACTTTAACACTTTCTGTTTCTGACATGAAGCAATAAAACTGTAAATGTTTAAACAAAATAATCGCTTTCATTTGGACGTTTCATCAAAGTTGAACAAAGACTGGAACACTCATCTTAGAAATAACCATTTCACAGCAGTCTCATTAAAACAGGTTGAATTTCAGAACGGCAGTAGCTCAGTTGGTAGAGCACACTTTGCTCTACGCACACTTTGCTCTACCAACACTTTGAGGGCCTTTGAGCCTGAAGGTTGTGGGTTCGAGCCCACCATGAGACCTTCTCTGACTCCCACTGATGACTGCTGTCGTTGTGTCCTTGGGCAAGACACTTAACCCCACTTTGCCTGAAGTCCCCACTGAAAGCAGCCATTCTTCTGTGGACTCACCACCTGCAGGAAGATCAGTGAGGGGCTGGTGCTATGTGGACTGGGTGGCACCTGTGGCCACCCCCCGACCCAGAAATGGATTAAGGGGCAGAAAATGGATGGATGAATTTCACTATGAATTGACATATTGGGTTAAATCTGGTGTGGATGGAGCTAAACAGAGCTGTGACCAATAAAGACAGATTGAATAGACTTGATAGATTTGATCCTTGTATGTTACTTTGATCTTAAGCCTGAAGTGTCCAGAAGGCAATATTTGGTACTTGATCAAAAAAGCACCGTTTAAGGAAATTATGCGACATGAGTTTTTTCTCATAAAAAATGTTAAAATACAAGAATCACCAACAAACAAGTAAAAGTACATGCACAAGACGCACAACAACAATAAAATAAGTCTGGTCATATATGTACAAATGTGTGCAGGTTAATGCTTTGTTCACGGCCTTTAAAGCTGGGGTACCTAATCTAGATCAGTTTTAGACAGAAGAAATATTAGCTTTAGAATAAGAGGTTCTAAGACCGAGACTGAATGCTTTGATCTTATTTGTTTGCATCTTTTCAATTGGAATTATAAAAAGTTAGGTATCCCAGCTTTAGTGATTCAGAAGCCATTTTATTTTGTTTTAATACGAGCTTTTGGGGAATGACCCAAAGGACAAAGTCTGTATGTTCAGTCATAGTCAGTGGAGCTCAGAGTACAGCCGCTGCTCCTCCTTTAGAGAGACCCAGAACACGCTGGGACAGCTGACTGCTGTGACACGGTAACGGATAACGGGAAGAATATGGACAGAGATGCTAGTTTGAAAAACATGATTCAACCTTGGGACGGAAATTACTGAGAACATCATGATTCATAACAAATCTTTAAAACAGTATTGTTTCCATATGTGTTTGGCCTCACGTCTGTGATGTCAAATCTGCTCTATAGATGTAGCTCTTCAGACTAAAGTGAAAAAATCACAGGAACTAGCACAACTGGGAAAAGGAGTAACAGCTGTGTTTGTTTTTATACAACACTCATAATGGCATTCATTTATGAAACTTGCGTACGGCCAAATCAGGGTGTAAATGAGCCGTACGCAAAAAAAAAAAAACACTTTTGGATTTTATCAATCAAAGTAAGCGTATGGTACGCATAGATTAAACAGAGTCAGGAGGTGGTGTAAAAAAACCTTCATCACAACACGCAAACAACATGCATGAAATACAAGATTTGGACGACAATAAAACATATTTCCACTCTGGCAAAATTATAAGCTGTATTTCCATTGAGCATCACATTTCGAAATTTGAAATGAAAATAACCAAATGGTTTTCATTTGGTTATTTTCATTTCAAATTTTGAATTGCTCACTCAAAACTGTCTCAGCTTTTTTATAGATAGCAGTAAGTAATCTTTATTTATATACCACCTTTCACAGACCATAGTCACAAAGCGGTTTACAATTGTTATTATTTGGGCATTTGTCTCTCCACAGAGAGAAGGGAACGGGGTCGCCTACAGGAGGCGCATGCCAGATCTATTGTACATGTATTTTTTTTTTGGGTAGGGGAAACCGGAGTACCTGGAGGAAACCTACGCAGACACGGGGAGAACATGCAAACTCCACTCAGAAAGGCCCTGTTCCGACCGGGATTCAAACCCAGGACCTTCTTGCTGATAAGCGAGAGTGCTATCCACTCAGCCATCGTGCACTTATCTGTGGGAACGGGTTCTTGGGCAGTGGCTCTCTTGTGTGTGTGTGTGTGTGTGTGTATGTATGTATACACACACATCCTTTTTCTCTATTTTTTGTTTGTTTTGTTTTGCTTGTTTCTGTTTGTTTTCTCCCCTATGTGTTAAAAGAAAACTTTAGATTTTTTGTTACCATTTATTTCCTAAAGAGAAGTGGGTTGTGAGATCTTTAGGCCAATGACATCCACCACTTCTAACATCATCATTGGATTTCTGGTTTTGTCCTAGTCCTGAATCAGACCTGATCCAGGCTCGTTTAGGCAGACTTCAGTGTGAGTCTCCGGGCAGCAGAGGGAGCCAACCGGAGGGGGGTCAGTGGCTCCCGATGCTCAGCTTCATGAGCAGAATCCTGGAGAGAGGAGGCCGCTGTGGTCCCCTCTGCGCCGGAGGTGAAGAGCGGCAAGAACACGGACGGATAGAGCTGAACCTGGAGGAGGTTTAAAGTTTGGTTCATTATTTTCTTGGCTTAAAACATGAAACAAGAATATTTACTTGAGCAGTTTGAGTTCCTGCATTTATGCAACATGGTAAACTCAGAGACATAAGAACAAACATCCCACTTCCAAATAAGTGTCAAGTCACAGCACAGTGGAGCCAGGACTAAAGAGAGCAGAGAGCGAGAGAGACCCTAGTGTGCAGCGTTTGAAAGAGTTTATAAGTAGAACGTTTACAGACAAACAAATGGATGAAACTATCTGTTGGCAGAAGTAGGAACTGCATGTACTCACCTTTTCAAAGACGCCCAAAGTCTGCAGACCCTCACGGAACCTGCAACAGGAACACCGTCAGGTTCTACAGTAGCAGAGGTCTGAGAGAGTCACACTTTAATAACACTTATCATTGTTGTAGTTTCAAAGTTAGGAAACCCAGCTCTAGTCTCAGCTTTAGTTTGGGTCCAGTCCTAGTCCAGTTCTAGTTCTAGTCCAGTTCTAGTCCAGTTCTAGTCCAGTTCTAGTCCAGCTCTAGTCCAGCTCAGACCTCTGCAAAGGAAGCTGCATCCTGGTGATCATGCTGAAGGCAATGAGGTCATCTACAAGCCCCGCCCTCTCACAAAGGCTGCTGATTGGTCGGTTGCAGCCAGACAGAGTCAGGTGATCAGAGCAGGAAGTGAGAACGTCCTGGAGCTCGGAGACGGAGCCAGCGGCTTCGATCTGCAGAGGTCAAAGGATCAGACAAATGTGAAAGATTAAGCTCTGGAGTCACTTCCATTCACTCCACTGTGGTTTGGGTGGTGGGGGAAAGCGGAGCACCCGGAGGGAACCCACCCTGCTACTCGTGCACACTGTGTACTAGGAAAACAGACACTGGACTTTCTCTAATGGAAAATCAAACTGAATCAGGCCAGAAGAATTACAGGTTGGTAAGGGGGGGAGCAGTAGTATGTGTTTGTGTGTCAGCCCTCCCCCTCTGCACTGTGGTGGTCAGGGGGATCCTCTGTGTGTGTGCGTGCGCGTGTGTGTATGTAATACCCTCTGCACTGTGGTGGTCAGGGGGGACCCTGGCGTGAGGTGTCCCGCGGTCAGAGCCTGTTTCTGGGGGAAGTTGAAGAGCAGCTGGAACAGAGCAGGAGAGAAGAATCGCAGACAGGGGGCGCCGTTCACCAACGCCAGAGCTAGGACCACACCCACATCATAGTACATGTCCTCCTTCAGTGCTGCAGAGGGGGGAAGGGCAGACCTGGGTTAGTCCTGGTATATGCCCCGTCCGATTTCTCACCCTAGCCCTTAATTTGTACCCTTGGGGATTGTGTCCCAATACGAGTGCACCCACACCCTTGAAAAGGCCTCTTGCGCACGTGAGATCCGGAGCTCACTTGCGCGAGTGTGAACCCATGATGCCTTAGGATAGTTGGTAAAATAGCTGTCAGGCAAAGCCACAATGAAAGAAAACACACATGAAACACCCGGGCACATGTTCCACACATACTTGCACCTGGATGTTTGGAATCTTCGAAGTGTATGAGATTAATTTTTAAAGTGTGAGTTTTTTTAAAGCGTGTGTTGGTGCCGTATGTGATGACGTTTGCTCGCAAAGCGGCCACAGCATGTAACGTTCACTGAGCTTTCAGAGACTTGTCACATCATGAATGTTATTATAAATCTATGATGTAGTTCAACAGGCGTTTTGTGATCTGTAGCTGTACCCACCTGTCTCTGTGTGTGTACGTATGTGTCTGTCTCTGTGTGTGTACATGATACGGGGCAGTCTGTACCGAATTATAACTGATCTTCTTCATATGAAATACAATTCAAAACGTCTCACTTTAATAAACATTTTCATAAAGTCATATCCGTGTCATATCTTATCTTCGGTGAAATCAGACACTTGTATTGCTTGTGACGTGGAACTTGTTTGTGGCGTCATTTTGGATATTGTCCCCTAGATCCATGAGTGTTCCATTTCTTTGGGAGAATAAAAATACCCTTAGTTCTACACTCAACATGGGACTAGGGCTATGACGCCGTTTACTGCATATATATCTGTATCTGTATCTACAATCTCATGGTCCAAGTCCTGGCCTCGGTCCTGTTATCAGTACCCTGTGCGTCCAGGGCCAGGTTCTTGCAGTCCTCCGGTCCCTCAAACACAGCACAGCCCTGGATCTGAGACAGCAGCAGCTTGAGGAATTGACGCAGAGCTGCGTCAGCGCCGGGGCTGATAGGAAAAGGAGTCTCTTCATCTGTGAACCTGAAACAGAGTTTAGTCTGAACGTTTGATCGGTGTTTAAAAGGTGCCGTATTTCAATTTTCTTCATTTTTAACAGTCCATTCTATGCGCATGTGTGATAATAATTTGGGTGATAAACCATATAACATTCAAAACCATAGCCATGTCGGGCATAGAGGTGCTGTAAGCTGGCCTCCCCCCAACTGCACAGTGACCAGTGGGGGCAGGTCCCGGTTCAAAAAGCTCCATGAGCATGTGCGCTGACATGCTTGCAATACCACTCCTAAAAGAAAAAAAAGTCTTTACAGGATGGTCCAAAAGTCTGTTCTTGGCCCAACGCTATGTTCCACATGTGTGTTAATGCTGAAGGGAGTTTTTTTCTGGACCAGTCTAGTTTAGCCCCTATGGACTTTTGAAGCCACTCGTCAAATGAATGGGGCTTGCGCCGGCTGACGCATGAGCGAATGGGTGTTTTTTCAACATTTTCATGGGGCAGTTTTTTTTATCTGAAAAAACCGTCCGTAGACTGAGGTGGTGGTTCGTGAGGTCCCCGTTTTAAATTCCTGGGCTTGACCGTGTCCGAGAACCTCTCCTGGGAACATACATGTCCTCAGCGGTGGGGAAAGCACAACAGCGGCTCTTCTATCTGAGGAAGCTGAAGAGAGTCCATCTCCCTCAGGGGCCCAGGATAAACTTTTATAACTGTACCATTCAGAGTGTGCCGACGTATGTTCTGCTTGTGTGGTTCTCCTGCTGCACAAAGGCCAAGAAGCAGGCGATCCAGAGGGTGGTGAAAACTGCTGGAAATGTCATTGGAGCTCCCCTCCCAGAGATCTCCAGTGTGTTCACCTCCCGCTGCCTGCGGCGGTGTCATTATCAAAGACCACTCCCATCCAGCACACCGACTGTTCCACCTGCTGCCCTGAGGCCGGAGGTACAGGTCTCCCTGCCTGACAGCCAGGCTGTCAGACTGGTCAATGAACACTGCCCCCCTTATCTATGAACTGGTCGTGCATTGTTGCAGCTACATACTCACTTGTTACTGTTCTGCTAATCTACCTCTGCCCTGTGCTGTTTACATCCTGCCAACTTCTGCCCTTTACTGTATATGCTTATCACGGTGATGCTCTAAATGTAACTTTGTTTTTGTGACAATGACAAATTATTGAATTGAAGGCGAATGTGATACACCACTCCACTGTGGATCAATAAAGTCTCTCTAAGTCTAGAGCCCAATGTTGATCCAGAGTGAGACCCTAATAGTTTATTTAACAGTACTATACAGCAAGTTATTGCATTGTACTAACAGGCGGAGGCTCCCTGTTAGCGTCTTTTATGTTGGGAATAACACCAAGTTTCCAGGTCAGCTTTTGAGTAGGTATGGAGGACCGTGGCTGCCAAAACAATAAATATATACAGAAATAAATAAATAATTACATTTTAAAAAGATAAAATTTGCAAAGAAATGCATGCAATTATGAGAATAAGAGCATTTATTTCTGTATTTATTTATTTATATATTTCTGTATTTATTTATTTTTGTATTTATTCATACATTTATTTCTCTTTTTGTATTTATTTTTGCATGTATTTATTATTTTATTTATTTTTGCATTTATTTATTTATTTCTTTTTATTTATTTATTTCTGTATTTATTTCCGTATTTCTCTTAATGATATGCATCATGGGGTGGGCCGGGATGCCTCTGCTGTAAGCTCATTGGTTAATCTTTTTCCTTGCTCCATAGCTTGTCCAGCGCATATGGAAGAATGCTTGAGATTTTTATTTTTATTTTTTCGTTCTGACATGGCTATAGCGAGAACACAGTGATCTCAACATGACCGCGTACGCTTGACAAGCTATGGAGCAAGGAAAATGATTAACCAATGAGCTTACAGCAGAGGCATCCCGGCCCACCCCATGATGCATATCATTAAGACCTCTTCATAGCGCACAATGCGCTGTAGTCTCTTGGTTTGTCCCTGACTGTGGCTCAGCGAACCACCACGTGAGGGAGGAAGGTGAGGATGGACCTCATGATTGCCGGTCGTAGAACTGCAACCAACATCTGTGCAGGCAGCTTGGCTTTCCTGAGCTTCCGCAGGAAGTTACATCCCTGCTTGGGACCTTCTTGATGAGGGAGCTGATGGTCGGCTCCCCACTTGAGTGTCCTGGGTGATGGTGGTGCCCAGGAAACGGAAGGACTCCACAGAAGGTGATGGGGGAGTCCATCACGGAGGGTGGGGGCGGGGGGACAGTGCTCTTCCTGAAGTCCACAATCATCTCCACTGTCTTCTGGGCGTTCAGCTCCAGGTTGTTACCACTGCACCAGGACACCAGCCGGATCCACCTCCCTCCTGTATGCGGACTCATCGTTGTTGGAGATGAGTCCAATGAGGGGTGGTGTCGTCCGCGAACTTGATCAGCTTCACGGAGTCGTGGCTGGAGGTGGCAGTGGTTGGTGTACAGGGAGAAGAGCATGGGAGAAAAGAACACAGCCCCTGTGGGGGCTCCTGTCTTTATAATCCGAGAGTCCGAGACATTCTTCCCCAGAAAACGCACTATAAGGACCACCAGGCAAAAAAGCACCACGCTGCCTCTCCTGTCCGTCAGGAAGTCTCAGTGATCCACCCTGCAGGTAGGAATCGGGCACGTTGAGGCTGGGAGAGCTTGTCTCCTGGAGCAGGGATGGCAGGATTGTGTTGAAGGCAGAGCGGAAGTCCACGAACAGGACCCTGGCGTAGGTCCCCGGGGAGTCCAGGTGAGCGTAAGATGTGGTGGAGGGCCCCAGGTTAAATGGCGTCGTCTACAGATCTGTTGGCTCTGTAGGCGAACTGCGAGCAGGGGCTCCAGAGGGGGGAGGTGAGGGAATTGAGAATGGGAGAGAACCAGGCGATCAAATACTTCATCTGACGACAACTAAGTGCTACAGGTCTGTAGTCATGAGCATCCTGTGAACCCTGGCTTCTTCGGGAACGGGGACAATGATGGATGGAATTGGACGCAGCCGCCGGGACATGGCAGGAATGCAGAGAGTGTTGAAAATGTCCGTGAACACAGGAGTAAGCTCACTGGCGCAGTTCCTCAGAGTGGCCGGAGACACTGGTCCGGCAGGAGTTCTTTGGCGGCGTGGTGCAGCCTTAAGAAGAGTTGTTTAATCTCTTTAGCGGGCTAATTGTTAGGACGGGGCAGGCTGATGGTGGTTGTTAGAGTAGTGGGGGTGGGGAGGAGAGGCTTGTCGGGGCAGCACAAAGCGAACTGAAAAATAAGTTCAGTTCGTCAGCTAGCTTGTGGCTCCATCACGCACAGGGGGGGCTTTGTGTTTATATTTGGTGATCTCCCTAGGCCACCCTCCAGACAGAAGCAGTAAATCAAAAAATCGGACACATGCCTCTACATCCACTCCTCCCAGCGGCAAGGAGCTCCTTCCTCCATACAACTCCTACAGAGCGGTACAAGCGCACTGTCATCAGCCACCCTCCAGATAGCACATCTAAACAGACTTCAACTTTATCTGCTTTGTCCTGTTTATATTGTATGGAAGCCCGTTTCCCTCCAGCCATGTTAAAAAAAAAAAAGCCTACAGAAAGTCAAATTTCGACTTTTAAAAAGTCAAATTAAAACAGTTTCAACTGCGCATCGTGCAGATTGAAAACTCGTAGTGTTGTTGTCTGGAAACGGATCTCCTCTGGTCTTCCCTGTTATAGAACCATGACCATGGGATTCATCCCTCTACCTGCAATTATGAGAAAGTTATTATCCTACAGACAGTGACCACATCCATGAAGTAGCAGCAATAATTTGTGGTAGTAATCGCGTTAAAATGCAAACGGTCTCTCGTTTATGATAGAATCCGCTTCAGATATGCCTCTATATAAGTTTTATCCTAACGGACTGTGGAAGATAAAATAAAACACATGTGCTGTTCAAAGTCATTGGAGCATCAACTGGTGACTCTGGGAGTCAGTATCATGCGATCGATGTGGCACCTGAAATGCAGTGAAATAAATTGTGACTGGACAGTACAGATGCAGAAACACAGTCCACTGCACTGACATTATTACCCCTTTTGGAATTGCGAATCATGCCATTGAAGAGTGGTGACTTGTTTGCGTGCATGCGGGGTGAGCTTGATGGAGCGTATTGTAAGTTGTTGCGTAGAGCAAGAACACAGAGACATAACAGGAAAAAGTACCACAAAAATTATTAGTCGATCTATTTTATTTGTGACAAAATAAAGCCCACGACTCTTTTAGCAACAAATCCGGAAAAAATAACTTCCGCAGATAACAGTGATGGTCTTTGAAAAGGGTAGAAATAGATAACCATCGCCAATAATATGCATGAATAAAACCCCGACACAACCCGTAGAAAGCTCATCATACACCGTGAAACACTCGCTCTGTGGTGGGTACCCCTCTCAAGCGCCACTCAGTCTGGTCAGAGTGGTCTACAGCAGAATTGTGATTGGAATGTCTCGCTGGCACATTATTCCTTTGATTATGCATTTGAAATAAGAAGTCGTTGATTTAAATGTTGTATATATGTAAATTGAATTTAACATGAAATAAATAAAAAAAACCGCTCCTCCCTGTCCCCTCCTCGGCTTAAACAGAAAGTTTTTACAGAAACAATCAAACAACATTATTTCTGGCTACTTCAAGATGCAGGGTCGCTGTCAGCAATATCTTCACAATAATCTGCAGGAGAAAGGAACCGTCCAGAGACCGGCTCCAGACAACACACATACAGTTTACAACTGCACATGCGCAGTGAAAAACTCGAAATTTTGACTTTTTAAAGTCGTAATTTTGAGGACTTTTAAAAGTCGAAATTTTGACATTGTAAAAAGTCGTAATTTGGAGTTTTAAACTCAAAATTTTGACTTTCTGTAATGCTTTTTTTTTTTTTTTACCTGGCGGAAACGTGCCTTCCATAGTATTGTATATTAACGAAGATGTGTACTCCTATTATCTCTGAATTTATACTGTGACTAATGTGTACATATTCACAGATATGTATACAATCTCTGAGCACCCTATCTCCCCAACCTGATATTCTATTCTCAACAATTATAATATTATATTTATTATAATTCTTCATTTCGGATTTTTACTTTAATGTATTTTTTATTTTTTATTGGAAATACTATGCAAGCTACCTGTGACAACCGTAATTTCCATTGTTGGTCAATAAAGTTTACTGTCTATGTTTAGAGCCCAAATGTTTATCATCCAGAATCAGACCCTAATTGTTTAATTAACATTACCATACATCGAGTTATTGTATTGTTAACTAACAGGCGGAGGCCTCCCTGTTAGCGTCTTTTATGTTGGGAATGAACCAAACCGAAGTTTCCCAGTGTCAGCCCTTTTGAGTAGGTACTAGTTTCAAGGTAACCATAGTTTTCAGGATACAACTCTTTGGCAAAGTTCACCGTAAAAATTTTCCTTTTTGTTTGAGTTTTTTGTGGCGGATTATCAGACTCCCGAATTAAAGAACGGCAGATCCCCGTGAACAAAGTCAATCCACCATCTGCATCATTCCTTCCGTTTTGGGACAAACTACTAAATAGTCATGTATTTACACCCAAAAATAAATTTTCATGATGCCCAACACAAAAAAGCACAGACAGCGTATTGTCAATGAACCACACGTTGGCACTCAAAGAGGCTGCTCGTGCTGAGTCATTTGGTTCCATTTCTCCCTGCGTCAATCACCCTCACAAGGCGGATTTTTTCACGTCACAATTTTGGTCCATTAGTCACGATTTGAATTGGGAACTTCGTGTCACGTCAATTACAACTAGAAGAATACCTAAAAGCGTAATGCGTTACCTTTAAGGCAGACCGAGGGCGAGACAAGAACCTCACGTAATGTGTGGTTCTGTGATATCTGTGTGTTGCTTGTGTTGTGTGCTCACGTTTTCCCGTCAATGGCCTTGATGCAGTCAGGAACTGTCCCGTTCATGTTAACCACATGCATCATAAATAATAATAAAGTCCAACCTCTCTGGGAATGTAGATTCCCAGTCCGCAGCATCTCTTCTTGGAACTGAATGGTCCTTGTTTGTTGCACAAAGTACATCGAGAAGAAGAACAGCCCCCGAGCTGTGTAGCCTGGAGCTGGAACAGAAGCGAGAGTCAGATAACGATCTACACTCAAGAAGGTCTAACACCCAAGAAGGTCTAAACCCAAGAAGGTCTAAACCCAAGAGAAAACTAAAACCCCCAGAGGGTTTTTCTTTCTGTCAGACCTGTGCACAGTGGCGGTGGAACCAGCTGCTGTGACACTCGGGACACTTGAGACACTAAAGCTCAGGACGAGGGTCCAGGACGTCCAGACACACAGAGCAGGAATGAGGCAGACTGAGGTCTAGAGCATAGACTCAGGTTTGGACCGGGGCGTGGGCCGGACAGAAGGACCTGAGGGAGAGGACACACACAGAGACAGTGGCAGCCAGAGGTATAGAGCCACAAGACACAGACATTGTAGAACAGTTGTCACTCACGGGAACGGGCAGATGAACTGAGACACAAACTCTTCCTTCTGCGCACACGGGAAGTGCGCCTTCTTCTGCAGGACGAACCACTGCATCCCACTTAACACTCCTTCAGCTTACACAGACACACACTGCCCTCCCCTGTGGAGGACAGAGACGTAGACACACACCACACACAACACACATCAAACAGGCTCAGAGGACTGGACAGAGACATCACACACACACGACACACCACCCAAAAACCCACACCCTGAAGAACAGATCGCGCGCACACACAAACACACACTGAAGAACAGTCCCGCAACAGATTACACACAGTGGATCTGATTCTGCATTTAAATCACCCCACAAGTGGAGAGCAGCAAGAGACCAGGAGTTTGGACTAGGGTTTTAGTCCTGGATCAGTCCTTGTTTCAGTTCTGCCTCAGTCCACCTTCATATCTCACAGTCTTCACTCACTCCAAAGGTCCCCCCCCCCCCCCTGGTCCTCCAACCTCTTCATGTGACTCTAATAAAACATTTTTGTGTTTTGTGAATTAAATAAATAAACAGATGTAATGTAATGTAACTATCTCATAAAAACATGTCAATAATATAGAGGTGAGAAGTTTTTAAAACTAGTTCCAGACTGGGACCTGGACCAAGTGACCATCCTCCTTTGTCCCAATAGACATTGTCATGGAGACTCTCAAAAGACAAAATGCTCCAGGATCATGATCATTCCATTAATCAATTAAAAATACTAAATCACATCAGTCTAGAGATTCCAGGTTGTTTTAAAATGTTGAGGATTTAAGGATTATGTATGAAAGTGTGTCAAACAACTGCAAGCTTCTCCACAAACATGACTTGTGCTTGTACCTAAAAGCTGTCATAAAATCCATGTCTCTAGTTTTCACATGCATGTGTTTCTGGCCTCTCATTTCTTCAGATAAGAAAAGTGAAAGATAGAGGACAAGTAGAGGGTGGTGATGGAGCTTAAATAGTATGTAGTATTATTATTATGACCTTTTATCAGGCAGTTTCAAACGTTTTCCTTACCCTTATGTCACCACTGCCTGGTTTGGAAGTAGTTGGTGTTGGTCCACTGCACCAGGCTTCATTCCCTAAAATAATGTAATCAATAAATCATTAAGAGTCAACATGCAGAGCGTGACTGAATAACCATAAACAACACACCAAAGAGTGCCACTTCAGTTCTGTTTCAGGTATAGTTTCAGGGCATGAAAGGACATGGCTTGGCTGGACATACAGCACATTTACCTAGTTAGCGTTAGCAACCTAGCTTCAACTATAAGACAAAACACACAACACCTCTGTGCTTTTTACTTCATACTGTGGCTTAAAAATGCTAATATTTATAGTCTGTGGTTAATAAAACACAAACAGCAATGAGTTTGGTCCTTTCTGCAGTCTCAGATCCGCCATCAGCTTGAGTCAAGGCTACGACTACAGTAGGCACTGTAAGGAGGAAGGCGGCCACAAACATGTTATAATAGCGTTTTTATGTAGATATTTTATTATATATGTTATATATGTTCACGTTTATATGTAACAAAAAAGAATCGTATTAATAGATATAACTATAGCGCGCAGTAACGTAAACGTCACGCGCCCTTACGTCTGGTATAAAAAGCGAGCATCAGTTCAAACTTTCTCTTTGTGCCGCGTCTAACGTCGAAGTGTGTCAAACCGCGGAGAATTCAACCTAACCAAAACTATGGTAAGTCTTTGAGTCTTATGTATTGTAAGCTTTGATAACGTTTCTCGTGTTGCTTGTAATGCTATTTTAATCAATGCCCGACGTAGATTGTGGTCTTGAAAGTTTGATTAGGTAGTTTCCCGCTTTTTTTTATTTCAGAGTATTGTATGAGTGAAAGACTGTAAACGGGTTTAACAGTAATTACACAATGATAACCCTACTACATAACGACGGGACGTGTTATAACCGTTTGTAAAAGATTCATGTGTGACATTAGTGCTAACGTCCACTCCACACTCTGCCGTTAGTACCATTTCCACGGATTTCAACCGAATATAATGCGTGTTTGCCTGGTAACCAGGGCAACCGCCGGTTCCAACTATATAAACTCTATTGCGGGGGAAATAAGACAGAGACACACACTTTATTTATCTTAGTAAAGTACTTTAGTAACCTTTACTCACTTTTAATGTGTGCTAAAACTGGTGAATGTGACTGAAATACAGCTAAAACATTGTTAATATAAGATATACTTTATTGATCTCAGAATGTGGAAATTTACAATGATGTTCAATGTCTACCAGATGTTAACTGTGGTAACTAGTACTGGCTCTTATGGAAAACTGAAGCAGCTCAGAACCAGGACCAGTCCAGGACGAACACCTGGAGAAATTGACATTAACTGCCTCAGAAAGTTGGTTCATCTTACCAGGGGCATTTCATCTGAGCAGCCCAGGGCATAAAAGTAAACATAAACATAATAATGTGTGTGTGTGTGTGTGTTTCAGCGTGAGTGTATCTCAGTACACGTGGGCCAGGCCGGTGTGCAGATCGGAAACGCCTGCTGGGAGCTGTTTTGTTTGGAACATGGCATTCAGCCTGACGGACAGATGCCCAGCGATAAGACTGTGGGAGGAGGAGACGACTCTTTTAACACCTTCTTCAGTGAAACGGGAGCCGGGAAACACGTCCCCAGAGCCGTGTTTGTGGATCTGGAGCCCACCGTCATCGGTGAGAGTTTATCCACCTGTTCAGATTCTTAGCACAAGAACCTACTGTCACTGTTCCATTCTGTTAAAACTGTAAAAACTTTAGACGAGGTGCGAACAGGAACCTACCGCCAGCTGTTCCACCCGGAGCAGCTCATCACCGGGAAGGAGGACGCTGCTAATAACTACGCTCGCGGTCACTACACCATTGGGAAAGAGATCATCGATGTTGTCCTGGACCGCATCAGGAAACTGGTGAGTCATGTTAGAGAATCAGGAGCTGGAGTATTCTGATGAGTCATGTTAGAGCAGGGGTCTCCCAACCTGTAGCTCAGGAGCCATCATAGCTCGTCACCCCCTTCCAGGTAGCTCGCCAAAAGATTTAGAAATTAATAAAACCAAATTAAATACTTCATCAGTCAGATTGTATAATTCACTTATGTATTATCGCAAATGCACTTACATTGTGCACTGGTAACAAATATGTGATGATATGGGTGAAAAAGGTTAGAGACATCTGTGTTAGAGGATCAGGAGCTGGAGTATTCTGATGAGTCAACTTTGATGTATTTGTGTCCTCAGTCGGAGCAGTGCACTGGGCTGCAGGGCTTCCTGGTGTTCCACAGTTTCGGTGGAGGTACTGGCTCAGGATTCACCTCGCTGCTGATGGAGCGTCTGTCTGTGGACTTTGGGAAGAAGTCAAAGTTAGAGTTCTCCATCTACCCGGCGCCACAGGTGTCCACTGCGGTGGTGGAGCCGTACAACGCCATCCTGACCACGCACACCACTCTGGAGCACTCGGACTGCGCCTTCATGGTGGACAACGAGGCGGTGTACGACATCTGCCGGCGCAACCTGGACATCGAGCGCCCCACCTACACCAACCTGAACCGTCTGATGAGCCAGATAGTGTCCTCCATCACCGCCTCCCTGCGCTTCGACGGCGCCCTGAACGTGGACCTCACAGAGTTCCAGACAAACCTGGTGCCGTATCCTCGCATCCACTTCCCACTGGCAACCTATGCTCCGGTCATCTCAGCGGAGAAGGCTTTCCACGAGCAACTGACCGTGGCAGAGATAACCAGCGCCTGTTTCGAACCAGCCAATCAGATGGTAAAGTGCGACCCTCGCCACGGCAAGTACATGGCGTGTTGCCTGCTGTACCGCGGGGACGTGGTTCCCAAAGACGTCAACTCTGCCATCGCCTCCATCAAGAACAAACGCACTGTGCAGTTTGTGGACTGGTGTCCCACCGGCTTCAAGGTGGGCATCAACTACCAGCCGCCCACTGTGGTCCCAGGAGGAGACTTGGCCAAGGTCCAGAGAGCCGTCTGCATGATGAGCAACACCACCGCCATCGCCGAGGCCTGGGCTCGACTCGACCACAAGTTTGACCTGATGTACGCTAAGAGAGCCTTCGTCCACTGGTATGTGGGGGAGGGCATGGAGGAGGGGGAGTTCTCCGAGGCCAGGGAGGACATGGCAGCCCTGGAGAAGGACTATGAGGAGGTGGGCGCTGACTCTGTGGAAGGGGAGGAGGAGGGAGAGGAGTACTGAGGAGAGAGAGGGGGGGGAAGGGAGAGTACTGATGAGAGAGGCTAGGGGGAGGCAGAGGAGTACTGAGGGAGGGGGGGAAACACTGAATTTTATCCTCATGGTTTGTTCCCCATGACATTCAGTTCTTCACTGTTCACTGTTATAACCTGTTCAGCTGTACGTTTCATTTCAATAAACAACTTTTTACCAACGTCTTGTTTGGAGTTAGCAGTGGGAAAAAAAACATTTTTGCAGAAACTCTCACAAATACGTGAGACAAAAGTTTTCTCTTGAATTCAGTTACATTTGGATTTGAACCTTTATTTCAGGATTGCTCTCATATCTGTTTTCATTAGAACTATTTTCGGTCTCTAGTTATAGATCACACTGGTGACACAGCGCCCTCTAGCTGCGACTCTTAGGAAGAGACGCCATGATGCTCAAGAACCTGGACTTAACTTGATGTTGAGCTGTATTTAAACAGCTGAATGTTCATGACCCGCTAATAAGTTTTACTCAGTCCTCTGCATTTGACCCATTATTCTATTTGTCAAGAGCAGTGGTCGTCGTAGTAACAGCGCAGGACCCATCTCCACAAGTCAATGCTCTTGATCAGGACCCGAGATGAGGATTTCACTGCGGACATGTTTAGAGGTAGGGGAAACCAGAGGACGAGAACATGCAAAGTTCACTCCGAAAGGCCCTGTTCCAACCGGGATTCAAACCCAAGACCTTGTTGCTGAGAATAAAGTGTGCTCATCGCTACGTTGAAATCAGACATAGAGCTAGTGAAGTCAATGTTTTCCACCATTTAATATAAAAAATTTCTGTACATTTCAACAGTTGTTTCTATGTGGTACAATCTTTAAAAACTCATATTTCAAAAACAAAACTTAAAATGCGTCAAAACTCCAAAGTCCTTTTTTGTCTTTTTTTGGAAGACTAGAAAAAAAATACTTTATCATATTAATACCACCATGCATTACACAAACTGGAGCTGGAAAAGCGGCAAAATACTCCTCTGAGTGACCCCGCCCCTATGCTCCCCCTCTCCTCACGCTCCACAGCATCCTCAGTCTCCAGCTCCGACAGACTACTGCTCACATCCACCTGACTACCGCATAAATCAGCCTCCACAGCCGCGGTAGACCACCTCACACACCCCCCACAAGGATGAGCACAGAGCAGGCAGACATGGAGCTGAAGCAGGCGGACAAAGACCCCTCCTTTTCAGTTGACACCACTACCACCACAGGCCTGGACCTCGCGGAGAACCAACCTGAGCAGGAGGCGAGCGAGACGGCGCTGCTCTCCTCCCATCAGGACCCGGAGAAGGAGCCCATCACCGCGGGAGAGCAGGAGCCTACAGCTGCAGAGGGAGGCGAGCAGAATGGGGTCGTGAAGCTGAAGATCCCGGAGGAGGACACCCCGGAGCCGGAGCACTTCACTGGGCTGAACAAAGAGGAGCTGCTGCGTGTGGCCGGTACTCCCGGGTGAGATCTTTATGAAACATGATATTACTTTGTATTTTTCGTTTCAGATTAATATTTGGAACAGATTCAGGACACGGATTGTAGAATGAGGTCCAGACGCTGTTGTTTCACTGTTGCAATGACGCAACCTAAAATGGAATGTCAAAAATCAGACGTAACCATGGAGGCCCGCCATCTTTGTTGGCACGGCGGCAAGTGACAGCAGCCGGGTTTTAGAATGAGATAAATATTTATTCGTCCCTCAGATTATTAAACTAAAACCAGGGGTTCCATCTACTATTTACAATTTTCGTTCTTTTCTTTACTTTTCAATGTTTTTATTTCTTATTTTTTACCCATTTCTATGTCTTATTCTTGGTTTGAAGTAGCCTTTGATTTCATGTGTTTCTTGATGATGAAAGATAAAGACTTTTGAATGGGGAATGGTGACTGTGGACTTTCCCTCCTCTAAACAAACATAATGTTTGGTTTTGAATTGGTTATTGCCATGGCAACGGCTCTAATGTACAAATATAATCTGGATTAAACATAACTATCTCACTGGAAACGAAGCAGATGATCTTTTTTATCACAAATTGTGTACATGACAAAGAAAATGGTGTCATCCTTCTTCTACGTTGCAAAAACTCAGACTAACTCTGGTGTCTCCTTGGACCTCCTCCTTGACCTCTGACCTTTACTGTTTATCCTTGAACCTCCTCTATGACCTCTCTGGTGTCTCCTTGGACCTCATTCCTCATCCTCTGGTGTGTCCTTGGCCTTCATGATGCTGTTTAGCGATACATTCTCCTCTCAAAGGTCCTCACAGAGCAGCTGTAATCACAGATCACACACTTAGTTTGGTCGACTTTTGTCATCAGGAAACTTCTACAGCACGTTTGTGGAACCGCTCTGTGTTGGTTTCACTCACAAAAGTTGGACATAAAAACGTTGTTTGTGGTGGTGACAAATAGAGGAAAATGGGGAATTGATCATTTTTAGACCCACCACATTATTACAGTGTCATGGTGTGGATTGTGGATTTCTGTATTGGTTTTATTTTGACATTAGTTCTCAGTGGTTTCATTTGAGTCTTACTTCCTGTCCTGTTCCCTTATGTGTTTGACCTGTGTTTGTCTGTGTCCATTTGTACACTTTGCTCTTCCCCATTTATTGCTGGTTCCTTGTCTGTCCAGTTCAGTCCTGTTTCTGGTTCTTTTTGGATTTTGAGTTTTGTTTTGATTATTATTACTCGTCATTAAATCATTGTTATTTTGGAGACTTGGAGACTCTTGTCCATGCATTTGTCTCCAGCAGGCTAGACTACTGCAATGGCCTGCTTACAGGTCTGTCCAAACAGACCTGTAAGCAGCTGCAGTACATCCAAAATGCAGCAGCTAGAGTCCTGACAGGAACCAGGAAGTATGACCGTATTAGTCCGGTCCTCAGGTCTCTGCACTGGCTTCCTGTGGCTCAAAGAATAGATTTTAAAACAGCTCTGCTTGTGTACAAGTCTCTCCATGGCCTTGCACCAGAATACATTAGTGACATGTTGGTGTCATATGAACCAGCCCGGACTCTGAGGAGCACAGGGACTGGCCTCCTGCTGGTGCCCAGAGTGAGAACCAAACATGGGGAGGCTGCGTTTCAGATCTATGCAGCTAAGATCTGGAACAATCTCCCTGAAAATGTGAGGGAGGCGTCTACTCTGTCAATGTTCAAATCCAGGTTAAAGACTGTTCTGTTTGCCTGTGCATACAACTGAAGGATTTTATCTCCATTTCTAATGCACTGCTGTCATTTATTTATTTTTTTAAATTTCTTGTGTAATTTTGAAAGTTTTAATGGTTTTATTCTTTTGTGTGATTTTAATGTTTTAATTGTGTTTTAATCTTTTGTGTGATTTTGATGTTTTAATTGTGATTCTGGTGTTTGTTTTATGTGATGATTTGTGATGTGGACTGTGAAGCGCTTTGTGTTGCCCTGTGTATGAAAGGCGCTCTACAAATAAACTTTGATTGATTGATTTTAGTTCTAGTTTAGGGGCGACAGTAGCTCAGTTGGTAGAGCATTGGCCTTTGAGCCTGAAGGTCGTGGGTTCGAGCCCACCTCAAGACCTACTTCACGACTCCCACTGATGACTGCTGTCGTTGTGTCCTTGGGCAAGACACTTAACCCCTCTGCCTGAAGCCCCCACTGAAAGATCTCAGCTCCTGTGGACTCACCACCTGCAGGAGGAGGATCAGTGAGGGGCTGGTGCTCTGTGACTGGGTGCAGCTCTGACTGCCACCCCCCCGACCCAGAAATGGATTAAGGGGAAGAAAATGGATGGATGGATGGATGGATATTTTAGTTCTCCTGCGTTTTGAGTCCTCCTTCACTTCACCTCGGTCGTGGCATACAGTCGTGAGGATCTCAAAATCTGTGCTAAAAGCGGTCAGTGTGGAGTCATGTGTCTGTGTGTGAGTCAGCAGAGTCAGAGGAACACACTCAGCTCTTCTGTTTCTGTGCAGATCTGAGCACAAACATCAAATACAGGAATTCACTCAGGAAGCGGCTGTAACGGCCTCTCAGCAGATTTACAGTGCCTTGCAAAAGTATTCGGCCCTCTTGAACCTTTCAACATTTCGCCACATTTCAGGTTTTAAACATAAAGATATAAAATTTAATTTTTTTGTCATGAATCAACAACAAGTGGGACACAATCCTGAAGTGGAACAACATTTATTGGTTAATTTAAACTTTTTTAACAAATAAAAAACTGAAAAGTGGGGCGTGCAATATTATTCGGCCCCTTTACTTTCAGTGCAGCAAACTCACTCCAGAAGTTCAGTGAGGATCTTTGAATGATCCAATGTTGTCCTAAATGACTGATGATGATAAATAGAATGCACCTGTCTGTAATCAAGTCTCCGTATAAATGCACCTGCTCTTTGATAGTCTCAGGGTTCTGTTTAAAGCGCAGAGAGAACCATGAAGACAAAGGAACACACCAGGCAGGTCCGAGATACTGTTGTGGGGAAGTTTAAAGCCGGATTTGGATACAAAAAGATTTCCCAAGCTTTAAACATCTCAAGGAGCACTGTGCAAGCAATTATATTGAAATGGAAAGAGTATCAGACCACTGCAAATCTACCAAGACCCGGCCGTCCCTCCAGCCAAAAGGCCCATGATCACTCTGGATGAACTGCAGATAACTACAGCTGAGGTGGGAGAGTCTGTCCATAGGACAACAATCAGTCGTGCACTGCACAAATCTGGCCTTTATGGCAGAGTGGCAAGAAGAAAGCCATTTCTCAAAAATATCCATAAAAAGTTTTGTTTAAAGTTTGCCGCAAGCCACCTGGGAGACACACCAAACATGTGGAAGAAGGTGCTCTGGTCAGATGGAACCAAAATCGAACTTTTTGGCCACAATGTAAAACGATATGTTTGGCGTAAAAGCAACACAGCTCATCACCCTGAACACACCATCCCCACTGTCAAACATGGTGGTGGCAGCATCATGGTTTGGGCCTGCTTTTCTTCAGCAGGGACAGGGAAGATGGCTAAAATTGATGGGAAGAGGGATGGAGCCAAATACAGGACCATTCTGGAAGAAAACCTGTTGGAGTCTGCAAAAGACCTGAGACTGGGACGGAGATTTCTCTTCCAACAGGACAATGATCCAAAACATAAAGCCAAATCTACAATGGAATGGTTCACAAATAGACGTATCCAGGTGTTAGAATGGCCAAGTCAAAGTCCAGACCTGAATCCAATCGAGAATCTGGAAAGAGCTGAAAACTGCTGTTCACAAACGCTCTCCATCCAACCTCACTGAGCTCGAGCTGTTTTGCAAGGAAGAATGGGAAAGAATTCCAGTCTCTCGATGTGCAAAACTGATAGAGACATACCCCAAGCGACTTGCAGCTGTAATTGCAGCAAAAGGTGGCGCTACAAAGTATTAGCGCAAGGGGGCCGAATAATATTGCACGCCCCACTTTTCTGTTTTTGATTTGTTAAAAAAGTTTAAATTATCCAATAAATTTCATTCCACTTAACGATTGTGTCCCACTTGTTGTTGATTCTTGACAAAAAAGTAAAATTGTATATCTTTATGTTTGAAACCTCAAATGTGGCGAAATGTTGAAAGGTTCAAGGGGGCCAAATACTTTCGCAAGGCACTGTATATTCAGATCCAATCATCTCTAAGCCCAAAATGCCAAATAGTGACTCATATATGACTACATATGTGTATATATATATATATATATATATATATATATATATATATATTGAAAGACTGGTTTTGAAGCATTTACAGTCTTTACAGCTAGTTAAGAAACATAGCTACTACTTATTTTGAATATTTTTGTGTGGTCCTTGTGTGCTCTAACTACTGTCCTGTATATGCACTGCAACATTGACATTTCCCCACTGTGAGACAAATAAAGAATCTCTTATCTTGTAAGGCTCCAGTTTGAAAGATAAGATTAAGACTTACAAAGATATTGTGTGTGTATGTGTGTGTTCCAGATGGGTGAGAGCTCGCTGGTCCCTCCTGGTCCTCTTCTGGTTGGCCTGGTTGGGGATGCTTGCTGGTGCGGTGCTGCTGATCCTGAAGGCTCCTCCCTGTAAAGAACTGCCGCCTCAAAACTGGTGGAACGATGGTCCGCTGTTCCACATCCGCAACATCCAGGACTTCAGTCCGACTGCCAACATCAAAGGTGAGACCAGAGACCGGAGAGAGATGGTTTAGTTTAGTTTAGTTTAGTTTCCAAGCCGGTACAATACAACACAAGATAAAAAGAAATACATTACAGTGCTATACAATATTAACACATCAATAGAAAAGGAAAAAAATAAAAATAAATAAACAGCTTGGAAGGGAGTGGGATGAAGACAAGCTTATTTACTCCCACCCCCATTAAGTCCTCAAATATATGGTTGTCGCCATTTACAGGGAAATATAACAAAAGCAAAACCAGCGGTAGTTTTATATACACATTTCCTACTACATATTATGTCATTTATCTTAAATTTCTCCTACGGTGGAACAATAAAGTATCTATCTATCTATCTGTTTATATGTATGTATATGCATGTATATTTGTGCTCTAGTCCAAATAATCGCTCACTTTTATATTATATTATTATATAGTGAAATTATGATTCAATATCAATCAGCTAAATAATTTTGTATCTACTAGAATATAATTTTAATACCATACTATAAAAATAACCAACAATATCAATGATAATAATAGACACATAACACAGTAGACAATAATCAACAGACAACACAATAAGGGACATAAACAAAACATACTTCAGAGCCATGTACCATCACTGAATGTTGTTTTTATTGTTGGCTTAACTTTGTCAATATGATTTTTACATTATTACATTACTTATAGGTAATGTGTATGCTTGTGTTGAATGCATTAAAAACACAGGTTCTTTTGTGAGGTCACATCCCGAGATGCACTGAGATGCCACTACCCACCGGACCTGGTCAAGTATGAGGTCGATGCATTTATAAGGCAGGCCTTAAAATGATATGGTCTTCTGTTCTGAAGAGCCATTACTCACGTGTCCTGCAGGGTGCGCTGTCATGGCTGGTGTGGTGCATGGTACAGGCAGAGAGACAACTGACAACAAAACCGATGTGTGTTAATTATTAAACCAGGTGTTATTTTCCTATCATTACATTTATATTAATTATTAGTTTATATAGTATGGTTATATAGAATTAGTCTGTTGTTTTATTTTTCTAAGATATACTATCCTGTTATAACATTTCCTTATCTTCTAGAATGCACTACATTTTATTGTGTGATACACTATTTTATTATTAATAATGCACCTAACCTAACCCTAACCCGTTTCCGATCATACACCCTTATATTGTGACCAAACCTTTTCCTTGTATTTAGCTTTGAATTGATGGATATTTGAACACTGTCTAAATTGTAGCTCCAGTTGGTTCCAAAGTTTGACACCACAAATAGATACACACCAACGTTTTCTTGTGGTCCTCACAGGATGCACCTTAAAGATACCACAACCCCTCAGATTATAGCCCCCTTCTCTAGGAGTGAAGAGCTTTTGACCATTTACAGGTAACATATTTTTACTTGCTTTAAGAGCAAGAGAGACCAGAGAGAGAGAGAGACCAGAGAGAGAGAGACCAGAGAGAGAGAGACCAGAGAGAGAGAGACCAGAGAGAGAGAGACCAGAGAGAGAGACCAGAGAGAGAGAGACCAGAGAGAGAGACCAGAGAGAGAGACCAGAGAGAGAGAGACCGGAGAGAGAGACCAGAGAGACGTGAGAGAGAGACCAGAAAGAGACAAGAGAGAGAGACCAGAGAGAGAGAGAGAGACCAGAGAGAGAGAGAGACCAGAGAGAGACCAGAGAGAGAGAGACCAGAGAGAAAGACCAGAGAGACCTGAGAGAGACCAAAAAGAAAAGAGCTACAACACACTACAGTCATCCTCATTTACTTCACAGTATTACCTGTGTCATTATTTAGAGATGATGAAAAGGGAAGATAACCTTCAAACCCAGAGGGAGACCAGAATGAGACCAGAGAGAGAGACTCGAGAGAGACCAGAGACAAAGAAAAGACCAGAGAGAGAGAGACTTAGTGGCAATAAGACTCATGCATGTCTGTGTGTCTCTGTGTGTGTAGGAGTGGAGCAGCAGCTTGAGTCTCTCTCACAGATGAAGGTCCAAGGACTGGTTCTGGCTCCGGTTCATCAGGCTCCTGCTGATGACCCCATGGCCCTGAGCTTCGAAGAGGTGTCTGCGGAGGTGGGGAGTCTGGACCAGATGAGAAGTCTGCTGACCACAGCCCACAAGAGAGGTATGAAGCAGAGACTGAGGCAGAGACCGAAGCAGAGACCGAAGCAGAGACCGAAGCAGAGACCGAAGCAGAGACCGAAGCAGAGACTGAGGCAGAGACTGAAGCAGAGACTGAAGCAGAGACTGAGGCAGAGACTGAGGCAGAGACTGAGGCAGAAACTGAAGCAGAGACTGAAGCAGAGACTGAAGCAGAGGCTGAAGCAGAGACTGAGGCAGAGACTGAAGCAGAGACTGAAGCAGAGACTGAAGCAGAGACTGAAGCGGATTCCAACGTGTTTCAGTAATGAATAAACTGAACTGAGGCTAAAGATCATTGTCTTACATCACTTCAATTCAAGCAGAGAATTGTATCGCCCTAAATCACAACTGCAGTTAGCAGATCAGAGAATCAGTTCGAACAAAGAAAATGCAATAATAAGAAAACCATAGAAGCCATTGGTCCATAGGGAGCAGGATGACCACTGTCCAGAAATATTAATAAACATCCTGGATCCTCACTGTCCTTCGAGAAGAACGACTCAACAACATTTTAGAAGTCTTTGTCATTTGGTAACTGCGCCTTCTACAACTGTGATTGGGATTAATCTTTCTCTGCCGTTGTGTTAGACCTGTCAGTATTGCTGCCTCACTCTTCACAGTGGTCTCTCTCTGGTCTCTCTCTGCTCAAATTTGTATTATCTCTCTGCTCCCTCAGGTCTCTTTGTGGTCCTGGATCTCAGTCCCAATTACGCTGGTTCCTCTGGCTCCTGGTTCAGCAACAGCAGTGTGAGCAGTGTGGCCGAACGCCTCAAGGTCAGAGTCCGTGAAACTTTTCAAACCATGTGATCAGTCCACAGAGAAACCAGAGAAATCACAGAGACGAGCTTTACTCACACATCTGTCTGTGATGAGCACCACGCACCACCACTAAGACGTCATGCTCAGAGTAGTTTTCTGCCTTTAAAACAAAAGTATTGTACAATTTTTCAACTTTACAATCATGTCTGTGTTTACAGCCAGTAATGATCAATTTAGGAAAAAAAAACAGAACAATTTTGGTTACAAGCAGAAAGCATGTTTTTACCCAAACACTTATTACTTATTACTTGTTACTGACTGTTTTGTAAGTTTGTGTGTAAACTGTGAAAACTCCTTAGTCTGCTCTGGTCTTCTGGCTCACTCTGGGCGTGGACGGCGTGAAGCTGGACTCTGTGGACTCGGTCTGGTCCATGGTCCCATCTCAGTGGAGCGACATCAGGGCCATAGTCCAGAACTGGACCGACTCCAGACCCCACAAGAGGTACTTCACTTCTGCAGTCTCTCTAGGCTTTACCTGCTCTATTCCATGTAAAAGTAAACTCCTCTAGCTCAGTTACCGCTTGTGTCACACTCACCATTTTGGGCTTAAATTTGTGATTTATCGCTTTTTGTGATCCTGGTGTTTATATTGTGATATTGTATTTGTAAATCCTGCTATGAGCTGCATAAAGACTGACCTATCAGAGGCCTTCATTCACGGGGGAAACTCCAGTTTGTCTTAGCAATCAGGATATTAATTCCTTCTCGATCATCGGCCTCTTCTGCATTAAGGCTAACACTGTGGTGATGTCACACTGTGGTGATGTCACACTGTGGTGATGTCACACTCGGTCCACTCTGTGACTTCCCTGCTGTTCCACCAGGCTCCTACTGGGGTCGTCCTCGCTCTCCTCTCCTGCTGAGGTCAGCTCTCTCCTTGGGGATTCGGGGGTCGACCTGCTCCTGTCTCCGGTCCTCGGTCCTCGCACGGACGCCACGGAGCGTGCTCAGTCTATCCTTCTGCTCAGCTCCGCCCACAGCCCCTCCCAACTGCTGTGGAGCCTGCAGCCAGAAGAGAGTGCCATGGAGCAGGACTGCAACACCATGGATCTGATGCTACTACTGAGCCTGCCAGGGACTGCACTGATAAACCAGGTGAGACCAGGACTGAGGACTGAGACCAGGACTAGTCTAGGTGAAACTAGAATGAGACCAGAACTGAGACCAAGACTGAACCAGCATCATCACTCGGGTCAGATGCTGGACTATGTGTTTCAGGGACAGTTCCAGAGGATCCAGGACTTGGAGCAGAACCAGACTCAGGAGGTAAGTCTCTCTCAAACCTGTATGTGAATATATAAATATTAGTGCTATCCATTGTTTAATTTCGCAATTAAATGCATGAATGTCATAGCTAACTTGTGATTATTGGAAAATGAATCACATATTTTTATCTTTTCTTTAAGTCCCTAGAATTATCTTTTTACTTTTTACTTATTACACTTATCAACATGGAAAAGTATAACACGTTTATCGAAAACGTGTTATATTTCACACTCATGTTACCCACGTCTCTGACTGAGCTCTGACCACATGTATTAACCTTCACATCCATTAATTGGTCCGCCATAGCCCACTTCCTGTTTGACAAACTTGTGGCCATGGCTGAGCTCAACGCGAACCATATCTATACTCAACCTAAAAGTATAATCTGATCTTGTGCAAACGTATTCTGAGAAGTTTTATTGACCTTAATTGTTACTTCCAGGTTCACTGCAATCTCACTTTATCTCTTTAAATGACAACTAAGGGCTGCCCGGCAGTCGATGGAACAAGAGTTGGCCGTGGTCTGCCCACACACACAAAAAATCGGACAGCTGGCATTGCAGGCTTAAATCAATAGTTTACACTCTCTCGCAGTAGCTAGATAACTGAACCTAAGCCACACAATTCTCCCAGTAGCAGTAGTGGCTCTCAACTGGTGTAATTCCATTTTAAACCACTAGATGTCGCCAGAATACTTCAACTTGCTACAGACATGAGTGCGACTTGGCTGCTTTTATACCAGAGATTCCAGGCGCAGAGCGACGGACGTTACCCTGCACAAAGCGACGTCACTTTGGACTCCAGAGCCAATGGAGTGGCCATGCGTTAATATTGCTTTGCGTTAACGCATTAAAAAACGGAATATTTTGGACAGCAATAATAAATATATATTAATGTGTTTTAACTTTTTACTTGACCCCTCCCCCTCTGCACTGACTCTGTCCCCTCTGTCCTGACTCCTCTCTCTTCCCTTACGCCACCCCCAGATGCCCCGCCCACAGCCCTCCTGCCCTCTCTTCCTCTCCTCTCTCTCTGCTCTCCGAAGGAAAGAGCGCTCCCTGCTGTTCGGAGACCTCTCGCTGCTCTACAACTCGTCCTCGGTCCTGGTCTTCCTTCGCTCCTGGGACCAGAACCAGCGCTTCATGGTCCTCTTCAACTACAGCCCGGACCAGAGCTTCAGCCTGTCGCAGTTGGAGGGACCCCCAGGGGCCCGTGGCAGTGTGGTCCTCAGCTCCAACATCTCAGCCATGAGTCCAGACACACAACTGGAGCTGAGGGAGGGACAGCTTGGACCAGAGCTATCCGTTATGCTGAGGTTGGAGCAGAGCTGAGCAGGTCTGGTCTGGGGTCTGGATCTTGGTCGAGGTTCTAGCGTTTAAGGGGCAAATGTGTGCAAACTGTGCACATACATACATGTGCGAAATAAAAAGATATCTAGATTTAATGTATTTCTGCTTTTCTGTCAGCAGAAGGTGTTGAAATGTGGTGTGTCGAAACCAAACAGCCTGAGATACGGTACAAATATGAAATAATTAAAGTCTCTGTTTGTTCGTGTGAGTTCTTACAGTTTCAACATGGCCACCGTGTGTGTTACTATACTGTTTCTATGGCAATCACAACTTTAGTTTTTGATCCAAGAACTTTCTCACAAATAGCATTCCTCCAGATGCCACTGTGCACATTTAATATGATCCTAGTCCCGGTCCTTGCCCTGGCTCGAGTCTCAGCCCTGTTTATGGTCCCTCTCAAAGCCTCACTGTGATGTCAGTATTTATGTGTATTAAAGTAAAGTATTTGTGTAAAATTCAAAGCAAATAAATGTTTAAAGCTCAGAAGTGTGAGTCGAGTTTGTACAGCACACAAGTTTCCATGACAACATGAAGATGATGTCTCACACGGATCTACTCTACTCTTGAGGGTAGGTTGGAGTGTAGTATAGGTAAGAGTGGGGCTAAGTTTGTTCTGAAACACATGTTTGAGGAAAGGAACTACTTTATGAGCCGAGAGTCAGCAAAACATTTAACTCATACTTTTTACAAAACACTAAACCTTTACATGTTTATCGACAACATCAAAGGTCGTATTTTAGACCTTCAAAAGTAACGTGACGTCGTGTTTTCAAACATCCTAGAATAAATGTTCGGACGACCGCAAGCGACTTGAATGAAAGCACTTCTTACTCTGACCAGCAGAGGGCGCCGGCCACACACAAACACACAACACCTGTTTTCAAAAGTTTATTAATGTTAGAATATGATTAGAGCCTTCGTACTCGGTTTCATCAGAGCAGGTCAGAATATATTGCCAACTATTTATTTAGATATAAAAATATCTTTGCTTTCAAGTTAAACTGGGACGAAAGTGGTTCAAAAGTCTGGAAATATTCAGAAACCAAAACAGATCAAGGTTTAAGTTTAGAAAATCCATTTTAGAGTTCGGTTGCGTTCACACTTCCCAAAAGAAACCAGGTCTAAACCAGGCCTAACCCAGGTCTAAATCAGGTTTAAACAAGGACTAAATCAGGTCTAAACTGGGACAAAACCAGAACTAAATCAGGTCTAAACTAGGACAAAACCAAGACTAAAGCAGGTCTAAACCAAGACTAAACCAGGTCAAACCAGAACTAAACCAGGACTATCCCAGGTGAAAACAGGGCTAAACCAGGACTAAACTAGGACTAGTATGAACCATAGACTGTATGTATGAATGCAGAAAATGGGACACGCATATAAAACAATCTTCCTTGAAATTGGGGGGGAAATTTGTGTAAAAGTTCTAATAATTCCAAGAATATATTGAGTTGAAGCCTGAACACTTTGCACAGTTGCACACGACAGAAAAACGGTTTGATTGAGAAAGAGCCCTCTGAGTCACTATTTGACTCTTTGGGCAGAGTGAGGATGGTCCTCTCTTTGTCACATTTCTGTCTGAAAAAGCTGATCTAAAGATTTGACAGAGGCCAGAAATATATGAAAGTATATGAAAGTAGTGACAAGCAGTTTTTTAGAGCCAGAAACTAGATTTGTAAGATAAAGTTAGTCAACCCAGCTTTAACTAAAATTTAAAGTTTTCACAAATGCTTGGAGCAGGGTCACTAATGGAGGAGGCGTCTGGGAAGTGGGAGAGCTTTTTCCAACTTTGCAAAGTGAACGATTGATCCTTCAAAAATATCAATTCAATTATGTTTGTATGGCTTTTGTGGTTTTGTCACAGTTTCAGATCTTTTGAACGGATATATCCACAAAAATTCAAATACACAAAGCGTCCAATTTAAAATTTCAAAGTTTTAAAGAACCCAGCGAAAATTAGAGCTCAAGAATTAGAACTCACTAACGAAAGATGAGAGGAAAGAGGAGGAAGGGAGACAAGGTGAGGAAGAATGAGAGAGGAAAGGAGACAAGGAGATAGGAGATGAGGACAGAGGACATAGGAGAGAGGAGACAAGGAGATAGGAGAGTAGGTCTCACACAAGTGAATCCACTTGTCATTAATCAATTCTAAAAACAGTTGTAGACATGACATGAAGCGGTCGATAACGTTTGTATAAAAACAATATTTAAATCTTCTGGAACATGTTCTTGAGTGGCGTTAGCTTTGTCTCAGACAAATTTAAATAGAACAAAATGTTCCTTTTCCCAAAGAGTCTGGTTAAAGAGTCTGTACCTGAGTTTCCATGATAAAACAACCAAGTGGTTTAGTTCTGGTGGTGAGTTCTCAGACCAGAGCGTGTTCAGTGACATCATGGCTGCTTTCACTGCGCTGCGGAACGGAAACTTTCAGGAGATCTTTAGTTCCTTCAGCTATAAGACTATAGATCAGTCTGAGCTTAATGTGCACGTTATTAATACTCGGAAACTTGACGTGACACCATAGATTGTACACAAATAGAAAATGCTAACCTGCTAGCTTTGAAGCCCATTAGGGATGTGCTCTTGGTGAAGTTTTGCTTCAACTCCCCTTCGATTGACTTAGTAAATTCCTCTCGTAACCATTTGAGTCACACTCACCATTTTGGTTAATATATTTGCTCTCTGTGATCCTAGTGTTTATATTGTGATATTGTCCTTGTAAATCCAGATATGAGCCCAAACAACTGACAAATCAGCTGCTCCTGATTGGCTCTCAGTATCTCGGTCGTAGTTATTCTCAAATTAGCATAAACTTGGCTCCATATTCGCGCTCAAATAGTGTTAGCTCTAATCAGCCCCATTACTGCTACTCTCCGACTCGCTCAAAAATTTCAAAAGGGAAGTATTTGCTGAAGGTAAAAATCAGGTACAGGTCCTTTAAGTACAGCCCTAGAGGAAAGGAAACAAGGACATAGGAGATTACAGAAGAGGAGTAGAGGAAACCAAAAGAAACCAAGGAACAAGGAGCTGAGAAAAGGAGACAAGGAGAAATGTCTTATTCTGAAATGAATCACTTCCTGGAGTTCAAGAGAAGCAGTTTTATTCTGAAAACCGCTTGCTTCTTCCTCAGTTTTTTGTCTTTTAAAATGTAAAAGTTCTGGTTTTGATGGCTTCAGTTTGTCTCCAGGAGTCTTCAGAGATCCCACAGTTTCTGCATAAAGAGTTGGGTTTGTTTGAACCAAAACCAGGTCCAGTTCTAGTCTGCAAGTCCGGGTTTTGAGTCCGGTTTGGATAAAGGCACTTTCTCCTCGGAGCTTATTCACAATAAGAGTCTCTACAGTACTGCAGACAAAGGGGGCGGGACATTCTTTTATAATGTATGTGCTTAGTTTGAACTGGAACAAAACAGTTGTCCACGCATCGGCCTTCAGGGGGCGCCAGAAACTCCAAACCCTGTCTCTCCTAAAATCCTCTTATATTCAACACTATTCTAACTTTATGCTGAAATTCTAATCTATTTAGTAAAAGTCAGAACACACTCAGTCGGATCAGAACGCGCCAACAAGACCAACATTAGCTTCTTGTTAGCTTAGCACCGCAACGGACGTCAAAACTCAAACTCGATGTCTCATTCCTTCAGTGCAGCTAAAGGAGTAGAAGGAGGTGCTAAAGAAGGAGCTAAAATAAGTGCTAAAGGAGCTGAAGGAGATGCTAAAGGAGTGAAAGGAGGTGCAAAAGAAGTAGCTTGAGTGGCTAAGTCAAGCTAACTCTTGCTAGCTTTATCGCCATGCTCCAACTAAACGTGTATAAATGTTTCTCAACAGTTTATAAATAGAATGAGGAGCTAAAGTTTGTACAAACATGACAACATCGTGTAGTTTGAACTGCCCCAAGAGTCTATAATAATAATATGCATGTTTAAGCTAATTATCCAGCGACTGGATTTGAATTTACGACTCAGACCTCTCTCTGGCTCGTATTGACTTACATGTAAAAGTAAAATAAAAGTTGAAAAAAACTCCTCCAGCTCAGTAACCATTGTGTCACACCATTTTTGCCTTAAATCTGTGATTTAGAGCCCACAGTGATCCTAGAGTTTGTATTGAGATTTTTTCTTTGTAAATCCAGGTTTGACTGTCACAGCAACATGCCTGCCCCTGTTACGGCGCAAAGCTAACACAGTGGAAGAAATGCCCATATAAGGACATTTGCTCCAGCTCATGTTCAAGGCTAACACTGTGGTGATGTCACACTCTCATATGCAAGTGTGGCTAAAGGAGCAAAGTACTGCTGTAGCTAAAACAGAGCAACACAAACTCGCGGTGTCACATTTCAACAGCAGTAAAACCAGAGATTTAATGTGAACAGTTGTCGGCAGTGAGTCTCAAATTTTGAAACGGTAAGAGATTCGAGCTTTCTGAAATTGAAGTAAATTAACCGTAGTAACATAAAACCCTACACACAACCATTTGAATAGGAATAAATCAGCACCATTTGTTGAAAAATAAAGAAAAACAATCTCCACATTTAATATCAGAGTTTAGATGTTGGCTTTATAAATATGTGTCCATTTTACTGATATAAAAATAGGCAGTAAACATTTGAAATCTCTTTGTGCTGGGACACTGCAGTACTGCGCGTGTCCTGTGGGGGGAGTCTATAAAAATACAAACTATTCGCCTTTTGTTTTGTTCCAGTTCAGTGGGCGGGTCCCTTTTCTGCCTCGACGAATCAGCCGCCAGAAACGAGGCTGAGTCTTTGGTCTATTTTGTTGGGCGGGGTTTAAAGAGAGATCCAAGGCTGTGATTGGCTCTGTGTATTTGCGAGGGGGGTGGGCTTAGGCGTGGCCTGAATTGTGTGATTGGCTGTTTGAATGAACTTGGGCGGGGATAGACTCGGGTCACCTCTCTCGACCAATCAGAGCCAGAGTTAGGGATAGGCTCAGCGTCCATATATGGAGTGAAGGGGATGGAGCCAAGGACCTCAGATCTGAAACAAAAGCAGAGAATAGTTAAGACTAGACTAATGTGAAACAATATTAACGGCTTATTAACCGAGCGTGAGTTCTGTATAGAGAAATATCAGACCGCGGCCTTAATGTACAGAAAAGGCCAAGGTCTGATATTTCTCTGTACAGACCGAGCAAGCGAGGTTAATAAATGTTTTATTATATGACTCTCGTCTGTGTCTTTACCAATGCTTTTGAGATATTTGTGAAGTATGTTCATGTCCGACTTGGTTTTGTGTGATACGCGCTGCGGACAGATTGTCATGGTAACGGTCCGAGGAAAGATATCAAATGTGATACGCGCTGTTCGGACCTATTGCCATGGTAACGGTCCGAGATGGGAAAATATCAGACCAGTAATCAGCCAATCAGAGCGCGCGTACGGTCCAAGTCATATAATAAAATCTTTTACTGACCCCTAGTGGCCAGTGGTGGTAAAGCACAATGGTTGTTGTGAACACCATAGCCGTGTTTCCACCACAGGAGTTCCTGGTAAAAGGAGCGGGGTGGAACTTCTACAGGAACCGTCCTCTCCCTCTGTCCTCTCAGTGTTCGCGTCTCCACTGCAGTGGGACCACTCGGCGACGTAATGAATTACGATTCCCGCATAAGCGAAACTTATTACGCCAAACCTATTTGTTTATTTCACGGTTGTGACCGCTCCGGTTGTTTTGGTCTTTGAGTTTTTTTTAAACTTTTCACGGCTTGTTTTAGAGTGTGATGAATCCCCAGTGCTTCGAGGTAAAGCTGATATGTCTTTGTATATCTTTTCATTTCGCCGTAATGCCGTGCTGTTGTTTGCCATTTCCAGTGGTGTCTGCTAGGCTAAAGCTGCTGGATTTTTAAAATGCCAGTTGTTTTGGTGCTTTCTGCTGGCGTCAGAGCCTGCTCTAGCTTTAGCCAATCAGCGCCGGGTAACCTCTAGCTCACCAGGAGCTGTTCAGGGCTGAACGGAGTGCCTAACATGGAGGAGGTAATCCGTTGGGCCCCGTAAAAGTTACTGTAAAGGGCGCTGTGGGGGAAGTTCCTGCAATGCAGACACGTACCGACGGGGCTGGCCCTGTAAAATTACCCCGAAGTTCCTGCGGTGGACACCCGGCTTAAAAGTCAGGTACTCTAGCTATAATAGTTGGACTCACTTTTGGGTGGCGGGTCTTTGCACTCTCCTTCTTCTATCGAGATGTCGTCGATGGCGATGTCTCCCTCGATCCCAGAGCCACGGACCCTCTCCAACACAATCTGTGACACAAGAGAGATGTGGGCAGGAGCTAAATAACTGTGTTGCAGGGGCTAGAGAGATGTGGGAGGGGCTAGAGGACTGTGGGAGGTGCCAAAGGGCTGTGGGCGGGGCTAGATGAATCTGTGGGCGGGGCCTCACCTGGAAGGCCGAGGTCGGCTGGATAGTGACTCGGGCCTGTCGCCAGCGGTCGCCCTGGTTACCATTGAGACTCCACACCTGAGCGTCTGAGGCTTTCTGCCGGAGGAAGACGGCCAGAGAACCTGGAACAAAGAACAGGACTGAGCCACGACTAAACCAGGTATAAAACAGGTCTAAATCAGGACTCAATCATGTCTAACCTGAGTATAAAACAGGTCTAAAACAGGTCTAAACCAGTCTCTTACCAATGTGCTTGCCGTACATGTGGTAGTAGAAGGAGAAGCAGTAGGCGGGGCCTGGAGTGTTGGAGGCGTGGCCTGGGTTGTTGGAGACGGGACTTGCGTGCACAGGTGAGTTGGAGGGAGAGTTAAAGGTGGGTGTGAGGAGGCGGGCCTTGTCTCCAAGGATACGGGGGCGGGACGTCTCGATGTACAGGTAATGTCCGCTCTTATCGCCGCTGTGGTCGGCGCTCGGGCCAGTGTTGGGCGTGTACTTTGAGTCCCGGGACGTGGCACTGTGTCTCGTCCAATCAAACTGATCGGATCTGTCCTGAGAGCAGAGGCACAGGGTGGCGTCCTCGAAGCCACACCGGAACTGCCCTGAACGCCAGAGATTAACCAGACATAAGAGAGAGAGGGCAACTACACCATAACAGAAATAAATAATAGAAAAATAGGTAAGAATGGGTTAGAACATGTAGGCTGCTGTCATAGCCTGTATACAGATGGACGATGCTAACCCCTTTAGCTCAATGAACCCCAGTTGGGAAGTGCTCATGGACTTACTAGGATATTGACTTACATGTAAGGGATAATATATAGTACGCAGGTCATTATCAGAAAATAAGTACCGACAGGGCGAAGTGGTCCCGCTTATTTTATGGCTTTGTACCAACTTATTCTCGCTTATTATACGGCTTTGTACCAACCAAACACACAAAATAAACTTCGGCCCACTTTTAGGAATGCCAACAGGTTTATTTAATGACAGAAAATGCAAAAGAGCAGCGGTCATTATTGTTTTGAGAGGTCGGTCAGGAAATCAGGAAATAATGACCGGTAGAACATTTTGAAATTACATTTAAATCAATGGAGCATTCTACTGCTGCTGTGAGGAGCCGTGTAATAAGTAAAAGTCACTAATCTAGCGCAGTAACCGTTTGTGTCTATGGATCTATAATATCTGGATAGGGTATTACTAGCTTATATCTGTCCCACCAATGGGCACACGGGGCGCTCATGGTACTGCTGACTAAATTCACATGGGCTGCCCAGAAGAATGTCTCATGGAACTCAATGTAAACTAAAACAGCTCGACCTCAGCTGACAGAGAACCTACAGCTTTCATAAAGGTCGGATTTTGTGGGGATTTTAGTGTCCCTTGTCATCCTGAACTTTTTTCTTGTTAAACCCTTCAGTTTTCTTTACATCCACACTTTAGTGCCACAAAGTGCCACTCTGCTTCCCGCTCTGGCTCTGCTCTGATCAGCAGCTATGATTTGTCAGAGCGTGGCTGAGTACACGTGCGTGGGAGCCACACACATGTATTTGGCGCAAAGCACTGGATCTTGTTAACTGCGCAGAACCAGAAGGACCAGACATATGGGCACCTCTCATGATATCCAAATACGGGCGAGCTCCGCTAATCTTTTGGCCCCCATGGCTGTCCCATGCGCTACTGAGCACAAGCCATTCATTTGAATAGGGTGCCATCTTGGATCACTGGGATTAGTTTGTGTCACACTCATCATTTTGGGCTGAAAAAAAATTGTGTATTAATAAAAGTCCAACTTGCTGTTGCAACTATTTTAGCAAAGATCTGCCCCTGTTACAGCACAGTTAATGCCCCAGAAGAAATGCCTATATGAGGAAATTGACGTTGATTGACTGATCCTCTGCAGGTGGTGAGTCCACAGGCCGCTCTGTAAATGACAAAACAGCCTTGATCTTTCAGCTGGGGCTTTAGGCAAAGTGGGGTTAAGTGTCTTGCTACGATAGCAGACATCAGTGGGAGTCGGTAGAGAGGGTCTCGGGGAGGGCTCCTTAAAAGGGGAGGGCTCCTTAAAAGGAGCATTGGCATTTGAGCCCATGAAAAGTCTCCATCTGTTGAAATATATGTTTGTTTTGCTCTCTGCTGTTGAATAATCTGTCATAAGGAGCGCGGATATGTTGTCCGCAGCCGGCCTTGATGTTTATTCATCGAACTGAATTTCTCCATCTGTGAGATAATAAAGGATTGATTGATTGATTGATTGATGTGTATCCTCTTCCACGGTCAGAACTACAACCTTTGAGCCAGACTAGAAAAATGGCAATTTACAGTCTTACAGTCGGATTGAACAGACAACCCGAGTGACTAGTCTTCAGAGAGAAGTTCATTCATTCATGCATTTTCCTATGACTGCTACCACTGAAGTCTGCTGTTGTTGTGTCCCTGGGCAAGACACTTAACCCCACTTTGCCTGAATCCCCCGGTGAAACACTAAGGCTGTGTCTTCTTTGACAGAGCAGCCATCTTCCATGGACCCACCACCTGCAGGAGGATCAGTGAGGGGCCGGTGCTATGAGTATTGGGTGGCTCTGATTGCCACCCCTCAGAGCCACAAATGGGCTAATAAAGAATATAAATGAAAATAAAATGAATGAATAGTTCTAATGAATCAAAGCTATGCTAACGTCTAAATGTAAGTTTTATTATTATTATCCTAAAAATCAAATTCACATCAAAAGATGAAAACAGCTATGCTAAAATAAAAAGACTATGCTAATATGTAAAGGTTATGCTAACATGTAAAAGCTATGCTCACAAGTAAATGAAAGGTACTCACTGAGGTGTGGGTTTACAGGAGCTGAGGAGGGACAAAACAGACTTAGATACACACTTCATCATGTGACCCGTGTGGTGCACTGTGAATGGCCCGTACCTGTGTAAGCAATGATGCGTTCGGAGGCGTCGCCCTCTCCAAAGCGCGTGATTGGTGTGAGTTTGACCAGGTAGGACTCCGGCTTCACGAGCTCCGTCAGGTTATGGCTCAGAAGCGCCCCCTTCTGGATCACCGCATCAATGGGGATCTCCTGCTCCCACCACCGCGACTGCGACAGCTGCGTAGAGGACGTTGTCATGTGACATCAGGGCACTCCAAACAGCAATAGTTTCAAAGAGTTGTGGAGCGCAGCAGACATCTCCTGTGGATTTCTCCTGGTATCTATGGCAACTGTCAAAAGTCAAATTCTAGTCTGTGTTTGAAGCTAATCTTTCTGTAATCCCTGGAACAATCCACATGAAGCAAAACCGTCAGAAAGTTCAACATCTCATTAGTGAACACATGCCAACTATGGTCTCTCTTTCCTTTCTCTTGGGTCTCTCTCTGGTCTCTCTCTGTCCTTTCTCTCTGTCCTGTCTCTCTCTGGTCTCTCTCTGTCCTGTCTTTCTCTGGTCTCTCTCTGTCCTTTCTCTCTGTCCTGTCTCTCTCTGGTCTCTCTCTGTCCTGTCTTTCTCTGGTCTCTCTCTGTCCTCTCTCTGTCCTTTCTCTATGTCCTGTCTCTTTCTCTGGTCTCTCTCTGCTCTCTCTCTGCTCTCTCTCCGGTCTCTCTCTCCGGTCTCTCTCTCCGGTCTCTCTCTCTGATCTTTCTCTCGGGTCTCTCTCTCTCTGGTCTCTATCTGTAACCCTGGCTTTGACAGAACCTGGTCCAAACAAAAAGAACAGGGTCCAGGTTCTTTTCTCATTGTGTTGTAGGAAACAGATTAAGATTAAGTGTGAGATGAGACAACACTTAGAGAAACAGGAAGTAGACTCAGAAGCAGCAGTAAATAAAGCAGGAGAATTCTGGACAGCAGGTGTGCAAATCTGACTCAGCGTCTCCACGGCAACTGCTCATCTCCATTCGAAGATATATTTATTTATTTATGTACAAAGCGCCATACTGCAGTGAGTCAGCGTTTAACAAGAGAGCAGGAGGACATAGAGGGCGGCCTGCTTTAGTCTGTGATTTAATCTCTGCTTCAGTTTTTGTTTTAATCTCCGCTTTAGTCTCTGCTTTAGTCTACGCTATAGTCTCTTCTTTATTCCTGCTTTAGTCATGTTTTAGTCCTGATTTGGTCTCTGCTTTAATCCTGCATTCGTCTCTGCTTCAGTCTCTGCTTCAGTCTCTGCTTCAGTCTCTGCTTCAGTCTCTGCTTCAGTCTCTGCTTCAGTCTCTGCTTCAGTCTCTGCTTCAGTCTCTGCTTCAGTCTCTGCTTTAGTCTCTGCTTCAGTCTCTGCTTCAGTCTCTGCTTCAGTCTCTGCTTCAGTCTCTGCTTCAGTCTCTGCTTCAGTCTCTGCTTCAGTCTCTGCTTCAGTCTCTGCTTCAGTCTCTGCTTTAGTCTCTGCTTTAGTCCTGCTTTAGTCTCTGCTTCAGTCTCTGCTTCAGTCTCTGCTTTAGTCTCGGCTTTAGTCCTGCTTTAGTCTCTGCTTAAGTGCTGGACTCCACCGGCCGAGTCTCTGTTTACGCGTGTAGGCTGCTGCTCCTCAGACGTGCCTTAAACGTTATAGTGGCCACACCGGCTTCTGCAGCGTGCAGCTCTGGCTGTGCGTTTATCAGCAAAGCTGCCCAGTCCTCACCTGTCTCAGTCCTAAGTCCTCACCTGTCTCAGTCCTCGATTCTCACCTGTCTCAGTCCCAGCCTGTAGGCCAGCACGCGGTCCACAGAGTCCGGTTCTTGTTGGGTCCAGAGCAGTCTGAAGCCGTAGACCGAGGGCCGGTTCTGCCACAGGCTGGAGTCCGAGTCGTAGTAAAACTCTGGCGCAAACGCTTTTCCTGAAACATTACCACAAAACCACATATGTATTTAATGTACAGTTATAGGAGCTCCAGAGAATTTTCAAGCTGTGGTATGTAACTTTCAAACCACAATAATGGAACTATGACCAAACTGAGGTTAGTGCTGCTTTAATCCAAGTCAAGTCCTGGTTTAGTCCTGCTTACAATATTAACTCAATATCACAGAGAAACCACTAAACCACAGATTTAAGCCTAAAATTGTGAGTGTGACACAAACTTACTGAGCTAGTGAAGATTACTTTTACATGGAAGTCAATAGGAGCCAGAGACAGCACTTCCTTTCTGGGCTAGGTTTAGCATGGTCCATTTGTATGTCTAAGGTCAGAACACATACTGTAGTTTTGAAAGTCAAAGAACAGACGATGGTTGACATCAAACAGCAGCATCAGCCATTTTGCTGTAGATTCAGCAGCTCAATATGACACTCAATAACAGCTTCATTCTGTGCTTTTCCCTCGTGAGCTTGGATTATGACTAAGGATCCTGGACAAACCCAAAGTCTTGGTTCAGTCCTGGTTCAGTCCTGCTTCGGTTCTGGTTCAGTCCTGGTTCAGTCCTGGTTCAGTCCAGGTCCAGTCCTGGGTCCGTCTTCAGGACACGTGTTATCACGGCAGCCATGTTGTGTCTCTTAAGTCCGCTGCTGCTGACGGAGCCGGTTCTGTCCATCTTTTTAATCCAAGCTGTGTAAATGCGGCGCTTGAACGAAGCGAGGAATTATCCACAAAGTGCTTCAGAACGTCCTCCTGCGAACGTGACGAGCTGAATCCTTTAGCTGCTGTCAGGTGCAGGATAAGCTGCCAACGACCAGAGCCAGACATATAACGCAAAATTACACTGTAATTTTCTCCTATAAAAAACTCACATGTCTGAAATCAACAGGAGCTGCTCCAGTCTGATAACGAGCTGACGCTACACTGGACATGTCAAACCATACACTGTACAAATTTAGGATAATGCTAACCTGCTAGCTTAAAGAAATCCAATAGGGAAGTACTCATGGATGATTTTATTCTCCAACTCTTTCCAATTGAATTCCATGTAAAAGTAAACTCTGTTTGTATCACACTCACCATTTTGGCTTTAAAAATGCTTGGTTTATTGCTCTCTGTGATCCTTGTGTTTATATTGTGATATTGTCCATTCCCCCATGAGCCTCTCAGCGTCAGCTCTAATCTCCCATGAGCCTCTCTGAGCCAGCTCTAGTCCTCACCTGTCACATTGAAGCTGCAGCGCCCAGCCCCCGCCTCATTGCTGACCTCGCAGGTGTAGAGCCCGTACCCTTCTCGGTTCAGAGCTCGCACCTGGTACTGGGTGTGGCCCTGGAGAAGCTCCCCCCTGGTCAGCAGCCGGGGGCCCAGCTTCCACTCAAAACGGAGGCCCCTGGAGGGATGTGCCCCCAGGAGCCCACAGGAGAGAGAGAAGGCCCTGCCCAGAGCCTGCCTCACCTCTGCAAAGACTGGCTCCACCACCGGGGGGTCTGAGGGGAGAAAGAGGGTCAGAGAGAGACCAGAAGGAGAGACCAGAGGCTGACCAGAGAGAGAGTCAGAGAGAGACCAGAGAGAGACCAGAGAAAGACAAGAGACGGACCAGAGAAAAACCAGAGAGAGAGACCAGAGAGAGTGACCAGAGAGAGTGACCAGAGAGAGACCAGAGAGGGACCACAGAGAGACCAAAGAAAGACCAGATAGAGACCATGAGAGACACAAATGAGATCAAAGAGAGACCAGAGAGAGACCAGAAACAGAGACAAATATTTCTCCAGGGTGAGATAAAAAAAAGAGATCAGAGAGAGAGAACAGAGAAAGAGACCAGAGAGATACCAGAGAGAGAGACCAGAGAGTGGAACCAGCGAGAGAGAATAGAGAGAGACCAAAAGGAGAAAAAAAGAGAGCAAAAGTCTCGCTTACTCACAGTGCACGTGGAGACGGATCAGCGCTCGCCGCGGCCTCACGTTAAAGCCATTGAGCTGACTGGTCTGACAGCGGTACACACCAGACATGTCTCTGGACACGTTGGACAGATGCAGCAGTCCGTCCGCACTCTCCCACAGAGCGGCCTCACTGAGCTCCAGGCTTTTTGTATGCACACTTTAACTTGTATTTTATCTGCTTTAAAAGTAAGACATTACACTGGTCTCTCTTTGGTCTCTCTCTCTGGTCTCTCTCTATGGTCTCTCTTTGGTCTCTCTTTGGTCTCTCTCTCTCTCTGGTCTCCCTTTGGTCTCTCTCTGGTCTCTCTCTCTGTTCTCTCTTGCTGTTCTCTCGCTGTTCTCTCGCTCTGGTCTCTCTCGCTGTCCGCTCAATCTGGTCTCTCTATCTGGGCTATCTTACTGATCTCTCGCTCTGGTCTCTCTCCTAGTCTATGGCACTCCACTCCATGTTGGCAACACGTCTGCCCTTGTTACGGCATGAAGCTACCGCCGTTGGAACAAATGCCCATACTGTATAAGGAATTTGGCTTCAGTTAGTTTATGTGGATTTTGACTTCTTCACCATGGTGATGTCACACCCAGACTCTGCTCTCACCTCTGTGTCCTGGTGCTCCATGCTCTCCTGGTACCTCTGCTCTTCTCTCGGGGACAGTTTGAACCAGAGCACGGTGGGTTTGGGTTTACCGGACACGAGACACTGCAAATCCACAGACTCTCCTTCCTGCACCACCAGCACAGAGCGCCCCCTAGGCAACGTCAGCTCTGGAGGAACTGCACTCAAAAGGACCAGAGTCAAACATTTAATCTAGGGAAGGAATTAAGTTCGACCTTGCTCTAACTTCTATAATTTTGACAGAGATAGACAATGTTTATTGGAAAATACATTCATCCCAACAGCCGTGAAGTACCTTAACGGCACTAAACAACATATTTGCACTGAAACTATAGCGTTGTGACATCCTCTCTTGTTCTTTTAAAGAATAGCTTTCATAGCATCTGGCTTTCACCTGCAGGTATCAATGTTGTGATTTTTACTGTGTCTGTCTGTTGAACCAAACTCCCCTTGTGGAACAATAAAGATAACTTTTGATCTGTGTATCTGCCCAATCTCTGCTCAAATCCTCACGCCAGAATGAGCAGCTGTGACCGACACCAATATTAGACCTTCCCTCATAAACTGGCAACACAAAAAGAAAATTTTTCTGACCTGTGGTGGAGGAGATGTTGACGTCGGTGCTGATCTCTGGACTGCCTCCGTTCCGCAGTGAGGCCACGCAGCTGTAGGTTCCGAAGTCTGTGAACTTGAGGTCGATTATGTCAAGGCTGGAGCGACCCGAGTCCGAGTGGGTGATCACCATCCGCTCCGAGCTCCGCAGGGGGCGTCCATTCTTCAGCCAATCAAACGCCAGCTCCTCAGGAGGCGTGGCCTCCACCTGACATGTGATCTTCACCTCGCGCCCGATCTGGATGTGGTCGTCGTCGTGGTACGGGTCCGGAGTGATCCAAAACCGAGCTCTGCGCAGACCTGAGGGAACATGAGAGGTGGAGAGGGTGAGGGAGGGAAAGAGTTAGGGAGTGAGAGAGGGAGTGAGGGAGTGAGGGGGTGAGGGAGAGGGAGGGAGAGCGTGAGGAAGGGGGTGAAGATAGTGAAGAAGGGTGGGAGAGAGAGTGAGATGGTGAGGGAGGGAGGGTAAGAGGGTGATTGAGTGAGGGAGGGAGTGAGTTAGAGGGTGAGGGTGAGCGTTCACACAGAAGGGTTGGGGGTTGATGTCTCACTCACCGCGCACTAAGATGGTGGTGTTCTTTTTGGCGGCGCTGCCGACGTTGTTGGTGGCAATGCATGTGTACACGCCACCGTCCTCTGCTGTTACCGCGGTGACAGTCAGAGCGCCGCGATTGGCCGAGCTGTGTTTGGGAAGTTCAGCGCCCCCGGCCCGTGCCCAGGTGAGGGAGGGAGCGGGGTCTCCGGCCGATGGCACACAGCCCAGAGTCACACTCTCCCCAGGATTCACAATCACAGGGTCAGGCAGCAGCAGGCGGACTGCAGGGGGCGCTGTGGACCAACACACTGGTGTTTACATGTGATATTGTCTGTGTGAATATAAGGACTGCTGAGTGAGTGTGGTCCTCTGTTTTTTTACTTTTCTGTCTGAAAAATATGATCTACATGATCTAATATGATCTACAGATGTGATTGCTAATATTTACAATTTATGGCAGGGGGGTCAAACTCCTTCTGGTTGGGGCACTAATAATAGCAAAAACATAAGAGGTGGTAGGGGCCAGAAGTTTTAAAGTGGTATATATTAGAGCTGCACAATGTTGCAAACATGACAAGGACTAGTGTTTTTTATCAAATACATTTCTCACACAGGAGGTCTTATGCATTCGGCTTGGCAAAATAATTCATAATATTAACATTGTTAATTGTGGCTCCTTGAAATCACAAAGTTAAAAAAGTTTTTTTTTTCAAATTATTCTGTATTTTATATTTTTTTCATCTAAGGTAGTGCTGCAGACACAAACATAAACAATACAGTAAACATACCATAGATGTGTGATGAAAATACAAATGTGAAACAAGTGCTACCTCAAATGCTAGTGCGTGTGGGCCGGCGAGCTCACGTTGGATTTTTTCATCTCCTCAAACTGAGGAAGGTGTTGACCGCACCCAGCGACCAAGGTATTGTTTTCCGTACAAACGTCGTCATAGTTTTCAGCAGGAAACTTGAGGAAACGTGTTGTTTATGTTTTGACACACCAGCTGAAGAGTGATTGACAGTGCCTCTGACCAATCACAATTGACGTTTGTAAGTGTCGTACTCAGCCAAGTTAGAACCAGGGCCAAGCCGTCACTAAAAAAGTACTGGCAAAAGCGAGACGTTGGAAACGCCCGCAAAGTGGGACTAAAGTGGATTCGAGTCAAGTAGAGCAGTGGTCTCCAGCTAGCTTATGTTCAAATTGGCTTCTCCCGTATTAAGGCTACACTATGGTAATGTCACACTCAGTCTTAATATAAGATCTATCCTCTCCAGCAGTGGTTCTGAAACTTTTTACACTAAATACCACCTCAGAAAATACTTGCCTCTCCAAATACCACCACAAATGACCAACACCACACAGTAGTGTAATAAGCCTCAGTATTCATCAAAAACAAGGCAGAGGTTTCATTCCTAAAGAAGTATTTTTAATATTGTCAGCCATTGTAACATTTTACACAGTTTCAACAGTAAGACTTGAATATAGAAAAATAAACTAAAAACTGTACTTAAATAATGACTCAATTAAAATGTTCAATTCATTAAGAACTGCAGAGCCTCACTGTGAATGATATTCTGGAGTGGGTCTTCTTTGTCCACAGAAGGTTTGGACACTGGTGCACGTTTGTTTATAAGGCTTGGTCTGCTGCCCTCTTACATCTGTCGTTTACTCACACAGAGTCATGTTCATATGGTTTGGATCAAATGATCTTTTGTTGCTCTCTGTTCCTTTTGCACAGAACTGGGAAAAAAGCTTTTGTATTTGCTGCTCCTTCTACATGGAACGTGTTGCAAAAAGACTGGATATTAGTACGCGGGGCTCCTTCTAGTGTTACGCCAAAGAATCACTGAAACAAATGTAATTTTTTTTTTTTTATTTAACCAGGAAAGTCCCATTGAGATTAAGAACCTCACCATACTTTGAGAACCACTGCTCTACAGCTATGCAAGACTCTCTAGAATCTTTGCATTTAGTCCAGCGAGCAACATGGGCCACTATACTTTGAGCTGAATGAGATTTTTATGCCCTTGCTTTCATGGATGACCTTTGCCCCTGGTATTTTTTATATCTACACTTAACTGGTAACATGACTAGAACATGTCCAAACACATCTGGCACTTTGGCTGAGTAGTGTTTGTTTCAGACCTGTGGTGTTGGTGAGCCTGAAGGTGACGCTTTTGTCCCTGATCCCACACACGGTTTTAACTGAGGCCACACAGCTGTACTCCGAGAAGTCCACTGGCCGAAGGTTCTTTAGCTTCAAGATCTTAGTCTCCCCCTGAAAACATGTGAGATCACAATGGGGACTTTTAACATTCAGTCCTGGACCTACAGCCTCAGTCCTGGACCTACAGCCTCAGTCCTGGATCTACAGCCTCAGTCCTGGATCTACAGTCTCAGTCCTGGATCTACAGCCTCAGTCCTGGATCTACAGTCTCAGTCCTGGACCTACAGCCTCAGTCCTGGATCTACAGCCTCAGTCCTGGATCTACAGTCTCAGTCCTGGATCTACAGTCTCAGTCCTGGATCTACAGTCTCAGTCCTGGACCTACAGCCTCAGTCCTGGATCTACAGCCTCAGTCCTGGATCTACAGTCTCAGTCCTGGATCTACAGTCTCAGTCCTGGACCTACGCCTCAGTCCTGGATCTACAGTCTCAGTCCTGGATCTACAGCCTCAGTCCTAGATCTACAGCCTCAGTCCTGCAGTACCTGAGTGAACAGTGGTTCGTAGATGTCCACTCCCTGGTCGGCTCCCTCGCTCAAAGCGGTCTTCCCTCTGAACCAGGTGTAGACCGGACTAGGGTTGGACCGGGCCTCACAGCGCAGGAACACAGTCCGGTCCGAGTAGAACTGGTCCGTCTCCCCCAGACTCTGATGCACCGAGATCACAGGGAGGTCTAGATCTGGGACCAGAGATCAGGATTAGACTCAGACCTGAAAAGTGGGTAGTAGCAGTAGAAGCAGTAGCAGCAGCAGCAGCAGCAGCAGTACTAGTAGCAGTAGTAGCAGTACTCACAGTAGACGTCTACTCGTATAGAGCGCAGGGCAGGAGAGCCCTGTCCATTCTCTGCTTTACAGTAGTAGCGCCCCCCCTGGTGGCGGCTGATGGATTCAATCCTCAGAGTATCGTTGGGCGGAGCTGCGTCGCCATGACGATCAAGGGCCCCGCCCGCCGTCTTCGTCCACCGTATCTGACCAAGGACACGAGACGAGTGAGTTCACAGAAGACTACGTCTTTATCAACATTTACAGACACTGGTCCTTATGGATCAATGGCTCTATGTGTTTGTTTTCATTGCATTTCCTGTGTTTGTACTGTTTGATTCTCTAATCTGTTGTTGGCGAATTGACAGATTTGTAAGGTCCTCAGAGATAATTCTGTTGTGATTTAGGGCGATACACACATAAATTGAGTTGTGGTGACTTCAGGACGGCAGCACAGTTTCTGAAGCCACTGCCTACATGTAGAGAATCATAACCTGCAAGCTCAATGAAGCCAATGAGGAAGTGCTCATGGATGAAGTTTGACTCTCTCTCTGGCTCCTATTGACTTCCATGTAAAAGTAAACTCCTCTAGCTCAGTATTCATTTGTATCACACACACCATTTTGGGCTTTCTGTGCTTTATTGCTATATGTACTGTTGTGATGAAGTCTTTGTAAATCTAGATATGAGCCATTTAAGGACTGACCAATCAGAGGCCTTCATTCACAGGGGAAACTCATAGACTATAAATATTAACGCACGTAGTCACGCCTATCTCCGCCGTTGAATCTAATGTGCCACCACTTTCGTCTTCTGTGGGCAGTTTCAAAATGGCTGCGAGGCAGGAAAACGTATTTGTGCATGCGTAAGCCGGCACGAGCCCCATTCCTTTGAGGAGTGCATAGTAAAGTTCATAGCGGCTAAACTAGACTGGTCTTTAAAAAAACTTCCTTCAGCATTGACACGCTTTTGGAATGTAGCATTGGGCTAACTTTTGGACCATCCTGTAAAGCCTTTTTCGAGAGGAAAGAAGACACCATACTGTACAAAAGCATTGGATAGTTCTCTTTCTGGGTACACTCGCACCGACGAGGAGTGGTATTGCAAGCATGTCAGCGCACATGCTCGTGGAGATTTTGGAGCCGGGACCCAACCCCACCGGGGAAACTTCAGCTTGTCTTAGCAACACATCTGGTACCTGAGGGCGCGGATGTCCAGTCACCAGGCAGAGCAGCTCCAGAGTCTGTCCTTCTCGGATTGTGTGGACTCTCTCTGTGAAGCGATCCTCGTCCACGTCACATGCCGGAGCTGCATGAACGATATGCACTGTAGGGGGCGCTGTAACAGAGACACAGGCTCAGACCAGGTCCAGACCAGGACCGGATCAGGACTGGACCATAACTGGACCGGGAGTGGACCAGGACTGGACAAGGACACCTGGACTGGACCAGGGGTGGGCCGAGGCTGTAACTACTGAAACTACAACTAAAACAACAACTGAAATCAGGACTAAACTAGGATAGAAGACAAGGAAACCAATAGACCAGATCAGCACCATAGACAGCTCTTCTGGCGCCCGACTCACATTCACACATACAACAGCTGAAAAACCTGGGTTAGATATGAAAAACTACCATTTATTTGTTAAACCAAAAAAATCGCAGAATCTGGAGTCGAATATGGAACCGGGAAGAGGAGTGGGAAGGACATTTGGAGGAGACAGGACCAAAGGATCGACCAAAACACAGAAAAGAACTGTGTGTTATACCCCAGGGACCTGCTCTGGACCTCGCACACACACATACACGTGCACGCGCACGCTCACGCTCACGCTCACGCTCACGCTCACGCACACGCACACGCACACGCACACGCACACGCACACGCACACGCACACGCACACGCACACGCACACGCACACGCACACGCACACGCACACGCACACGCACACGCACACGCACACGCACACACACACACACACACACACACACACACACACACACACACTGAAGAACAGTCGCAGATATCACACACAGTGGATCCGATTCTGCATTTAAATCTGAGTCCAACAAATGTGTCCTCTGTCCTCTCTATACATCAGCTCTTCTATCCCCTCTTTTTCTTGTCCCCCAGGTCTCACCAGGCGTTGGGCGCGCCGCTGCTCCCTCCTGATGTCCTCCTCCAGGAACCCAAACACCCCCTGGTGCTCTGGACCCTTCTGATACACTCCACAGGAGGTGAGCTGCAAGAGACCAGGATTGGACTGGGTTTAGTCCTGGATCAGTCCTGGTTCAGTTCTGCTTCAGTTCTCCTTCAGTCCTGGTTCCTGGTTCAGCAATTGATAAGTCCTGGTTCAGTCCACAGTTCAGTCCTGGTCCAGTTCTCACCAGGCAGAAATAATGCACAGAGAGTTTGAGTTTTGGGACTTTGACTTTCTCTCCCAGCGTTGCCGGATTGTCGTCAGAGAAACCGCACAAAGCGCAGCCTGAATAATAAAAACATTACATTATTGCATCGTTGTATTACTTTTTAGCGTTAAAAACAGATATAATGTTTCAAATGTATAAACGTTTCTCACAGTCTTCACTCAGCTCCAGCCTCGTCCTCCGCCGCTTCATTGTGACTCTAAATAAAACATTATTTGTGTTTGTGAATTATATAAATAAACAGATGTAATGTAATGTAACTATCACATTAAAAACATGTCAATAATTCGAGGTGAGACTTTTTAAAAACTTTTTCCGTAGACTGTGGACCCGGACCAAGTAACCATCCTCCCTTTGTCCCAATCGATGAGTCTCTAAGACTTTGTCATGGAGACTCAACCAAAGACTAAATGCTCCAGGATCATGATCATTCCATTAATCAATTAAAAATACTAAATTACATCAGTCTAGAGATTCCAGTAAATTACAAAACAATAGCGGAACGTTAGATCTATTCTGGAAAAGTAGGGCTGCACGATATCGGAAATTATGAGCGATATTCGATAGGAGTGCTTAGCATTGTGATAACGATATCATAGCGATATTTTTGTCTGTCACCTACAATTGCAATCTGTATTGAAATGAAAGAGAATTTCTGAAAAATCATCAGAATACATTTAAATGACGCTTGAAAAATGTGTAACGGATGTGATAGTTTCAGTTTTAAAAAAAAAAAATAAAAAAACTTGTCAGGTATCATATTTAATCGGTTTACTAGATGAAAGTAATTACTTTGTTTCTACACTGTGTAAAAAAATACAATCTTTTAATCAAATGTGGACATCTGAAAATATGTAGCAAACTTCCGCAGCTCTTTGAATCAAAGGCATCACGTATATTACACACAAAAACAGAGCCGCTATAGGAAACTTGACTAGTTTAACTGTTTTCTTCTGAATGCGGATCAGACAAAAATCCACTGGAGGAATGCTAGCTTTATGAAAACTGCTAAGGAAAGCATTCAGCATTTTACTTTGGACTAGAGCAGAGAAAATGATCCGAACCAAGCGACTACATCATCTTTGCTGCTGTGACCTAAAATGCTGTTAGAGCTTAGAGCTGTGAGAGCTTACACAAACTAAAGTGCTGTTGCATTTTAACACTATTGTTGCTGTTTATAGTTATATGTATTTGTTTTGTTTGTATGGATGCATGGGTTTCTGCTGCTACTGGACACCTGAATTTCTCCTACGGGATCAATAAAGTATCCATCTATTGTATAAAACTGTTATCTTTTAGCAACTACTAATGGACAGAAGAGGTATTTGCATAAGTGAAAAACATGTTATATCTTCTGATTATTAAAATCAAATTTTTGGACTTCTGTCATACTTTTGAACCCTTTAGTGTGAACAACCCCTCCTAAGAAACACGATTAGCAGCTGAATGTGTTACCAGAAATTATTACCAGTAACACTGACCCTAACCCTAACCAGGAAGTAGTCACTTTTATCCCAGAGCCACATTCTGCCAACATGTGCAGTAGTTTTATCACTGTAAACGTTTGAACCCTCAGAGTGAATGTCATTACATCAATGTTCTGATCGTACTACTGATTTATCTACATATTTATACAGTACGATTTATACATACACATATATATTTATTTGCACTAGAGTGTACAGGTTTACTTACTTTTATACTTATATTTTAATTAAGATAGAGATGTACCCTGCACTTAATATTCACTTATTTGCCCCTCATTCCTACTGTTCTGGAACTTGTGATGCAAAATAGAAATGTCCAAAAAAGGGATCTCTAAATCTTGTTCTATACAGACTCCATAGACTCCTGTAGATACATCTCTGATCGTGTTGTTTACGAACCAATAAACATGTTTCTGCTGACTGAGACACGATCCCAGCCCTCTGCATCTTTGCTCTGTTCTTCACGCGGTTAAATATGTTTTAGACGAGAGCTGAATTTTAGAATAGCCCTTCACTTTGTGGGTATCCTTTTATGTTTTGACTTGTGATCATGGCGACACAAAACTATTCAAGCACTACATTTACACAAGTAAGTTATATAAGTTTCAAAGCTGCAAAACGTTAAGTTACACGTAACGATAGAGTCCGCTTTCAACACACATTTATCACATTAATACGAGATCGGCGCATTGTTCGCGTCCAGGCATTTCTCTACTAAATATCTGGATAAAAGTGCATAACTTTCGGGTGAAACATGGCTCACCTCATGTCTGCGCTGCTCCGTCACAAACTGCGCATGTAAAAAGTATCAGTTTTTGTTCAACCTTTCGAGACTTTTTTTGGTCGTGTTTTGGTTTTCTTCAAAAAGGAAGTTCTCAGTTTGAATTTCCCTCTGTTCTGGACCTTCAAAACAAAGGCTCGCGTTTCCTGTCGCGCACTACCAAAGTAAAAGTTTGAAACAGCGCTTCTTTCTTGTAAAAACAACAATAAAGAAAAAGCGCACATTTTCGCGAAAAAACAGATTCTTACAAACACAGGTGTTTTAAAATGTTGAGGATTTAAGGATTATGTATGAAAGTGTGTCAAACAACTGCAAGCTTCTCCACAAACATGACTTGTGCTTGTACCCGCCCCCCCGCACCCCCCCCGCCCCGCCACCGCCACGACCCCCCCCGCCAAACACCCCCCCAACCCTCCCCCCTCCCCCCCCCCCCAAGCCACCCGCCACCCCACCCCCACCCCCCCCCCCCCTCCCCGCGCCCCCCCCCATCCCTCCTTCCCACCCGCCTTACCACCCCGCCCCCCCCCTCACTCACCGCCCCCCCCCCTCCACCCCCCCCGACGCCCCCACCCCGCAGCGCTCACCCCCCCCCACGCCCCCATCGTCCCCCCACCCCTCCCCCCCCCCCCCTCCCATCGCGCCTCACCCCCGCGGTCCCCCACCTCCCGACCCACCATCCAAACCCCCCCCACCCCCCCCCCCTCTAGCCCAACTGGGGACCCTCACCCCCCCCTCCCCTCCCCCCCCCCCTCCACCCATGCGAACATCCCCACAGCCCCCCCCACCCCACCCCAACCACCCCCCCTCCCCCCCCGTCACACCCCCCTTACCCCACCCACCCGCCCCCCCCCCCCCACCCCCACCCCTCCACCACCCCCGACATCCCCCCCTCCCCCCCCCCGCCTTCCATTGCCCCCCCCAGCCCCCCCCCCCACCCCCCACCACACGCCACTTCTCCTCCCCCGCAACGGCCCCCCCCCCCCCCACCCTCCCCCCACCCACCCCCCCGCCCCCCCCCCCCTCTCCGCACCCCACCACCTTTCCCCCCCCACCCACCCCACCCTCTCCCCCCACACCCCGTCCCCCCCCGCCCCCGCCCAACGTCCCCACTCTACCCCCCCTCGCCCCCCCACCCCCGCCCCCCGCGCTCTGGTTGTGGGTGGAGGTGGGGTCCCCCCACCCCGCCCCCACCGCCCCCCCCCCAAACACCACCCCCTATCTCCCCCCCCCCCCCCAACCCCCACCAACCCCCCCCCTCCCCACCCCCCCCCCCAGACTCACTCAGCCTCCCCCCAGCGCCCCCCGCTCTGCCCGCCTCCCCCCGCACCATACTCCCCCCCCCCCCCTATCCTCGCCCCCCCTGCCACTCACCCCCCCCCGCCCCCTCCACCCCCTCCCCACCCCCCCCCCTCCCCCATGCCCCACCCACCCCCCCCCCCCACTCGACCCCCCCCCCCCCCCCCTCGCCGCCTCCAGCCACCCCCCCCCCCCCCCCCGCGCCCCCCACCCACCCCCCCCGCGACACCAGAACCACTCCACGCCTAGCCCCCACCCCGGTCGCCCCCCCGCACTGCCCCCCCCCCCACCCCCAAACCCACGCCCCCCCTCTTCCCCCCCCCCCCCCCCCGCACCCTACTCCGAATCCCCCCCCCCCCCCCCCCCCACACCCCCGCCCCCCCCAACGGCCCCCCAACCCCCTCCCCCCATCCCCCCCCCCTTCCCTCCCCCCCACCCCCACCACTCACCCCCCCTCCCTCCCGCCCCCCGCCCCCCGCCACCCCCCCCCACCTCCCCCCTGACGCCCCCCCCCCTGCCCCGCCCCCATCCACACCCGCTCCCCCCCCCCCCGCAGCCCCCCCCCGCTCCCACTCCCCCCCCCCGCAAGCCACCCCCCCCCGCCCCCCCCCCGCATCCCCCCCCAGCGCCCCCCCCCCCCACCCTCCCCCCCGCCCTCCTAACCTTGCCCCCCACCCCCAGACCCCGTCCCCCCCCCCCCGCAACGATCCCCTCCTCCCCCCCCCTCCCCCACACCCCCACCCGCACCCCCCCCGCCCTGCACCCACCACCCCCCCCCCCCCTCAACCCCCCCCCCCCACCTCAGTCCCCCCCACACCCGGTCCACCCCGCCCGCCCCCCCCAGCCCTCATCCACCCCCCCCGCCCTCCCCCTCCCCCCCCCCCCCCCCCCTCACCCGGTCCTCTCCATCACCATCCCCCCCCCCACACCCCACACCCTCCGCCCCATCCCCCCGCCCCCACCCCCCTCCACCACCGCCCCCCCCCAGCCCCCGCCCCCCCCCCCAAACCGCCTACCCCCCACCCTTGCCCGCCCCTCCCCCAGCCCCTCCCCCCAACCCCCCCGCGAGCGCGACAAAACACCCCCAGAACCAACACAACCCTAGCCCCCAAAACCCCCCCGTAAACCGACAGACCATAAACCACCACCACACAACCACCACCCCCGCACCCTCCTCCCCCGCACCCACCCCAATGCTACCGCCACCCCCACCCCTCCAACACCAGGGGACAACGACCCCCCGCGCCCCCCCCTATCGTAGCCCCCCCCCCACCCCCAGACCACAACCCCCACCGAACCCCCCCCCAACAAAAAGCCCACCCACACGCGCGGCCCCACCCACCAACCCCACCCACCACGCCCCCCACCACCACCCCCCTCACACACACCCGCCCCAAACTAACCACCCCCACACCAACTCCCACCCCCTCATCAGCCCACCCCCCCCACTCCCCCCCCCCCGCTCCCCCAGGACTGACCTACCCACGCTACGCGGACAACCCACATCGCCACCAAGCAACCCGACACCCCCCCACCCTCGCCACCCTGCAGATCCCCCACACACCACCAACTGTCAGCCCCCCCCCCCGCCCCGCCTCCCCCGTGCACCACACCACCCCCAAACACAAAAAAACCCACCCCCCAGCGCCCCCCCTGAGACCACCCCCCCCCCTACCCCCCCGCACCGTACACACCAGCATCAATCCGACACCCCCACCCCCCTCCCCACACCCCAAACCCCCCCGCCCCCCCCCCCCACCCCCAAACCACCAGGCAGGCCCCCGACCCACACGCCCGAACCCCGCGCCCCCCCCTCCCCCTCCATCCCCCCCCCCCTCCACCCCCAGCCCCCCCCACGCACCCCCCTCCCCCCTCCCACACCCCCGCCCCCCCCCCCAGCACCCCCCCAACCCTCACCCCTCACGCCCCCCACCCCCCCCTCCCCAGACCCCCAGACCCCGCCCCTTCCCCCCCCCCTCACCCACCCCCACCACCGACACCCCCTACCCCCACTCCCGTCTTTGCCCCCCCCCTCCCACCAACCCTCCCCCCCCCCCCAACCACCTCCCTCCTATCTCCCCCGCCACCCCCTCCACCCTCTTTCACACACCACCACGAACCGTCGGCCTTCGTACCTCCCTCACCCCGCACGGGCTCTCCCCTCCCCCCCTCAACCCCCAACCTACCCCCCCAGCCCCACACCCCACCCTCCACTACCCCCGACGTCCCCCTCCAAACCACCCCACCCCTCTACATCGCCCCCCCCCCCCCCCCACCCCCCCCCGCCCCGTACCCACCCCCCCCCCCCCCTCCCCCCCCCCCCGCCCTTCCCCGGTCCAACCCCCCCTGGCCGCCGCCCCTACCCCCCTACTCCCCCCCCCACGCCGCCCTTCATTCCCCCTGTCTACGCCCCGCCCCCTCGGGTCCCCCTCCTGCCCCCACCCGCACCCCACCCAAACACCCCCGCCCTCCCCCCCCCCCCCTTCCCCTACCGCCCCCCCCCCCCCCCCCCACCCCCCCCCGGCCCCCCCACCCGCACCCCCACCCCCGACCTCCCACCCCCACCCCCCTCCCCCCGCCCCGCTCCCCACCCGCCACCTTCCCCCCACCCCCCGCCCCCTTTCACCACGTCGTCCTCCACCCTCCCCCCCCCACTTCAACCCCACCCCCTCGCCGCCCCCCCGAACCCTCCCCCCCTCCCCCGCCCCCCCTCTGCCCCCCACCCACCGCCACCCTCCCCCCCCCCCACCCCTCACCCCCACACCGCCCCCCCCCCGCACACCATCCTCCCACGCCCCCATCCGCGCACCCCCCCGTGGGATGGGGTTGGAGGAGAGCGCACGCCACCCCCCCACACCCCCACCCTGCGCCATCCCCCCCCCCCCCCCTCACACCGCCCCCCCCCCTTAAGGATCGGCTACCCCCCCCACTGCAGCGCCCCCCCGACCCCCCCCCACCCCCCCACCCCCAAAACCCCGACTCTCCCCACCCCCCGCACCCCCCCACCCCGCCCCATACGCCCTCCCCCCCCTCCACGCCCACCACCTCCCCCCCCCGCCCCTCTCGCCTCCGCACCACCCCCAACCCCCACTCCCCACCCTCCCCCCTACTCCCCATCGCCCCGTCCCCCATAAGCCTCCCCCCCCCGCCCCACCCGCTCGTGGCCTACCCCCTATCCGCCCCCCTCTCCCTCCACCCCGAAAGCACCCCCCCCCCCCCCCAACCCTCCCCCACCCCCCCCCCCCTACTCCCGTCCACCCCCCTTCCCTCCCCCCCCCACCCGCCCCCCCCCCCCACCACCCACGCCCCCCTACCCCCCGCCCATCTCCAATCCTCACACCCTCGCCCCCCTATCCCCCCCCCCGCCACCCCCCCTCCCCCCCCCCCCCCCCCATTTAACTCACATCCCCCCACCCCAAACAAATAACACCCCCCCCCCCCACTCCGCCACAGGCGTACGTCCACAGCACCGTGCCTCCTCTATTGCCTTCCCAAATTCTTCACCCTGCCCCCCTTCACTGCCCCCCCCCCCCTCCCCTCCCATAGAGAACACCCCCTTTCCATCACATTCCCACTGCCCCCCCCTCCCCGCACACACACACACCCACACCCACACCCACACACACACACACACACACATACACATACACATACACACCCATACACACACACACACACACACACGTACACAAACATCTGCTGAGGCTTCACTTTGTTTCAAGGACTCTCCCTCCTCTTCATGAGGCAGAGGGGGAGGGGGGGGGGGGGGGGGGGGGGGGGACTGTACAGCAGGTGAGGACTAAACCATGTCTAAAAGAGGACTGAACCAGGTCAAAAACAGGACTGGGCCAGGTCTAAAGCAGGACTGAACCAGGTCTAAACCAGGACTGAAACCGGACTGAAACAGGACTGAACCAGAACTATAGTTAAAGTATAGAACTAAAGCAGACACTAAGGTCTGCAGTTCTAAAGCAGGTCTAACCCAGGTATCCACCAGGTCTTAACCAGGACTAATCTAGGACTAAACCAGGTCTGCAGTTCTAAACCAGGGCTAAACCAGGTCTAATCAGGTCTAAACCAGGGCTAAACCAGGTTTAAAGTACTACAGTTTGAGAAGCACACAGATACAGTAGTGTGGGATGAGGCAGTGATGCATGATGGGGTTTTCTGAGGGGGGCAGAATGATGCATGATGGGAGAATAATAGCACACGGGGGTGGGGGGTGCACAGGCGAACAGAGCCCTCTGATTGGCTGAGAGTGGAGCGTGTGCGTTTGTGTCCACGCGTCTATTTTTAGCCCGATTGTGTGATTCCTCCTGCGACTATCGGCTCCCCTGCTACCCACGTCATGGAGGACTACTCGGCCCTTTTGGCCTGGTTTAAAATGGGTTTGGACCTGGTTCAGTTCTGGTTTAGTCCTGGTTCAGACCTGGTTCTATTGGAAACATAGTTATGCATTATTTTTGGCTTAATATTGATCTTGTGAAACAGAGAGTTATCAGTCACCTATGGTCACTCTCTCTCTCTCTTTGTTCTCTCTCTGGTCTCGCTTTCTCTCTCTCTTTGGTCTCTCTCTGGTCTCGCTTTCTCTCTCTCTTTGGTCTCTCTCTGCTCTCTCTCTGGTTTTTCTCTAATCTCTCTGGTCTCTATTTCTTTCTCTCTGGTCTCTCTCTCTTTGGTCTCTCTATGCTCTCTCTCTGGTTTTTCTCTAATCTCTCTGGTCTCTATTTCTTTCTCTCTGGTCTCTCTCTCTTTGGTCTCTCTATGCTCTCTCTCTGGTTTTTCTCTAATCTCTCTGGTCTCTATTTCTTTCTCTCTGGTCTCCCTGTCTCTGGTCTCTCTCCCTCTCTGCTCTCTCTGGTCCCTGCAGCACACACGATTGGTATTTGGTGACATTTCCTTGCCTCCCGCAGGATCAGCGACAGTTTGACAAAGATCCAGAACAAACACAACGCAATATTCATGAGTCGTTTAACATGTAAAAATATGCCAGTGTTCCGGGACCGTGAGGAGAGGGGCCGCAAAAAGAGAAATGGAGGAAAATATTATATTAATGTATCAGGTGTCTTTTGCATTTAGGGGACAAAACGAGTTTAAGACGAAAACAGAAACTGGAATTATTGGCAGTGGATTCAACTTATGTGATAAAACGGGACAATGTGCTTTAGTGTCTGTTTTAGTCTTTTTTTTGTCTTGTTTCAGTCTCTGCTTTAGTCTCTACTATAGTCCTGGTTTGGTCTTGGTTTAGTCTTGGTTCAAATCTGTAGTTTCTTGCATAATGGATCTATTTCCGTCTCAGTCAGTGGGACGGATATAAATAGATTCTGGCCTGTGATTGGCTGATACGAGGGAGCACAAGTGTGATTGGTGGAGACTCTGGCTTAAAATGAATGAACACACACACACACATACAGGCGGAAGACCCGTTTGAACATGTATTTACAGCAGTTACAATTTGCATCACCAGCTTTAAATGATTTTGGTGACAAAGATTTAACTTCTGTAGCGAGGACTAGACACCGGTGGGAGGGTGAGAGAAACCAGAGAGAGACCAGAGAGAGACCAGAGAGAGACCGGAGAGAAACCAGTGAGAGACCGGAGAGAAACCAGTGAGAGACCAGGGAGAGACCAGAGAGAGAGACCAACGAGCGAACAGAGACCAGAGAAAGACTAGTGAGAGAGACAGAGAGACCAAAAAGAGAGAGACCAGAGAGAGAGACCAGAGAGGAACCAGAGAGTGACCAGAGAGTTAGACCAGAAAGAGAAACCAGAGAGACCAGAGAGAGAGACCAGCTAGAGAGACCAGACAGTGAGACCAGACAGTGAGACCAGAGAGAGACCAGACAGTGAGACCAGACAGTGAGACCAGAGAGAGACCAGACAGTGAGACCAGAGAGAGAGACCCATGAGAGAGACCAGAGAGAGAGTATGGAATAACATAAACATTGAGTAAATAAGGGAAAACTACAACATGGAAAAAAAAAATTGTTTTAAGTGACTTGTCCTTTAAACCTGACCTTTCAGGAGTCGCTCCTGGTGTCGCTCCAGTGAGACCTTTCTAAGGCAGACATTATACATAATTAACTTTTCTCTCTTTTAACTGTGCGACATCACCAGCTTTGAGCATAAGCTGGAGCCGGTTTCCTTATATGGGAATTCATTCTGATGCCATTAGCAGCACTTCTGCCCCTGTAATGCTAAGACGATTGCTAAGGCAAGGCAAATTATCACAGAACATTAAAAAGAAAGATAAAAATATAAAATCCTTAAGTTGTATGCACAGCTAAACAGAATTGTTTTTAACCTGGATTCAAACACAATCAGAGAAGAGGCCTGTCTCACATTTTCTGGAATAGTGTTCCAGATTTTAGCTGCATGAATCTGAAATGGCAAAGGCATATCTAACAGGATTAAGATAGAGACTTTGTCCGCATCAGTGCAGTGGGGTATGGAAGCCCGTTTCCGCCATGTAAAAAAAAAAAAAAAGCCTGCAGAAAGTCAAAATTTTGACTTTAAAAGTCAAAATTTCGACTTTTAAAAGTCAAAATTTCGACTTTAAAAGTCAAAATTTTGACTTTAAAAGTCAAAATTTCGACTTTAAAAGTCAAAATTTCGACTTTTAAAAGTCAAAATTTCGACTTTAAAAGTCAAAATTTCGACTTTAAAAGTCAAAATTACGACTTTAAAAGTCAAAATTACGACTTTTAAAAGTCAAAATTTCGACTTTAAAAGTCAAAATTATGAGTTTTCAACTGCGCATGTGCAGTTGAAAACTCGTGTGTGTTGTTGTCTGGAACGGTCTCTGGACGTCCTTCACCTGCAGATTATGTGAAGATATTGCTGACAGTGACCACTGCATCCTTGAAGTAGCCAGAAATAATGTTGTTTGATTGATTCTGTAAAACGTTCCTGTTTAAGCCCCAGACCGCGGTCGTAGGAGGCAGGGAGGAGCTGTCTTTTTATTTATTTATGTTAAATTCAATTTACATATATACAGCATTTAAATCAAACGACTTCTTATTTCGACATAGTAACAAATAATGTGAGCAATACGTTTTTTATAATAAATCAAAGGAAAATGAGCCATCGAGACATTCCAATCCAATCTGCTATAGACCACTCTGACCAGACGATGGCGCTGAGAGGGGTCCACACGGAGCGAGTATTTCCACGGCTGAAAGGATGCGCTTTCTACGTGTTGAGTACGGGGTTTTATTCATGCATCTATAATGGGTTTATCTATTTCTAACCCTTTTCAAAGACCCTCACTGTTATCTGCGGAGTTATTTCTCCGGATTGTTGCTAAAAGAGTCGTGGGCTTTATTTTGTCACAATAAAATAATCAGACAAGGTACTTATTCCCTGTATGTCTCTGTGTTCTTGCTCATACGCCAACAACTTTACCCGCACGCTCCATCAGCTCACCCCCGCATGCACGCAAACACGTCACATACTCTTCAATGCACTGATCGCAATTCCAAAAGGGTATTATTGTCAGTGCCCGTGACTGTGGTTCTCCTGCCTCTGTCTGTGGTTCTCCTGCCTCTGTCTGTGGTTCTCCTGCCTCTGTCTGTGGTTCTCCTGCCTCTGTCTGTGGTTCTCCTGCCTCTGTCTGTGGTTCTCCTGCCTCTGTCTGTGGTTCTCCTGTCTCTGTCTGCGGACCTCTCTCACTGTCCTGTCATCGCGAACGGTCTCTCTGTCAGTCACAATATTATTCACTGCATTTCTGGTGCATCCATCGATAGCCGTGATACTGACCAGATGTCACCAGTTGATGCTCAATGACTTTGAACAGCCACATGTGTTTTATTATTAATCTTCCACAGTCCGTTTAGGATAAACTAAATAGAGGCTTCTGAAGCGGATTCTAATC